CAGGTGTAGAATACGCCCGGCGCCCGGCACTGCGTTACACATATTTTGCATCTGTCTCAGTTACGTGTTCTGCTTACAACTATCATTCGCTGTGATGCTGAATAGAAAGATTGTATTTGTGTGTTAAATACTTAAAAAATCTATAGTTAAGTGATTAAAAAGTAGTGTAGGGGATTCATTACTTAATATGTTAAATTTGTGCCATGGAAAGTTGTCAACATTACTTGCATGGTTATGTTGACATGTAAATAAATAGTCATTAGATAAGTTTTTTAAAAATCAAATTATTGGTGCATTAAAATATATCAAACAAGACAAGTGATACTTTGTGTGAATGATTTCAGGTTTCTATTACAGCCAGGGACTTCGACTTCCAGCAGCAGATGTCAAGTTGCAGTATCCAGGTACAAGTGTGATGCACAGTATTCATCACAACACAATACAGCTATGTGAGTATTTTTAAGATTTTTTCATAATATAAAAAAGATTTGTTGTATAGATTAGATAAAATAAATTGGTGGGATGTATGCAAAGTAAATGATATTTAGCGCATTAAGGTAAATAATCATTTATCTGTATACGCCTTAGCTCAATTTGTAATATTATTTATTGGCAATATAATGAGCATTATATATTTTATTATATTGTCATTCAAGTTCTGTTTCAGGCACATTTCAGGATCTATTGGCTGAAGTTTGGGTCATCTGTACAGCAAGCAACATGTGATTTATCATCTGACATATAGGAATAATCATTTTATTGGACTGTCATCCTCGTTAACTGCTATAACTTGGCCAAAATAAGTCTGCCGATTATGCCACTCGCTGGAGAGCTTCTTATTAACATAAGAAAGAACCTCTGACAGTATGAGCCAAATCCAAGGATACGAACATGTTTATATTTTAATATTAACCTTATATTTGGCAATACACAAGGTAGTATGCATCGCACACACTCAATAATAGTTTCATTGAATTTCTCATGAAATTTTCCATAAAAAGCTTATTTTTTATTATTTTTTCAGGCCCAATGTGAAGGTACACAGAAAAAAGTCATTTTTCAAGACTTGTCTTTGAAGCCCGACACACACCAAACTACAAGACCTTGGGGTCTCTTACTTGGTGGATCATTTCTTTTCAATATAAACTACAACTTGGTGTAGTTAGAAGAGATAAAATTTTTTGGTCATCACCCTAATTATGGCTTAGCCCATATACACGATGACAGACGAGCGTCATCGTCGTCGACTCGTGGGGCGAAAGATGCTCTCGTTGTTTGCAAGTGCATGAGTGTCTGTGCTGTAGCGTATACCTACAGCCTCGGGGTCTCTCTCATTCCGGTTAGCGGTGCAGTTTAGCCGAGCGGTCAGCTGCTGCTGCTGCTGCGACGGCCCACCTATGGCTCTATCCTCTTTCTTTCTTAGCTGCTGCTATCCCTGCGCGCAATGGCTTTTGTTGCTATGCCATTGAGTCCTTGCAAGCTGTATCTAACTGTTTCTACGTGCTGCACTACCTTCTATGTAAGTGTGTGTGTGTGGATTTGTGATCGATAGACGCACGATCCTTTGCTTAAAAGATGAGACTCTGATAGCGCGCGCGCGACTCTTTCTGCAGTGGGTGGTCGTTTTATCTTAGCCTCGTATAGGCATTAATCACACTCGCCAATCATTGATTATTTATATGTATTTTATGCGTCCGACGTCCATGTCGAGTTTCATTCAATTTAACGGCCGCGACAAATGTCACCGATCCGCGAGCACCGATAAATTGCCTCGCGCATTATGATTTATATACATACGTGCCGCATACACAGACGCATTTATACATACGCGTGCGCGGATGTTTCCTCTTTCTTATCTTGCACTCGCGCGCGACTAATAACACGCGCAAACGGCCAGGAATTTTCTCACCGATGGAATCTACGCGCGAAACTGCTGCTGCTGTTGCCGCTGATGCTGCTGCTAATGCATCGGATTTACCCCGTGCGCGCGCGCCAACGAGCGAGCATTAAAAATAGTTTCACTCGCAGATATACAATCGATAAAAATACGTTCGGTAAAATTTAATACGCAGCCTGATCTACATGTGCTAGCGATGCCGGCAAAACCCCACCCCGCGGCACTGCACTACTACTGATCAAGCCATTTTCTAGGTCAGCTTGGCAGATATTTCATTTTCCCTTTCTCGTATATATACGCGAACGCGCCTAGAATTCTATGCTCTTGTGCGCATTCAGTCAAGAATTAAACTTAGTTGTCGAGTGTATTCGTTGATATACGCGTGTCAATTTTCAACTCTATTCTCGAATTCGTTATTTTAAATTGCACGGGCACATTGAAAAAAAGGAAGAGAAAAAGAGCTGCCAATTCGTGCTAACAATGAAGGCAAGCCTGCTTCGAAGTGTGCATGTATACGTTATATATAGGTGTAATGAAAATCCTGCAATTTAATTATAGCCACTCGGTGGACATTATTGAAATTTGAGAGAGGGCCGAATCCGAGGATGGACATTTTTAAATATAACGGAAATCGATCGGCCCGCTTATATAGGCGCTTATGAATTGGCGTTATATTCATTAGAATGAATAATCCAACGACATTAAAAGTCCTCCCGCACTGGCTGCGAATAAATGATTCACATAAATCGAAGTAGATTAAAATTCGCGAAGGCGCTGAGCGAGTGCGGGAGAAGAGAAAAAAGGATAGAGAGAAAGAAGAAGGAGAAATGCGTCGACGACAAGAGGACTCGTCTAATATAATCCGCTGAAATTACAAGGCGTCTCGTACATTACAGACGCGAGAGGGATGATCAGCGTTAATTCGTAATTTAATAGTACGACTCTCCCGCGCGTATTATACAAGTTAACAGCTGCAAAAAGACGAGATCGTCGGGGGTTTATTAATCATCTCTTTCTCGTCGCGCTCTCTGTGCCTCGTGCTTGCTCGAGCTGCCTTAGAGGCGCACTTGAATTTACATTAAGTAAGATACACTCGCGCTCGCGCCTCGCTATTACTACGAAACGGAAATCTCCAATGGTCAGAAGTCGGTTTAACGGGTTTTTTACTGTACTCGAGAAGCGTACGTACGATTGCTCTCGTGTACATGTGTGTTTGTGTAATATATGTCATGCTAATCTTGCTCGTTTTAACGATATGCCCGTTTGGCGCGAATACGCAAAGTCCGATAAGTCCTCGGCAGGCTGCATGAGCGGGACATATATTTCCAGGAGAAGTCGAGTGCGAAAAATCAACAAACGCGCGAGTGGCGTCAAAGGGGACGATATTTAAGCGCGCGAAAGCTTCGATTCGAGAGCGCGCGAGAAAATCGCATTTCTCCGCGTGCTTATGCACACTTGCACGCGTGTGTGAATGTGTGCGAGTGTGTGTCCGTGTGGCAAAAAGCCCGTAGTCACAATTATGCTCTCTTATCGAGTGAGCAGCGCCTGGACAAAAGTGCAGTTACGCAGCAGCTACCAACGTACCTGGAAAGTACTTGTTTTCCTTTTTTTTTCATTTCACCTCCTTCGCGCGCGCGGTTTTTAGACTAAAAGCGGGAAGCGTACGGAGGAGCTTCGCTCGCAGCTCTCCTACAGCACGTATACCGTTAATACTTCGTATCCGCGGATATAATAGGATACGCGAGTGCGCGGCGACGCTCGGACACTATTTTTTTTTTTTTCGTCGTCGCGCAAAGCGAAGACTACGACTTGGACTCGGGGGCATTTTTCAAGTTGCTCGGATGTAAGCATGCATAAGTACACGTCGAATTAGCAAAAGCAGGCCGGATTAAACACGCTTACTTTCAATTTGAATAATCGTCATCGATATCGCGCATAGTGTTTGCTTACGTAAGCTTCGAGAGAGATGCCTCGTTCAAATACTCCTACGAATTACGGGCTTATACTGCGCGTGTATAATATCTCGCCTATATAACATGCATAACTATATGCGTAATAAAACAAGCTCTACGGATACTCGAGTGCACATATAGTGTTTGTTCTGCATTATAATTTTTGATCGACTTGCGTGGGCTCGTCGTTGCGCCTGTGTTGTACATTGACTAGGCTCTGTATTATTCCCTCGATTCTGCGCTGTGCAAGAAAAGCATGTACATTGCGATTGGCGAAATGCCCAACTAAACCGATCGAATTGGCCTATGACAAATTGTGTGTCACTCGATGATTCCATATCGACCAACGACAATTTGTCGGAACATGGATGCATTTTTTTTTGATTTTATCTTCATAGTCCGCGTTGGCGCTGCGAAACATGATGGTATAATAATCTTATTTCTCCTCGAGTTTTTTGACTAATTTCATAATAAAAAAATGGCTCTATTTAAAAAACATAGGGATTCTTAAAAAGTTATTTGTACATATTTTTGTTCAATTACACTATAATCACGCGAAAGCTAGAAAAATTATTAAAGCACAAAACGCGAAAAATATGAGGGCAAGTAGTTTACGCTAATGATGATGAAAGTTTAAATAAGAAAGACATAAAACAAAAAACAAAAAAAAATTCGAAAAATAAATAAAATTCTTACGTGCGAGTCGTTTTCGGTTGTAAAGATGCGTGCAATAAAGTCGGAGCTGTGCGATCAAAACTTTCCAACGTCACATCGATCCCCCATCGTTTTGCGGTATACTCGTATAAATCCCTCTGCAGCATGAATTTCTCTGGCTAGATTAGAATAATTTGCCAATTAGCTTGAATTCGCTTGATACGAGCGTATACAATGCACGTATAATGTATAAAGTCGTAAAATAATTTTTGAAAACTAGTTTTCCTCGCTTTGCTGGCGCAGCAGTGGCGCGCGCGCGAGGGACAAGAAACCTAATTCTCAGAGCAGCGCGCTTCGCAACATTTATATGTGCAAAAACAACACGTCCTATATAGATAGCTGCTGCTCGAGAGCTCCGAGCCGCAGAGTACGTACGTAGCATTGCGTGCTGCAGGATAGCTGTCGCACGGAGAAATATACGCTGAACACGAGCGAGGCACCAGCAGCAGCAGCTGTGACGCAAGCGTAAGCGGCCTCTTTTTCGCACGCTGCGCGTTGCACCGCGCGAGCAGTTTTACGAGGAGAAATATCAAGTGCAAGGTCAAGGCTGCGGGCTTTACCTTCTCCGCGGCAGATCGGCATCTCGCTAGCCTGCGATACACGGCATGCGTTCGACCCATTCTTTCGCCCGTGTGCATTATGCCTACACATAACGTACAGGTAGAAACTCGAGTTTGGCCCATGCAAATGTAAATAGGCGCGAGGTGATGAACGACTCGCGGCGTATCCGAGCGAATCGTTTGGATGAGCCACGACGCTGATCGAGCGATTGAAAGGCGAGGCTCGAGCGCGCGCGGGATTGATTTACAACGCCGAGGCTCGTGTGTGTGTGTGTGTGTGTGTGTGTGCCAAGCGCGTGTCGATCGGTATACAGCGCACGAGCGAGAGATCGCAGCGGAAGGCGTGAAACCGCGCCGCAAAACTTTATTTATCGCCAATATTTACCTTTTACGAGACTCGACAAAGTTGAGTCGCGAGTGGCAATTAAGGATCAGCTGGCGCGCGCGAGATTATGGCCCCTATTATATTGGTTCTCGCGAGTCCTCGTAAAAATCTTAAAAACAGCCCCGCGCCAATTATTACCGCGCACGGAATATAATGACTCAGTTGGCCAAACGACGCGCTGTGTACGATCGTTCTCAGAGAGATAGATATAGAGTAGCGAGTGTTTGCTCGATCGCTATCTGCGACACTCGTCTAGTATCCCTATAAATCAGATGTATCGTCGATATATAGGCCGTTTCGCGCATCGCGAGGTGCGCTCCAAAAACGGCGTCACGCGCGCGTTTAAAGGCCGACTCGACGCGATCTACATTTTTTCCTTCTTCGCCTCGCTGCTCACACACATGCATGTACGGGTACCTGTTTCTTTGGCGCAGCGCATGTATGCAGTCTCTTTTACTTTCTTCATCAGTCGGTGCTGCAGCCGCAGCCGCAAACTCACGTTTATTACGCACGCATCGCTCAATGTACGGCAGCGCGCGCATATGCGTGCATTACTCGAGCTGCCGCTGCCACCGCTGCACTGCAGGGGAGGGGGTACGGGGGAATTATTAGCGTGGGATCGCATGTGCGAACGAGTGGAAAACACCGTTACGCGTTTGTACGTACATAGCATGTATGCATGTATGTATGCAAGACCGAGTGCATCAACGCACACACACACGACTACGCCTATTTCGACTGCAGACTACTCTGATATACACAGACGCACACACACACACACTGACGAAGGCAAACGGAGAAGAGCTGAAATAGAGTCTCGGACGCGCGAAACATTTCTGGAATGCTGTGTATGTGTGTGTGCGCGCACTCGTGTATGTGTTGTATAATACCTTGAGTAGTCCAGACCCCAGGGGCGCCCCCGTATGAAAAAATATTCGAATGGAATATTTTCGTTGTTTCTTGTGGAAAATGGTCGTCTGAATCCGAATCTGCATGTTGGTAAACCGGAAAATGGTCGGAAAATTTTTTAAACAATTTTCTTTACACAAATTGCACAAATTTGAAATTTTCCACCCAAAACTAATTTTTTTAGGTTTTTGGGGTCATTTTAAACAAAAAAGTACTCTTGTGATTTTTCTCTAAAATTGATATTTTCCGAGATATTTAACATTGAAATTTCGAAAAAACGCAAAAATGGCGGTTTTCAATCCTCTGTAAAAGGGTTAAAAATTATGAATTTCGATGTTGGCGATAGTCCTACATTATCTTTATATCTTCATTAATGAAATGAAAAAATGAAAATTTGTAAAACTTAATTGTTAAGCTATGGTTTTTAGACTCAAATGATAGGCGCGTGTATACGTGTGAGCGCCGTGAGCGTATGGCCGCTGTGTATACACGTATACACGTATACACGCGCCTATCATTTGAGTCTAAAAACCATAGCTTAACAATTAAGTTTTACAAATTTTCATTTTTTCATTTCATTAATGAAGATATAAAGATAATGTAGGACTATCGCCAACATCGAAATTCATAATTTTTAACCCTTTTACAGAGGGTTGAAAACCGCCATTTTTGCATTTTTTCGAAATTTCAATGTTAAATATCTCGGAAAATATCAATTTTAGAGAAAAATCACAAGAGTACTTTTTTGTTTAAAATGACCCCAAAAACCTAAAAAAATTAGTTTTGGGTGGAAAATTTCAAATTTGTGCAATTTGTGTAAAGAAAATTGTTTAAAAAATTTTCCGACCATTTTCCGGTTTACCAACATGCAGATTCGGATTCAGACGACCATTTTCCACAAGAAACAACGAAAATATTCCATTCGAATATTTTTTCATACGGGGGCGCCCCTGGGGTCTGGACTAGAGAAACAAGCCAGAGCAGGCTAATGCCGATCCGTCAGAAGTTGGCGCTGTTTGTCAGTCAAATTGACTGCGCGGAAAGGGCGCACTCGACGCTCTCGATTTGACACGCGACTACGCTATCCTCTTCTAGGCGTACTTGGACAAATCATCGGACGATATCGCTACGGAAATATTGGCTCGTTTGTAATGCGGATCGTGCTCGACTTTTCGTCTGCCCTGCGTTTAGATCTGCTCTAGATCGTGCGCACGGCCTATCCACCCGCAGCCGCGTGTAATACGAAGCTCACGGCGCGCTCTCGACAACTTTTACCAGCACTAGCAGCCGCAAAGCCGAGTAACAACATCTCCCGAGGCTGCTGCGACCTATCGATTTTTCCCTCCTCGCGCTTCCTATACGGACCACGACGACGACGACGAGCGCACATCTCGCGCAGCGGCAGCAGCATTATGGATTATGCAAGAGAAGCAATTATCGCTCGCGGAGACAATGAAATAGAAAAAAAGTCGTGTGAGCACGTGCAGCTCGAGCTGTCTCGTTTGCACATAGACGCATCCTCGCAATAAAACGCAACGGTTTATCGTCACTATCGAACAATCAACATTGGCGAATATTTATGCGTGTATATAACATTAATTTCTAATTTATACAGGCGAGCGCATCATAACGGTCAAAAATTTATGGACTGTAAGCGCACGCGCGGCTCGACGCTATGCACTTCACGCTGTACTCGTCACAGAGCATAAAGTGCTAATATCGTCTCGGCGCGTACACTACCATGCCTAGTATACATAGCGTTTACATTTACAGGCGCGTACAGTCATATTTTGAATCACAAATTTGTACTCGCGCTCTCGGTGTGTGCGCACGCGATACTTATCGCAGAGAGCCAAATGAAGATATTACAACGGACGACGACGACGCCGATGACTACGACGTTGTCTGCATACGCGTCTATTCGAGCTCGAGATGATAGAAAATTCATGTACTCGTTCCATTAAGGATGAATCAATCGACAGCGACGAGGCGGCGGCGGTGGCGGCTGATGCGAGACCTTATCGCCGAGTCTTGTAATTATACACATCGTGGCGCGGCTCGGCGCGGCGTCACAGCTGCATAGTATGCATTTTTCATGCACTTTTATTTCTATATATACAGCGAGCTCGATTGGCTCCGGGCGACCTCGATATCATCCGATCGCTTACGACAGGTCGGCTCTCGATTCGTCGGCTATTTTCGTCCTGCGAAACTTTGATTTCTAGTTTTGGAGGCGGAAATTGCGTTCGATCGGTCGTCGCTCGAAGCTGTGCACCTCGTTCGATGCTTCCTCGCCACCAAAGCTACTGCGCGCGCATATAATTAAAGAAGATAAAATCAGTCGCCGCCACCGCAGCAACGTCCTCTCCGCCGAAAATACACGTAACATCCATCCCTTTCTCTCCTCCTTAGCGCCATTACGGTCACGAAAGCCCATAATTTTCTCGGCGCAACATTGCCGGATCTTTATGTGCGTACATGGATGCGCGCGCGGCCGATACACCGATTCTTTTTTTCTTTCCTCAATAATAATAATGATGAGCGCGCGACAGCTGCGTTGCGCTCGTGTGCACGCGCGAGATACGACCTGCAGCTCGCATATAATATACACGTACTCCTCCTGGACCTGCTGCTCGTGACAGACCTCACACGGGCAAAAATATTTCTTTTCACGAAATTATGCGTGTATTATGCGCTAAAAATCGCTGGGCCGAGGGACTAACGGTATTTTGCGTACACGCAGATATCGGCCAGAGAAGCGGACACATTAAACATGCTATAAGCGCGCGCGCGTCACAATGTAAAGGCCGCGAATTACGAGTGCGCGATGCCGAATTTTCGCGCCTATTAATTTTTCGTTTTTATGTACGTATGGTGCTGTATCGTTGCTCGAATATAAATGCGGCCACTTTACGCCCTGGCCAAACCGGCAAAATCACCGCTAATTGAAACGAATACACCGCGATATACGCGAGTTAAGCCAGAAATATCCGCGTGGAGCACGAAAAAATCGCCCCTTTCAACTTGTATCCTTGGAGCTCGGAAACTATATTCTGGACGTTCGCGTTGTATACAATGGGTGCGAATCCTCGCGCTGTCGATTCGATATTAGCCGGCCTGAATGGCGAATGCATGTAAATAATTAAAGCATTAAAACGAACATAGAATATCACTTTGTATATACAGCGCTCACAAAGCGCAAACCATATTAGCTATACATATATATATATATAACAGATGCAAACGATTCGTTTTGATATGACGGCCCGCGCAATTATTGCTGAACGTGGAAAGGCTTCGCATAGTGCAGCGGACGATATGGGCTTTTACTAATGTTGCCGCGCACGACTGTTAGTATGCGCAGATCCATTACTCGAGTTACGCCTCGTGGTATAATTTCTATACGTGTTTCGCCTCCGATAGCGATATTTCCGCGTTAGGGCCTTTTAACGTTTTTCACGCGCTGCACCGACTGACTCTCTCTCACAGCCGCCCCATCGAGCTGCGAGCCGAGGAAATGCGCCGTCGAGATATGATCGAACGAGCGAGGAATTCCAAACAAGTGGCTTTTAGCACCTCCTCAGACTTATTGTCCCTGTTTACCTACTTCGCACCTCCTCGGCAAATAATACGGCACACGCAGCGAAGGAAAAAAAAGAGAAAGAAGCAAGAAAAAGCAGAGAGAGAGAGGAAAAAAAGAGGAACAGAAGCCGCCACGTGTGGCGCGTACAACGTGCAATGTATACGCGCGCGCATCGCTCGGTCACGCGTCGACTAAATAGTGCAGTCTGCGATGTTTGTAGTAAGAGTCACGTGGGCGTCGCCGATACGCAAGACGCTCTACTAAGCAAGCTCCATTGCTGGCCAACACGTATCATATAGATAATTGTGCAGTCGTTTCGCGATGGATCAGCACTGCTGTATATACGATATACAAGGAAGCTTTTGGCCACCGATGGAGCTTGGCCAAGCGGTTTACTTCTATACGACTATAAGCGTGCGCGGCGAGCATTATACACGAGAGACGAGAGGCGAAAACAAGCCCGAGTAATTGTATTTTAACGCGTACACAGTATCGTCTACTTGACTTCGTACTAATACATGTATACACACACACACACAAACGTCGACTGGAGGTAGAGCTTTCACGCACCAATTAGATTATCCTCGCTCCGTTCATTATGTTTGCACGGCGATATGCAAGCAGCAGCGACCGAAAGATCATTTTCCGGCCAATTTCACCTTCGTTAATTCAAAGCGAGCATCTAAAATAGCCAATTCTGCGCTGATTGTACAAGCCAAGTAGAAAGCCAACGTCGACGACTACGATGAGCAGCGCGAGAAAAATATTCGCAAAGAGCCTTCCGTGCAGAGTATCGAGTTTGTGCTCGCGCGCGCGCGCGCGCCAGGGAAAGGAAAAAAATTACGCATGCAAATCCGCGCGATCGTTTAATTATCGGGCGAGCAGCGTGCCGGGACCGATAATCCAAATTTCGAGCGAGGGGCTAAGCGCTGAGCTTCGCTCGCGATCGAAGGGGGCCTCTGCCCAATAATTACCGAATGCCACGCGGTAGTTTTCGGAAACTACATTCGTGACTGCGAATACTCGAAGAATGCGCGATCCAGCAATTTCGATCTCGATTCCAGCTCACAGGCGCAAAACAGAGATTACCGCCGAGGAATATATGATCTTCTGGTTAATTGTATAGCCAGCGTCCCCCGGATGTATCGAGTCCTCTCCGCCGATGCACAAGAGGCTCGCGTTTATAATCTCATGGAAATTATCGAAAGCGATCGACGCGGAGCCTACGTCGAGCTGTGTTGCACGACGACGCCAAGCGAGAAAGTAACACGTACGTCTGCAAAATAGTCGCGACGATACGGGGAATCGTCGCAGCGCAGATATAGGCACTTTACAGTTCGCACTCGAGCTCATAGTCGCAGTAACAACAACAAGAACAACAGCAGCAGCAGACAAGGCAGGGGGAGCAGCGGCGAGCAGCGAAACGGCCTGTATTCCAGATACTCCAGAGACCTTGTTGGCACTCGAAGCGCGACCTCTCCCGCTGCAATTGCGACTCGCTTAATTTGCTCCTGCAGCAGCAACGTCTACCGAGCGTATCGCCAAGCGCTCCTTTATCTCGTACTACGTTGTATAGCTGATAGCTGCTAAACAGCCCGACTAGACCGACCGAGGCATATTTCAGCTCGTGCTCGTACGCGGCTATTAGAGGCCGGCTTAATTATCAAACCGGAAGTTCTGTAACTGATGTTTTTCTTACCCCCGAGTATTGGCTGAGTAAATGCAATGGCTCATTTGCATAGTACGCTCGACTATAATAGTTTTGTCAACTTGCACTCGTAGATAGAACACAGACACACGCACAACACATATATTCAACACTGCGACGCTGGCTCGAGTACTTGATGCGGGAGCAGCTTATACGTATAGCACTACCACTCCAGAGGATCATGCCTGGCAGAATATCAAACGTACTTCTAAATAAGTTCAGAAATTCAAACTGACGTTTCGGCACCCTTCTTTCAGTGATTCGAACTGAAGATGTATCACCGCATAAGTAAGCCCAGTGGCCAGTACGCACCCAAGGGCCAAGTCACTTGCGCCATCTGAAGTTCAAACCACTGAAATAAGGGTGCAGAATCGCCCGTTTGAATTTCCGAACGTGTTTAGAAGTACGGTTGAAATCGTGCCAAATAGCACGTTGGTATATCCGTAACTGTTGACATAGAATTGTTGTTCACAAACCTGCTAGAGCCATGTAAAATCAGACTAGCATGAAATGTTTGCTTTTTTAGAGTTCAGTAATATTCACCCGGTGTTTAGTATAAAAAATTTTGCAATAAAAAGCGGGCGGGATGAGTGAAGATATAACCTCACAATAACTTTTCTTCGTTTCTCATCGACGAAATTGCGAAAATTCACAGGCAACGGGTCAAACGGCTACGAATCGAACACATCCCCGGTCGGTTTGTCTTTACGGGTAAAATCCTCTTGAATATACTGCAGCTATGCCGTGCGTGCATTAATAGGCGTGTATTATAATTCAACGCGTTTAGTAGGCTAGACAATGCAGGATCCTCTCGTCTATGGCTCGTAGTTTCCCACGTCGATGCTCGAGCGCAAAAGCTGCCGAGAACAAACACATGTAGCGTATATACACTTCCGCACAGAGCAGGCAAATGTGGCGTGAAATATACGCTGCTCGCTCCTGCACACTGCACTGCTATAGCTGCTAGTTCACGCTCACTTTTGCAAAGTTTTCGCCGTTGCACGAATTTCAGCCGTGAGCACCTCTGTGTGTGTATACTCGTCCGCTTGGCGGCGTTAAAAACTTTTCAATGATTAGAATCGAAAGCATCGATCGAGCTGCGCCAACGAAAATTCCCTGAAATTCATGACGCCGTCGCGCACGTATTCATATATACGCGTGCAGTGCAGCAACGGCGGCATTATGTAAAGGACTAAACAAACATGGCGCTTTTAGACATGGAATCTCGAATATTCGAAATTGATTTTTTCATTTCATCAAAAATATCATCATCGCTGGCGCTGCCGTGCATATTAGGTATAATAACGAAGTCTGAAACGAGAATATCGCTTACGCGAGCCCGAAATTCTATCCAGCGGGGGTAGCTTTTGAAACGCGAACTCGAACGTACTCATCGCGAGCTCTCTATATCGTTTTTCATCTACACCCAAAGTACCCGGCGCTCCTGTTATGAGTATACATTTATCATATTCGAACGTATTTGACGAATTAATACGTGCATCTGCGCGTCAATGTTTTACTTTTATGCTCGCTCCGAATTTCATTCGAAAATCTAGATAAGCAGTAGAGCTAGCAAAGCCGTTGGAAAACTGGCAGATTATCTTTTCACGGTAGGAAAACGAATTAACATTCCGAATTTGACCAATAATGGAGTAAGTAATACAATTGCAGCAGTGTCGAGGTCGATCACGAAGCGATGCTCGCACGTCGTCGATCCTTTCGAACTCGTATGTGCATAATATAAGACGTGTGTGTGTGTGTGTATATCCGCAAATGCGTAAATTGAGTTGCCAAGGCAATTATCGATTCTAATCGTCGTACGTTGGCATTAAGCTGCGCTCGAGAGAACGAGTAAGATTTTAGCTTTATGTAGGATGGGTATACAGACGCACGTATATAATATAGGAAATTACTCATCAAAACTTATCGCCGTAGTTGCATCTTTGAATCGTACATATATACAATTTACCTCTTTCTGTTCTCTTCTTTGACGTCGCTGCGGATATATACCATAGTAAATACACACGTAGGCCAGCTTAGAGCGATTTTCCTCTCTCTCGCACTGGAGGCTCGGAACGCGCGGCGATGTTGGCACAACACGTATTTCACTCGGCAGTCGGTGTCCATGTGCAGGTGTACCCATGTGTGTGTGTGTGTGAGTGCGAGTGCCGTATGATTATTACTCGCAGCTCGTCGCGCGTTATTATTATAAATATAATAGGAGCGTATACTCGTACTTGCAGAGTCACGTGAGCCTAGTGACAACGTTATATCATCGTTGGCGCGCGTTCGCGTGGATAGACCACTAGCCGGCAGCAGAAGCCGCAGCGGCAGCTCCATGCGCCGGAGACTGGATAAACAAGTCATCACTCGTCATCGTCTACACACACTCGCACGCACACATTACAGATATATAGTCCTCCTGTCTCGGCGGACGGCGGCGCACGTCGTGAGTCGTCTCATTGAGATGAATAGTAGAAAATATATTTGCGCGGCTGGACGAGAAAATTATGTTCGCCCATCGCGTCAAGCCTGCAATTTGCAAACTATGTATGCAGGTTTACGCGCGCCTTTATTCACTGCTGCATGTATCGCCATGCTCCGTGTTATACTAGGCGTACAGTCGAACCGGTATGTGACTTATAATGGTGCGCGAGTTGCGGTAAATAAAAATTCGATATCGCCTCTATGTACATATATACGCAAAAGAAAACATCCGAATGGGCGATCTCGGCTAACGAGAATCGATTAAGGATTCCGCCAAAGTATCTCGCCGCGATGTACATCTCCTCCGTGCAATAAATACGAGAAATAGATAGCGCCTATAATATTGCCATAAGGTATACATCTGCAGGCACGAGATGGCGTGTATTATCCGGGCCAACAAGAGACGTAAATTCGCGCGAGAGAGAGAAAGAGAGATGTAAAGTAGCCGCCGAGCGAGATGGAGAGAGTCGGGAGGAAAAAAGAAGGAGCAGGATAAATACATAGAGAAAAGTATTAATATGATATGGATGTATATGATATGTTAAAGCAGAGTTGCACGTGCTGTGCCTAATGCTCGTTTTGTTATTGTACGTGTTTCAGCGGGAAAGTGCGTGATTTGAGCGTGAGAGGCGCGAGGCAGAAAATCCCAGCAATGCAGCCGGGGCTATGGAGGAGACTCTACGTATACACGCTGATCTTCATGGTAAGTTAGACGCGCACCAGCATCTCCTTATTACTTATTGCAGCTATATCCAGTCGCCACTAACCCCAATCAAATTATACAAATGTTTTATATGTATATGTACCGAGAATCCGAGTAATTATTTTACACGCGTGTAAACATATCGTATATAATATCGAGTCCGCAGTCGGTGAGAAAGCCGGGCAGCAGCAGCGAATCTTCTGTATATAGGTAATAACTGCTATGTAGCTCGCGCCGATCTTTACGCATTTTACGTATCGAGAGCGAAAAATGGTCATTTCGTTTTCGCCTTAATTAAGGCATATATTCACGTGCTGCTGCACGTTTATCGTAGACGCGTACATCGATATCTCGCGCGCGATATTGTCCCTATTTCTTATTTTTCTCCCTCTTCTTTTTTTGCACCGGGGAAGACGAGTTGCCGCGACTACTTGCTCTCTCTGTCTCGAGAAACTGTCATAAAACTTTACGACGAATAACCGCTGCAACTAATCATCGACATGTAGTAGTCGTACGAGTTATATACACGCCGAGCGCAAGTCGCATACATATGCCGAGAGAGAGTCAGAGCGACGTGTGAGAGCTGCAGCGCGCAGGACGTGACTTGACGTGAAAAACGAAAGAGTCGAAAAAAAGACGGCGACAAAGTGTTAACAGGGAAAATTCAGCGATGATTATCTCTCTCTCTGCTGCTGCTGCTCTTGTGCTCTCGTTGCCGCTCGACAGGTCGTAAAATAAAATCTGCGCTCTCCGCGCGCGCTATTCTACAACGCAGACCGGAACGAGAAATTTGTCGCAGCTCTCGTCGTTAAAAGGACGCCTATATATAGCTACGGCTATATACACAGCGATGACGATAAATCGACGACGCTCCAAGAGAGTGTAGCGAGCTGCAGCGCACGAGATGAAGTTGTTGCTCGCGTCAAAAGTTTGTCGTCGTAAATCGATCTCGTTGTCTGACACGCGTGCGCGCACACACATAGCTTAATTCCGAATTTCCTGCGTGTGTAATCAAAGCTCCAACTATGTGCTCAACGCTATATAGCTTCTCTCGCTATCTGCGCGCGGGACAATGGGCGCGAATAAAACTTGACTAAAAGTCGCAGCTTGTATCAGCTGTGGAGCGTCGTAAAACAAGCCCCGGGACGATATAACGACGACGACGAAGCTTATAGCGGCTGAATATACATAAAATCATTGAGCAGCGCATCAAGTGGCGCATATACGTATACGCGTGTATCGTCGCTTAAAGCACGCGTCCAATCTTTTCGGGAAAATATATTATATGCGTATACGAGCTAGAGCTGCGCAGAGAGCCGCCGAGAGCGAGAGAACAAACGCCCCATTGCAAAGTCCATCTTCCGCCCGTATATAGGCTCTCGAATGAGAGAGGATAAGCATCGCGAGAGAGAGCAACACAATGTGGCGCGGCATACATTATTGTGCCGAGTCCGGGGAACCGCCACCTGCAGCATATACGCGGCTACTCGCGACTGTGCGCCCGACCTAATCATAAAAGCTTTTATGCTTCATTTTAATAAACGAGCTTGACGTACCTCCTCTACCTATACGTATATGTACATTATATTATAGCTAACCGGGAGTACGTTTAGATCGATCACTTTTAACTGGTTAGCAACTCAATACGCTTAATTATCCATGCCGCCGCCGTCACTATGTCTATAATATCATATATAGTATATATGGGCCGCGATACGGCGACGAGGGAGAAAAAGGAAAAAGTGGGCATCGCCGAGCGATCGCCGCGTCAATTAAATTACAAAAGGACTAGCCCCGGCTCACGCTCTTTCAAATCGCTGTACTATATCACTATATTGCCGACCTTATACTATCGATGCAAATCAATTTATATCAATTAACGCGCGAGCTAGCGCACGTAGAATCGCCGCCGCCACTGCTCCAGCTCTGCTCCGCTCTGCTCTACTGCTGCTACCGGTACAAGCCTAGCTCGTGCATTAAACGCATTTCTCGGGCTTTAATTTATGGAATGTTGTCGATAACTCGCGCAGCCAAAGTACACACAGCAGCAGCAGCATCTAAAATCTCGAATTACCGTTTATCCCTCGTGTGCGTACACGCGAAACGTTGTTGCTTTCGCGCGCGCGATATTGAGCCGCGTACATTTTCGCGCGCGCAACTCTCGCTGCGATATAACCAATATAATATGCAGCTATTTATATGTTTTTAATATTATCTACGCCGGAGAAAAAAAATCAGCGGCGATTTATACAGCGGCGCGAAAAAGAGGCAGCGAACTAGTTTCGCGCGCGGCCAGAATCGGGACTCGACTCTCGCAGTCGAGTTGGCCGTCGCGAGTGGGGAGGGAGGAAAAAAAAAAGAAGCCGCGAATATAATCAATTAATAGCTTCGAAGCGAGGCGTGCGTTACGAGCTTCTAGGGGCTTTTATTGCCGGGATCGCTGCGCACATGTACACGCGCGCTGCTGCACTCCGTACACACCGTGGCCGGATCGAGTCGTAAATTAACGAATCGCCGTAGATTGTGTTTCATTATGCACGATACACTCGACTGTAGCCGTGCCTCGCGATGCAGCTAAGCGACGAGACTCCAACGAGACTCGTATAATGTATGTAGAGTCGAGCCGAGGATATGGTTAATTGCTTTGGGATTGTGTATGCGTGTGGTATCCTATACGCTATATGTAGTAAGCGAGTGCGGAAGTGGGTACCTAAACTCGTCGTCCTAGTCGCGTACTTATTCGTTGCGCAGCTAGGCTTCTTTGCTAAATCAAGCTCAAGCCTCGTATAATATGTACCCGCGAGAGTCGTTTATATGTAAACAGCTCGCGATCGTAAGCACCAACGGCTTTATTTACATTTTCTCCTCTCCAGCTCGCTCTCTCTCTCTCTCTCTCTCTCTGCGTGACTCTTAATATCCCAGAAGGTATCGCGAGCTTTATTCCAAGACGTGGGCGAGAAACGCAGTTCGACTTTTTGCAAGCACGTACAGATTTCCGTTGGAAAACACGATGGACGCGGGCAGTTTTTCCTTTTGTTATCGTATCCGATAATTCGGCAAATTGCATCGCTGCGCCGACGACCAGCGCGTCCCGAGAATAATAACGAGATGCGCGTTTATGCACGCGGTGCTACACGCATCGATGCAAAAGCTATATATACGGTAACGCGTGGCAACCGAGCAAATGTATGCAGAGCCCCGTACGCGTGTTTCGCTCCTCCTCGTCATTAGTAGGCTCGAGCTGCGTCGCGATCGTCATTGAAAATCAGCAACGGCGGCGGCGGTTATACGTCGAGAGCGCGACCCCCCGGCGAGAATAACAAAAAGCCGATCCAGCCGAAAGGATTTCGCTCAAAGTTGCCGAGTAGCCACGTAGTAGTAGTAGCGGCAGGACGATGATTCAGATACGCGAGCGCACGCATGCGTCTGCCGTCTCTCCCTCGAGTGCGGAAATACGTGATCGCGACTATGCAGCTACTGCAGACTGCCGCGGCCTGGCATGGCATGGCTCAGCTGCGGAAAACTAGTTTTCGCGCTCGCATAGGCCCTGGCGAAAAACAGCAGCGACCGTTAATGCAGCGGTAAAGACATCTCTCCCGTTAGCGTCCCTCTGTCTACGTCTCTCTCTCTCTCTCTCTCTCTCTCTCTCTGTCATACGTACATGTGTCTATGCTCCTGTGCGCGCGAGTAAACGTTTATATACATATAAGCCCGCGCATAGTCTCGCGCACACAAACGAAAAAAAGAGCCGCGCGTAATCGATGCTTCGTACAAAGCTATAGGACTTTTTGTCGCCGCAGCAGCAGCTCTTTTACCGCGCAAAGACGAAGCGGGCCGGAGCTTGCGAGCGCAAAGCTCCGTATACGCTCGAAACATAAAGCTCGGCTTTGTCGAGATCATCCGCCTGTATAGACTTTTCGTGACTCTCTCTCTCTCTGTCGGGCTTCTTCTTCTTTTCCATTTTTTCTCCCTCTTCTTTTTTCTCCTTCTTTTATTTTTGGGCCGATATTGCCACGGGTATTTACGCGAATGCAAATACGGAAGCAGAAAAAGTCAGCTGCATCGAATCCCGGCGCGCGTCAAATTGTCACGTATATATAGGTAGATGATGCGCACGTACATAACTCGGGCATCGACTACTCGGGATTAAGTCTGCGCTCATCCGCGGGCATGTACATACATAAGCACTCGCTGTACTTTTTGCCCTCTTTTTGCTCTCTCTCTCTCGTACGCCTATGTTACGTATATAAGCATCTATACGTTACGCATGTGCGAGTTTGATTAAATTGTACATTAATGCGCGCTCGAGAAGATGGGCTTTTCCATTTAGCCGCGCGGCTAATACTTTGTAATTCGATTATTACGGCTTTCTGCGCGTAATACACCACGTGAATGATTAGCCTGTAAAAATGCTGTATATAGGTAGCGAAACTCGTTGCTGCAATTGGTCTGCATCGAGCCCGTTAAAGCCCTCCACGCGACGCGACGAGCATAATAAAAGTCGACTAGGATGCCGTGTGATTTGACTAAAAGTCGCCCTCTCTCTTCTCTCTGTTGGCAGACGATCGGCCTGAGGCATCGGGCGGCGCACGGCAGCAGCGATATCTGGCCTCTGGAAAGGCCCGACGGTATGCCGGCCATACAGTCGCTCGAGGTCATGTGCGGCAAGGACCACATGGACGTGCACCTGTCGTTCTCGCAGCCCTTCGAGGGCATCGTCTCGTCCAAGGGCCAGCACTCGGATCCCCGTTGCGTCTACGTGCCGCCCTCGACCGGCCAGACCTTCTTCACCTTCAGGATAGCCTACGCCAGGTCAGTCGCTGCGCCGATTCAATTATCAATTATTATTATGATGGGCAAGTGTAAACGAGTCATTGTTCGTTGTCGAAAACAGGTGCGGCACCAAGCCAGACATGCACGGCCAGTTTTACGAAAACACCGTGGTCGTGCAGTACGATAAGGATCTGCTGGAGGTGTGGGACGAGGCCAAGAGGCTGCGCTGCGAGTGGTTTAACGATTATGAGAAAACGGCGTCGAAACCGCCCATGGTGATTGCCGACCTCGACGTTATTCAGCTTGACTTCAGGGGTACGTCCGTACACATACACACACACATACTAATCACACACAAACACGATGATTGACTCGACGTCATCGCCACGTACTGTAATTTCACTTGGCGCGACGAGCTGAGAGAATAAAAATCATAATCGCAGCCGGTGCATGATTATATACCCAGCTCGCACGGTGTATAAAGTCGGCGCATGTGCCATAGCGATACTCGTTAAATTGAATAATATTCCGTAGGCCGAGGCATCGATGATCGCCTCTTTATAAGAGTGCACGCGAGAGGATAAACACACAAACAGCGAGACGTTTGTCTTTCGCAGCTCCGAGGTGGCTTTTATTATATTGGAAGCGCGAACTCGTCCTTTTTTCCACGTGTACTTATGTACGTACACATATGTGCAATCGTATACGCTCGCGAGTGTTTATGCGTCGCGAGTAAATTAGCCGCTTTATGCTCTCCACGCTATCTGGAGTAAGCGCACGAGCGCATAAAACGCTTTTGCGACCGAAATCTCGGCGTATTGTCCTACGCGCAGCTCGATCTACACGCGTATACATAAACATTTAAATGTAAAGCCAGGCGTACGCGTTTATCGCTCGAAGCTGCGATATTATAACGAACGCGCTCCGTAGCACATGCAGGAACGCGCTGCTCGACTCGTGCGCGGCTATTTAACGATCGGATATATATATTTCTGGGCTTGGGCGACGAAAAAAAATACCACCTTGGCGCGCATATTATTTCTTGTCCGAGTCGAGACGCGCTTGAATATCGTATATATGTTGCACTCGCAGTTATCTCCTCTCTAACTGGACGCGTGAGAAAGCAACGCAGTCGTCGCTTTATATCGTTGCGCTATGGGCGATGCGCCGCTCTTACATATTACACTCGTCTCATTGTCCGAGGCTGTATTAATAAAGTTCCAGTGACACGAGTGCGATTGGACAACGGGACAAGCTACACCAGACACACACACACACACACACACATATTCACACAAGAGTGCGAAAGAAAAATTCAAGTTATTTATACGAGCGCGTGTGGTTGATCCGCAGGTGACAACGTCGACTGCTGGATGGAGATTCAACACGGCAAGGGCCCATGGGCTCCGCCGGTCTCGGGAATTGTGCCGCTCGGCTCGACGCTCACACTAGTCGTAGCGATAAACGATTATCGAGGTAACGACGATTATCAGCATCACCGCCGAGGCAAAGTCCAAGGTGATTTGGACGCAGCTTCCGCGGCCAAAAACGTGCCCATTTATACAAAGCACTCGATTACGCATCGTAAAATCATTGTACTCAAATTGTCTATTTTTAATTCTTTACCAGGTGAATTTGACATGAGAGTCAAGTCGTGCGTAGCCTCGGACGGGGCGGGCCACACCATACAGCTGAGCGACGAGTTTGGCTGCGTACTCCGGCCCAAGATGATCAGCAGATTCAACAAGGCCCGGGGCAGCGACGACCGAGCCACCGTCATCACGTACGCCTTCTTCCACGCCTTCAAGTTCCCCGACGCGCTCAGCGTCCACATCAAGTGCAAGGTAGCCATACGTACATTTCAAATCGTTTCTTCCATTTTCCCACGATTTAACTCCGACGAAAATCCATAGGTGGAGATTTGCCGACACGGCTGCCTCGATCACTGCCAAACCAGCGGGAACAACGAGGGCCAGTACCTGCAGGACCGCAACGACGTCAACCTCATCGGCTCCGGAAGACCCTCGGGTGGCAACAACAATTACATCGAGCACACGGTGTCGAGCCAAGCCGGAGGCAGCCTCGGTATCAGCAGCAGCATCCGACCACCCCCGCCACCCGCCGCCTCCGAGAACAACAATTCCGGCGATCTCTACGACGACATTCTGCACAACGGCGATGGCAGTATGGCCGCCATCGGAAGTCACTTCCTCGGAATTGCCGAAAAGTCCGCCCAACCGAAGGCTCAAGCTCAGACCGCAGCTCAGCTGCTGCTGCAGTCGTCCACCTCCGAGCCTCTTATGAGCGATCCTCTGCAGCCTTACATGGTGAGTACTCGATCGCGCTCCCGTAGATTTTGCTCTTGACGATAGAGATTAAAATTCAATCTATTTTACGCAGGCGGTGCAACCTGCCCGAGTGACTCGCTACCAACCACAGGAACACTTCCCTCACGGCCCTCGCAATCTCGAACAGGACGACGAGCAAATGATGCGCGAGGGAAAATCGAACGACGCCACGACGCAGCAACGCAACGCCACCGCCGGTGGTAGCAGCACTTCCAAGCCCGAGTCGTCGACGAGCAGAACGACGACAACGACGACGACGAGCAGCCGACGCAAGAGATCCCTCGTCGTCTCGGACCGCAAAGTGCGCAGTGCCGATGTAGGTGTCTCCGGCATTTACGAGGTCATCTCCGAGGCAGACCTCGCTTTCAGTCCAGACAGTCATGCCGAGGCCGTCACTGTTTTCCAGGTGAGCCACTATATCCTCCGTATTCTTTCTGTCCTCTATATCAAATATCGAGACAAAAATAATTTATCTTAAAATCTCGTTCACAGGGCCGAATTCGTGAAGAAGTCGTTTACGGCATCTGCTTGCCCCTCACCGGATTCAGTGCGTTGTTCGTCGTTGTGGCCCTCTCGGCCGTCGTGTCAGCTCTCATAGCCGGTGCCATGGTCCATCGGCTTCAAGCCCAGCGCGACTTAGTGAAGAAACAGGCGAGAAAGCTCGGTGACAACATGATGACGGCTGCCAGTCTATCGGCCACGTCGTCGTCGGTATCTTCGTCGTCGAGAGGCTCGGCGAGCAGTAACGGACGGGTCGCCGCAGCAGCACCTGGTTGGTTCCAAGCTTACGGATTGTTCCGAGCCAGATGCGTACAGCAGCATTGAATTATATAGAGTCTCAATTTTATTGCGATGAGAAACTACGACTAACGAGCAGAAATCAAATGACTTTATTGTCTACCTCTTTACTGTTTTACTGCGTCTGCTTAAATTTTTTTATAACTATCTTGACGTATTTAGTACTTGCAGTAGTTATATTGTTACTTTACAAAATCTTTTCGAATTGTACATGGAATGAGTTTGATTTTGATAGTCATTTACGGTTATGCCGAGAGATTCTGTAACAGAGTGATTCTTCGTTTCTCTCCCTTTTCTGCTTTTTCGTCATTTAAGTAAATTTAAGATTCATAAGTCATAATTGCAAGCATCGATATATCCAAGTGTAAATATTCTTCCGAAACTTCTTCAATTCCACTGCATAATGTAGGAGTTTTTGAAACCCCACCCAACTTTCATATTTATTAGAACATTAATAGAGAATATGGGCGTGCGTTACGCTTTATTCCAAAGCTCAACAAAAATTCAACCAGCTTATATTCTGATGTATACTATATTGCACGTGTACTATCTAGATTAGAGTTATTAGCCTCGTACGTATTTCTCTTTTCACTAGACGCTAATGTGAACGATGAAGTTTGAATTTCTGCTCGTAAGATGAAAAACAAAAAAAAAGGGTTGCAACGATCGATGCTCGTGTACGACCGGTTTTTCAATGAACAGCAAAAGGGCTTACTTTGAATATGATTGCAAAGGGAGTTAATGCTGTATAATTGGTTGCGCGGTACGATTGAAAGATTTGCGGCTTTCCTACTGCTATATGCATGTACAGGTGCTATTTGAAAAGAAATAGTATCAACGAGATTGTGTTTTAGCCGAGATAGATTTCAGATGTATTTATTAAAAATATTAGCCTTAAGAAATATTGTTGAATATAAATGATAATTTTAACAAGCAGTTTTTTCTAATACTTTTATTTATATTCTAATACACGTAAGTCTCTCGAGAGGGAATATTGAGACCTGAACGACACATCAAATGTATTTCGTATAGGTTTTTTTTTTTACTAATTCATGTGTATCTTTGATAAGTTGTTAAAATTGCTTATACATGAATAGTGTGCAATATGATGGTGTACAAAATGTGCATAATACTTATTAATTATTAAAAATGAAAAAACAATCAAAGATAATCTCACAAGTACACGCAACATGTATTAAATTTAAGGTTATATGTAATGCTCGCTTGCAGCAAAAAAAAAGAATTCATAGATAATCCTGTGTATAACCGAAGCATGAGAAATGCAGCAAAGATTATATTAATTATTTTAGTGAAATTTGTAAAGTCGAGAATTAGTTTTTCGATTCATGCCCTCGTGCTTCCGGTGTACCGGTAATCTACGTGTTGTACTTTTTAAATGTTTTTTTTTTTAAACTCTTACATTAAAATTAATTTTAGTATTATTACGTTTTAAGCTACTGGCTGCTCGTTATTATAAGCGAGAGCTACATTATGCTAGTTTTTAAAAATAATACAGCAACAATATTCCAATAGATTCTGTGACTCGCCTTGATACTTCAATTTAACTCATTACAGGAACTGAGTCGAATTTTTTTACTTGCAATTACTATAAGTTTTTTTAAATAATCTTTGGTATTTTCTTTTTTTACTAAGCTCACCAAAATCGTCATAACATTATAATAAATTCATGTCAATATTTAATTTTTTTTATGTAGGCATTAACGAAATTACGAAAATCTATTAATACAGAATCAAAAAATGTTTTATAAAAACTTACATCATATTATACCTGTTCGCATGCATACTTGCCAAAGTCTCAGTTCTATTTTTGTAACGTCTATCTTTTTGAAAGCTCATTTGTTACTTTTTTGTAGTCATACATTTTATGCTCAACTTTCGTTTTCATGAGCAACAATCATGTCAATTGATGTATGTACTTACAGGCAGAATAAGTTCTAGTAATCAATATATTATATAATTTAAGATGTTAAATAGCTAACTCGGTGAATATTTTATGAGAGATAAAGACGATTGATTATCGTAGAGTAATTGGAATTTTTTCTTATTAGTTGAATAATTTATGATGTAAAGATTTTGTACAAGATAATATATAAAATAAAATTGATAATTTGGTGCATGGATGGGTCCTGCAAAAATTGAACAATAATTTTTTCTTTGTATATTTTATTTGAATAAACTATGTCATTCTATTAAATTTTTTCCTGATCTGATCTTATTATTAAATTTAAACCCGTGTGATGTTATTAATCAATAATCATAGTTTTTAATGTAATGTGGTTACTAATTTAGAAAACAAAAAAATTAATTGTCATTGGCTTTGAAGTAAATTTATAACGAAGCGTTTCAAAAATCATAATAATATTATTGAATTAATTAGCTTGACAGTATTAAAAGCCCTACAAGCGCACAACCGCAACCGCACATTTAAAAGATGCGACGTGGTGCGTTGCTTTATACATAAAATCCAGCTTAAACGAGTCCCAGTAAACTCGTCATAATGAGCCATAGAAAAATAAGCATTTTACGTCAAAGAAGGCAAGAGAAAAAAAAGTAGTCGATGCAGGTGAACACGTAGGTAGGTATATAAATATATAGCTGGCTACACGGGAGGGCAGAAAAAAGCGCGCGGGCCGTTGCCGAGACTCGCTGCTGCGCGGGGTCGGAAAGTTTATCGGAGCGCGCGGATCTCTGCACGCAACGCATAATACACGGCTTCTAGCGAAGAGTGATTTACAATAGGACGCGCGCTGCGCTGCAACAAAAAATTGCCGAGCTGCAGTGGCGGCGGCGGCTGCATAGGGATGCACCGTTGCCGCTGCTCGCATCAGAGCTAGAAAAAAAACTTACCGTATAGAGCCGACGTTCTAACGATATCCACACGTATATGAGATATATATTAAGGCAGCGTATACGTGTGTGCGTGCACTATCTGTGACTATTACGCACTTTTATGTATATGGCTCAGACCGTACGTACGCACACGTGCATATGGCTTTTTCCTGATTTTTGCGCCATAGGCGCGCGAGCCCCGTTAATTACAAGCAGCCGAGACCTTGATAGCCTTTATAAGGATAAATGTATCACTGCAACTCTGTAATATGCTACGAATGACCTGCAGACTGGAAGAAACAATCAAAAGCAGATCCAACGTTTATCAAAAAAAATTATTTATTTCTCGTCAATTCTTTTTAGTTCGCATTACATCATTTTGTGTATTACAATATGCATAAATATATTTTTAATCATTTACTTATATGTATTTATAATTTGCGCACTCTTTACAAACTACGTAAAACACGATTGAAAGTTAGGCTTTTAACAATATTTTAATAATAGATTAATTTTAATTTTACACTCAATTATTATCAGTCGGTTGTTGTGTTATTACGTCAATTGTTTCATCATTATTACCTTAAGCTTCTAATGGAAACATCAAAAATTCATGAAAATAACTATTTATATAATGGCATATTTGTTTGTTAGCTATGTATGTATCATCAATATTTGATTGCTTAAAGACACCATATGTTCTGCTAAACTAGCTTATAAGAAACAACTAGTAAAAATACTTAATGGCTAAATTTATAATCTTAAAAAGTCTTTATCTTCATCTCCGAACGCAGTTCTTTCTCTACAACCATATTTCTTGCTCTTTCGATTTTTCCTCCAATTGATTAAATTAATTGATTTAACTATGCGATATACTTGTATGCAACACAGACATCTTTAATACGTATAGTATGTATAGCGTATGATAACTTAAGGTAGCCCTAACAGGAGGTCAACCATGAATTAATTTTGTAACCTTATATTTGTATATTATATTGCTTAGCACATTCGCGGTTCGTTGCAAAAGTATCGATACTTGATCATGTTTATAGCGTGGAAAAAAAGTTTGCCCGACCCGAGGTAACGATTAATGCCATTTTAAAGCGAGCGAATTCGGAAAATCACATTCTTTCGGGATAAAACGAGTTTGTATTCCTGTTAATTTTCCCCCTGCGTAAATTAAATTTTTTGACTAGCATAAAGTTAGGACTACCTTACGGAAAATAACGAAAAAAAAATTATACAAAAAAAAAATTAAATAAATAAATAACCAGCTAAGGAGTGCTCGTTCACCCAAGTAACAATAATACACTTTAATAATGACATAACAAGGTTACATTTGTTGACAGGTAAATGATATATAATATTTTAATGGATGCTGATCGCGATGATGAAATCGAAAAAGTCGTAAGCGATGGGTCGGACAACGCGTGTACATCTTTTACGGATAAAAAGATACACCGTGATCGGGATGCAAAACCTAAGCGTCTTTTTTTTCGTCGCTCATAATTTTTACGTCAATTTGAAACTCATCGTGCTTTTGTATTATTTATACTGGCCGTGGATCGTATCGGAAATGGAATAAAAACTCGCGAAAAAGACACTAGTGCAGCCTGAAAGTCATCGACCGAATATCGCTCCAACGATTACTTATGAACAAACAAAAAAAAATGTACGAAACAATGCGATAGTCCCGTGGACGCTCGGGACTCGGACTTACGAGTCGAAGGAGTGCTGCTGCTGTTTCTCGCTGCAGTTGCTGCTGATGGTGCTGCTCGTCGTCGTGGCGGTGCCGAGCAGATGCACCGGAAAGGCCCGAAAGGCCACGACCTCGGCGTCGAGGCGCTTCCGGAAGGGCCTGAGCCGCAGGCAGAGGTAGGCCGAGACGCAGCACGAGGCCAGCAGGATACCCAGCAGCAGGAGCAGCGCCAGGACGAAGCTCGAGGTCGTCATGCAGATGAGATTGGCCGGATGCGTCGCCTCCCGGATCGGGAACACCATGGTCGTGGTGCCGCCGGCGCCGTTGGCGCTGCTACTGCTGACGTTCGAGTCGTTTCCGTGGCTCGACTCGTCGATCGAGAAGGTGAGGTCGCCCGTCGAGACGACTCGGATGACGCGATTGACGCCGACGGTCTTCTCCGGATTGGGCGTCGCGACGGTCGTCAGGACCGAACGGCTCTTGCGTCGACGCTCGTCTCTGGGCCGGCCTATGGTGCCTACCGACTGAAAAATACACCAAGCCATCGGAGTGAGTCAGCGCCGTCGTGCACAATTACGTAAGCGTGCCTCGGCTCTTTGCGAGTGCAAAACTTGTACTACGTGCCCGATGTTAATGAGTATTCCGTGAGTTTAGCCACGTATGTTCTCGGGAATACATGTATAGAAAGCCGCGCGCGCGGCCATTATCGAGTCGCATAGTTATGTGCGAGCTTGACAAAGTCGAGCCGCGAGAGCCTACATAATAAGCGAAACACTTGACACACTTGGTCAGCTCGGCCGATGTCACGTACCGCTCGTGATAATTGACCTTTGGGGAGACGGGTCGAGCAATAAATAGCGTCGTCGTACCTGGAGGTAAGCGTCGATGGGCAGCGGCGGCGGTGGTATTCCGTAGGCGTGAACGTCCGTGTGGCCGATCGAGGCCCTGTGGTGCTGCTCGAGGAGCAGCGAGTCGTGCTGCGAGCCGCCCGCCGAGTCCGAGCACTGGTCCGGGCAGTGGTAGCGGCAGATCTGTATCGTGCACTGGAAGTGCACCTCCATCGAGTCGGGGAACTTGAAGGCCTGGAAGTGGGCGTAGGACAGGACCGAGGCGCTGGCCCCGAAGTTCTTGATCTTGGTGAAGCGCGACATGAGCTTGGGCCTCGTGATGCAGCCCCGTTGATCGACTGTGACATTTCAATTGAAAATCGTTAAACTTGCTCTCCAATACATCTAGTTGATAATTCTTTTTACTGACCCAGCTGAATGGGAGCTCGTTTGCCGTCGTGGGCCATGCAGTTGCGCACGAGCATGTCGAACTTGGAGTCGTCGTCCTTGATGGCCAGCACCATGGTCATGGTCTGGCCGATTTTCACGAGACCCGAGACCTCCGAGGCCCAAGGTCCCTTGCCGACCTGTATCTGCATCCAGCATCCGACGTTGTCACCGGCGAAATCGGCTCGCACGACGTCGAGCATGTCAACGGGGAAAGGTCGAAAAGTCACGGACTTTTCGTAGAGGTCGTGCCACGTGCAGCGCAGTTTGCGTGCCTGGTCCCACACCTCTTGTACCTGCGCACGGGGTCAGAGGGGGTGTCACCGAAATTTACTCCAAAATTCGCATCGAGTATCAGATAATTTTGAAATGTGCATACCTGCGGGTCGTACTGAATAACGACGATGTTCTCGAAGTAGGTGCCGGAGCCGGACTCGACGGCTCCGTAGCCGTAGATGCCGTTGTCGGTGTTGCCGGCGGTGCCGCAGGCGTGTATACCGATCTCAAAGTTCACCGAGGTACGTCCCAGACCAGCTGGCAGGTACACGCAATTGACGTTGCTGTAGTGGCCCTTGCTGAAGACTATGCCGTAGAAGGGCTTGTCGAAGGCCAGGTAGACCTTCATCGAGTTCTTCTCGCACTTGACGTCGAGCGACACGATCTTGGGCATGTCGTTGCTCGGCGCCGGCCAATTGTCGCCGAGGGTCGTGCTCGCCGCTATGGCCGTGTCGAAGATCTTGTCGATGCTGTCGAGGATCGGCCGCTGCTGACCAGCCTGCGAATCGATGCCAATCTCGTGTTTACTAACATTTTTAATATCTCGCGAGGATCGCGACGAACGTCTCTTACCGAGGAAGCCGGGGGCGGAGGAGGTGGGCCGGGGTAGGCGTTGTTGTTGCCGCCACCGCCGCCGTTGTTGTGCCTCGAGGGCAGCTGAGCTCGCACTGGAGGCAGCCTCATGTTCGGCGGACTGTACTGGCTGGTGCCGCTGCCGATGCTGACGCTGCTACTGCTGCCGCTGACCTCGTTGTCGCTCGACATTATGATGTCCTGTTGATCCGAGTTGGACTGCTGTTGCTGCTGCTGTTGTTGCTGCTGCTGCTGCGACTGTTGGGACTGGGACGAGCCCGAGGAGGACTGTCCCGAGGAGTCGACATCGTGGCCGGACTCGACGTTGCGACCGTCGTCGTTGGTCAGCGCCTCGACGACTTCGACCTCGTCGGCCAGTGTCAGCTGCGCGACAAAATCGTTGCATATCAGATGTTTTTTAAGAGTAAAAAACCAATTGGCCGTGTCGGTAGCATCTCTCGTCCGACGATACATACGATGTGTATAACGTTATATAATTATCCATCGTCGTTGTCGGAGATAGAGAGACGCGAAGCTCGCGGGAGAGAAAGAGAAAGAGAGAGAGAGAGAGAGAGCATGTAGGTACGAGCAAAGCCAGCCATATATACACGTTTGGAGTTTTAACCCAGATCAAGATTGCCGTTATGATACGAGCTCGCGCGTGCTTCGGTGTGATCGGCGCAGCATACACCTGACCCACAGCCCATAAGGACGAAATGCCGTCAACGCCAAGGAAGAACCGAGATATATATAGCTATACCGATTGCTACGATTCTTATAGCCGCTTATGCTCTGCTGTACAGGCAAAAAACACGAGCGACGACCAAGAAGAAGAAGAAGAAGAAGAAGAAGCAGAAGAAGAAGAAACGAGTTCGACGCGCTGTGCGTATAGTATTTACCTTAACAAGTGAAGCCGCGCGCACAGGTGCAACAACTATAACGATCGCGACGACAAGGACAAAAAGCGATTATAATACGGACTCGCTTCATTTCACGTGCGTAACGAGCTGCTCCTCCCACTCATCGCTCGACGATTATTTCATATTGAGATGTCGATTTTATTTGGCCGATCGTTGAAAATCGGTATCGATTCCGAGCCGCGCGTTATATATAGATATGCCTCCCGTTACAATCGTAGCGAGGGTCATCTCGCTGGTACGTTCGTTTGTTTTTTCTTTTTGCCCCTCCTCGAGCCCCCCGTGTAGTTTTTTATTATCCTTGCGTTCGGTGACGCAATAGCTCTCGCGAGCGGCACTGCCGTACGCACCGTACATTTCGTCGTAATGTCGCTATGTCGTCCAATGTGCGCGCGCGCGCGCGACTTCTTCGAATCGCAACTACATTATACGCGAGTGAGATCGCGCGCGAGCGACAAAAAAATTAGCAAAGTAATCGCGTGCGCGGCGTTTAAAGCGCATCATCCGTGTGGGCCAGAGCTGAAATCGGGTTTCTGGAGTACGCGATTTTGTTCGCAAAAAGGAAGGTTGCGAATAAAAGGGCCGAGACGCTGCGATATTACGCGAGGCTTTAATAAGGACTCGAGGCTACGTGCGGGCAATTTTTCGGGCGCTTATTACGTGCCCTCTCTCTTTTTCGGGCGGGTAATTTTTTTAATCCAACATTTTTCGGCGCCGCTGATCCAATTATGCCGTGTATACTTACCCCCTGGACGAGGAGACACGTCAAGGCTAAAACGGCTATCCGCATTCCGCGAGCTTGTCCCCACGGTCTCGGGCGATCGATCTCCAATTGATGTCTATCTGCAAAAGACAAATCAACACGTCTGCATAAATATATCATAATAATCGAGTAACTAGATCATCGTATATGTATTATGTGAAGAGTCGGCTTCTCATTAGTGCGAGAGAGTACATAATTCACGCACGTAAGTAGCGGTGTGGTCGGAAAATCATCGAGCTCGACAGTAGCAGATCGAGCCGCGATCGGAAAAATCCGATCAAGGCTGCGCGATACTTGCCACGGAAGTAGCTTTGGCAAATTATCAATCGGATAAGCTCGACTACTATGTACTACTATGCTGGAGCGCGTGTGCACAGATGTCGATGAATTAGATCGCCGGCATGGAAATGTAGAGCGTCGCGGAGTATTTGCCTTTCCCTAGTTTCCACGAATATGAGCGGTTCGAGCCACCTTTGATCATCATCATCGTCGCTCGCTCACTCGCTCGAGCCCGGTAGCATACATCGATCTCCTTCGACTCATCCTTGTCTCATTCTGCTTAAAGTTCGCACGCGCGAGCTCGTCAGCGTTCCAAATTCCAGCTGCGCGCGTCTTTCTCCTCCTCTCTCCTCTCCTCTCCTCCTCTTTTCTTATCGCTTTTTCTCTCTTTCATTTATTCTTTGCGCACTCTGCAACCTATTTCTCCTCCTCCTCCAACTCCTCCTGCTGCTTTGCCTTCTACAGCTCGCTGATCGCGACTCTTTTTTCCTTTCAACGTCCAACGTCAACGCTCAACGCGGCGTTCGGCGCAAATATGGTAAGTATCATTCATACGTTGCTCGACGCGGCGGATGATGCGTGCGCGGGTGAAAGGTCCGCGTTACCCGGTTAATGCCCAGGTATGCGCGCGAGTACAACCAATGAGAATCGCAAAACTCGCAGCTACATTTTCCTATCGATATTTGGGCTGGAAAATTTTGCGCCTAATTGCATGTGACTCGGCCGATTATCCGTAGTATAGACCTTATCACTAATTGTATATTCGACGCGATTGTTTACGAGGGCGAATTAAACTCACCACATATCGGGCCTCGTAACGGTTCGTTGGGCATACATCGAAGTCGAGCGCGTTTAACCCCGATTTTTACTCGCAGCTGTACGAAAAAACGTCGCTCGAGTCGATGCTGGTAGCATATACTTTCGCGCGCGCGTGCCAACGTACCTTCGTTTTGAGTTTTACTCTCTTTTAATTTTTTTCAACGTCGACTAAATACGGACAATTTGCAAAGCGAATCGAGCGGAGCAATTGCTTACGGACATTCATAAAACACGAGGACTGCGCGCACAAAGCGGCTAGTCGAAAAGCAGAAAAAAGTCACTCGACTCTGAGATCGGCACGACTGTCGTCGCATACATAGAGCATAGACGCACGAGGCGGCTTCTGCAACCGGTCGAGAGCGGGCCCATAAGTCGATCTGCCATAATGCGCACTGCGCGCCGGACACGACGCGTCGTCTTCGTCGTCGTCCGTCTCGGCGGCCGTTCGCGAGAAAAAGTACGGTTAAACGGCTATTTTCATCCGTGCCGTACGCGCTTGAACTTTTCGCCCGGAACGGGGCACGTTACACGCCGAGCGGAATCCGCGCGAGATTCATCGAGTTGCCGCCAAATCCTCGCTAAGCCCGCCCCGTGCTTTTTCGACTTTGAATCTATAAGCAAGCCGACGGTCTTACTTTTCATTCGAAGCGATATTTTCCATGTTTTTTTTTTATCAATTGTCAAACAAATATGAACAGTTACAGAGACATTTTTTCATAATTTTGCAAGTTATTTAAATATTCATCTATAAGCGGAATTTTAGGGGCGCGAACTCGCATATTAAAGTTCCGGGGAGATAAAGCTCGACGACGATGAATGAGTGAATCTTTCTCAAGAGAGATTTAACCCTAGAGCGTATCAAGGGAAAAAATATATGAAATATAAATCACTTAAATAATATATCTGCAAAAATAAGCACGAGCTTGTTTCATTTTTTCCCGCTCTCGCGAGCTTCTCGCGATGATTTTTTTCATTTTTTTTCTCGCTGCCCCACGACAACCAGAACAACAACAACAACAACAACGCCGACGACGACGACGAGGAGAGAGAGAGAAAGAGAGAGAAGCTGGGTAACAATAACAAACTCAGTGGGGAGAGCAAGAGACGGACGGGAAACTTTATATTATACGAATGTACTCGAGGACGAAAGTTTGCGTATACAAGTGGATGCTCGACGCTTCGGCGCATGCATACATTATATAGTATATAGGCTCCCTCTCGCATCGTACAGGCATCTTCCGCGGAAAGGGAACACGTACGTATACAGGCACACACATGCGCTCGCGATTATACTTGCACTTGGCCGAAGAGTTGCCGCCGCCGCGAGCTTGCCGCCTGCACTTTTCCGAGTGCAGCTGCTGCGAGAGAACCTTATTGCACACTGACCGCATTTTTCCTCGCTGCTTTCGTGCACTCGTGTATACAAATACAAATCGCACTGGCCCGAGCCTAAGTACGAGCGAAGCTCGCTCTGCCTACGAATTCGCCGAGTTTGAGTAATTGTGTAAGCTCTCAAGACCGTATTCGAGCCACATGGCATTATTATTCGTACGAAATTGTAAGTCATGAAAATCATACCTTTGGGTGGGCGTGCGTATGCCAGGCTACACGCGCACGTGTCCGAGTAGGCGAGGCTCCTCGAGGCTCAGATTTTCTCCGCTGCTCGTTACACCGATCAAAGTCAATTGCGATATCGAGTCGATACACTGGAAAAGCTCACTGTTGCACTGACTTTCGTCGAGTCAAATTACCATTCGTAGATTCACTCGCGCCAAGTAACAAAGTGTCGAGCAGCTATCCACGGCTCGTCGACAAATCGCACATGATACACGTTTCCGCTGAGGCAAAATCGGCAAGACTCGCTCGCTGATCGATACGACGATCGATGTGTATCGTCAACAGGCGATCGGTCCGAGGGACTTTGAGAAATCGGCAGTGACGTTGCTGGCGACGATCGCGTCTGTCTTGGCTAGTGCTGTTGCGAGCGCTGCCGATGCTCTTGTCATTGTCAAAAATATCCTGCCTCGTTGCGAGCGTTGTGTCCGACTCGCTGTGTGTATGTTCGATGTGTGCGTGTTGTGTGTATGTGTGTGCGCGATGCTCTGAGGCGCACTCGCGATTGAATGAGCCTCGGCGCGATTGCCTCGACGGCGGCGGCGGCGGTGGCAGCCTACCCGCGCCACGGAGAGAGAAGAGAGAAAGAGATCGGGCCCCCGACGCGCGAGCTCCAGCTCGTTGCTACTACTCAGGTGCATCCAGTACACGCGCGTCTCCTCGTGTGTATCACCTATTCTCTCTCTCTCTCTCTCTCTCTTTCGTCTCTCTCTCTCTTTCAGCTCGAGTAGTGCGATGTAACGTACACGATCTCTCGTGTATAGGTATAAGACGCACACCTGTTATCGCGTGCGCCGTCCTCTGTCTCCTGCGCGTCGCGCTAAATGCCAAGACCGCCCCCTGACCCAGACAGTCAGACCGGCCATTACAGTTATATAGGTTCGAGCGCGCAGAATACTGCCGCGCGACGACGACGTATCAATGCGCGTCTGAGTGAGCGACGCGCGCGGACTACGATTCGCAAAGCGATGATCCCCACCGTTAACGAAACGCACCTGTGTAGCTATGCCAAAGCGCGAATTGCGATACACATTTTTCCCGCTCGAGCTATGATGCCTGTTTTAGCTGATTCCGATCGGCGCGCGCGCGAGTTCAAGGGTAGCGACGATGACGTAGGAGATTCTTGCTCCTTCCAGATCGGCGATTCGAGCCGGCTTGCGCCGAGAGTGCCCATTAAGGCTTCCTACCTACCTTCGACGTACAATCGCCGATGGTATGCTCATTTTTGAATTTCGATGCCGAACCTGTAATTGTATTTTCTGCGCACGCAGCCATCTGTCGATACACTTGCAAAATGCGCGTAAAAGCCCATCGAGATAATGTCTCTGTTTACCGATGCTCCATCATTTTCTCGAAGCCGGCAATTTTTTCCCCTCTGTATCCATGAGGGAGCGCGCAAAAATCTTCCTCGATACTTGATTAGCGGCTCGGCTGCGACTCGTGTCGATACAAAGTACCAGCCCCCTACACGAAAAACGTTATAATTTCCGAGTTGAAAACATCGAGCGCCTAGCTACGCGTATAAAGTGATCCACTCAATTTCCGCTCGGCTATAGATCTTGCCTACTGCCTATATGTGCCCACCGGCGCAGTCTTCATAGCTTAACGGTGGCACGTTTTGCCGTCCTCGTCGTCGCCCTCCTCCTCGTGACGACAGCAACATTCTCGAGACGTCTTTAAACTATTGCATTTCTCAATGGAATCTCGTTTAGTACTTTCGCGTGAAATTTCCGTTCCATTATTTGCTTCGAGCTGCCCACTTTAACATTTCATCGACTTTTCTCTCTCTCTCTCTCTCTTTTTCTCTCTACTTCTTCACCTTGTCTCATTATTATATGCACGAGTATTAATATTAGAAAAATTTCGAGCATTCCCCGGTGCGGACAGAGTTTCGCGAGAGAAAAAAAAAAGTATAGCGAGGATTACGATGAAAAATGTCGTCAAATATTTGACTAGAGAGTGTATTTTTCATCTTGCCCCGTCGCACTTGAACTCGCACGCAAAATAGATCGTCTTTAGGAACGATCGATAGGAACAACACATCGCCTAGGTAAAGTCAGCCCCTGGCCAATTTCTCTCTTTACGCGATGAGCCCTTTTATCTCTCTCGAGATTTTGCTGCTGCTTGTAAGACTTGGAACGCTCGACGCTTCTGTCGTACATAAATTGAATCGTAAAATGTGTCGGATCTCGCCGGGCACAGTACGCACGAGACAGGAATCGATAATTTCTCTTTTCTTCTCATTGGTGTCATATTTGCCAAGCTATTAGGAAATAATTACCCATTCGAGTCGCTCACTCTGCTGCGACACAATTCTGCGCGCACCAACAATGTATTTGTTTATCTAAAAGCTCGAGCCATTTTCGTGCCTAGGCCGCGAAAATGATGGAAAATCTTTTTAATAAAACGACTCGTTAAATAAATCGCCTGCCACGACTTTGACGCGGCCCGAGTGCACTTGTAAAAGTCTTACTCTCTGATGTATAATAATATAAGTGCTGGTAATTACGGCAGTTGCGCGCGTGCCGCGTGATGTGCACCTCAAATGTATCTCTGTAAATTATGGCTTTGCGAGCGTTTATTTTAAACGGCCCATTCAAAGTAGAGGAGAAAATAATGTTTGCTTTTTGAATGGTGTAAAAAATTGTACTGCTTGATCCAATGATAAATAAACATCTTACTTGGAAATAGATAAAAGTGAGAAAAATACCGTGGCTAATTCATTGGCAACTGGCTTCCTCCTATGCGAGTATAACAAAAAAATATATTTAACAAATGAGAAAAAATAAATAATTAAGGATTCAAATAATAAGTATTTGTTAATTACTTTTGATAAAAATGAATGTAATGAATCATTATTTTAAATAAAAATGATGAAAACGAAATGAAAAAATAAAAAGAAAATAAAAAATGAAAACGAAAAAATTTTCGTCAGATTTCGATGTAATTCAACTCTATAAACCCAAAATATTAACAGATAATGATACGAAAAAGAAATCAAAAGCCCATTTTTCATTGTAAAAGTTTCAAGCTGTGTTACTGATTTATCAGTAATGAATACTACAATAATGGAAATTTCATTTTATTTTGATTGGATAATTTATCGTCGAGAAAAATTTTTTGAGAGTGCGCGTAAAAATACAAAGGTAAATTAGAGTTTGTCATAGGCTCTGCTTACAAAGGTAGAGAATTGTAGAGTAGGTAGAGTTTGTTTGGGAGGAAGCAATCGTAGACATCGATCGCTAAAATATTTTCATGCGTCACTCGCTATAAAAGTATCAGTATCAAAAATACAAGCGAAATGAAACAAGTTGCCGATGCTCTCAGGGTACGACGATACGTGAGCCGAGGAGCGAGCGATACGGCACGAGAGACTTATACTACATGCACTCGACGATGCGCGTGGAACAAAAAATGTAGGTTAATAATGCCAATGAGAACAGAGCACAGTGCGTAGGTACGTATACACAGCTGCCTCGGATGCATCCTACCTACGGCGCGGAGCTCCAAAGGCAGGCCGTGAGATTTCGTTCGGTAATTCCGCGAGACTCGATTTACACATTGTTTTGCGCTCGCGCGCGATATCGCTTTATACTCTGCAGTGCAGTCGGCGTAACTGTGTTGACTCGCTCTGCCTCCGTAAAAAAGGCCAAGTTTGTTTCTTCCCTACATTCGTGCAGCTACTTATGCGACGAGGCGCATTTTCCAAGCTCCAACAGCAGCGAGGCTTACGCTTATAAGCGTTCCAAGCTCAAGGTCGTATTTCGAGTTAAGTCGTCGCGTGGACGAGGCTCGATTAGCGCGTCGTCTATATGCACTGCGTTTTCCGACTGCATAATGTATGCAAAGGCATCTCTTTCTCTTTCGGCTGCAGCGGCGCGTCAAGTGCTTCTACGATTACAATGGAATTATGCAGGCTTTTTTTACGGGCTACCTCGATTTCCTCCCAAGAGGTCACGGCGGCTGGTCAACTGCGCGCAGCAGCTCTCATACCGTAGCTCCATTCGGTGCGCTGCGTGTGAAAGTCGCGTTGATTTAGCGCAGGGGTGCGACTCGCCGGCCAAGGTGAAGGACTCCGAGACGGCGCGCGCTGAAAAATACCTCTTTTGCCTGGGTCGGAGCTGGAAAAAGGACCACGGCGCGCGCGCTGTGTACACATAAATCTAGCTGCTCCGCCAGAGGAAAACTTTGGCCTTTGCCACGAAAACTTGCGCTCACTTTTTCCCAACTTGTCCGCAAAAGTAGATTTGTCTCCGGCTGCATATATACGAGCTAAATTTAAATGCTTCGCTCGGCAAATTAAGTACGTCGCATACGTTCGATGCATTATATTTTTCTCTCGCTCGCTTCTTTCTCCGGAGTTGCGGCTGTGCTGCTGTTGCTGCCTGCAACCTACAAACCCAAAACAAGTCATATTCGAGCTTATAGCATCCGACGTGCGAGAGACTCGAACGTATGTGCACTTTTTCTCTTTCTCTCTCTCCTTCTTTTTTTTCTTCCTCTTATTTTCGGATCGCGTCACGATCATGTAGCCGAGTCATTGTTTCGTGTGCTTATTCGCGTTATTAAACGATACGACTTTGAGCGAGGCATAATTGAATCAACGCGAGGAGGGTATTAAAGTACCGTTAACAGTCCGCGAGACTTGCAAAATGGGTGTGAATTTTACGATATTCTGACAGCTGCGTCGCGACGAAAGACGTCCGATTGGAATTTTTATTTTTTATTTCTCTCACTGTCGTTTTGCGGGCCGCATACTTGCCTGTTTGCCTATTCGCGAATTGTCCCCGCAGCTCAAATAATAATCGTTAAACACGAGCCAACTCGTTTGCTCGGCGAGCCGCGCTCCGAGCGTACCGAAATACTTACTGTTTCTTCAACCGAGCGCAATGTGCGTACGTGTGCACGACGTGCAACCTCGACGTAATAATGCAATAATCCATCGTTCGATCGACCCGTAATGTCGCAGAAAAAACAAGATCTATAAAGATAGATTGACGAACGCAACTATTGCCGACGTTCGCGACCATTGCAACGTCTATCTCTATAGATATATATTATTCCGAGCCGTTTCTCCGTAAGAACCTAAAGACTCCGTAATAATCACTTTTGCCAAACGTAAGCGTTGTTATAACGTAACGCGCAATAAAATTAAATGCGCTGCGGAAAGAGAGATGTACAGAGAACGAGGGGAAAAAGGAGGAAAAGATCGAAACAGTTCCGAGGCGAAAAAATTGACAATAAACGCGTAATCGAGTGTGTTGTAAGCGCGAGTCGTCCTCGTCGTCGTGTGGAGTATACTACGCGGCGAAATGAGGACCGCCGCCGGGCCGACCGACTGACCGAGCGACCGCGCCACTAATATGCTATGCGCGCAGCTTACGCGTCACAACGAGAGAGAGAGAAAGATGAGATTCTCGTGCACGCGCGCCTGTGCCTATGACGTCGCATTAAAGCCTAAGAACAGGGCCCCATTCACCTGCGCCTTGTTGTACATCGCATGTTGTACGAGAGCGAGCTGCACCGGATGTTGCTGCGCTTACGCTCATCTCTATGTACATACACGCGCAGTCACGCGCAACCCATTCTTCTTCACGAGTGCACTTTTTTTCTGTTTTTCTTTCATCGTCGCGTGAACATTTGACGAGGGCATTTTTTAAATAAACAACGTTCAGCTTTTAAAAGTATATTGCCATCTTTTATTAGTATTATACACTCCAAACAAATATGTCTTTCCTACGTAATTACATATTTTATATTCGTCCAGCAACGCAATGTACAGCATTCAGCACTCGTTCCATCGAATCATTATTAAATAATGTCAATTTTTTATGTCACCGGGTTTAAAATTCACATATAGTATATATAATTCACGCAAAACAAATACTACGGTACACCTAGTAGAACTCAACTATACACTGTTTCGTGGTTAGCCTGAAAAAAAACTACAAACCAATTCTAATTTGTGCAACTTTACAGCCTCGCACTCGCCTCGAATGGGTGAAACTATTCAATACTTTTATTTACAAAATTTCATTCTTTTCACTCTAGACTTTCTCCTTATTCGGATGTGTATTAATAATTTTTTATTTACAAATCGATATTTTGAATCACTTTTTATACTCACGCGCAAATGCAAAATACATACCACATAGATATATATAAATCTATTTAAAAATAAAAATGTCACAACGTGACTGTAATTTCATTCTCAATTTACTGGAAGTTCGCTGAAAATATATTTTAACATTTTTCAATTTAAGTAATCGATATCATAATATTCATATACTGCGTACAATTTGAAGTTCTTTGAACAAACGTGTCGAATAAGTAACTTGGATTACAATAGTATATCTATCAACTCTCTCACAGCACCAGTATTTTATGAATGTTTCACCAAATGCATCAATATATCGGATTTATCAAATGTATCAAATGATTCCCTTTTAAGAGAATTTTATTATGGCTGATACATGATATATAGAAGAAAAAAAGAAAGACAGTTCATTGCAAACATAATTATACTGTGCTCGCTCTTTTTCTTCTATTATCTGCATAATACAATTGACATTTTGGATGGCTTTAAAAGCTCCGGCAAAATGAGTAACTATTTTTACGTAGTTTCTGCATAATCGTCAGTAGTTTACTTTCTCAATGGACATTTCTAGTTCGACTGTTTTAATTAAAAAAGGCGTGTTCTAATTATTTCTGCAGTTTCAACGAAATACTAGGACTAATATTCCAAGTGAATCACACTGTATGCGTCTAATCTAACAAATAAAATAATTTCAATTTACAAGTAATGATTAATAAACTTTTTAAATTAATTTATAAATTAATAGATATTAACAATTTTACGTTTCTTTAGATATTTCAAACTTTTCTTCAAATTTTTGAGCCTCTAATTAGAAAGTCGCATAAGAATATAAGAACCTGCACGCAAAACCAGCAGAAGTGAACTTGCACTTCAAGCTAATGCGGAAGCAGGCAAAGAGCTGTGCTTTGGCTTAGTTTTATTCAAAAATACTTTGATTCCACCGTTGAAGTCGGCACTGACGAGTACGTGACCACCGCAACCTTTGGTTCTTTGCTCGACAACGGGGTCCAGTGGAGGCGTGGACACGTCCACACCACTGCAGCTGGCCGTCTCTTTGACGGAAACCCCGTCCGCGTCAGCTGCAGCAGCATTTTTAGCTTCGAGCTGCTGCTCTCGGAGCTCGATCTGACGGATAATACTTTCGGGATTAGGAGCGAACACGGCACACGTCACTAGGGCGTTATGGGCCTTTATGCCCTCCCAAAAGTCATTGCGATCGCGACGGACACTTGGGAACTTGGAGTAATCATGGTGAGTCTTCCAAATATAGATGCACTGGTTTTCCGAGCCACTGACTATGTATTGGCCATCGGGACTAAAGCTTGCCTTGATCTGACTGCTAACGTTTACGTAGCCTTTATACTTACATGACAGTGTTAAATCGCGTAAATCATACAATCTGTAAAATAAAATTTACGTATCTCTTTAGCAATGGTATTAAATGAATCTCTTATCTGCGAAAAGTTATGTACCTGATTCGACTGTCGTTTGATGTAACGAGAATTTTATCCTCGCCGGGCATTGGTTCGATACCACTGATTTTTCTACCAATGGAATTTTTTCCTCTCGACGATCTCACGTGTATTTGCGTGTAATACTTTAATTGATCTGTGATGTAAAAAATGCAGCGACCATCGTAAGAGCCAACGACAGCAAATTTTCCATTTTGACAGAAGTTAGCCGCAGTAATAAGTTTGGTCTGACTGTCGACTTCGGTCCACACGGCCACTTTTTTGTCAGGTATGTTCCATAGTCGTAATTTACCATCAAGGGAGCCCGAAAGGAAGTATCGATCGTCAATGGGATGGAACACGATTGCCGTGACAAAGTCTATGTGTTGAAAACAACAAAGGCATTCTTTTCGGGATATGTGCCACAGTCGAACCTGAGAAAGAAATACTTTAGAATCTTCAAGTATCTGAAACAAGAACGAAAATCTGAAATTTTAACTCACTGTTTTGTCCATCGATGACGATAGAACAAAATAATTCTTTGACCAGGAAACATCTAGTAAGTCCGATGTATGTCCGGTGTAGGTGCAGAAAGGCTTGGGCATAAAAGGCCCTTTGCTGCTCTCGGCTTCGGCTAGAGCGTTCGCCAAAGTTTGAGGATCCTCCATTGACTGTTGCGACACCAGAGACTCTTGCGAAGGCGTTGGACTGACTTTTTCGGCATTGTATTTGGTACGCATGTCCTGGAAATATGTGAAGGCGTCTCGAAGAACCCAAATCCTCAGTACTTTATCTTGTCCAGCGGTGGCCAGCAGTCGGCCGCAGGCTGAAAATTTCATGCACCAAACTGGACCGACGTGTTCACCGCTCATGTCTTGCACATGCTGCAAACTGTAAAAGTCGTAGGGACCTTTGTGACTGTTTGAAGCCTTCAGTTTGATCAGCTGTTGTTCACCAGGGTACACTTCATTGACGATATCGACAACGTCCTCTTTGTGCCTGGCGTGCGACACTTCTTGAGCAATGGACTTGGCCTTATCCATGGTTTTTTTCACTGTACTGCCGAAGAAGCGCTTAAGCTTCTGAGTCTTCTTTCGGACGCGACCGATGCTAACGTCTTCGTCAGGAGGTAAACTCGACATTTTGCTATCGACACTCTCCTCATCGCTTTCCTTCTCTTTATCAAGACTCGTGTTACTTATGTATTCGGACGTTAGCCTCATAATGTGAAGTGACAAAGGATTGATGCATTGGGGTAATTTGTCTTCAGCTATGCTCAGCGGCACTCTCTCGCCAGTGTCCAAATTCAACACGGTCACTTGCTCCAATATTTCCTATTGTAAAATGTTCACGTTATAATCCAAGTAAAACAATGACTCGCGATAAATGAAATAAATTTTGAATCTATACTTTACCATGTCAGTAAGGCGTTTTCCAGAATCAGTTCTCGTTCTCACGAACATGTTCAATTGTTGAACCAAATCTTGATCACCAGCAGATTTACGCCTTTCTCGCGTACCTTGTGGAGTAATTCTGCTGGGTCCCAAAGAATGACGACCGATACTACTACTGGATGTCGAGCCGATAGGACTGCTATTGGATTTATCACTAGACTTCATACTCATGAATTCAGCCCTCATTTTCAATATTCTTTCAACTTCTTCTTTTGTTGGACCTTCAGCTTTCGTTTTATCTTCGTCTTGAGGTTTAACTACGTATTGTCCTTTAGTGGCAGATTTAATGTCAAGAGAATGTTCAAATTCTCTGGTAATTGATTCTATAGTACTGGCTGGACTGGGCAAAGTTGATGCTGATTTTACAACTTCCTTATTTGTAGGCTAAAAATATACGAATGTAAGGTTATTGATGAAATGTAATTGAGTTAACAATAATTTGATTCAAATTCAAAAACTTACAACTAAGTCATTTGGTGTTTGAGTTTTAGACTTCTTTTTGCGGCGAGGTGGTGCCACAGGCTTTTTATTAATATTTGCTTGGGCATCTGCTGCAGGTTTGCCATTTGACTTAGTGCTAGCTATAACATCAGGCTCTTGCAAAATGGTATTTTTATCACATTGAGACGAGGATGACTGATCAGATTTTCCACTTAATGATGGCTCTCTAAGAGCATCACCAGATAGAGTCATGACACTTGAAGACTGCGATAATTTATCAGATAATTTGTCGGAAGCATTATCTTCATCTTTACTAGGAACACTGGGTATGGCTGTTGTTTGAGTGTCTTTCACTGGTACAGTGGATGAAGCAGGTATTTGTACACCAGGAGGCACAATTTGTGATGTATTATCAGCTGTCCCGGATAATATTCTACCCACCCGACCAAGAGAAGTCATGCTTTGCAAACTCAGGGTATCATGCTCGATTATTCTGAAAGGATGAGATGTTTTTGAAGGTGTTGGATAAACGCCTTCTATAGAAGATGTTTGACTGTCAGGTGGAGAATTGTTGACAAGAATATCATCTTCTTCAGTTTGCATTCTTTGTCTCAACTCTCTGAATTTTCTTCTACCAACTATTTTATCTGCACCAGCTCCTTTCGTTTCTTCTTCCTACAAAATAAATTAAAAGTTAAGATTGTTATAATACCTAGTTTAAAGTTAAAAAAAAAAAATAAATATGCTTACATTTTTTTCAGCAGGAATTTTCTGTTCTGATCCATCGGTAGATGGTTTTTCACTACTTTCAACACTAATTGGTTTAGGATCCGCTGGCTTGACAAATACATTTTCATCAGCTTTGGCATTGGGCGTAGAAAATTTTTCTTCTTGATTTTCTGGTTCAAGAGATTCTCTCTGTTTGACTTTGCGACTACAAATAATACAACAATGTATAATGTATGATGCAAAGTAAGTTTACATGATAAATAGTACACATACATGAATCATTATGTCACTATTTTGCATATTCATGAGCAAATGTGCTAATTTAAGATTTCGCCGAAAAAATCTGGTGATCTATTTAAACCACTAATTCGAAAGTCGAATGCATCGTTTTCCAAGTATAGCGAAATAATAAACGAAATGTGTGATCGAGTTGAATTTGAATCAAATTCAAGGGCTATTACAATGGTACGATAGGCAAATAAATGGTTAAAATGAGCATACCTGGTACTATTCTTGACAGCTATGTCCTCCTCCGCATCAAAGAACTCTTCGGAATCGCTGCTAGCCGACATTCTAATTGTCGCTGAGGATGAAACAAACTAGTTATGAAAACACCAGAAGAAGACGGCATCGAAGAGCGTCGACGCGCTCGAACCTTTGATTTATCGCCAGCTAGGAAAAAAAATCACGAGAGTCGTCGAGGAGTTTCAGCTATGACGGCGCATGTTGAGCGTGTAGGCGTTTGTGTAAATAGCTGCTGGTCATTCACAACAACGGCGACGACTACGACAACGACAAGGATGACAATCGGTTCTGCTGACTCTGACAACGACGACGACGTTGCTCGCGAAGCAGGTAGCACGTCATTATCCTCTTCGAGACGTGTTTCTAGTCGAGCTTTTTTTATTATCTCACTTTTATAACACTCAGTAGTCGAAACGAGCCTCACTTGGCCATTGAATCGAGTTGCACGATGAGATAAGAAGTCAAGAGTGTGTAGTCAGTAGTAGTGTATATAGATACAGACGTATACAGCAGTATGCATGGAGCAGCTGCAGTTGCAGAGCACTGAGCAGCAGACGGCAGCTGACACAATGGGCGAGGTGAGGTGGCGCCTGCGCGTGACTTTCCTTCTGCCACCGTCGGAGGCCGCACAGACTCGCGGGCTAAATCAAGCCGATTTGGGCGTGTGATTTTGCCTACTCGACGCCACTTGGCTCGTTTTCTCGATCGACTTTTTCTTCTTCTTCAGGGCCGGCAGAAGGCCGCAATTCGATACGATGACTCTCCTCGTCGGTTTACCGAATTTCGAGCCGTAAGAACTGATCTGCTTGCGGAGAAGATGATTGTGATTTATTTCTCCCCGGGAGCAGTTTGAATAACTGGGACTTGCCTTGTAGACGCTGTGCATGCCTTTGACGACTTTGCCGAATACGAGGCACCTGTCGTCGACGGTCTTCAACGGCCGGAACGTCAAATTGAATCTCGAATCGAAGCCATCGGCGGCACTGGTCGACAGAACACCCGGACGAGTGTGGCGCAGGCCCGAGCTCAGCTCCTTCGGCTCGAAGATCCGGTCGTTCGGATAAATCGAGGCCCAGCCGACGCCGCTGAACTTGGTCACGTCGCCGCCCTGGCACCAGTAATCCGAGACTATTCGGTGAAAGGGACTGCCCCGATAGGACAGGCCTCGATGGCTGCCCTGGCAGAAGGCGATGAAGCTGGCGCAGGCCAGGGGCGCGTAATCGGCGTACAGCTCGAACACGACTCGGCCGAGCGGGACGTTGCCGTGCTCCAGTTCCAGATCGAAGAAGCAGCGGGGCCGGGGCTCCGAATCTCCCTCGGCTCCTCTCCTCGCTGCTGCTGCTGCTGCTGCTGCTCCGGCCGCCAAGTGGCTGATCGACGGGTATCGAGGTATGTTCTTCGGCCAGGGAAATCTGCACGAGTCGCTCGACGCAATTGATGCACCAGCCGCTGATTACGGACCAATTGTCATTTACCTCTGTTTGTCGATGATGGCTTCTTTCAAAGGCTTCCAGCGCTTGTACATCACACGGGGATGGAACTCGCTTTTCTTCTCCTTCAACGCCTCGAGATTGTTGTACAGACGCTTGTTGTTGACCTCGATCTGCTTGGCGATCGACTTTTGATACGGCCGCAAATCGCCCCGATCTATGTACTCGAAGTTCCAGCAGTCGACTTTGCCTCCTTTCACGGCTATTTTGTTGAGTTTCTTCGTGACCTCGAAGACCTCCTTGTAGTTGCGCTTTATCACCTCGATGTCGACCATCAGCTTCTCCTTGTTGTAATAGACGTCCAGATCGAATTTCGGCGCTTTATTGTCCACCTTGGCTTTCGCGTTGGCCACCTTCAACCGGTGCTTCTTGTAGCTCTTGAAATCTTTGATCAGAGCGTTTGGTTTCACCTGTGCCGTGTACAAGTCAACTTGAGCAAATTTTTATGCACTTTTGCATTTATAACCAAGTCAAAGTCAATCATGCGCGCGATCTTACTTCGCCTGGCAAATACCGCGGCTTTATCGGAGGGTCGAATACCGTCTTATTCTTCTCGTCCATCTTGCAAAAATTATTACCAAAAATTTTCCGCCGAATTTGATACTAAGAATTTTGACTGTTAAATTGTACAGGCAGCTAATTTACATTTCTCGAGCCTGATTCAATGTTGCATGCGTTGCGGCATGACGTTGAATCACTTTTGTTTTTGATCTCGAAAAATTTTCAAGTAAACTAAGAAAAAACAACAATTTTTCCTTTTCCCAAAATAATCAAAATTGTAAAAAAGTCTATAAGAAATACTAAATTAGGTACAAATTTAATATGATTTAAAATGGCTACAGCAAAATCGACATTCATGAACTTTGGATTTGACAAAATATGTGAGAAATATCGGAGTAACCTTAAAGAGGTGAGGGACATTACTTACTGTTAATCATAAAAAATCATTGAAAAATATTAATTTGTATTTTGAGCAGCACACCCATAAACCATTGGAACTGTTGAATGATTATCAAGATTTTGACAAAAAAATTCGTAAAATGAACATGGAATTGCTAAGTCTAAATTCTAAAACTATGAAGTTACCGGTTTTTAGTAGTCCACAAACTAGTGATAAAAAATTGAAAACATTGCACAAATGTAAAAAAATATGTAATTCAAAACATCAAATGAAAGCAAAAAATCAATTGTGGCTTTTTAAAAAAGTTATGAGTTTATATGAAAAATTTCATCAAATCATCGAGCAATCCTGTAGTGAATACCATGCCCTACGTGCAATGTCAGAATCATATAAACTTCTTTTCAATAGAGAAAGAAAAGTAAAAAGTATCGAAGAAAATGATTATAATTGTCAAAATATCTACCAAATGTTTCAAATTCAATTAGATAAAATGCCAAACGATTTGACGATTCATTCAGGTGAGTTATCAAATTTTATACATTACTGATCACATTATTGATTATTGATATTAAAATGTGAAATTTGCACTCATGAATTTTCAGAAAAAGAAAAATTGGTCATAAAAAATTTTAAATTTGTACCAGAAAGAGTCTCAGTAAATACAGATGAATTTATGACTGCGCTCCTAATGTATATTTCTAAAAACTATATGATTTTAGACTACGTGAATATTATATCAGAAACGCTTGGTATTAATGACAATTCATTGCTTGGCCAAGATATTAATATCCTACGGAAAGAAAATTTAAAAAGAGAAAATAAGCCTCTTATTTTAGAAATAAAAGAAAAAACAGATATTGCCAATCATGTTTCTTCGTACAAACAACAAATAATAATTTTACTCGAAGAAATTTTGCAGAGAGTACTTGAAACTCTTACGTTTGAAATTAAAAAAACAAACGAAATTCAAGAATATCGTTCGAAAAATGTAAATCTACATTTGAATAGTTTTTTAATGGAAAGTGTAGATTTTCCAATAAAAATGAGTACGGACCATGGCTTTGAGATATTTCAAGAGTCTGGAAATGGAGCTTGTAAAATGTTAACTCGCATTGCAAAGCCTACCATACCACATATGTGGGAAAATAATTTCAATCCTTTAACGCTGAGCAATGAAAATAATTTTATATTCTTAAATTTTTGCCAACAACCATTTGTAAAATTTGACGTCTCGGGCATCGATATATGTCGAGTAGATCATTTTAACTTAGAAGCATGTTTTAATGATCTATTTCATGAATTTTCGAAAAATAAAAATGGGCAAGACATTAATTACCCAAAATTGGGTCTAGAATATGATACAGAAAACTCATCGCAAAAAAAAATTACAAATTATAATCTCCGTTTGAGGCCCAATTGGACCAAAGTCCGAAGAAAGTGGGTAAAAAAATCGGAAAAACTCTCCAAATTGTCCAGTTCAGGCCTCATCGAGAACATATCGATCGGCGTTGGTGAATTTTCGATCAGACGAAAGGACATGGGCTCGCAGGCTGATTTTCCCATGATCGAACTTTCGGATAATTCAACCAGTTACTCCGACGCAGAAAACGAGCGGGAGACGGACTTTCAAAGAACTTTGGAACATCTACGTAAGAAAATTCAGTATTGTAAAGAGGCAATACAAACTTGTACGTTGACGAGTTCTCCACAGAGACAGTATTATCCTGTGAAACCAAGCGCCCCTGCCCCTGTTGCTTCGTATAATAATTACCCGAGTCGTTCGTTCACAGTGCCAAAATTTACCAACGATTACAGACGCTCAAAAGTATCACAAGTTAGCAAAGTATATCAACAGTATAGATCCTCGAAGCCACCGGAATTTAGAAAAGTACAAGTTGTGCAAGAGAGACGAATTCCGAACGGCATTACCTATAATTTTTCTAAAAGGCAAATGTATGAGTCTATAATGATTTTAAAAGATCGAAAACCTTGGAGATAAACATCGGTAAATTTAACAATTGGATTGTATCTAACAAAATAAACAAAGTAAAAATTATTGAAAAATATTGCATTTTTATTATCATTTTATCGTTTAAACTATGTTACCATCGCACAACTCATGCAAGGCACATGAATATATCAATTATTAGACATTTTATATTTGCTTTATACAGTATTGAAATTTTTATAATTAATTTCTAATGTAGAAATCGTTAAAATATTATTTCATGCATGTGTATGTGTGAGTTAGCATGAGACAAATTATCAGGCAGTAAATGCTCTAAAAGAATTACAATAATGGTATAAAAATTTACATATTTAATTGATTATTCCTTAGCAGGACCTAATAATTTTAAAATTCATTTTCAAATAACCTACAGATCTTTCAATGACAAAATTTCTTGTACAAAAGCTGCAACATTAACTGATTTTGTTGCGTATTTTTTTAAAAATTCTAGTTCCAAAAGTTGGACATAGTTTGGTCGCATGTTGTAGTCCTTGGTCAAACTATAATCACAAAATTGAATTACAATTACTTAATAATTAAAATAAATGATGATATTTACAGTTAAACATACCATTTATTGATAAATTCTTCAAAAGCTGGGGTAAAACAGCATTCTGGCAGTTTTGGAGGATCATCTTTTACTACTTGTTTTAACTGATCAAATACTGTGACCCAATTGTCATAAGGAAATCTACCAGTAGCTAGTTCAAAAAGTGTTATTCCTAAAGACCAGACATCTGATCTTATGTCATAATGTGAGGGATCTCCAGTGGGATCTATTCTTTCCGGCTGTATTTAGGAAATATTTAGAATAAAATTAAAAAATGAAAAAAATGACATTTAAAGAGCAATTTTGAATATTTATTACTTACTGCCATATATGGTTTGCAGCCAGCGTCAATAGTTTGAGCTATAGAATTTATAAGATATCCTGAAATTCCAAAATCACAAATCTTCACCTGTCCTTGGCGATTGATTAAAATATTACTGGGCTTAACATCTCTGTGAATTACTTTTAATTCTGAATGCAAATAATGCAAAGCGCTAATAACCTAATGAATTTTAAAAATAATTTAATGTTAAAAAATGTTGTGAATTGTTAATGATTAAATCTAATCAAATAGATATCTTACAGAAAAAGCTATTTTTCCTAGAACATCTTCTGGTATGTTGAGACCATTGTTGTATACTTTATCATAAAGCTTATCCATACTTGTGTCCATTACTTCCATGCAAATCCAGACATCACCCTCTCTAAAAAGTGCACCATAAAATTGAACAGTATACGGACAGGCAGAGCTTCTCATTGTTATATCCAGATCCATCAATAAACGTTTTTCTTCGAGTTGATTGTAACTTACAGGGATTCGCTATATTATTAATAAGTAATTATAATTATTATAGTCATATCAAAATATTAAACAGAAGATTTTGTGTCAGATGAAATTTTTACTTTTACTGCCATAGTGGTTCCGCTTAATTTGTGTTTCATTTTGTCAACAATACCATACGCTCCACTTCCCAAGTTACATATTATATCTAAATCATCTGCATGCACTTCAAACTTCTTATCACCTACTTCAATTATTGCTTTTTTATCAAGTTTTCTTGGAGGCGCACTGTTTGAGGTAAAGTAATGAGAATTAAATATGTATATTATTAACCATAATCTACAAAGATTAAATTTTGAAAAAATTTAAATCAAACTCACGTTTCCACAGGTTCTGGAGGTCTTCTCATGTTAAGCTTCAATCTTGCTCTATTGGGTTTTTTGGTCTCCATGATGTTTCACTTAACAAGATTTAATTCCTTGTCAAGAGAGATGACGAAATAGGAGAACTTTTATAAGTTATTGGCACTTGCAACCCAGAATCAATGACAAGGCAACGAAGAAAATCCGTGTTGCTCTTGAAAGCCCTGTCAAAATAAAAATTTCGAATCACACTAGATAATAAGCACTTATTATTAATAACGAGTTCGAACTCGCACAGTATTATCTAACAATACATTGAAATTTCAATCGCTCGCTCGCGAGAGCCGTATTTATATCCGATGGAAAAAGAACTACAGACATAAGAATAGCAAACGTTTTACCAAGTAGAATTCGCACGGTAAAATGAATAGCACTTACTGAGTTAGCTGACAAAAGTTCGCAAAAGGAGTGTGAATTTTTCAAATGAGCTACTTAGGTACTGCGTATATCATCGGTAATATATAAAGGCTGAACGATCACTAACGTCTGTGTGTTGTTTCTATAGCTCGAGGTACACACACAGACGCAGCAGTCAGCTACACACTGAAAATTAATACACAGCAGTAAACTTGAAGAGACCTGAGAAATTATATACAACAACACAGTCGTGTGAATTCGCGCGAAATTTAATGTGTGTATAAGATTTGCAATGTACACGCGCGACGCGTAAACTGCTTTTGAAACCAAATCATACTTGTTTTTGATTATATGTATAAATCATACGTAATGAAAAATCGTTTACTAATCAATGTTCACAGGTAAAATCGTTTGAGGGATAAATTAGTTCTAAGATGAAACATAATATTTGTACAACATGGTCAATAATAATAAACCAGTTAAATCAAACTTTGTGCTCCTATCTTACTTGAACAAATGACGAATGCGTGAATATTTCTAGTAAACTAAAAAATGAGAGTAACATATTCATTTAACATTTGATTGCCCGCTGTAAATGAACTCAGCATTTGCTCCGTGATATAATAATGTTCTACACATTTGGCAGTACATATAGACGACCATCATATAAAACTTGAATTTCGTTGTGAAGTCTGTAGACTGCAGACTGTACTTGAGCTGTCAGATTAGTGTTTACGGCCACGCACTTAATACGATGAAGACTCAAAGATTTAGTTCGATTGAATTAAGAATGTTTGTACAACATTTTCTGATCTTGGAATAATTTTACAAACTTTTTTTGGTCGTATCATTGTTTTTAACGTCTTTCAATGAAAATTTTCAGATTTCAAGTTAAAATAATTTTTCGTTGGATTTGGTCAACAAAGTTAATAATTTTTTTACGCGTATGTGCTTGCGGATATGACGATGCAAGTGCAGCAAATGTTAATGGATCATATCATAATTAAGTATTAGTTTATCAACTTGAATGATTGATTTACCAATTGTTTCGTTCACAAAATATTTATTATAACTATTTCTTATTAATTTTAGTAAGTACTATTTTCAAATAACTATATATTTATCATTGTAAATGGTGTATCAATGGCCACTTTTCTTGTTTTTACCCTGAATTAATAAATTAATGTATTATTAACTTCTAGTAAGAAATGAATCATTTATTAATTGTTTACTGCATAAAAAATGGTTTATTAGCGAAGCTGTAAGGAAAAGAGTGCCATCTAAGATAATATTTTAACTAGTATTTACGAATTATTTATGGTCCTAACATAAACTTATACAAACATTCATAAAAAAAATCGGGTTTCTTGATAACTTCGATTCTAAGACCACTTGAATGCAAAGAATTTAATTTCCATAAAATATTAATTATTTAAATTCATAAATATTTATTAGTGTCATAATTATATTTATTTAAACATTTGTAAAAGTAAATTCTTTTTTAAACTTATTATAAAATGCCCATACCTTTTAACCACCTTACACTTTATATTTATCATTAAAATTACGTGATATTTCGTCAATAACAATACTGTGATACCAAAGATACATAACTTTTATATAAAAAAATCAAATTCGAAATATTCAAAAAACGTTAAAATTAGTTTAAGTAATAAAATTATATAGTTTGAAAAATTGAAGATTTATAATCTGCCGCTCGTTTTTTAGTTGGTTATGTACCCGCGCATCAGCTAGCGAGCTGCGTGAGCAGCCGCCAGCCAGCAACAATCACACATGGTGTTCTGGGCAGTCCAACCAAACGCTTTGGAAATATCACTTCACTGAAGCAGTGACTTGAGACAATCTGAGCTATATATTTATCTTTCACCATGGTAGGTTACACACCATTAGAGGTTATGAATTCAGTTTATTTTTCTATTTAATGTATAAACCATATTGATCTGTCAAATTTTTGTTCTAGGGTCGAGTTAAGAAAACTAGAAAAGTTGTGCAGCAAAAGTTTGCAAAGATGAAGAAGATGATAAGTGTTAGTGATCCTAGAATGTAAATATCAAAATTGCTGTTACATGTTATATTTTTTAGTGAATTTTTGACAATTAATTAATTCATAATGTCATATTTTCAGAAAGGAAAAACTGAGAGCAGCACCAAAGAAAAAGAAACCAGAAGATCCTAATGAAATAAAAGTCAAAGAAGTGTAAGTGAAAAGTTTTTTCTTAGCTTTATATTTAAAGAATGTAATAATAACAATTAATAATTTTTCTAGACCTCAACAATCATCAGCACTCTTCTTTGAGTATAACGAACAATTAGGCCCACCATATCATGTTATAGTGGATACCAATTTTGTAAATTTTTCAATTAAAAACAAATTGGATATCGTTCAAAACATGTTGGAATGTTTGTACGCCAAGTGCATTCCATATATAACTGATTGTGTTCTTGGAGAATTGGAAAAGTTAGGACAAAAGTACAAGTTAGCTTTAAAAATTATTAAAGATCCAAGATTTGAGCGACTACCTTGCATGCATAAAGGCACATATGCTGATGATTGTATTGTACACAGGGTGCAACAGGTAATTTGATTATTAACATTGAAATCTTTATTTACATAATGTAAAAAGAACCTAATTATTTTTTATTCTAATTTCAGCACAAATGTTACATAGTAGCAACAAATGATAAAGACTTAAAACGACGTATACGAAAAATACCTGGTGTCCCAATTATGTATGTTTCCCAGCATCGTTATACAATTGAACGTTTGCCTGATGCTTACGGAGCACCTAAAAAGTGAAAAGATTTTGTGATTTCCTGATGATGAGGTTACTTTGTAATTTGTATTATATTTTTGTATTTTAAGTTAGAATAAGAAAAATAAAAGAATAATATTGCGAGATTTGTTTGTAATTACTCATTCTATTTAAGTGATGAATATTCTTAAAAACATTTATTGTAGCTGGCAAATAAGCATTTAAATCACGCGCCACTTGGAATTTTTTGATGTCTGCTACAGACTACAAGTCGGCGTTAACTTAACCATACTTTTTATACATCGTAACTGGATTTCAGTACGTTCCCAGTTAAATTTCAGCAAAATATCGTAATAGACTTATAACAATTGTTACAGAATAAAAGAATATTATCTCGAAATTTTATAAATGGGATCCAAGTCTAGATTTATTTCTCAAAAATTAAATTTCGTTAGGAGTTGTTATTATTCATCTAGGAGTGTAGTCACATCATCAGCACATGCTAATAACGTAGTAGCAAAGAAGCAATTACCTGACAACAAAGTCAATGTCATTAAAATTGATAAAGAGACCATAGTTAAGTTGGAAAAAGTATCTCTTGTCAAGCTTGACAACGAAAGTGGTATACGTCGATTGGAAGAAGCAATCCGTTTCGCACAAAAATTGGACGATATTAAAATTGATCCATCAGTCAAACCCATGTACAGTGTTTTGGAGAACGAAATTCTGGAATTGAGGGATGACAAAGTGACCGAAGGCGATTGTCGTGATAAAATTTTGGAAAACGCCAAATTACTCGAGGACGAATACTTTGTGGCGCCAAGTAATATTAGGAAAGATTCGTGATAAGCAATGGAAAAGATACTTAATATCCTGGGCCCTACATTTCTAAGTTTCAAAGAGTTTGGTTTCGCTTACGGTCTTCAAGGATCCCTAGTTCGTCGAAATTTGGAAAAGTTATGGTTTCAACATTGCATCACTATGGCAAAACATAATGTATTTTTCATACACTCCAACAACCTCATGTCAAATATAAATGATATCAGTGACGTTGGACTTGACAATGTACCATTCGGAATCGCCGAAATTGACGAGGTGAAAAACACGTGGAATCAATCGATTCCGATTCTTAATTCTCGATCTATATCTCACAGGGTTGCTAAAATCACAACCGTTTACGAGAGCGATGATTCGATTATAAGCGTCAAGGATTTATTTTACAAAAAGCAACGAGAGCGTAAATCCTGGTGGAGAAAAATTTCCGAAAATCCCTCGATTTACTTTATGAGCGAAATTAAAAGAGATAAGGGCAAAGAATACGCAGAGATCGAAGCACGTTTTCCATTTGGAAATATAGTAGTTGAGACGCTCAATTTCAAGAATAGCGCTAAAAAATTATTACCATCCGTAAGTATTCATAAATTCCAATGGAGTATTTATTTTTGTGTAATTACATATTCAGTATATTTTACTTATGAAAAAAATTTCCATACAATTTGCTGCAGGTTGAAAATAGTCAAAATTTAAAAATTGTTGAACACACATTGTCTTTGGATTGGGGCTGTTTGACGTTATTGTGTGATGGATACATTGAAATTGAAGATTCAAAAGAGTTACAAATGCATCCAAAATTGTTACCATATAAAGCATACTGTAAACCAATTATATCCCCAAGTGATGAAAAAAACATTCAGGAGGATGTGTGTGATTTATCAATTTACATTACTGAATTACTTCGCAAGCAAGGTATAGATTCTATTTTAATGAATGAAGCCAAAAAACCTGAAATTTTCAGAGTACCTTATGTAATAACTGTGGATAGCGAAAGTTTAAAAACTGGGTTGTGTAAACTAAATTGTCAGAGAACTTTATGTGGGGAAATTGTTCATATTACAGATTTAGCAAAACGTGTATCTGATTATTGTATATAAAACATTCTGCATGTGATAGTAGATATTTCCTACAATTCAATCAAAATTTAAGCACATTTATTGTATCATACAAATTAAGATAATAAAAAACATGTACAGTTCAATCATAAATGGAATGATTACTATAGAAATATTAAGATAAATAAATTTCAATATCTTCAAACTAGCTCAACAAAATATTCATTATCAATGGCTCATCTGATTTTATTAGAATAGTCATTTTAATAGATAAAAATCATAAAAGTAACAACATGCTATCAATATAATCGGTAGACATAATTTTATTTAACTCCCTAAAGTTTTTGCAATGTAACTCCAATGTCTGAAAGTCTTAAAATATGCACTTGTACAACTCATAACACTGGAGCGATACAATTGACCTTGTATATAAATTTTAGGCTTAAGATAAATTATACACAATTCGATACAAAACTTCCTGAAGAGCTCAGATACTTTCTGAAAAAAACATTATCTGTACTTGTTTCATGGTTTATTAAATTAATGATCATGAAATATAATTTCCAAAAGAAAGTAAGATAAAAAATTTTTAAAACCGAATATATTTCTAAATCTATAAGTAAATGATTATCAAAAAACGATGCTCGCAAGTAAGTTTTTATGAATTATTATTCAAATAAACACTCAAAATAATGTTCAGCAAAACAGATCTTTGCAACCACTCAAGAAGATAGGAATATGATAAAAGATTCTAAAGAGCAAACATTTGAGGTGCTCAAGACTTGGCAAAATTATATTTTGTGCGCACAAATCTCAAATTTTGCTCAATAATTTGACACATTCGATGTCACATACATACAATGACTTCAGGAGGTTCCTTCAGTCAACATACAATTTGGAGATGTTACACTATAATACTTGCAATTGCTTAAGCTGGTAGAGACAGCTTCTTGCCCTTTAGTACTTTGGTGATATACAAATAGAAGAAATCACAATACAAAACAGTCTGCACAAGACCGGCTACAATGGCAATAAGATCGTAATGGCCTTCCGCATAATAACGATATACCCAGTTCAACAGATACAATCCTCTGTATGAGCCCAGAGCAAAGAGGTAATGGCTGGTGATACTTTCAGCTTCACCAGTTTTTGATACCAAAAATAACTGTGGTAAGATGGCTACAGATTCCAGGTAAATACTGAAAGTCCACAGGATTTCTAGCACAGTAAACTCGTGGTTTATCAGGAGGGCCAAGACTGTTGCAGGAATTATGAGAAATTCAATCCTGAAAAAATAATTATTGAATTATTATTTTGAGTTATTCATTCATAACAAATCTATATGAATTTAATTTATCAATATGCAAAAAAAATTTAAAAAGTTCAAATAGTACTAGTTGCAAGCTGTTAACTTGTAAAAAAATTATATGTCTTATCATCAAGAGATAACAAGCTCAACATTTGTTAATATTCATTTGGCATACTAAAGTATCCGTCAGTATTTGAAAACAAAGCTTTTGCAAATGCCAAAGAGTAACAAAATAAAAAAATTTGCTACATAATTCATCATAGAACACAACGGTGGGAATGGATAAAGCATTGATTGATACGATGGTTTACCTGAACGTATCGTGATTGTGGTCGTAAGTGGCCCTGAATTTCATGTACATAAGAAACAGGGTACCCAGCGACGCGGCGATGAAGACGATTTTCATGAAGGTGTTATAAGCAGATACGTAAGTTGTCACCAGGTCGAGATAGCGCGTCACGTACACGATGGTGAATAGAATTTGCGACTTGCCACTGATACCTGCGAAATAAAAAACATATCGTCATCACAACAATGTCTCGACAGCTTGGACAGTCGATCGGTGTCGATAGCGGCACTGAAAAGTACAATTATAGAAAAAAATATGTTTGCAAGCGCGAATTCGGGTTCGACTGTTACGCGTTTGCGTGTATTTATTATATCTATATATAGACACGTCGTTGTTGCCATTGTATGTATGCGTGCGATGCGGCATAACCTCTTGCGAGCGCATAGTTTAGGTTGATGCGAGCACAACATAATAAAATTGCTAGCGCCACGTTATCATGACTCGCGATAAAGAATGGCAAGTTCTGGCCGCGGCATACTGACCGGCACAACTCCTGGTTTTCCATATTTTCAGCAAAAGCACTATGATAGCCAGCAGATGCGATAAATCACCGAGTAGCCGGAAAATATTCATCTTGATTTGTGTGTGTTGTGTGTGCTGCTGTTGCTGCTACTACTGCTACTAAAGCTGCTGCTGCTGCTGCTGCTACTGCTATATGTGACGTTGGACTGTATCATATACGCTCCTTGCACTGGGACTCGCGAGCCTGTGCGTTTAAAGGAACGTATCGGCTTGGCTGAACCCCGCGTATACACCCGTAGTTTTGTATCGTGCAAGAAGCCAAGAGAGAAACGAATCGCAGAGGTGTGTGCATGAAATGTAAAATGACGAGTGGCAAGTAAAACACGCGTTTACGCGCACACAACCGAGCTCACTATGACGTGGCGGTGGGGCCTGCTGCCTGCTCGCTGAACTGGATGAACTGCTCACTACTGCTGCTGCTGCCAACACAATCGTCGTCGCAAACATATATATACAGGAGCTCTGTATCTGTATATACCTACATATATATATATTTAATAATTGCCAACGTGCACGCAGTCCGTCGATTATACACAAACAAACCGTAGCTCCTCGGGCAGTTTTTTTGCTCGTCTCTCTCTTAAAACGGTCTCTGTAGGCTGCGACACGTTGCAAAAGAGATAGTGTAAAGCAGAGCAAACATCTGATGTATCAGAGGTGCCGACTGATTTTCAATGTTTTTTATTTTTTTCAATTTTACATCTATTCACCATTCCCCATTTCTCTGGATTTCGCTAAAAAAAAAATTAGTGGTCCAGTTGAGGTCAACGTACAGCGTTCGACGACTTTCGAAAACAGTAACCCGAGAGGTACGTTGTTTATCCCCGTTGATCAGGCGTTTCAATTGAATAGTCGCATGCGGACACGAATAATAATTCAGCAGCAGCTTATCGATCGCTCGGCATCGCGATCGATCGAGCAGTTTTGATTAACAGCTGTCAGAAATTGAGCACTAATCGCTCGCCAAACGCATCTCTTTCTCTTTTACGATCTGTTGAAAACAAAATAGGAAAATGCTGTTATTGTATCCCCCGAGCTTGATGCGCGCATCGATGTTTACTGCACTATGAACAGATAACGGGACCACATCGGGCTACCTACCCGTAACTTAATAAGCTCTCTATGTCCGCTCTATCGGACCAACGGTTAACGTAACTTTTTTATTCTTGCGTTGAGAATAATATTATAAATAGCGACGGGCTATAGCAAAATAAATAAAAAAAATTAACGGTGCGCGCGAGCGAATACTTGTGTTTTTCGAAAAATTCATATTCATTATTCGCGTGATTCAGATGTCGAGCAATTACAACTTACAACAAAAGCCGCAGAGAATTAACGAGCTCAACACGAGAGCAAAGGCTCGTATGCAACAAAGAAACGCGTTCACGCGGCCTGTCGACGACGATCTGTCAAGGCTGTTTAATTATGTACACACAAATGGCGGGGGCCGTTCCTCCCCGATGAATCATACCAATTTCGAGATTTGGAAATTTCTGCGAAAAAAATAATACATCGCGATTCAAACGAATCCAAAGAGTATTACGTTTCTAATGCCTTCCCGTGGGCCAAGCTGTCGAGAAGTTAAACGCGATCGTGCGAATTGCCATGCGACGATTCGCGAGAGCCTCGAAAACGAAAAATGAGAGGAAAAAATGAAGAAGAAGGCGCATCGAAAATAGCCGGTGGCCGCTTTGCAGCGAAGCTCGCCCACTTAAATAACTTTTTTTACATAACAACGGAAACGCAGTCGCATCTTGTGTGCCCATGCGAAATTTGTCCCGCGATTCGGAAATCGGGACGCGCGCGCGCCAATCTTCCTTACCGACTCGGTTTAAAAGGCCGCTATTATTGCTGCATGTTAGCAAAGTCGGAGCAGGCTGCAGCTGCCGCAGCTTGGAAAAGCGTGTGCACCGTGCAAGCGTCGCATGTTCACGCAGCTTCTCGCTAAAAGCACTCAAGTCGCGGCTTCTGACGCGCGCTCAAAATTCGATCGGCTCGATACCGTATCGCAAATAGGTCTATACGCTTTCGTGCCTGTATAATAGCACTTAGTCACGAGTGTCAAAGCTTTCGGCGAGTGTCTCCGCTCGCGCGCACTCGATACATATATTTGGACAGCGAAAAAGCTTACGAGAGTCGATTATTTCTCGGAAATCGCGGCGATATTCGCGAGCGCGGAGGCCCACTTGTTACGGTAAGCCAGCCAACTCCATGTATAGGTATATAGTCGGCGGCGGCGCGGCCGATAGAGGAAAGAAGAGGACAGACGTAGATTGCGGCTACCCCGCCTCGCGCTCGAGCTACTCTGCTCCGCGCAGTCCGCGTGCTGTTTTATGATGCTTATCCCCCCTCCAGCGAGCCAGAGTCGAAGTTAGCGGCCGAGAGATGAGTCATACTCGAGCCGCCGTGCCTAGCGGCCGCCGATTATTCGCCCAAGCCAGACAAGGACGGCTACGTTCATCTGCTGCTGTTTTGCGAACATAACACCAGCAGCAGCAGCCGTGGCGGCGGCGAGCGCACACATAGCGAGCGATACTTATAACTTATACACAAGACACGGACGGCAAAGAGACAGCAAAAAAGTTATCGCGACACAAGAGAGAGAAGAGAGTGAGAGAGAGAACGAGAGAGACCGCCCTGTGCTGCTGCTCTGTGACTTTTGCGACTGCTGCAGCCAGGCAAGAAGAGCAGCGCACACGGACGACGAAAAACACAGCGTTTACATTTTATTTTTAAAATACGCCTCCGACCCGAGTGCGAGGACTGCGGGGAGTCATACGTCGCGTATTCGTCGCGCGAGCGGACTCGATAGTACTTTGTACGCTCGGTGCAGTCAGTGTTTGCCAAAAAGAACAATCGCGAGTGCAGCCGAGAAGGAGCAAGAAAAAGTGGAGTTGCGTTTATAATGTACAAAGAAGACGGTGCATTGTAGGCTTGCAGCGCGATTCGCGAGTGCCTCCGCGAGTATATAATACATAGCGCGGCTACTCGCGCACACACCAGCAAGTGTATATCTACATGTTGTTAGTTATAATACGCAATCCGCGAAGGAAAGGCCAGCAGCAGCAGCACGCCAACTGCTCGGCAGCAACTCCTCGGCAGCGCGCCGCGGAGGAGGAAAGAGAGCGTGAAGTGTATTAACGAGGAGAGAGTGCAGAATTGCTAAGCTCATAGCCATGCACTCGAGCTGCGAGCTGCTCGGCCAGATATATTATTGCTGCTTTAGAGAAACCTAAGCCTGATGTTCTCGCGCTTCGATACGTTGAATATCAAAAAGTCCGCAAGAAGAGCGTTTGTTCATACGTGAGTGCGCGCTTGATTGTGTGAGACAGTGCGACAGACGAGTGCTTTTTTTCGTCTGTTTTTTTTTCGCTCCTCGTCGTGCCATTGCTGCATTCGCGCGAAACGACACATACGATACTCGACCAAGAGCCGCAGATCGTGATATGCTCCAAGCGGCTGCAGCTGCAGTGCGGAAAACGATGACGAGGAGCTGCTCGTGTAGCGGCACAACGACGACAACGACTGCGACCAACATAGCGACAGACTTCAGCGAGAGCTCCGAGACGGGGATGAAGATGATGACACAGCAGCACAATAATAACCGATGTTCTGCTGACGATTGTGTCGTTGGTCAATTCTTGCAGCTATGACTGGCCTAGCCTTTTTCGGCCTGGCCGTCGTGCCTAGCCTGATTATCAACAGGCTCAATTGCTGCTCCGGTTTTGGATTAGTTTTGCTACTTCTGCAACTATTTGCTAGTTGTCAAGCTAATCCATTGCCAAGCAATTTCCACCATGCCTCCCTTGGTAAGCTTGTTTCTTTCATTGTGCTTTTTAAATTCAGAAATCAATGACACATTTTTATTGTAATGTCATTAAGCAATACAATTGTTAGTTTCAATGATGCATGTTTTATCTCAAGAGTGTTATTTAACATCAATTAATTTAGGTGCTAATGTGCCAAGCGAGCATTGGGAAACCAGTTGGCTTATGTATGGCATAAGTTTGCTGGGGATCACAACGACAACTTTTACTCTGGTTGGCTGCTTATGCTGTCGTCGTAAACGACCAAAAGGGTTTAAGGTACATTATTATTACTTAAAATTTATAAATTACCTTCTAAAGTAAATAAGCCACACTGATAAGTATCAAATGTGCCATATTATTAGGATATTTGAAGTAACGCTCAAAAGTATCAATTCACTTAAATTCTTCTTGCAAGCCTGATACTAGGTGTATTATTATTTAAATTACAAATAAGTATGGCAATTATTTGTTACAATGTTAGAGAATTGTAAGATTTGCAAGCCAGTATCGCTATTATACTTTTTTAATCAAACAATCAATTTACACGAGTAAAAATGCACAATATTTTTTTGTTTTTTGCTCACCAACAGGAGAATTCTGAAGGAAGTGTAAATAATAAGGTAAAAATTGAATGTCGAGCAAAACAAAATTTGCTAATGCTGCATCACTTAAATTTTAATTTTCTAATTTCATTGGCTCTATATTGGTTGAAAAATTATAACTGTTTTAGTTGAATGTGATATTTAAAGCTTCTTAGTGTGTCTAAACCCATATGTTTTATTGCTGCCTCATGTATATAAAAATAAAAAAAACCCAACTTTGCATATACATTTAGAGCAACACTTATTTATATTAATTTTATATTTGAGCATATTATTTGTTTTCCTCACCTCTACAAAACCGTTAGATTCTGTCAAGCTGTTGTCGCTATATTTACGAATCTACATGTATATTCGTTAGTGAATTCTAAAAATATATGTTCAGCACCGTTTCTTTATTTTTTACAAACGTCGAAACTAATAACTTTAACAACTATTCTTATCGATCGATGTGCTTTTTTCTTTTTCTACCTTTTTCACCAAAAACAAAACGAACCAACGCAAAAACGTCCGGCAGGAATTCAAGGATGCTTGCACGATCGAGAACGACGCGTCTCTGCCGCAGATGCAGGGCCTCGAGCTGCAGGTACCGATCAGCACGAGCCTCAACGAGTGCGTGCAGTTCGAGCCGATCGCCGTGGAGCGCATCGTGCCCGAGTCGCTGCTCGGCAACAGCAGCATCAGCCACAGCGGCCTGACCCCGTCGCCGAGGCCCAAGCCGCCCGCGGCGCTGCAGCAGCAGGACAACACCGACTGCGACAGCGAGTCCGACGCCTCGACCCTCAAGGACTCGTGCCACGAGTGGTTCCAAAAGACCGATCTGCACGTGCCGCGCGACAAGCTCAAGTACCTGCGAGAAATCGGCCACGGATGGTTCGGCAAGGTCGTCGAGGGCTGCGCCGACATTCAAGCGCTTCATCAGGTATGCGCGCACACACTCGTTGGTTTATTGACTCGGAAATATATATATCTATAAGCAGCGTGTCGGTTACGTGAACGCCGCCGCGTGTGTGTTATCGTCGTCGCTATACGAGCGATGATTCATCGAGCGCCACTCGCGATTACAGATGATATCAGCAATGCGCAGATGTGCAAGCAGTCAATAACGCGCCAACCGTTTGTACGCTTTTTGCAGAACAAGTCGCCAGTCGTCGGCGGTGCAGTCAACAACTTGGGCAGCAACGTCGTGGTGCGCATCCTGACGGAGGAGGCGACGGCGCGCGAGAAGGCCTGGTTCCTCGGCGAGGCCACGCCGTACTTCAAGCTGCGCCATCGCAACATCCTGTCGCTGTTCGGCTCCTGCCTCGAGTCCGATCCGTATCTGCTGCTGTTCGAGGCCTGCCCGCTGGGCGACCTCAAGGGCTTCCTGCGCACCAACCGAGACCTGCAGTCGCGCCAGGCCCTCGTCAACGAGAACATGCCGACGAGGATCGCCATCGAGGTGGCGGCGGGTCTGCGCCACATGCACGAGCACGGCCTGACCCATACCGATCTCGCCTCGAGGAACTGCCTCGTCGCCTCGGACCTGTCCATCAAAGTCGGCGATTACGGGCTCGGCGTGGAAAAATATCCTGCCGATTATTACGTGCTCGGTGAGTCATCGGTGCTTTTGTTGACGCAATTAGACGAGGCGCGCGCGCTTCTATCGATCGGAGCGCGTGCTTGAATTTTCATCGTTACAATTAAACGCACACATGCGGGGTACGTCGCCGCCACGATATTAGTTTGTAGGCTCGACTGACAGAATCTCGCTCCGTCTCTCTCTCGCCCGATGTGTGACTAATAGTTTTACTCAAATTTCTATATATATCTTTTATCATCGAGAGCCTTGTGTTACCGCGTCGCGAGCATGAGTATTTTTCTGTTTTACTTCGACTTCCGTTCATGTGTGCGTCTAGTGCTTACAACGGGTATTAGTAAGCGTTCATTATATTCATCGGCTGTGTGAAATTTCTATTGGCATTGTACACGCGTTGTGCATCATCGTTTTTTAAATTAACCAAATGAATTTTTCTACCTGAATAATCGGATAGAGGCAGTGAATGTGTACATATACATGTATGTAACACGTGCTCCGATGCATGTACGCGGGATTAAACACACGCTCGTTATAATAGAATCCGAAGAAAGTGAACGTTATGATTGCTATAATCAAACGTTGAATCAGCATATATTTTTTCTTCGTTCGTTTCCGCACGCATACACTCATTTATGCACACATGTATACATTGTTATTATTCATGTATCTGATGTAGATGCCAACTTTTCCAAGTAAGTTCATGGATATAGAATCTATAGATATGTTTCGAAGCAGCAAAAAAACACGATCTTTTTTTTTTATTTTAAATAATGTTCGCGTACAACGGATAAAAGTCGAAGGAAAGGAGTAGCAAGGGGGCCGGCTAAGCGGATCTTATCCATTTCAAAATTTCATCGAGCAAGAAATTAACAAAGCAGAACCCATCGAGTGTATAGCGGGAAAAAAATTAACCAATCGGAACTGTTGCGCTTTGAATTTACCTGGAAGCACTTTTACTCACTTCCTTTATTTTTTTATTTTTTAAATTGTGCGTGCTAATTCTTCCTTTACACATCGAACGCGTAAATTCGCTACCACTGGATGACTAATTTTCTTCGTTCCTTTTATTTACACACTTTTTTTATTTCAAACGCAGCTTTATTCATGCATTGGTAATTATTTGTCACAGGCGACAGAGCACTGCCGATACGCTGGACGGCGCCCGAGACAATCGAGTGCACGGAGACGACAGTGCAGACGCGTGAGATCACTGTGAGAGCCAACGTGTGGAGCTACGCGGTGCTACTTTGGGAAATAGCTCGCTGGGGAGAGCGGCCTTACGACGACTTGGGCGACGAAAAAGTCATAGAATCGCTGCTTTCGTCGTCGCGCACTCCGGCGGACAAATTGGCGACGGCTCGCACGCTGCTCGACAACTGCCAGGGCTGCGCCAGCAATCTGATCGAGGCGATCGATGCCTGCCTCGTGCTCGAGCCCGAAAAGCGGCTTCCTCTCGAACGCGTAAGTTTACATCAACTGCGCTCTACATGTTTGTCTGAATTTTTTTATTTTCACGGTCACAGTTGCTTACCTATTACTTAATATTTTTTCTAGGTGAGACACGTACTTTTGCGGGAACAGCTCGAATCGGAAAGCTCGGACTTCGAGCAGCGTTGGGAAACTTTGCGGCCAAACACAGCACCGCAGACGCCTTTCCATCAGCAGCTCCAACAGCAGCAACAGCAACCGCGAAGTGCCAGTTTACAGAATCTACGAGGTAGTCTAGATTCCGAGCAGTGGCCGAGCTTCACGCAGACGCTTACGTCGTTCCGTTTGGGTCCCGAAGAACCAGTGAAAAATGTGCCACGCTCTTTGAGATTGCCCTTCCGTGAATCTGACTCCGAAACCGAGGAAGAAAGTTGGCGTGGTCGTGTCGAGCGCGGCGCTTACACCGAAAAAGTCAAGCAAAAGAGCAAATCTGTTGCCGATCTCATGGTTCTCGTCCATATTGAACCAGAATCCGATGCCGATCTATCGCTTGGACCTCAGGTTAGTTGGAGTTAAAAGTCTCTTACAATTGATGTTACCCAAACTGATGTTTATCTTTCGCTGTTACAAACGTAATTTCATTATATCTTATTTTATCGCAATTACTCAACAGATATCTATGTCGGACAAGGCATCATTATGTAAAAAAAGATTGCCGGTTACTGGCAGTGACGGTGACTTACCTAGTGCTGTGTTCCACGATCAGTTCGATTGGGCGCTAAAAAAACTTCGAGACCCGTTGTCTATAGGCAACAGTTTGCGTGTGCCTCGATCGTTGATATCTGCAGATCGACCCAAGTTACTCACTCTCACAACAGACCATGGTCAAACGCCGATTCTTCGATTAGCAGTCGATTCAAAAGACGAAAATATTGCCCACGAAGTTACAGAAGAAACTAGTACCGTCCAAGCTTCAAACATGTCTTCTTCACCTAGTAAGCCAACCAACTAATCAAATTTTCACATTTTTTTATACTCATTAAATCCAATTTTCTTCTCAACAGACGTCCTATCCCCAACAGCACATGTTTTAACGTTATTCCCTAAAGATGATACAAATCAGTCCTTACTGCGCTATAACGACGAAGCTTCTGAAACTCCTGCCTCTGGGGGTGCTATCGCTGAGCCTGCACCTTTATCGGATATTGAAAAATCACAATCTACGCTAGCTGATATTACTGAGCCGAGCGAAGATGATGTTCCACCACATTTAGCGAAAAACATTCAAGTGACAGATTTGGACGAAGAAAGTGACGCAGAGCAAACAGTTGTAGTAAACAAACCCAGAGTGCAAGAGGACAATAATACATGGAACGAGGCACTCACTACGGCTTTGGAACAAAAAACCGTGGCTCCGAGCGCTTCCATTACAACAACTCCGACGCACAAAAATGAAGCAACGAACGAAGAGACAATAACTCCGTCGCCTCAATCTCGAGCAGAATATTCCGCTGAAGACGTCGAGGATGAGTTTTCGAACGCCGAGGATCTTCCTGGTAAAATTGTTTTCTGGATTTAAAATAAAATTATTCTCGAAATTTGTATGTTAATTCGAAAATATTACAGGTTTGTCAAAGCATCAACTACCAATGGATGAAGAAGACGACCGAAAGCGCATGTCAACACCAGACGATGAACGAAGTTCGGATTCGGGCTTCCGTGATAAAGAGTCATGCGAAGAGGAAGAGAGTCCTTTGCCCGGTCCCTTGCCTAAACTCGATAGTGTTTCCCAACCTGACAATGCTGAGGAAGAGCAACTTCGTATATTACTCGAGCTCGATACGATACTCGATGCCGAGTGTTACGGTACTCTTGGCGAATCACTTGAACAGAATCAGCAACAGCAGCAACAGATGCTTGATAAATCAGCAAGCTTAGAGGTAACAGTTTTTTTATTTTATCTGCCATTAGTTTGAAGTCTGACTCAACAAAATCTCATAATCGATTATGATGTGATTCACTCATACAGATATCTTCAAATTCATCAAAGAATCTATCGGATAAGCCAGATATTGAAACAGAAACTGAGAGCTCTGACACAGTACAGTCATCGAGTGAGGCCACGGTCATTACTGAGCGCGAAAACATTCAAATTGACAAGTCCGCAAGCGATGATACGAACGTCAGTTGCTGCGTTCTTCTAGATTCGCAGCCAATATTAGATTCCGATTCTACGTCTGGAGGTGCTGGTGCGGCCAATACGGGCAGCGACGAAATCAATAATACTCAGGCTAATCTCGAAGATGAGGATAGTTCTACCATGTCAATGCGTAGTGATAACTCCTACGTTTCATTTGCTATGGATGAGGAGTTTGTCGCTGCTATTAGAAACGAGTTGAGGGAAAAACTCCCTCAAGCTCAAACAAGCATCGTTGAACAACAGGATCCGCGCGATGATGATGATCCATCACTTGTCGGCGATGTAGACAATAGAAACTGGGACGACGAAGATGAACTTGGTGATCGTAGTGGTACTATAGATATATCCATTAGGTACGTATTATTCAAATGATTAAATATTCGTATTTTGATCGATCTATTTATTGAACGTTTCTCAATGTTTTTAAGGTATAACTCTTTCGGAACACCTCTTAGTCCGATAATGGAAGAACGTGAAAATTCAAATAATTCTGACTCCACGAATAATAAAGATGAGTCGCAAGATGCTTCGACTGCATCTAAAGGTAATGGTAGTTCAATATCAGAGGACGACGTACTCCTTATCGATACACAAACGAATCGAGCCACGCTTGTGGAAGGTGTACCGGCATTAGCTCACGATACGGAGGTAATTTATAATTATCCATTTATAAAAAAATCTCATTTAACAAATTCTTTAAAAATTTGTAAATATATACTTTTTAGGAACTATCCAACTGTAACGATAGGGAGAATACAGAATCTCATCCACAAGTGACTCCTCAGCACCAAAGATTCGGCGGAATAGTGTCCGGTTTATGTACAGGGGCACCTATGCCCAGTCCCGAAGAAGAAGGAAACTTGTGGCATACAAATCATCAGCTAAATAATTTATCGACTCAATTGGAGGACAATCTCATGTCGACAAGTTTTGCTAGTGAAAATTGGGATAGCGAGGACGATGAGCCAGGCAGCGAAAGTTTGGCAAACGATCCGGACCACACGCGTGACGATAACGATGACGACGATGATGATGATGACGACGACGACGAAGGAGAAGATGGTCCGATGGACGAAGAAGATGAAGAAAAAGATGACAATAGTTCAAGTTCAGGAGAATTCGTATGGATGGTAAAAAATTTGTTCATAAATTAGTTTGAACTTTTAAATATATTATTACAAGTTTTATTATTCCCTGTAAATATTTTCTAGGAGTTTAATCAGAGGGAGGGAAATGAACACGACAGTCCGTCAGTAAAAAAATCAACAAGGGATGATGATGCCACTAATGACATGGAAGAAGATTCCGAAAGTGACGGAGATGAAGAAGACGAAGAGGATGAAGAGGAAGAATTTACTCCGTCAGCATGGGATGCAACTTTAGCTCCTCATCGTTCGGCATTAAGATCGCCCGATAAATCTCAAAGAACAGGGGTAAATAGTTGTTGCAGTTGAAAATTCTTTTACTATCCATAACATTACATGATATTTTTGTTTTCCACAGGATCAGAAGAAGAGTGTTTGGTTTAAAAAGCAACGGTATCATTGTGTTTACGAGTATCCTAAAGAAACGCCGCCAATGGAAAACAGTCCGGCTGTACCTTACTGGGAGGCTACTTCATACTCAGGTTTGTCTTTAAAATTATCCTTCACCCCGCCATGGTTATTGTTCCACGCGTTCAAGAATGAACATACATTATTTTTCGTTATTTATTTTTATTGAAACAACCAAATTTCTACCATGGTTCTTTCCATGCGACAAACTAAAATGTAGCGACCGTGATGAAGTTTGATCAGTGGGGTCTCAACGCACTAGTTTATGATTTCTTTTACGTTTCGTTAATTATTTTACTTTTTTACGTAGACTGGGAAGAACTGATCAATAACATGGATAGATTGAATTTCCAACCGATGGATTATTTTGAATCTAGCAATACCCGTAAGTTTTAATAGTGGTATTGAAGCGCTATAAAAACTCTTATGGAAAAGTTTCCTTCAATGAACCAGTGAAAAGACGATCAATTTTTCGTTTTTTCCATAAGAGTGTCTGTACACCAAAAAAGCTATTTTCTCTATTATGCTATAGTGGCGTAAGGGAACTTCTAGGCTCACAACTTTTTAGCTACCTTATTGCAATTATATAAAATAATCACGCTTTCTTCAGAACACCTAGCAATCGTATTTATTCCTTCTCTCAAAGATCCCTTACGCAAATAATGACCAATTTTCATTCATGAATAATAATTGGTATCTCTTGAACTCACAGGTGCAGGCGCAGAGGAGGAATTCTTTGTTAGCAGTTCAAACCGTCCCTTCCAGTTTCAGCCAAAATTTGCCAGCCAATTTTTCCCAGGTGCTAGTGGTTCGTCGCAAGATAAAAATTCGACGCAAGAGCAACAGCAGCAGCAGCAACAACAGACACCAAGACCCGAAGAATCGCCATTTACAAGCGATAGACAACAATTGGGTGAGCTGAGACACACGCGAGATCGTCTGACGCTGAACTTCGGTTTAGCCAATGGCAATCGCATATTACCATTGTGCAACCCAGTAAGGCACCATCACGCTCTTTTCAATGACGACGAGGAAGAAGAGGAAAATGGCAACGAGGTTACCAAAACAACAACGATAACAGAGCAACCGCAGCAACAACCGTCGACTGAAAACTCGGCGATAATACAAACTTCCGTGAAAACGTCGCCGTCCGACGGGCCCGCGTTACCCAGCGCAGCCAGCCTCCAAGAGTCCAAAAGTAACAGTCGTGATGACCTCCAATCCGATTAGTTATTAACCTTTGTAAATGCGAGCGAGACTTACGTATAAAAAGTCATTTGTGATGTTTTCGTAGTTTTTCTTCACTTTCAAGGTTTTTAGTTTTTTTCCCGTTTGGAAAAAATGTAATAATGTCTAAAAAAGTGAGATAATTAATAGGACGGGTGAAAAGCCAACTCATTTGTACGAAGCTTCGAGAGTTTATAGAATTTTTAATACTACGATGTACGATATAGAGTAGATTATGATGTAGCGTGTGATAATTGAATGTTGTGTAACGCGTGTGATTTTACATAGTCTAGGGAAAAATTTATGTTATCATGTGTCAAAAATGTTTATTTTCTGTACTATATTTTGTTTTTTTTTTAATAACACATAAATGTTTTAGTTTTGTTGTTTCTGATTGATGGCCAACGTTTACCAAATGTATCGTTTCAGGGCCGTAATACGTATTCGTAGGTATTTTTCAACTTAAATATTTTAAAGGTATAACGTTATTTATATATATCGTGATATAATCCATATCTGTTTGGTTTTTGATTTTTTGCTTCGTTTTATTAACTATGTTTGATAGTTAACCAAATTTTCGAGGCGAAAAATCAAAAGCAATCAACAAACATAATACAGTGTGTTCCTATGGTTAGGAGCTTTTTGTAATATTAATTAACGACCGTAGAATTTATTCAGTATCTCGTACTTTTCAACCAGCGAAACGCTTCGTGTGAAAAATGTTGGAATGAGATGAAAAAAAAAACCAGCAAACGTTGTCAAAGCAAAATGTCTAGAAATAAAAAGAATATCTCTGATCGGCCAAAGTCCGTCCGGAAGAATCTCTGCGGATTCCTTTTTTGTATATAGTGGAACGCGATTCAACATAAAACGAGAATCGAATCAGTCCACGTGGTGATAAAAATCAAATTTAGAAATCATGTCACTTCGAATAATTTAATTCTATAGAATTTGTAAATATAAAAATAGTGTAATGCATACCTCCTTTTACCACATAGCAGTTCATCATGATTGCACTATTGTAAGAAAAAGTTGGTAGTGCCTGAAGCATTGAATCCAGTATCATAATGCGATCGGATAATAATATCATTCGTTGTTGTAACAATCGTGCGAAATTCGCCACGTATACTCATCCGGTGTTTTGTTAATTAATATATCGATTCATTGAGCATATATATTTCGTATACATTTACATAGCTCTCTACTATATTATCTATTATTATTATTACTTATTATTACATTATTACTATTATTAAAGTTGTAATCATTACTAAGAATCCTATTATCTGCATAATAGGAATCTCGCGATGAAAAAGGAAAAAAATGTATAGCCTAACGATCAGTCTTCAACTAGGACGTTGTTTTATTCGTACATCGATGTGAAATCTTGTTCATATACTTTAGTAAAACACTTGAGTTTTTTATATTATGCCGAGCGTAGCGCGTTGGGTTCTAATTTATAAAAAATTATATGTATAATCATGATGACGGAGACGGGTCCATCAATCTTGTATATTCGCAATATTTGCGAGAATTAAAAGGAAAGAAAATCAAGAAAATTAATTAATTAGAATTTCGTGTATCAACTTGATTTCATTTAAATAATGGGCCTAGTTAGAAAACACGAATACCAAGATATTTTTGTTTTAATTTTGAACAAGACTATAATTTTAATGAGACTTCATCGTCATCAATAATTCAAAGATTACGAAAGTTACCGTATTAATTACTTTTTTAACGATTGTATCTGTATCAATACGATCTATTCTAGTACTCACCGCAATCATTATTCGTCATCATAAAAGTCTATAGCATACTATTTGATTGTAGGACAATTAATATATTGTTATACATAAATTACTTGCAGTTTTTTGTCACTTACCTTTTGACTTTCCTAAAATTCAATCAATCCAATCACGTTCTTTTCGTTTAAAAATTTCATGTAAGTATATTTTTGGCTGTTGATGATGCTAACAAAATCGCTCGATGGTAAGTTTACCACAGTTTACGTCAGATATATATGGTATACAATTAATATTGGAATAATACGATTAAAATATCTTGTAGTAAAAATGTTATTTAAAAAATATTTAAAATTCTACATACAAAACACTTGTAAATATCTTAAATTCGAGAAAATATTTTTACAAGCTAGTGAATAGTGTAGTATTACATACATGTAGACGTGAGAAAGCATGTATCATGTATGTGCAGTACTTGGTGAATAATTTTTGTCAGTAATCGAAAAAAAGAACGAAAGCCATTTTAAAGTCGTGGCACGCCTAATTATGACAAGATTGAAAAAAAAGTTGTTCTTTTTTTACGAATTTGCAATAGCAATACGAGTGCATTATGAGTGTTATTAAAGATTAAAAAAAAAAAACACGGATAAAATCGATTTAAAAATAAAACTAATTTTTGGCTATCACAATATTCTAGGCAACAGGGGTATTTTTACGTATCACTGCTCCATAAACGCATTCACTCACACGCATATACAATATAACACATAAACAGTCGCACACGCACTATGGACAAACGTCGTCGGTATGGCTTGAAGATATTTTTCATTGATAAATTCTAACGTTAATCAGTTCAATGACCAATCCACTCGTAGCGTAGAAAATACTTGTTGCGCCGCCTCGGATCTCTTGGGATGTTATTTCATACTTGGCTGCTGCGGAGTCGCGGCGCGCTGCAATTCGCAACGATTTAATGTCTCGCTGCTCTCAGCTCTTTAGACGACGCCATGAGTAAGGTGGCCTGCAGAAAAAAAACAAGAACGGGCAATTTTAGATCTAACTTGCTTGGCATTTAATTTAATTTTTTTTATTGTCGTAAAACTATAATGATGCATTGATGAAATGCGACGTCGCAATATGTTTAAGCGTGTGCACGAGTCTCTTTCCGCTCAAGCGGCTAATTCGATTTGAATTAGAAATATGTCAAAGCAATGGTATATGACGCTCAACAAGCACGTTAAAATGAGACGCAATTAGATAGCCTTGTGCGTTGTTGTTGTGTTTTTTTGTCAACCTTTCATCGATGCACGTACTATCTGGTTGGTAGATTATCCTCTACCTTCTCGTCGGAATCGCTGCCTCGGTCCTTGGCTAATTGCTCGAGTCGGAGCTTGTAGGAGCGATGATGATGCGACGTAGCCGCGGTCTGCGCCGCAGTTTCGTCGAAACTCGTGACTCGGTCCGTACCGACGGTCGCATCTGCCGCGGCGCCGATCGTGGCTGGATCGCGCGTGGTCGAATTGGCCGCTTGGCTCGAGCCGTCGGCATTGGCGTTGCAGCTCGTGTCCTGCACACGCTGCTGGCGCTGCTGCTGCTCGACGTCGGCCAAGCTCCTCTTGGCCTTGAGTATCGGCAAGTTGCGCGCGAAAAAGTCGCAGTAGAAGAGGAGCTGGACGATGCCGCTCGAGACGGCGATTCGGTCGACTTGGCTGAGCTTGACGTAGACGTAGAGCCAGTGGCTGATGTAGCAGCCCAAGTGCAGACCGAGACAGGCCACGTAGGAGACGACGACGGCCTCGACCTGCTTGCGCTTGGAGACGAGGTAGACCTGGGGCACGATCGCGACCGATTGCAGGAACAGGCCGAACGTCTGGAGCACGGCTACGGTCTCGAAGCGCTCGCTCAAGAAAAGGCTGAAGACGGCGCACGGCAGCATGAGCAGCTCCATTCTGTAAACATTGCAAACGCCGTTAACGAGCGCATTTAGTGATGCGCGCAGCAACGGCCACGCTCGAGAGAGTGCATTTCTAATGAATTTGAAAAATAAACTCGCGTCGTTTACACAACTCGCGCTGCGCATCGTCGTCGTAATATAATATAAAAGACGCGTTCAACGACCTTGGCCGCGCGTTCATAAAATATTTATGGGGTTGTCTCGACGCAGGTGCGCGCATCTACGCGTGCAACATGATAAACAATAAATACGATCGTAACGAGCGTTCAGCCGCGTGTGTTATATCTCGAGTATCCGCTAATAGGCGCGTGCGAACGTTAATTAACGCACGGCGATACTATAGTTGAATGTAGACGAGAGAAGTGCAGCGCGCGTGCTGTATATCAAACGATTCGAGGCTCGCTCACCTGAAGGCGTCGAACTTGCGCTCGCGGGTCCTCCGGAACAGGAGGTAAATGGTGAGCACCGTGAGGTAGGAAGCGAGCACGTAAACGATCTTCAGTATGGTGTGGTAGACCGAGACGTGCGTCACCGTCAGATCCGTGAAACGCGCCGTGAATGCTAGCGCCTGCAGCAGCTGCGTTTTCCCGCTTATTCCTGCAAGCACAGATCGGTAGCAATATAATACATATATAATACATTTACACACATTAAATACGTGCAGCGTGTAACAATCGTATTCGATTCACGGCACGCGTTCGTATCGTTCATTAGCATGTAGCATGTATATTTGTAAAAATTACCGATCGGCGACATCTGCGTGCTCTGCCGATCACGTATCGTTCCTTTTTTTCTTCTATTTTTCCTTCTTCTTCTTCTTCTTTTTTTTTACATAATCGCCGCAATAAAAGACAATAAGATACGCGTCGCGTTCGCATCGGCATCATAGTGTACAGTACACTATAAAACTACTGCGAGAGTTGGCGTGCAGTGCGTTCGAGATTTCATGGTCAAAATAGCTCTTTTAATACAGTAGTAAATACGCGGCGCATTACAAATTCTCGACGTCCCATCAAGGATTCGCTTCTATGCTTACGTGCCTACATTATAAATCAAACTTTTACGCACGATATACCGTAGACAAGGGATCGCAATTACCCTCGATGTATCGTGCCTAGACTTTTTCTCTCTCGTTGAATTTGTTATTTCAGAGAACAATACGCGAAATGCCACTTTGGTTTTTCATCGCGTGCCGCTCTTACAGTGGATATAGGCTGTGGACTGCACGCACGATATTTTGCAACAATGACGGATATTATTAGTGACCGATCGCGCGGCTCGCGTCCACACGCACAACCTAGCTAGTCGATATAATTTTCCACGCGAGATGCGACTCGCGAAGCTTTTCCATCCGCAAAAGGGACACCTGTCAATCGTTATGAGTTCTCTAACGCGAGTTATAACTGTTTCCGGCAGCCCATGCGGACTGATTTACTCGCAGTCCACTCGATTCGGCCGCTTTTTAAGACTTTCGCGGAACTCGAAATATTTATGACACAGTACACGGTAAATATAGCTGTGGGAGCCTAAAAACCCGATCGAGTGTAAAGCTGTAACAGAAAAATAGCTCTACTTAGGCAGGAGCTCTTTCTTTCGTTATTAGGTTAACGAAGCAACTCTCCACGACGACCACTTGCATGCAGTCGCGGCGATGCATCGAGCCCAAGTGGCGCGGCGCAGGCCTCGCGTCGTTCGCCCCCATCGCGAGCAACGCATGACGGGTATACAGCTCCTTCGAGTCACGATACATTTTCGCTACTTACACGCTCCAATAAACAAATTAGCGATGGGAGCCGCGATAAGAGTCGAGCGACGTGATCGTAAAAAGACTCGACTCGTTACACGATATATCAACGGCGAATTGGGCTGCGCACGTGAGCCAAGTATATTTTTGTAATAAACAACAAACGCATGAGACTCACCGGCGCAGTTCTTGGTGAGCCAGAGCTTGGCCAGCAGTATGATCATTCCCACTAGGAGAATGTAGTCCCCCAACACCTGCATGATATCCATCTTGGCGTCTCTCTTTAAATGTCACGCACGCACACACGCACTCACACATAGACTCGATCACGAGTCGATTGCGAATTTTCTTATTCACAGCACCGATTCATCGAGCGATCTCAGTAGCAGCAGCAGCACGACTACTACTCGTGGGTGTGGATCATGGCGATATATAATATGTATCAGAGCGCGTGTCGAGCCAACATAATGGCACGTACGACGCCGATGCTGTATGCGCGATGGAACAACAGACGTCGGCAGAGGCTGACGTTGAACTGATCTCGCTCCGAAACGTACGCTATTGTACACGGTGCATGTGCACCCGACGCCGAGTCGCTCCTGCGAATATTACATGCCGTGCCGTGTGTGCGAGCCTAGATGTTCGCGGCATATGTCGGAGCTCGCAGGATCCCCCACCTCTGCTCGGCTCCGTTTCCATCTCTCTCTCTCGTTCTCTCGATTCTCCAAGAGAGACTTGAAATATCGCAATAACTGATACCTACGTGTGAGCGTGTGCGTACATTATGGGTGTGTTTGTAAGCCTCGCTTATGCCCCGGCACGTATGAATAGAAACTTTAGCGAGCCAAATAAATGTCTGCGTGCGGATGAAATCGTCAGGAAATCGGCACAGCTTCGAGCTTATCTCCCAAGACTCCGGCCGGCGCGCGCGCGCACTATTACGATGCTGCCGGCTGCTTTATTTTCTGCTTTCGAGATACATTCTCATGGTCGTCGTCTTTCACGCACCGATGGCTTTGCGACATTTTTGAGAGAAAACAATTCGAAATTAAGAACAAATAAAGCTTCTTTCATCGATATAAATTCATGCGCGATAATTGGCCTCTACGAGAGACCGTGTGTGTGTATTTATGTTATGACACGACGATTTTAAATATACGACGGCCTTTAAATATGCATTGGATAATTGGAGTGTTGGGGATTTTAATCGACAGCTCGTGGCGCGCGAGAAAGGGGGTGTTTTTAATTGAACTCCATTATCGACGGCTTTGTTTGTTATTGTGCCCATCGCAGAAAATTTTTTGCAGTTGCTATTGTTCCATTTCCGATAAGATTTTTCAGTAATTGCCAATCTGATTCTCGATTTTGTCGATTATGGAGCAAACGATACAACTCGACTTGGAAACGATTGAAAATTTTTACTCCAATGAGTACTTTAAGGTCTGCAAAATTCTCAACTGCATGGCTGGTCTGTGGCCCTACAAGGGCTACATGGACAAATTGTTGCGCAGAGTCATCGTGTCTATCGTCATTTTGGGAATTCTCTTTGTACCTTACGTAAGAACCAAGAGCAGGCACAGTGAGCTGAGCTATTAAACTTTAGTCTCTCCGGCAGTTATAATGGCACATTATGATATAAATTCATGCGCGATAATTGGCCGGCTCTCAGTGCTTTTTCTCTTTCTTTAGCTTAGAGGAGTAAAGAAGTGGTGCGGTAAAAATTTGGCCGCCTGCTCCGAAGACATAGCCGGCACGGTGTTCGCTTCCGGCGTCTTTCTCAAGTACCTCGTGACTTTCATCAACGAGAAAAAGCTCATCCAGGTGTACGAGGAAGTGGCGCGCAATCACCTGGCCCTCGACGATCCCGCCGAGCAAGCCATCATGGCCAAGTGGAGCATGGACGGCAAAATCAAGTATATGGGCTACCTGGGCTACCTGACCCTGGCCGGGGTCAGCTTCAGTCAGATGATCATCGTGCCGCAGATGCTGGACTTGGTGGTGCCGCTCAACGAGTCGCGTCAGAGAGTCACCATTACCATGGCCGACTTTGGCATCGATTCCGACCAGTACTTTTACACCATCTACGTGACTTACTGCGTCGTGTCGGTGGTCAGCTTCTTCGTTTTGACCTCCATCGACACCATGTACACGGCCATAATCCATCAGATTCTTGGCATTTTCAATGTCGTCAAGTAATGGTCAACTATTCGCGTTCATGGACAGTTGTCGCGAAATAATTATGCCATCTTTTGCTGCAGGTACCGCTTGCTCAACGTTCAAACTGCAAACTTTGGCCTGAACAAAGGCAACGACAAGACCGGCAGAGACATCAGCAGCCTTAACGTCATCTCCGCTATACGATTACATCACAAATCTCTGCAGTAACGTCAGACGCATTGAATATAGATCGTACGAAAATAATTGCGTATTTAATTTTTTTCAGATTTATCGATTTGATCGAATCAACTTATCGATACTGCTTTCTAATTCTCATCTTCATCTGCGTCATATTCCTCTCATTCGGCAGCATAACGGTTGGTATTGAAAAGAAAAAGCCGAATTCCCTGTAGCAACGAGCGATTATTGCAGGTGCTCGAAGCCGTGAACGAGCTGTACAATTTTCTGCGACTAGGAATCGTATTATTCGGAGTAGCCGTGCATCTGTTTTACCTAAGCTGGCCGGGCCAGCTGGTCATCGATGAGAGTTCCGACGTGTTTCGCGCGACCTACGAGAGCACCTGGTACGACATGCCCAAGAGAACCCAAGTTTTGATTGATATCATGATGATGCGATGTCGTCAACCCTGCTCTCTCACCGCCGGCGGTCTCTACGTCATGAGTTTTGAAAATTATGGAAAAGTATGGACTCTGTCTCGAATCACGATAACCCCCTTAACTGTTCGTGTATTTTTCACAACGTTTCAGATTATCAAAACCACTGGATCTTACATTACGGTATTGGCCTCTTTTCGAGGCTAAATCAACACAACGAATTCCGTTGAATCGCATCAACATGGAAGCATTTATTGTACGAAAATGTATTTTTTCTTTTATAGTTTTTCCAACAGACCGGTTGGCACTGCTTCCATTCAAGTTTATGTTTCCCATGTGATGACAATTCACCGAATACATGTGTCTTTAAATTATTATAAATAAAAAAACCAAGTAATATCCGTAGAAGCAATTACCAATTATACTTTTTATTGATTTATTTTCCACAGTCATTTTACGATGACGCTCAAGTCCTTGTCTTTGAAATCGTCGCATTCCTGAGAACCGAGATCGTAGCGCACGACGTAGGGATACTCGCTGTGATACTGCGAATTGAAGGCCTTGATCATCCAGACGAAGTAGGCACTGGTAAAGATGCACTGGGCAGTGCCGGCCACCATGAGGAACGGATCGCTCAGCTGACCCATCACCAGATACAGATAGATCCAGTGCACGATGTAGAAGAAGCGGTAGCAGGCGAAGAGGCCGACGTAAGCGAACAGCGACCGGCCGATGTATTTGGTCTTCTGACTCAGCTGTATCTGCGGGAAAATGGCCACTGCCTCGATGTAAACGCTGAAGTACCACATGATCGTCACCAGGCTGTCCCAGTACTGCGTGCTCGAGAGAAGCGCCAGGGTCATGCAGGCTCCGGTCGCCAGTTCCCATCTGCGTAATTGGGACAATGCAATACCGATATTCGTACCGATTTTAGTCCGCGCTCGTGAGAGAATAAATTTGCCCAGCGGCAATTGTTTTAGCTCACCTGAAGGTGTCTAGGTCACGTTGATAGGTAGACCTCCAGACGTAATAAATCAACAGGAGCGTCGAGTAGGAGAGAGTGACGAACATGGACTTGACGACGAAGATCGGCCTGTGCTCCTCGAACTCGTACGGGGCGTCGAGAAATCTCGAGGTAAACGACAGGGCCAGCAGTGCCTGGGTTCTGCCACTTATACCTGCAGCTCAACTTGGATCGTATACTTGTATTTTTCATCTCGCCCGCGCGGCGCCTCGCGTTGCTATCATTGTCGACGCGCACCTACCTCGGCGGCTCCCTATCTAATCTCGCGCGCGTAGAAAATTATACGATCTTGTCAATAGTGGCAGGATTTATCTATCGCGTGGAAACGTTAAACTTGGCGAAACGCGCAATAATTGTGCGGATTTGTCCAAGATATGTTGGCAAATATTTCAGTTCCTTCGAGCCAATGGATCGTGCCTTTAAAGTGTCTGCCGCGCGATCAATGTATGCAACGACGTTTTCGATGAAATTACAGAAAGTTGGGTAAAAAAATGTATAATAAAGCCAAAAACTTGCCTGTGCAGTCGCATGTGGTCAAAATCTTGATGAGCAACAAAAACATGGCCACCAGTTGAAGAAAAATACCAACATTGTCGAATTGATCCATGGTGCGTAGGTGTGTGTATCGTGAGCTAGGCGCACAAGCGCAAGCGAAATAATTAGCCTCCTATCCTTTTCCACGAAAAAGGTAAAATTGATAATAGCATGTTACCGAGTCGACTGTAAACGCGAACTGATGCACACAGCTCGTGTTTGCAAAAAAAGTTCTAATGTAAACGAGGAGAGCGAGAGTGTGCGGATCGAGACGCATGCGCTTGCCGTGTGTTTAATATGACACTTGAAAATATTTCTTCTCTGTAAACACGCTGCAACTTGCACTTGTTATCTTTATACCTTTTGTCTCTCGTCCTATTGTTTTCACGTGCTGCCTGGAATGTTCCCGATGTCGCGTGGCCACCCACCACTTTGCCACTCTTTCGCCCCGATAATTTCCAAACACCGTTGTCTTTATTTTGGACTGAAAGTGCAACGATTGCATCATATTTGTAGCATATATAAATAATAATTCGGTGACTTATCTGAGGAACGAAGCTTTGAGGATAAGACTTGAGAAAAAAATATTTAATCAGTTGTTTTGTAAAAAAAATCAATATATTATTTCCAACGGGATGAAAAGCGATCAAAAATAGATCTTGAATGTTTCAGCGACATACATTCATAAATGTACTTATTTTTAGTAAAAGATATACTTAATTGTAGAATTACAAACAGATCGATTGTACGCATGGGCGTCTTTGCCGTGGTGATGGCTCATTTCAGATCGACAAAACAGCTGCAACGGCAGCAATTATATAGCAAAAACTAATAACTATTATCAAATGAAATGTGAAAGACGGTAATTACTTTTGGCTCGTTGTGGCTATATGCGAGTAAATCTCGTTTCAATGTTATCGTTGCAAACGCTTTGAAAGGAAGATTTTTTTATTGTTTTCGTATTAATGTGCAAAAGATACACGTCCTGAAAATCAATTGGAGTCTTTGACACTCGACCGCTTCGGTATGAAAAATGGATCTCGCTCAATCGTCGGATCGTTGCGCTCGAGCATTACACAACCATGACAGAAGTGGCTTCCTTCTCTTTGGCAGACATTGGCTGAGTTATCTGTGAAGAAATAACGAATTTGCATTATTTAGAGTTTGAAATTGATTGCGAAAAATACTCATGAAATCGCCGTGTGATACCTTGTCATTTTTGCTCGACTGCATCAGAGCAGACGGAGTCAGTATGACGGCGCTGATATTGGCAGTCATGTGTCCCATCTCGCCACCACTAATGGTCGAGGGCTTAGCGGCGACTGGATCAGTTCCGACGGACGGTGGCTTGCTCTCGCTCGCCGGCAAAACGAACGTGAAGAAACCAAGGAAAATTAGCACGTACAGTGCGCCGCTCGACAAGGTGATCGAGTCGTATACCTCGGTCTGTTGGTACCTGACGCCATAGTGCGCGAGATAGAGGCATCTGTAGGCGAATATCGCCATGATGTAGATCATCACGTCGTGGTGCACGCACTTGGCTTTGTAGATGAGGTAGAACTGGGGCAGCATCGCCACGGCCTCGAGGTAGATGCTGAATGTCCAGCAGACCTCGACTACCGCTGGATCATGATTCAACCACATGGCCAAGGCCATGCAGAGGACCAACAGCACTTCTGTGCTGTAAACAAAAGTTCAAGTTTGTTGTCTGCCTAATCGAGTTCGAGTAATTTTTATGCCCGCGAGCAATATTCTTACCTGAACGTGTCGTATTTGCGCTGATAAGTTTTGTTTGTGTACACCATTAAAACCGTTATAAATGTCAATAAAAAATAAATCCCTTTGAGCAAGGAATTTTCCATGGATATATAAATCTGAAAGACATCCAAATATCTGGTCACCCAGACCAACGTCAAAAGCATTTGGGTTTTACCGCTTACTCCTGAAAGTGACAATGTGCCGAGTATAAGATTCGAAGCGACGACTATCTGTATTGATTTACTTATTTATTATATATTTTTTCCATTTATTACTAGACATTTATGAATAATCGTCTGTTGCTTAGAATGCTACAAAAAGGCTTTAGATGATCTATAGAGCTTCGTTGACTGCAACGAGCATTGAACAAAAGCTTTTTATCATAGTTTGCTATACATACCGGTGCAGTCATTGGTCGTCCAAATTTTCATGAAAAGCCATATCATGGCCAACAAGTGAATGTAAGTTGCGATAACGTAAAACATATCCATGTTTGCTGCGATCCAGTTTTTACTACCCTGGAATATAATATAATACGACCCAATGGTACTCGGAGACAAAGCGTCTATTTATTTGGGGAAAACACACGTAACGTATAAAAACTACATGTACAGAGGCAGAGGCACACTCTGATGGCGACGTGCTCACACACACGCGACCGAAACAAAACTGCGCGAGAGATGGCAAGTCGGGGCGATTTGCAAATGTGTAATACGAAGAACAGCTGCTTCGCTTTGTCACAGTGGTGGTATGCCGTATGCCGATGCCTGCGCCAAATGCTGCCTCATACTTTGAATTGGAGCTGGAGGCACACTTTTTATTGTTCGTTGTCGTCTGTTCTGTTGTGTCGATGAGGATTCGACAGACGATCGCAACGCCACTTGTTATCAGCTCTGACCGTTTCGATTCTTCGTAGCGAAAATAATCTGCGTTTTCGAGCGGTAATGCAGATTTATTTGCTATATGAGCTTTATAAAAACCGGCTCTTTAAACTGAAAATATTGAATTGATATTAACTGTAGCTGAAACTTACGAATACTGAGATTCTATTTAAAAAAATTGAAAAAATTTGAACTTTATAGTTCAAGACATTATTTCCCCATGACTAAGTGCTAAAAAATAGCAATAAACGATTTACCTTATCTTCTCTTTAAATACCATACGTCAAATTTGAAAAATTTCTTAAAAAATCGTCAAAAACTTTAAAGTTTTGATCGATTACAAGATACTTTAGCCAAACCTTGCATTTTGAAAGAAAATAAAAATAATTTAAAATGAATATAAAATGAATTGACTATACAGAAGAAATACGGAAATTCTTTATAACATGTTTGTTATGTGAAGAGAGATATAAAGAAGAACTGTTTAAATTTTGACTTGATTAAAGTTTATGATCATCATTAGAGAAGAAAAAAAAACATTTTTGATTGTCAAAACAGTATTTTTGCAGTCGATCATAATTCGCTGCCAAAAATTCATACATAGCAATGTGGAATGCGTGATAATTAAAAAACGTAAATCACTTCACAGCACGAGTAAGCGTACGCGAGTTGGAATGAAAATGTTTTATTTCGTTATAAAAAAATAGAGCAACGTGAAAGCGAGTAAGTTGATAACAATACTAGTTATTGCTCATATTTTGAGTTTGTTCGATTGTTACATTACAGCTCATTCTCGATTACTACACATACAAGCTGGGCATTGAGACTTGGATTTCAGGCTGTTATCCTCGAGTGAACTTGGTGCAAGCACGATTTCCTGGTAATGCTTACAGCTCTCGTTTGATTTCTTGCTGTTGGAGTCATCGCTTGTTTTACGATCGACAACGACCACAACCCGCGAGCTCTTGTCGGCTTCATCGCGGGCTAATCGTTCCTTGTCCGATTTTCCGTTCCAGATGTAATCCATATAAAAGTACAAGTGTATGAGCGCGGTGTAGGCGCCGAGGGGCTCGTAAGCGATGGCGTTGAAGAAGCAATAGGCCGTGTTGAGGATCGTCAACGAGTGATAGATGGCCATCGCCCCGACAAAGTCGCTGGCGCACGAAGGCGTCGGGCCCTTGTGTCGCTTGAGGAAGTGGTACTGAGGCAGCATAGCCACGGCTTCGAGCAAGAAGCTGAACTTCCAGAAAATCACGCTGGGATCCATGGACCGGCCGACGTCGATCAAGTAGCAAGACAGAAGCATGCAAGGGACGATCAGCAATTCGCCGCTGTGACAGAAAAATCATTTCAACTTGATAACGTGAATCGCTTGCTTCAAAGGCCATTGGACGAATGGCTTTTGCTTTCTTATATATTTATTAAACATTTGATACGATTTGTTAGTTGGATTGTGAAATAAAAGAGAGAATCATCAATTAAAAGCAGATATTGAATGCGGAGAGAATTAATTTACTTGAATGTATCGTGTTTCTTGAGCATCTCGCCGATCTTGGGGTGGATGCTTTTCCAAGACACGCAGATCGTATTAATCAGAGTCAAGCCGAAAATCGACAACTCGAAAAGCGTGTAAAACATCGGCACAGTCTTCAAAATACATTCGATGACTCTTGTGGCGTAAACCAGACAGTAGAGTGATAGAGCTTTGCTACTCAGACCTGTAAATTTATATGTAAATGTGAACAACCCAAAGATTTTCTGGATTAGAAGTAATATAGTACAGTTGTATCCCATCAATCAAGTATACAGAGTGAAAAAAAGATTTTCAACCTATTTTTGTACAGCTGTCAATCTCGAACTCGGGTAATTTACATTGTTGATTGGAGAAAAGTAATTTCAAAACGATAAGAGCGACTTACCGGCAATATCGTTTTCCAGCAAGGCGAATACAAGCAGGATAATTTTCACCGTCACAAGGACGAATCCTTGCAACGCCATCACGTAAACGGCAATCATGTTTTCTTTTTGCTTTCGATCTTGAGCCTTAACTATTTGTCAGGAATTTCAACGAGCATTAAAATTCACGGAAAAAAATGAGCTGAAGACAACACACCTCCACAGCACGTATACCGCATACCGATTAAGAAGCCAGCCAGAATTAAAACTGTGTTTTTTTTTATTTCAATTACGAGTGGTGCGAATATAACAACGCTCTTATCAGACAATTATCGCACGAGGTGCCAGTAAGTAGGCACAAAGATATAGATAATGATGAAGTGTACACTGGATTTATAAGAAAAGTCTCGATCGCGCGCGAGCTACTGCCTCCATCACTTTATTAACGCGAGTGCACGCGCCTGACACGACTCGCGTCAAAATAAGCGATACATGATCGTCTATGAGTCCAGTCAACTTATGATCCAGCCACAGCAGAAACAGCTCCGCATGTCATTACCATAATACTAGCAGAGGACCGATGCAGCGATTTTTTTCACAGCGTATGACAGCTCGTAATGTAATGTAGCCACGAGAACTTTTTTAAGGATACAGGAGGTAAAAATATCGGGAGCATTCGGTTTTGATGCGAAAAGGAAAATTCAAGTCGTTCTAATACTCAAAACAAAAAATCATTCGAAAATAAAATTCATTTATTGAAATTCCAAAAATATTTTATTTTACCAGAAACTTCCTGACTGAATCAAAATCATTCTATCAATATATAATATAACGTTTTCAAATAAATATTCAAACAAAAAATTTAAACAATAGATAAAGTATAATTTTAGAAAAATGTATGCAAAACAATCAACAACTTTACAGAGAGCAATTTGACATGATAGTATAAATTTATTCTAAAGTTATTCAACCAATTTTTTCGATGATTTATCTTACAAATGGTTTTATAAACTAGATGATTTGTTTAATTCACATGATTTATTTCAAATCATTGAATATTAATATTACTTGCTCTATAAGGTACTCAAACATTTTGTAAATGTTTATCTTAAAAATCCTATTGTATAAATTTCCTTAACATTATGTATAGAAATTGTAATATTGTAACAATATTCAACTGTACATACACCCGCTTAAAAGTTTTTTATGAAAACTCAGTAACAAATACTAATATAATTTTTGCTAATGAATAAGATTCAAACTTTTTTTGTTATTAAAATTTTTAAAATCTTTTTGATTTATCTAAGTCTTTTGTCCGTGAATCAACTTTATTTAGTTCTTCTTTTCCTGTTTTTATCGGCATACCCATAAATAAGGGACCTCTGTTGTATGTAAAGGAGCGCCTTGATTTGAGAACATAGTCTGTAATTTTATCCTTAGATTCATAATATTTGAAACTTCCTTCACCTGGTACAGAAAAACCTAATAGTTGTATTCTAAACAACCAGTTGTAGCTCATATACCAAGTGAGAATTGCAGCTACAGCACCTAAGAATTTTTCTATCATAGTATGATAGTATAGTATTGTTGCTACCAGATTGACATCCCATATCAGTTGTTGTATTGTCATAGCTATGAACAGACCTCTTAAATAAGGAGTCAAATCCTTGTAAGCTTTATTGAGAAAACTGAAGTCACTCTCTGGAAGATTCTTCAGATAATTGGTGTTAGTTTCATTAGAATTTTTTCTGTTATATTCCTCGTGCATCAAAGAGTCTTTTATTTTTTCCCATCCAAGAAAAGAATATCCTTCTTCTGCCAGAATTAATGTGGAATAAATAATGATGAATGCATGTCCTGATATATCTAAGCTGCTCCACATATTTCCTGCCTGCAAGCACTTTACTTTGGTTGTAAGTGATTTATCTTTTGATACACAACGTCCATAGTTTGTCTCTACAAAATGGAAAAATTGTATCCAAAATATCCAAGCAAGAGTAGCAAATACCAATCTTGCAATATGTCTTATAACATAGGATCGTCTCCCACATCCTATAGTGTAAGCTGTTATGATAATCCAAGGTCCAACAGTAGTTAAAAGCCATCCCCAAGCCCATTTAATAAATAATCTATTAAATATATTGTTTGATTTAGAAAAATACGTTTTAGGTATAGGTAACACATCTGCTAAAATCGATCCAATCAAAACAAGTATGAGGTATATACCTGCTTTCAATTTTGGATCATACAATAGAGATTTTTTGCAAACATGAACAATCATGGTTACAAGAATTAAACTAACAGAGCTTGGTTCTGCAATTGGCCGAGTTCCGCCTCGATTCTCGGGCATAGGTTTTGGCCGAAAATTGAGATTTGTATTTTTATAATTCAGACTGCCATTGGTTTGGAAATTGGCATCGTTGAAATTTGCATTGATCGGCTTTCTTTTTGACATTGTTATCGGTTGTCTTTTGAAAATTTGTTGCTAAACTTAACCTCACGTAGATTTACGTACTTGCGTTTAATGAAGTTTTACGAAGCTTGTCTAAAGAGTTTTTAAATTTAAATACGCAATGATTGAGCAGATTTGCCAGCAGCAAAGTGACATAATTTATGCACTGCAGGTATGGGGAATTCCTCAACACTGTCACTGTTTCACAAAAATGTCTAAAAAATATACCAAATTTTGAACTTATAAATAAAGTACCAATTGAAACTTGTCTTGTTGAACTATCGGTGCAGATACATATGTGTATATTTTTATTGCGTTCGACTTTCGTTTCTGACTTTTATTTTTAGATAAAGCAGCCGCCAGCGTGTTCAAGCGAGTTTGATCGTTTTTAATAAATTGACGTAAGAATACCGTAAATTATTGGTATGTCATATAGTATTTTACCGTTATCGTATTTACAAAACTGTACTAGTCATCCTCGATGTTGATAAAAATAATTTCTATTTTGACAAGATTATGTTTTTTGGATATCTAATTAAAAAATTATTAGATAATTGTATTGAGTACTATTTTTTAAATGTTTTAAGTAACTTTACTTTCGTTATCATTTTTATACTTCCCAAACTCCTTACCTTACCTATAACGAGAAAGTTTCGTTGCATTCCGCCAGAGTTTTACCGACAACATCAGCGAAAAATATAGAATGACAGATAAGTTTGAATCTATCAACACTTTGGAGTTTGGAGGCCGAGATTCCAAAAATTAACGATCGGGTCATTATTTTTTAAAAGTAGTGATGATCAATTCGAATGCACATTCAAATGATCGAACGCTCGAAAATCTAGCAAAAATCACACGTCGGTAACCATCGAAAACGGTTTGAACACTATCACGAGAAGTAAGATAATTGCACGCTGGCGGGCAACACGATATAAGTGATATGCATTGTTGATCAAATTTTTATTGTGATTTTGATTAACGATCGACAAAACATTTTCAAAACTCATAAATAATGGTAAGTGCAAACATTTTGTAAGTATCTCGGACTATATTTTCTTTTTCACCGCATTAACCTCTTGTTGGTGCTTATTTATAAATCATCGTGTTCATTGAAACATGCCTCATAAATATTCCATCAAATTTGGTGCAAACTTTTAAATGAGACATTTCTAGAACCTCATTATTTGTTTTTGATTTGTAGTTTCGATCGCAAGCTCCAAGCAAAGTCGGTAAACGTCCTCTGCTAGGAGAGATCAACACAGAATTATCTCAGCAAGTTCGGATTCCAGAATCTTTGATACAAAAATCGAATAAAGAAAATAAACGTCGAAGAATTGAAAAAGATGTACAAATAGCAGATGCCAAATGTCTTGTGTTATCAACCAATGCAATCACAGCCGTTCAAGAAGTCATTTCAGAGCATGTGAGTTTTAAGCTTTTTAGAGCAATTCATTTTTCCAATAAGTTACTAAAGAATTTTTTCTATTCAGGAAGAACGAGTCAGGAAACTTCTCAGCAAACCTTTTAAAATACCCATACCAGGATATGAATGCTCTGGTCGAACTCTTGGTTTTCGTTTTTCTGGACCTCGAAGAGCATTGCATGATCCTGACGAACCAAATGCTCTTGTAGTTTATTCTCCCCCTGAATTATCAGAACACGAAAGCTTGAAAATTGATGAGTATGTAACTGCTTCACTCAATATTAATATTAAAATGATTTAATCAAAATCTTAATGATAAAATAATTCTTTTTCATTTTTAGGAAAAATAAATTAGTTCATGTTGTTGTGGATCCAATTCTCTGTAATGTTTTGAGACCTCATCAGAGAGAAGGTGTTAAATTTATGTATGAATGTGTAACTGGTAAAAGAATAGAAAATGCTTATGGATGTATTATGGCTGATGAAATGGGTCTAGGTAAAACTTTGCAGTGCATAACTTTACTTTGGACTCTTCTGAAACAAGGTCCTGAAGCTAAACCTTTAATTGAAAAAGCAATTATTGTGGCTCCAAGTTCATTGGTTAAAAATTGGTACAATGAAATTTTCAAATGGTTAAGTAGCAGGGTAAAACCACTGGCAATTGATGGTGGCAGCAAATCTGAAATTGATGTTAAATTAACTGGTTTTATGAAAACATATGGACGGAGATGTGCTAATCCAATTCTTATAATTAGTTATGAAACCTTTCGATTACATGCTCATGTGCTTCATCAGGATGAAGTTGGATTAGTACTTTGTGATGAGGGCCATCGCTTAAAAAATAGTGAAAATCAAACTTATCAAGCTTTAATGGGTCTGAAAGCCAAAAGAAGAGTATTATTAAGTGGTACTCCAATTCAAAATGATTTACTGGAATACTTTTCTCTCATTCAGTTTGTTAATTCTGGTCTCTTGGGCACAGCTTCGGTAAAATTAAGTTTATTAAATTTACAACTAATGATATTAAAAATATTAAAAAAATTTTCTTCTTTTTAGGAGTTCAGAAGAAAATTTGAAAACCCTATCTTGAAAGGACAAGATGCTGGTGCAACTGATAAGGAACGAGAACTGGCTCAAGAAAGACTTACTGAATTAGTAACAATAGTTAATAAGTGTATGATTAGAAGAACTAGTGCTTTACTATCAAAATATTTGCCTTTGAAATATGAACTAGTAGTGTGCATTAAAATGACTCCACTTCAAACCCAATTGTATAAAAATTTCATTAAAAGTGATAGTATTAGGAAATCGATGCAAGGTAAAATTATAAAATACAAAATCATTGGGCAGATCAAAGATTCTAAAAATGATATATTTTACTCTTAGAGACTGATGGAGGTTCCAAGAAAGGAGGTAGTCTTTCAGCATTATCAGCAATTACATCTCTTAAAAAGTTGTGCAATCATCCAGATTTAGTATATGATAAGATTAAAGAAAATTCAGAAGGCTTTGAAGGTGCTTCAAAGTTAATGCCTGCCAATTATAGTACAAAGTAATTTAATGAAAAAAATGACTTGAAATTAAAATGAAAATAAATTATAACAGTGATATACTTAATTTTAATTTTGTTTACAGGGAAGTTATGCCAGAATTATCTGGTAAATTGATGGTACTGGATTGCTTGTTAGCTTTCATAAAATCAACAACTACTGATAAAATTGTATTAGTATCAAATTATACTCAAACGTTAGATTTATTTGAAAAGTTAGCAGCAAAGAGAAAATATAAATATGTTCGTTTGGATGGTACAATGAGCATTAAAAAAAGAGGCAAAGTAGTAGAAAATTTTAATAATCCAGACAGTGGAGATTTTATATTCATGTTGAGTTCAAAAGCTGGTGGTTGTGGTTTAAATTTAGTTGGTGCAAATCGATTAGTAATGTTTGATCCTGACTGGAATCCAGCTAACGATGATCAAGCTATGGCTAGAGTATGGAGAGATGGACAAAAAAAACCTTGCTTTGTGTATCGTTTTCTTTGTGTATGTACTATGTTTACTTATTATTGATGAAGAATTTATATGAACCTATACATAGAAACTGACGTTTGCAAAATATTATTTTAAAACAACAAAACAAAAAATCCCCAAAATTAATAATAAAAAATTTTATTTTTAAGTGAATTTAAACCCGTAAAATAATTATAATGAAGAAGTTTGTTAATTTGTTCTTATTCTTATTTTGCAGACTGGTACAATAGAAGAAAAAATATTCCAAAGACAAGCTCACAAAAAAGCTTTGAGTTCAACTGTAGTTGATCAAGATGAAGATGTAGCTCGACATTTTACTCAGAATGACTTGAGAGATTTATTTAGTTTAGAAGAATCAACTGTATCAGATACACATTCGAAGTATGACTTTTCTTAAAAATTAAATGGCTTATTAAATAAGTACTAAATTGATTGAATGAAATATTTTCAGGTTCAAATGTAGGCGTTGTTTGAATGGAATTGAAGTTAAAGGACCTCCAGAAAATTCAGATTGCACTTCTGATTTATCAGATTGGAGGCACTCTCAAAATCCAAAACATTTACCAGATATTCCTTTGAGACATTGCTGGTCCAGTGGTATTTCTTTTGTTTTTCATCATCGTTCAGCTGAAGTAGCAAAATAATACCTATTTATGAGAATCAAAAGTATCATTTTTCAATTATAATGAATCAACTGTGATTTGAAACAGATCTGTATAATGTAGCGTTAGTAGTGACGCTTAATAGAGATAATAGAATTAAGAAAGTATTATTTTTATATCAATAATCTAAGTGTTTCAAAATATCAAAATTAAGCCTCAAATTTCAGTTAAGTTTTTTTTACTATGTTCATGGCTCAAAATTATTTTTGTATCAGCTATTACTTATAATAACATTAATTGTTATTATAAATCATTGCATTTAATGTAATTCAAACGCAAAAAAGTTATTTATCATAAAAATTTATACGAATTACAGTATTAAAAATTAAAATTTTCTGTGTAATTACATTTACCAGCATAAAAAGAGTAGATCAGAAGAATGAAATTGAAAATAATTAAAACAAATCATAACATAATTTCTGCACAATTCAAAATGTATTTTTGTAATGCTACAAAACTTGAAGTTTTGTAACAAATAAAAAGTCTATTTAAATTTATTTGAAATAAGATTCATTAAAACTATCATTTATCAAACATTTTTCCATGAACTTGAAGTGTAATTCAAAAAAATGAGAAGATATTATAGTTTGGATCTGTGAATTGAGGAGTTTAGAAAAAATATGCAGTTTTATAAATTTCGCGTCAAGTTTAGAGAGCTCAACACAGACGTGCTCCAAACTCGGTCGGCGTGACAGCAGTAACGGCAGGTATACAATGTGTGTATACATATATTCAATTAAAGGCAATGCGGAGCATGTGTGAGCATACAGCGAGACAGCGAGATAAGCAGCAGGCGCCTTGGAGCGGATATGTATTACAACAACATGTTTGTTGCAGGCACGCACACGGCTTGACAAAAGTGAGCGGCAAGCCCGTCCCAGGCTGTGCACATGCTGTATTATACATATATATCCTAGCTACGTGTCACGTTGCAGCGTCAATGCGGAACAGAGATAGAAGCATTGAGATCGCAAGCGCTGCATTCGCTCATAGTGCATTGCATTGCAAAGCAACGCTCGTAAAAGAGACAGCGACAAAGGTACGTAAGGGGAGGCGAATCAAGGCCTATCCCCACCACTGGCCAGGAATGACGCTTCGGCGTGCGAAAGGTGAAACGAGCGTTATATGTTCGCTGTGGGGCTGAGTCTCGCCAGAAGAAGTCAGAACAGTTCCAGATGTGGTCATGTTAAGTTTAAATTTCACATTATTACTGCACAAGTTTTTTCGAAAGACATCAACATTTTGCATAAGTACAATACACGCATCGGCACAACGACGACGCTCAGCAGATTATAACAGACTCTGCGCTCTCGCACGCAATATATCCTCGTACGATTTATTTTTAACAAACAATCCGTTTCTCTCGGGTTTTTTTTTTTTTTTTTTGGTTCGATATCTTGTTTTATTCATATTTTATTTTTTTTTGTTTAAAATCAATCTCCCTAAATACGCGTGGATCATTTTGCGATAAAATGAGCCAATAAGCAGTCTTGAAGATCCAGGCCTTCTTTTTTTTAGTAATTTTTTTTGTCAATCTCGTTGAAGAATCAATCGATCTCGAGTGCAAAAAACGTACGCTGATCGATCGATTTTTTGTGGATCTCAAGAAGGAAACGACAACGCCTCTTTGTTTAAGCCAAAGAAAGTGCCCGCAATCGTATCACTTTTATATCGTCTAACGTTCCAATTTTAGCAGCTGTACGACAGCCATTTTGCTTGCGTTGTATACTCTCTATGTGTACACGGCTGAATTGGTATATTTTCGTACACACTCGCATCTCGATGCTCACATTGGGCGTTTTGTTCTTTTCGCGCTTTCGTAAAAAAGTGAAATAGTTTCCGCTTTTCGTAGCTTTAGGTAAATTATTTTTCCGCTACTCATCTTTTCATTGATTTTTCTTTCTACATCTAATTATCTTTGTCTCTCTCACTCTCTTTCTCTCCTCGCCTCTCTCTCTCTCTCTTTCGCTCTTGATCACATGCGTCAAGTAAGTAGTAAAGTATCTTTCTTGAACAAAGTCCGCGTCATCACGTGTGAATATACCGCAGCGGCGGCCATATTGAATTTTCATCGTCGAATTTGTATTACGTTGTTAGCTGTTTTCCCGTCGATGATGATTTTAGGAAAAAAAAGCAATCGTGTCGAGACATACTTCAAACGTCGTGAAACGCGATCTCGTAAAGATATATTGCCGTATAGACTATGTTTTTAACCTGCACCGTGAGATTCGTTCGTAAATAATCAATCCAAAGATATACAGTAAAGGAATAGTTAACGGTATGACTGGTCAAGGTCCATTTAAATTTAAACATTAATTGAAATTTAATTTTTTTTCCACCGAACCAACTTTCGCAAATAAGTTTTGGAACAAGTAAACATGTGTCTAGCCACACACATCGTTAAAGCTTTTGCGTTTACACAATTTCGAAGTTCGCCTTTAATTTTATTTTTTGACTAAGGAGTCTTGATAGTTTTTGAGTTGCGTAAAGTGTCGAATAATTTTTTCTTTTTGTAAAAAGCTTGGTTTTTTTATCGATTAATAGTTGTTAAAATGTGTATGCCGGATTTGTTGTCAAGCATTTCATATAGTTCAGCGATTGACGGTTTGTAGAAGTCGATCAACGCATCTCAAATAATTGCGGGGCCGACTTTAGTGCATTTCAAGTTGAATAGAAATAATAAACATTCACTGCAAGTGTGACGAAGTAGTTTGCTTGGTTAGAAAAACGGAAAAATTAAAGTGACAAGGTACTCGATATTAGGGCATTGATGACGGGATAAATTAGACAGTAGAAAGTCTGCCTGCTGTAGTAGCTGAAATAGCATCATAAATCATATAGGTCGTAGAATACTCGCGTTAAAAAGAGACGAGTGTATTAGCCGAGAAGCGGAGGGGAAGGCTGGTATGACGAATACTTCTTAGCCGTCTGCGCGTACCCTCTCCTCTCTCGGCACATGCGCGCCAGCCGACTCGCTGGACTCTGACGTATTACACTAAATGCGACGCTTCTAGAAGCGTATGGGGGGAATGGTGTACTATATCTATCGACACCTTCGCTCGCAACGTGCGTGTTTCTACTAAAAATATATCGCCTTCCACCACTCCGTGCCCGAAATCATACACGTGATACAGAAATTATTGTTCGCCAAGTGTGTTAGTGCGCCGTTTTAGATAAGGAGAGAGAACAGTGCGAATTCTCTATCGTCTGTAGGAGGTTTGTATTTTACAGAAAAAGCGTGTAAAGCAGAAAGATGACAACTTATGAATGAACACATGCTCTTGGGCTAGACAGCCTTTGTGAAGCTGTTCTACTTATATTATAGACAGGGAGAAATAGCGAATCGCTATTTTATCTATTCCCTTTTTATACCCCTGCAAACTAATGTTTTCGTTTTGGCATATGAGACGAAATAAGCGAGAAAAATGAAATAAAAATTGAGAAATGCACACGTGGTCATTTCTCACCATAACCGTTGTCGCATGTGCCAGTTGGCCACGTCATGAATTGTCTCAATGATCATTTCTCGAGATTTCTCAGCTTGTAATTACAATCTTATAAATGTAGCTTAATACTGTAACATTTAAATTTCATGACATGAAACATTGTTGCGAGGGTTACTTTTTATTTCTTTTTCTTCTAATTTATAAATAAATCCTATTTTCATTTTTCTCATTCTCTCTTGACAAAACATCCAATTTATACACACATTTTTAAAAGGACTTTAAAGAAAATTCACTCGTGCTTCTACTTTTAGTTTAATAAGTACTCAAATCTTTTATTTTATTTTTTAATTTTAATTAGTCCTCTGTAATTGTCTCATCAGAAATCATATCAAGCTTTCACTTTTATCATTTTCAATATTTGTCTACCTTACGCTAATGCTACGTCAGCAATCATGCAATAAAGGAACGATATATTTCTACCACGTGCTCGCTCGGAAATAGCCTAGAGTAATTTCGCAAATCTTCCGGGAAATGTTTAGTTCGAATCATTTAGTCGTATAGTTAAAAAAGAGGCTTGTTGTTTTCTTTAATCGCAAATTACAATGCGTTCGAAATTTGGAACTCTGTAACTATTTTTGTTCTAAAACTTTTCGTTGTATTGTTTGTATATAAATCACAAAATCGAAGAATCTATTAAAAACAGAGTTACATTTCGAAGCAATAGAAATTAACATAATTGAAACAATTTTCACTGTTAATAATCATTGTTAATAATAATGTTTTTTTTGTCTACAGGTCTATGCATACCAAAGCTTTGGATTCTAAGGACTTATGCTCCTTGATTTATGCCAATGCTAATGATGCCACGTGATAAATGTCTATCATTGATGATGATAATGTTATGTTGATGATCTTCTATATGATAATGATAAAATAATTCGACGTATCATCGTTGGACCACCAATTAGTGCAAAAAAGCCTCTCTAAGTACGAATTTCGTATATAGTCCTACTATATACATATGCTTATAGTTTGACTCTTCAAAAGGAGTTTAAGAGAGCCAGTGAGTGAGAAAAACTGACTCTATAAATATCGTGATATATGAAATCGTTTGAATACGCACATATCAAACGATTGACTTGTGCGATTCAATATCCACGATCGTAGAAGATAAAGCCTGCCCTAAGTTCATGCTAGCCGAAGATCCCAAGCTGTATATGATGGCACTCGAAAGCGTAAACGCGACCGAGGCCATAATTCCAAGGTTTGCATACATTTTTTTTACTCCCTTATTTTTATATAATCATACTCAAATTTATATTTTTTCGTATTTTTACGAAAAACAGTATGTTCACTTGGTGAGTGAAAAAAGATGCCTTGAAATCATATGTTTGCTTGCATAAGAGCTTACACATTCTTTATTTTATCTCCCAAGGTTTATCGTAAAGTCTCGATGTAATCATTGAAACATAATACCGGTACTCTTATTGATGTAAATCGGATACTATGTTTTAACAATTGCAGCACTCTGTGGATAAGATAACTCAATGAACTCACGACAATATGAACATCTGTCTCGAACGCATAAAGTCGCTGCCACATTGGCGCGATTTCTTAATTTATAGTTTTTTAACTTAGCTTTAAGGGGAAAAAAGATCTACGTAATCGGTCGTACGCCAAAATCAAAACGACTTATTTTTAATATAGATTTTCTACGTAAATCTTGTTTCGTGACCCATTTTTTGATTGATTTTTTTTCTCGCAAATTATGAATGAGAGGGGGTAACTTCGGGGTGATGGTACTTGTATGGAAAATTTACACATAAATCCATCAATGATGCTTTATAAACCTACATGATCATGATTTCAAATTTTGAATATAACTACAAAAAAATGCATGAGTGTTGAATAATTCTAAAATGCAAACATGCCTATTGTGTAAAACTTTTAATGAGTTTTTGATCAACGATTTTTTGCGCAAAGTAACGTAATACTTTTGGTGTATAACTGCAAACGATGGTCTTTCGTATTTTTATACGATTTTGAGATCGAAACATATGCTTGGTTTTTTTCGCGACGTTGACATAAAAAAAATGGGAACCATTAAATTTTCACCTCACAATAATGACAGTTAAATGGCATCACAGTTGCATGAAGTTTAGTTTTATTCAACATGATATGAAATTTTATTCCCATAAAAAGTAAAAAACACAAATTTTAGTTTTATCAATCAAATATTATCTCATTTTTAAAATTTATTGTAGAAGTTAAATTAGATTAATGAATTTGGTGAATTTTAACCATATAACCAAAATTTAATGTAAAAAAAAATTGTTTATAGTTGCTCATTATAAAAAGAAACAAAAATGTAATCGATTTCAGATTAATATTTTTGTATGTGTTTCTTCAAATATTAAAAATTAGTAGTTTCAAAAAAACTTTTAATTATATCAGCACAAATAAAAATACAATTATTTAGGACAATCCTTAGACTTATCTAGTCAAATTTATTAAAATAAATCATTACGTTGAATATATAAAATAGTGAGACGTTTCACAGATACAAGTCTACCTTTTCAAGCACAAGTAATAACTCTTTTATATTTTTAACATATTGATTTATTTTAATCAATTGTCCCCAATAACTTTTTTTTTATTTTTGTTGATCATGTGGGTTATAAGAAACATATTTTATGTTAATAAGATTGATTGATTACTTGACTAACTTTGTACAAAATGATTTATTTTTAGCAATGATAATGATTTGGAAGATGGAGAAATTGCCTCTGATGAAGAAGATGAACCCTCTGTCACAGTTGAGGTCAAAACAATAATCAATGATCCATCTAAGTCTCCATCTAAAAAAACTGATGAAAAGAGTCAAGATGAAAAATTAAAACAGACCAAAAAACCTGACAGAAGTAAATCCAAAGATCTAAGTAGTGAAGACTGGGCAGGAGATGTTGAAAAAGCTCTTAAAACAGCTCTTAAAGACGACAAAAGTAAAAATCATGATAACAAATCTAAAAATAAAAATAATAAAAATAGAAGTAGAAAAAGGAGTCATGATAATGGAAAAGATGATGATCGCTCAAAAGATTCAAAAGTAAGTTATTAAAAACTATGTGATTTATTTTATTTCAACAAATCACAATTTGCTAATGTTCATAATGCATTTTCAGAAAAAAAAAGTAAGTGACGATGAAATTCAACATGATGATGATGATGAAATGTTGTTTGTACGTGGTGCATCTCCAGTAAAGAAAGAAGAAAACTCACCAAGCAGAAGGTTGGATCGTGACATGTCTCCGCCCTATAGAAGAATGGAACATGATAATTATGATAGTGGTTCAGATTTTGAGGAGCGAATGTTAGGAAATCGTCATCGAGATGAAAAAAGAGGTGGCCCAAGATGTAATAAACTTAATATTGTTCTGTTTTAGATTTAGATAATACACCTCCTAAAAACTTATTACTATTAATATTTTATGATTACTGAAAACTCTCATCTTACTTTCATTATACAACTTACTAATACTAATGATTTACTTACTAATCTACTTTTTTTATGAACCAAATTTTAATGAATTTCAACATAGTTTCTCTATTGCATTTTTTTGTGTTAAATTGGACAGTATTTATTTGACTCTTTAACTAACTCAATAAAAATCTTTTAGGGCAAAAACATCAGGACCGAAAAAAAGCATCCGGAGCAGCCTCAAGAAGAAATGCTAAAGACAGGAATGCCAATTCTGGAAATAACAATAAAAGTCGTTCTCAAATGCGCAATGATCGGCAAGGCAGGCGTAATCAAGTTCACGATCAAGACCCAGATTCTATTTGTGTATTTTATATGCAGGGCAAATGCCATCGTGATGATTGCCCTTATTCTCATGATGCTTTACCACCTAGAAAAATGGAACTCTGCAAATTTTATCTTATGGATTGTTGCGCCAAAAGAGATAAATGTTTGTATATGCATCACGACTTTCCGTGTAAATTTTTCCACACAGGCATGAAGTGCAATGCTGGTGATGAGTGCAAATTTTCCCATGAACCAATGAGTGAACAGGTACTGTAATAAATATTCATAATCATTCCGACAAAACCAAGAGTTTAATTATTCTTACATTGGATAAACAATTTCTTTCAACAGGTGAGGAACATTCTTCTCAAACATTTAGAAACTGCGCCGAAGGAGATTTTAGGAAATTTTCCGCGATTGAGTAGAGAAAGTGCAATTTATATGATGAACAACACAGAAAAATTATTTGCACAGCAGAACGCTGCATCTAAAATCCCTAGTCTTTTTGAAGTTAAAGTTTCAAACGATATTTCCACTACCGATGCGGCCCGAGATGAGGGTAAGCTTTGCAAAAATTTCAACTTAAAATCTTGCATCTTTAAATTTTCTTTAATGTTATTTATTTATTTTATTTTAAACAGAAGATCGTGATCGGCAAGCCAGAGACCGGAAGTCACACTCTAAAAAAACTCGCTGGGGGTCGAATGATGACAGAGTACCAGTGGATGATATTGTGAAATCACAGATGAATCAAAAAGATATACCAGCTCCTAATTTTTATGTTGAAAATAGTGCCACAGAAAAGGCAGCTGAAAATAAAGCTGATAAACCGCCACAAGAAACTAAACCAAAAGAATTTCTTTCGGCGAAAGATGTTGACTTACGTCAAATTATTGGAAGACAATTAGAACCTAGTCAATCTAAATCTCTTGAATCCAAGGATGCTAATGAGCCAGCAAGAAATTTGTCCAAGTTAAGAATAAAAGAAGAAAGTGATCGCGAAGATGAATCGAGGTTAGTGATTGCCACAGATGATGATCATATGGCTACAGATTCATTGGCTGCAACTATAAGCAATAAAACTGCAAATCATACAAATCCAGATGTTCCAGAAAATCTTCCAAAACACGTGCAAGAATTATATCTAAGAATACAACAACATCAACGTGAAGCGGTTGATAGTTATAAAAATTTGGAGAATACAAATAATCACGGAGTTAGTCATGTTGGTAGTTGGTATTCTGAAGACGAAGATGACGATGATGATGATGACGAGAATCAATTGAAAATCGTACTCAATGATGTGTCTCGAGAAGACGAAGAAGAGGAAACTGAGGAAAAAGAAGAAAAAGAAGAGCAGAAAGAAAAAGAGGAGCATAATTCTCTTCTACCCGCGTTAATACCGGATCCTGCGACCGTCAACGCAAATATGGGTGATGTGAAAAAAATTGACATTAGTTCGCACGTTCATCAGCTACTTTCAAGTTTGAAAGCTCAGAAAGCTATCAAAGTCGAAGATTATAGTCCAATTCCTAAACCTGAACCCACTCCAAGTATTAATCATTTTGGCTCATTGCCAGCAACAACAACAACAACAACAACAGCATCAGCAGCATTGCCAGCTGCACCAGCCGTAGTTCCATCAGCCACCTTATCGAGGGATCCCCGTATGAGTCGAGATCCTCGTCAACGAAGGGATGAGCCGCGAATTGTAGCTTCTACTCCAAACGCACCTATTGCTGCACCAAAAAATGACGATACAAATACTGCTCGATCAGTAGTAAACATTTATAGCTCTGGAATTATTAATCAAGATCGTTCGGATAGTGATCCAAGGCGTAAAGACATGGATTTACGTTGTTTTCCTACTCCAGCATACGGTGATACAGACTTGCGAATCGGTGTTCATACTTCAGAATCGGGTGATGTAGATTTGAGAGCGATCCTGCCATATAAACCACCAAAGCACGATAACGCCGATTGTGTAGAGATAGACGGTAGTATAGAAACCCATGGAGAAATGGATTATGTTTTACACACAATTGATATACCCCGAGCAGACTATTCAGGTCTTATGTTAACGCGTAGCGATCCTCAAGTCCGATACGATCCAAGATTGCAAAAAATCTTTGGTGTCACGAAGGAAGAATTGGATTCCCCAATGTCTCCTCCACCAATGCGAATTGCAGATACACCAAGATCGCCGCCACCCGTAAGAGTTGATCCACGTCTTAGAGCGATGGAATCTCAAGCACCGCAACCCAAAATTATACCTACCACAGTCCAGCAACATGTTATGACTATGCCAGATCAAATGAACGTACAGAATATGCCGATGAGAGTATCTCCACCTTATATGCAAGTCCCTGGTAATATGCAGCCAATGATGCAACAACAATCAATGGGACCTCCGTCGCTGATGATGCAGACGCCTAATTCGATGATGAGTAATATGTCTACAATGATGTGTGACGGTCCGATGATGGGCGGAAATCCAAATATGCGAATGGATGCTCGTATGACAGATCGCATGATGGACCGCATGGACGATCGTATGGTCGATAGAATGGGAGAAAGAATGGGAGATAGAATGGGAGAAAGAATGGGAGATAGAATGGGAGAAAGAATTGGAGATAGAATGGGAGATAGAATGGGCGATAGAATGGGAGATAGAATGATGGATCGTATGCCTGATCGCATGTTGGATCGTATGCCTGATCGAATGATGGACCGTTTGCCAGATCACATGATGGATCGTATGGCTCCTGGTAGTCGACCTCAGCCTCAGAATCAATACGATGCACGATACAATCCTCAACGAGGACCCAGTGTTGGTTTGCTTGGCGTTGCACCACCACCACAAGGTATGGCACCATACCAAGACCCACGGCCACAATTTGATGGGCCACCACAAAGAGGATATATGAATGATGGTTATGGTGATGTTAGAAATTTCAACAAAGGTAATCGAGGAATGGGTTATGATAACCAACAGGATTGGAATAATGGCAGACCCAATCGCAAAGATAAGAAAAGAGGGAACCGTGGTAAATTTGGTGCGTTGCCCCGAAAAAAAGATAATTAAACTTAATTTCAATTTTAGTTTGTAAAGCGAGTTGTAAAAACATGTACATTGTCATCGATGATTACCTCATAAGTTAATGAAATTTCAGTCATTAGTCCATATATCACGAAAATCGCGAATATAAAGCGTGTAGAACTTGAGTTCAATGGTAACGCTATTTAATTTATAAGTAACGCAAGAGTCGAATTACTGTATATTTTAAAATTTTTAACATTGATGCATAGGATTAATCAGATTCTTGTCCTTGATAGGATAAAAATATTGTATGATATGATACAATACTGTACAAATGATTGTAATCTTGTATAAAAATAAGAATAAAAATAAAAAATCGTAATCGATGTGAGAGAAATTTTATGCCTTACATAATAGGTGAAAAATATGAAATTTTATTCATATTTAAGATAATGACAATTGAATTTGACGCTGTCTCATCGATTCAATTGGCTGAGAATAATGCTAGTTGTATTGATTTCTTTACATCAGTTCATTTGTGTCTTCCATGGATGTACGTTTATGTATATGAATAAAATATTGTAAATATAAGTTAAGTAGATAATGCAATGAATTTACTTGAATATGATTCAAGTGTAATATAATTTTCAAAGTGATTTGAAATTCTTCCTAATTAAATTTTTTTAAAAAATAAATATGAAAAATTAAAGAAGCGTTTTTTATTCTCACTAAAATTCTAATCTTAGAATTTATTCTATTAATCTAACAGGGTAACTATTAATAACCTTGTTAATTGTAAGGATAGGGGGAAGTTGAATTTTAAAATATTTCCTTCATAATTATTTATGAATTACTTTTTATGTATAACAATTAATTTTCATTTCAGCACTTACGATTATAACTATTTACAAAATTACTGCAATGGGAAGCTTCTTGAGCACACAAATGCTAAGAAAAACAAACAGCAATTATTAATGAGCTACAGCGCTCAAAGGTTCAGCTCTTATGACAGACAAATCCATACGAGCATCCATTTCATCGTCTACTTCCCCAACTATGGCTCTGAAAATGTCAAATATTCATAATTATTGAGAAACTTTAAAATATTTTTGATATTAAAATAAAAATATAAAAAATACTAACACATTGTCTCCTCTAATGATATGAAGACCTAAAACTACTTGTTCAACTCCACGATTAGTGCTGTAGACTCTTTCGTGAGATTCATCCAAAATTAAGTTGATAGTTTGATCAAAACCTTTCAAAGTACCCTGAAACATAATTCACGCATTATGCTTACGAAAAAGAGTTTTCGTGATGACATTGAATAAAGATAAATCAAGTAGCTTACGATAAAATTTCGACCATCGGACGTAATGATAGAGACGGTATCTAAGAACATAAATTAAGGAATAAATGCCAGAGTAGTTTTGTAATTCTTGCTTCATAAAAATTAATTTATAATTTATAAAAAGGATACGATTCACAAAACTCTCCAAGCCTGATGCCATGGTAAGAACACTTTTAAAATGTCAATAATTCACCACAGCTCGAATTGCAAATAAGCGGAATTCTAGGTTAATTTATCGATATGAATTGTAAACATATCATTTGAGAAGCCGCCAAGAGAAATTGAGCTAAAGCGTTTTCGCGCAGAACAAACCAAGCCAGTTACCGACGCGTCAGTGTCACCGAATGAATCCAAGTTTCACATTTTGTTTTTATTACATGATGCTACAGTGTACTCAACCGCGTGGGACCCAAACACGTGTTAATAGACTTCGAACGTCAAGTCAGCTCTTGGTTATTTCAAGTCTTTTAAAAATATTGGTAGTATTCAAGTAATACAAACTGTTTGGTAAAAATGAGTGAAAATACAAGTTCCTCTTTCATAACCAAACCAGGTTTTTGTCCTGATTGTGGATCAGTTCTTCCTTTGTTAAAAACTCACGGTGGAGTCACGTGTTGGGCTTGTAAACAGACTTGGGGACCTGAAGGTTTGTACATAAGAAATTAATTAATTTTTTAATTTCTCTTTTTTATTCAAGAAATAATGTACTTTTTCAGTGTTTGGAGATATGAAATTGTCTTACTTGTTGGAATTTAGTGATGAGCAAACCTATGCATCAGCATCACAAGTTAAAGATAATGGCGATGAAGCCGAAGGACCAACTGTTGATAAAAAATGTCCAAAGTGTGGTAATGATAAAATGTCATATGCTACTTTACAATTGAGATCAGCTGATGAGGGACAAACTGTATTTTATACATGCACAAAGTGCAAGTGAGTATTGCTTTTTATTATATTTCTCTTATTCTAGTTTCATTTAGAAACAAATTGATTTATTATTTTATCATTGTTTTCAGACACAAGGAAAGTGAAAACTCATAAACATCTGTCAGCAATGATTGTAATTTGTACATATTTACAATAATTAGATTTGTATTTTTATCACTATTATAAAGAAATTTTGATGGTTGCCATATCTCTGATAATAAATAATGGTTGGATATGATATGAAACTTATTTTTAATGGTGCTTGTTAAAATTGTATTTGTATCTATTTAAAACTTAAATTTTATATCAATCCTTAATGCTATCTGTAAAAAAAAATTTTTTTCATCATAATATAAAATGACAAGAAATTATGAAAAAGAACAAAAAATCATTCAAGCTTATAGTTCTTCGATTTTGTTAAGTGTAAAGTGTTACTAGATTTTTTAATTGCTTGTCATACAAGTTGAAACCTGCAAATTTAATAGTAACTAATAATAGCAGATCTTGAGGATGAAAAATAAATCTGTAGGTCAAAAAAAAAGAATAATAATTTTTTAATGTATAATTAACTTGTACAAGCATGTTTCAAGTTTTTTCGAAATTTTTATCAATAAACTTTATATTGTAATTGAATTTTAATTCAATACAAATATTAAAAAGTAAGTTTTGTGACTACATGTTGAAAAAGATAATGAATTTTTGCCTGGACGATCTTGAAGTAGAAAAATTTAAGCTTCAAATCTCGTAAAAATCTGAAAAACGAGGCCCACTTGTTGCGAATGTAAATTGTCAGAGAAAACGCAATTGCCGGAATTACGAGCATGCAATTCATTCGTTAATCACGTGACGTGAGTAGTCGCGTAAATACATTGGATTATGTGAGCCGAACGCTGAAATCGAACAGAATCATGAATCCATGATCTATGCACTGGAGAAGAGGCAGTAGTCAGTGAAAACCCGCCAAAATGCAACGGTCGCTCTTAAACACGATGCCATTGGCCACCCGTGAGCGATACAGGCTCGTTTCGCGCGACAAAGACAGGCACGAGCGAGTCTTGGGGCCTCGGCCCAAGTTACCCGCGTCGAAACAGCGGCGAGACGCTTCGCTTGCTCAATATTATACATGCGTGCACAATACACGGCCGCAGTTGAGAATTCAGATGGACAGAGCAGAGTTCGATACGACACCTACATTCCCTCGAATACACATACTCTTGTGAGCATTCGTGTGTGCAGGGCCCTGTTGAGCGAATCATAAGCGGCGGATGGCGGCATTATAACCCAATAGCTCGTTCGTGTATTCTGGCTTTTAAATTTTCTTTGAAAGGCGCGTGCGTATACTACACTTACAACGCAACATAGTAATAGTAGAACGTAGTAAAAGAGGAGAAGTAGTAGTAAAGTCGAGCGTAGTAGTAGTAAAAAGCGGCGCGCGCAGCTTACTCCAAGTGCTTCCAACAGTTTCGAACGACGCAGCACAGCAGTACGGCACAACAGGCAACATCGCCCGACGCAGGAAGAGAGAAAGAAACGCCGCGGCCTGCGAGTTGCGATAGAGAATCGAGCAGCGAAGAGAAGGTAGTTCTCCCAAAGGAGTCTCTCGCCAGTGCTATCTAACAACAGCGAGCTCAACGTTTCGCGTATTATTGTGTACATACTTAACGTATACGCCTATACGTCCCAACATATATATGCGACTCATATATGTGTAGACGAGAGTTTGCCTCGTGTGTTCTTCAGGCCGACTCTTTTTAACAATCCCCTGGTTCGGATACTTTGATCAGGTACACAATTGCAACGCATCGGCCTTTCGATGTATTTACTTTAAAGAATTAGTGCGGAGGCGTGAATCAAGAGGTTGCTTGAAGCAATGAGTCTAATCATCAATTCTTCTCCTTTAGGTAAGTGCATTTCAATCATATTATCGCAATCACAATAATCATTTCCACTCGGCGTCCCGATTATCAGCATTACAATATGCACTTGCCCAAACTTGATCGCGCGTGTAACGTTTCGCAATTGCTTGCTTGAGGAACGGAACAATGTCCGTTGGCTCGCGCGTTCCGGCCGCTAAAATATGCTTGCTCTTTCATATACGTATGTGCACGTTCCTTGGAATTCGCGTTGCCACTCGATGTGAAAAAAACTTCCATTGAAGTTCTCTGCAATGACGCGCGATGCCCTATATGCCCCTCCGCGCTCGGACTTCTTCCGACACAATGAAGTTTTTTTTTTCTCTATGCTTTTATTCGTTTTAACCTGAAATCTATTTTTTCCTTCTTCTTATTTGTTTATCAAGCAGGTACCCAAAAACCCAATGTCGGCTGGAAAAGAAAAGCTGCAACGACGGATGATGGTAAGCGATCATCTTACAGTCATCGATGACGATGATGTTAAAACAAGTCGAGACCTAACACGCTTGTGCGAGTCATTAACGATGATAAATACCCCCCCAGCCGTTGAATTATTTCATGAAATAGCTCACGGACTCTTTGGTCTCTCTACGATCCGATAAAAAAAGCAACAAAACGTTGGTGGATTATTCAAAGAGAGGGGGGTATTTTAAAAAGCGCGAATTTCGTATCGTGCCATACTTTAGAACGAGATATCCGGCCGAATAAAGCCGCGATCATGTTAAAGAGAGGCTCTCGTTCTTTTGCACCAAGACTTGTAAATGCTTGCTTTAAAGATGTCGAGAAGTTATGCTCGGGTGCTCGTTGTTATAATTACAGTTTTAATAATGCGCGAGTAACTCCTCGCTGTTGTTCGTGTGTTGTATCGGTTTGAACTGCTGAGATTAACTCTTAAACATTCGTCGGTTATAAGTGTTTTTTGAAATAACTTTTTTTTTCTATTAAAAAGTGCCTGTGTTTCATAGTTCTTACTAATAGTATTATCTTGACTGTTATAACTTAACTCATATTAACTTGGTAGTGAAACTGTAATAATTTTAAAACTGGTGCCAATATTAGTATTAAATTTGAATTAATTGTAAGCTATCAGTGAAATTATTACTTGTTCAGTACTGTTGGAAAGTGTAATTGGTACTTTCACGGTATTACCATTTTTGTGTGCTGGAAAACGGATTGTACAGTATTTAGCTAATCACCAGATATCTTCCCATAGAGTTATGGTATAAATTCAATCGAGATGATAAATTGGTAATTGAAGATTGTCAAATTTAATCTTATACCATCAGTATTCCTTTAGAATGAGAAAGCGGTATAACTTTTGGGAAATTCTAGTAATTTTCAAAGAAATGGATTATTTATCGGGTTTGTTAAATTTACAGAAGACGAAACAAGGGGAGAAACAAAAAAATCTAAATACCAATGGTATTTTACGCTGGAAAGTGAATCTTCAAACCCTACAGATGAAGACGCAGAATCAGTTTATACTGTTCAAGGAGATGAAACAGGTATTGTATTCAGAAATCATGGCATTTAGTTTTGTTTTACCAACAACAATTATTATGAGGTATCGTCATTTATCCACATAGAATATGTACAAGACACATCAGACATATCAGACACATCTACAGACGCATACATGAGCGGTGGTGAAAATGATCATGATGTTTCCATTCATGTGGAATTTGAAATAGATTCTGAACCCAATAATAGTATTAATAATTCTTCTGCTTCTTCAGAGCCTGAGGTACTAGAAAAAAAATTGTGGATAAAAACAACTATATTTATCAAAAATTTATCACATTTATTTTCATCTTTCAGAACTTTCTTGCAAATTATGTTTCATATTCTGAGACTGAGGGGATGGCAGATGACAGTGACATTTCTAGATCTTCGTTGGATAGTGAAGTCTCTCACTATATCTTCAAACTTTGCTTGCAGTGCAAAACTTTAAATACTAATCCTCTATTTCGTTATTGTCAAAAATGTTATCAGGTAATAACACTTTTAACTACATTTTAAAAATCAGTTTTAGGAATCTTCTGTTTCATATGAAGTTTTCTTAAACACTGGTTTTCTAAATATTCATTTCCTTTAATAGTTTGAATAATCTCTAATTTAAAATCAAAGGCAAATTTTTCCTGTCAATCTGATTCATTGCGCAATTATGAAAAAATATACATTAACGAGCTTGATTGAAACGTTAAGTTTCAAATTCTGCTCGCCTACTCTGAATGACCGTTATCAAATACGTTGGAATGGACGCGTTTGCCTGCCGAATCCAGTCTATACCGCTCCTTCATCGTTTCGTTTTCATTACGCTTACACACATCGGAATCATACGGACGAAATTGCATACGCTGCCTTCAAAATGGAACCCATGCGCCCTCATCAAGCTATGGGAAAAACCTGCCAAATATTAACTCCCGCCTTGAGTCGATAAAACAGTCCTGGTGCAAAAAATTTGCTGGAACCATACCACAAGGATGACGATACTCCACTGAGAAATGAATCTGGATTCGCAGGGTACAAATCGGCTGCGCGCGCATCTTTCGCGCGCTGTAAATCTTGTCTCCGCCCATATAAGTATCACGATTCAAGTCTCAACTTGTTTGGAAGAACAAAGATCCGTATATGAGTGTGGATAGGAGCGCGCGAGTTCTTGTAAAGCGAGCAGAAACAGGCACGAGCTTGAAACGAGATGACTTGCGTTGCAATATGAATATTCTTTGCCATTTCGGATTCGGCTTTCGGAAGAGCAACACCTACGTAGCTGCTCGCCAATGCTTATGTTACTGCGTGCATCACGAAACCTTTTTTTTCATTTTATTAGTCGACATTTTTTGCAAATGCGATAGTAGTGTAAATCAATGGTGTTTCATTAATTTGCAGACAAAGAAAAGTCAACATCCGCGAATAAACCCGAGGAGGATGAGCAAATCTCAAAGTCAACTAAGCCAACTGAGCCAACTAAGCCAACTGAGCCAATCGAGCAGTCAGCCTTCAGAAAGGCAACAGTTACAATCCCAATCGCTGACGCAAATCCAACGACAATTGAGCGAAGCGTCAACAGTCGTTTTGGGAAATTCGCAAGAGCTAGGCTCAATGGACTCGGGTATTGCAACGAGCCAATGCGATTTAGACTCGGGTATTGCATCAGGGTCGAGCCAAGAAGTTGAGGTGTTGCTTGCTGGAAGTAGGACATCCACAAGGATATCCCAACGCGAAGAAATAGATTCGGGCCATGCACCTACCGAAGGTGATTCGGATCACTCTTATTCGCATAGCGATGTGAGTAGTTATCATTTTATGCTAAAAATTAATATTTTACGTGAAACAATTTTCTACATTATGTGTACCATATAACCTAGTTGAATCTTGTTAAAAACCAAAAATTAATGTGATTATAAAGAAATTCCATAAGTTTCATCAGCAATTAAAAAAAATAATTCTACAATCTTTTTAAATTATTTTTACTTTTATTGATGATTCTTCGAAAGTCCGCAATAAATCAGTGAACAATAACTGTTTCATTTACAAACTTAAATTCTCTATAACTATTTAATAGGCATTATATGTCAATTAATTTTTTTTCAAAATTTTAATCACCATAAATGTTTGAGCAGGTCAGTACTGGTTTAAACCTGACCAAAGACAAGACAAGTGAGTTCCAATCGTCTTCGAGCGAAATTCGAACGCCACGCCAACCTAAGTCGCTAATGCGACTACTTCAGCAGCGTCATCGCCGCGACTTGGCTAATATCAGCGCCAGCAGTGGAATAAGCAGTGGCAGCGGCAATACCAGTGGCACTATACCAAAGAATTCATCATTAACATCGTTCTCAGAGAGCGAGTTAACGATAGCATCGTCGACAGACAGCGGTCAGCAGAAGTGTCATACTTGTGATGAAAACCAAAGAGATGCCGTTTTCGTCCACGGCAAAACATGCCACATATTCTGCTGTTACACATGCGCCAAAAAATCGTGGGTCACCCATAATCGGCGCTGCCCAATTTGCAATCGTCAAGTCACACAAATTCTCAAAGCATTTTACTCGTGAGTTACAAAGAGATATAGCTATCAATACAACCAGCTCGTGAACAATCATTTACAAATGCTGCCGAGAGCTGACTAAGATGTCCCGACGATCATGAACGGGGCGGAGTCCGGCACTGAGTTCTGGATCTAATGTGGTACACATTTTTTCTCGTACCGGAGAGTTCTGGAGCAATGACGTGAAGAGAAGCTTGGGCGGATTTTTGTGAATGTCGCTATTTGTACAAATTTAGCTTTAAGCAGTAACTTTTGATCGAAGTTTTATTATTGTGATCAAGTCGTTAAATTTCAATTCAAGTTTGATCACATTAATACATTTAAATTGACATATTCTTTCAATTTTAATGCCACAAAATAAGTAAGAATTCGAAAATTTATTATTAGTTAAAATTTCTTCTGATGTGAAGAGTATTTTCGATTATTTAATTTGAAAGTTGCATAGATGAAACGATTTTCCTTAAAATCGTCAATAAGAGACTTATGTATATAGTAGGCAAATATAATTAAAAAATAATCAATGCAACTAATTTTTGAAATTTAGGTTTACATTATATGTATACTTACATATAAAATAACGGTGCAATAATTCAAGTGGAAAATCTACTTGGTACAAATTAAAATTAATATTAATAATGTTTACGACAAAGATACTCTTAAAATCTTCTATTATAAAATATTATTAAAATTATTCCAATTCAAATGCAAATTGAAATGTTCAATTTGTAATGAGTAAAAAGACTAACTTGCTCAAAAAATACTTGAAGTATTTAAAAAAAGGAATTCGGAACGAATTGTTCGAACAAGTGTCAGCCTAGTTTCGTAAAGAAAAGCGTACCAAGTTGAAAAATTTTGAATTTAAATCAAAGGGCGGTTTTTAAAAATTTGTTCTGAAAACATTGAGTCGGATAGTTCAAAAACTATTTTTTTCTAATGGATCAATCAATGTCACTGATAATGTAAAGTAGCATGAATGTTTTGAACGAGAGTAGATTTCAACTTGCCCGCGAATACGCGTGAAATACGAAATAAGATCTAATAAAGAATAAAGTACGTATAAATATAAATAAGTTTTGAAAATGAAAAAGTATTCAAATTTAATGAAAAGGTACTCTTGTACAGTGTAAAAAAAAATAAGATTCATATTTTGAGTAACTTTACACACTAAGTTTCAATACAGTAAATAACTAACTTTATTTCAATACATTCATTAGTGCATTTCGTTTTTTAAACAAAAATTAATGTCCGTTGTTCAGATGCTCAATTTTTGTGTATTAAATGTTATACAATTAATTTTGAACAAGCCAATGAAAGAACCAGTAAAAACGAGTGAACACTTATTTCAAACTTTATCAAATGATAAAATAATTTTGAATGGAGTGAAGGCGGTCTGAAAATTTCCTTGTACATTAGATGGTGAAAACGCTTATATTTTTTTTTTTTTTGAAGTTGTATTATAAATAAATGTATTATAAATAAATATATTATATTTTCCGCACACGAACCAATATTCCTTGAATCGAGATATTTTTATGTAGTTGAATTTTTTTTATGAAAATCGTTGAAGCGTAGAAAACATTTTTTCCCTACAATCCTTACGTATCAATTTTTAATGTACAATTCAAGTTGATACTGTATCTTATATTAGACAAAAAATGAATTCATGTTCAACGATTTTATTTTTGTTTTTTGTTAATAAATCAATCGTCGTATCGGGAAAAGGAAGCTGTTTGATTATTATCGGATGACGCGTTGCTGTTGGAAACATTGTTCGGTAAAGTACACGGTTTTTATTGTATTGTATGTTTCAAATTATTTGTTTTCTTTTCACAGGTACTTAATACTTCTAGCTCGATACAAGACTAGGCCGAATGCAAGAAGAGCCCGTCGTTTGACTCGCAACGAGTTTTTACGATCATCTATCTTCTTAGCGTCCTTAAAATGATTCGTCGTTGGATTTATGAAGCTCCCAAAATAGCTTGTTATATACCTGAACGCAGTAACATCTTAGAACACTTACCCCTGGTAATATGGATTCTTTCCGTAGGTAAGTCTGAACATTTTTTGAAGAGACGGAAAGAAAAATAGCTCATACTTGCAGTTCAAGGCTGAATATTTTCGAAAATTGAAGAATCGGAATCTTGCGTCAAGTCCAATTCAGTCGAATCTTTTACGCCGTGTCCAAATTTTTAATTCCCGGAAATTTCAATTGTAATTTTGTAAATAATAATTAAAATCTATCATTATTTCCTCATATCCTGGTTCCATGCGAATTGAAAAATATTAAATCATTCAATGTAAGTAGTAAAAAAACGAGGAGAAGATTTGAGTTTTACCGGAATTTGAAAAACTGCCTGGTACGTATTTGAAGAATAAATTGTCTTCGTCGTGTACATAAATGTTTCAAGATTTTCTAATCTTCTCTACAACACAAAAAGTTTTGATTTTTCATCGCTTGAAGTTGTAAGTTCATTTGTGCATCTTAGCGTAATAAATTAATATAAAAAAGTAAGGCAAAGGTAAGCAGTTAAACCGAATAGGTGAAGAATTCACGTGGAAAAAACGATATTATTACTTCAGCTGTTGAAATAAATTTCAGTCCGAAATAGAGAACATTCAAAATGAATGAAACACCAACGCAGAATACCGCTTGATACCGTTTTCTTATTCATGATGTCGGTAAGGTAGGCCGTGATGAACGTGCAACGTGAGAAACTCCATAATATTTACATTTATGGATTTTACGGGTTTCATAACCACATCTCAATTTCATACAAACAGAGCTTGATTTTGATACCCGGTTGTTCAATTATACGTTGAAATACAAGAACCTTCGCAAAATATGCACATGCATCGTGTTTTCTTAATTGATCGTTTATAACTTAATTACTGTGTGTTACATGGATTCTGACAAAAAACTTTTCTACAAACGTATTTAATATGTACTTTGAGTTTTGTTATTTACGCGAAGGCGTGGTTCATCGTAAATGTTGCAAACCAATTATTTCATTCGAAATGAACACTTAGTCATTCATTCATGCATTAGGATAAAAATTTTGATATTCGAATAATTCTATTACATGATTTGATCCACTTGCAGAGATAATAATTAATTTCTAATTTGAACTTTAATTTTCTTTCATAATAACTAAGTAGATACTTATATCCTTTAATGAAGCAGAAATGAATCAATGAAATTTGATCTAATAAAATTGGAATGCTTGCAATTCGATATTCTAATATCTTTTATTAAGGTAGATTCAAATACCATGACGCAGATAACTTCAAACGTATTTGCAGCCCCCAGGTCGAAACTGAAATGCTAGTTGCTCTGATGCTTCCGAAAATGTATTAGACTTTCTTAATGCCGTTTCGCATTAACTTTATTGATACAAGCTGTAGTTTATCAATACATTTCACTATACTTATGCTTTGAAGCTTGAAACCTTTACTTGAAATATTTATGAACCTAAAAAGTTGAAAGTTCAAATAAGAGATTGTGAAATTTAATTTTTGTATTTTTAGTAATGTAGACAAAGAATTTAGCAGGCCGTAATTGGTAACATACAATAATTAAATTTTTCACGTGTCGAACAAGTATCCATCCCTATGAAGACATCTTGCAAACACAAGAAAATCCCTCTTTCGAAAAAGCGGAGAAAAAACCCTTTTTTTAAAAGGTCATAAAAATCTCCTACTCTTGAATTGCGTGGAGAAAAATTTTATTTGGAAAATTACAATTAAGCAATCGAATCAAAGAGAGATAATCTTTTCCAACACATTTTTAGAAGAACTTTTTTGCGCTCATTATTGAAAGAGAAATTTATTTCCCTGTATGCTTTCAAGAGCGATTTTTTGAAATTCTATATGTAATTAGTCTTCGTACGGGCGGTCGGTATAAAGATGAATTTAAAACTAACAATTTTTTATTTGATTCTGAAGAAAATTGAAGCTATCGCAATTTTATTTTCACTTGATTTTATATATAGTGCCCAATTTTTCTTACGATTTCTTTTCGAGTCAAGCCTTGTTAAAATGCCCAGAAAAATGATGCTTTTCATATATAATTACAGCATTACTGATCTATTTATTCATATAAGTAAACTAATAAAAATATTGTTTACTTAAAACTTTCGCCAGTAAAAATGTAGCATATCGATTATTCAAAAAAATATTTTTCGCATCTCAGGACTCAATCTTCACGATAAAACCGCGAATAGGTCGCAGCTATAATTGAGTTATATATAATATAGGACTCTACTTATTGTTCAAATTACAACTAATTACTGATATGATGGAAAAGTAACTCGTAACTCAAACATAATTATTTAAAAACCTCGATCAAAATATCAAAAAAATGTGACAATTAAAAATTATATGATCCAATGTTTTTTGTTTATTACATGCTTGAAACTTAGTTTTTTCCGTCTATAGTCCTCAAACATGTCAAGAACATTTTTATTTATATTTAGTTTCAAATACAATTTTTCGTGCATTTCAAATTCAATGTCTCATAGTTAATCCAAAAAATGATATCAATTCGAATAAAGCATTCATTATTGTTATTTGAATTGATTGCATTTCTCCTTACTTTTAAACGTTTAATTCTTCTTGATTTCTAAGTAGATTGATCTGTATTGTTGTATTTACACTTTGAAATTATTTTGATATAACAAGATTTAAATTTAAACTAAGTTAATAAGAATTTGTGACTCTAAACAATTGTTCATTAAGTAATACTTTGTTTTATATTTATAGACTGTGGGAGATCGCAGAGTGTTCACAAGCATCATTATATTTGCCGCTAATGACGATTATATTGTTATTAATCAAGATCATCAACTACATCTACTTCTAATTGAGTGAACAGCCTTATTCATTTTTTGGCTGCAATCACATGCTTACGTTGGTCTCTTTTACAAGTAAGCAAGTGTAATAGTTGAAAGTTATCAACTTGAATATATATAAATAAACGATTCAACATATTTTTATATTGTTAATTAAAATATAAATAACGCTAAATCTTTCAAGATAGTTTATGAAATTAATTTAAATAAAAAAACGTAAAAACAAATAGTATTTTGGAATCAATTATTTATAGTACTAAGTAATTGTTTACAGAACTGTATTGTTACTTACAATATTAAGTTAAGTTTTATGTAATCATTCAATACTCAATTTTTGAGTATTACATGGTTTTAAAATAAAATTAATATAAAAAAAACTTGTTTTCAAAATAAATCAGTTTGGTATCTCAAAGATAATGTATTGAAAAAAAAAACCAGTAACTTTTTGAATCCTAAGGATTGAAATTATAACCGTTTTAAACTCTTAATTCTTCTACCATACTTGTTGCTTCTTCAAGTATTTTTCCTTTCATGTCCTTATTTGAAGCTTCCATTTCTTCTTCGAGCATTTTTTCTCCAATGTTCTTATTTAAGGCTTCTGTCTCTTCTACAAGTATTTTTTCTTTTGTGTCTTTATTCAAAGCTTCTGTGTCTTTCTCAAGTATTTTTTCTTTAATATCCTTATTTAAATCTTTTTTGTCATTCTCAAGTATTTTTTCTTTGATATCCTTATTTGAAGTTTCTGTTTCTTCCTCAAGTATTATTTCTTTAATATCTTTATCTTTTTTATCTTGGTTTTTGATACAGTCCTTGAGATTTTCAGCACAATACTTTTCAATCATTTCAATATCTCTTAAAGTACCTGCATCAAATTTTTCATTGCATTCTTTGACTTTTGGAAGAAAATCTTTTTGTAAAATTCTGTAAACATTTTTATTTTTTACAGGTACTACATTGTAATGGTAATTCTATAAAAAATTGAAAAAAACATTAAAAATAAATAATTGAAAATCACTGACTCATGTTTTTACTATTACAATTGATTTTTACTTACTTGTAACACCTTAGATTTTGGATCAATATCAATACCATGCAGAAAATATTTAATTGCTTGAGAAAAATTATTATCATTCAACCAATAACTAAATGCTAGTTCTATTACAATAGATTGAATTTGATACTCAGGTAATATACTAAATTGATTAACCATAGACAAAAGATATTCAGTAACTTTGAAAGTTTTATCAACTTTTACAATGCATTGTAAATATGAATTTGCAGCTGGTAAATTATTTCCATCTGCAGCTTTTTTTAAATGTTTTGCAGCTTCCTAAAAAAATCGTTGCAAATTATCATTACTCAAATAGAAATAATGTAAGAAAAATAAGTGCAAAAAAATACATACCTGGTACATTCCTAGTCTCATGTTCAAAATACCTCTGTAATGCCAGTACATACTATGATCTTGGCATTTGTCTTGAACTTTATTAAGACATACTTTTGCCCGTTCAAATTTTTTAAGTTGAATAAAACCCAAGGCTAATCTCAAGTAAATGCTATTACTTTCAGGGTTTGCTAAAAATACTTTTTCATAAATTTCCAATGACTGTTTCAATTTTTTTTGCTCTCTATACATTTGAGCAAGGAAAGTGCCAAATACAGGATTTTTTGATTGTTTATAAGCTCTTATAAAGCAATCTATTTCTTCTTTACCGGGCAATGATTTCATAGTTAAATCTCTTCTCATACGTCTCAAATTTTTCCCCAAAATAAAATGCCATAAAACGCAATTTGGATTTTTATCAATAGCTTTTCTAATAAATGATTCAGCTTCAAGTGTGCCAATCCTGTGATACTTTGACCAACACATACTTCTACAAGCAAAAAGTGTACTTATATCTACTGGTTCAGTGAATTTGATATCTTTAATGGCATCATAAGCTTGATTTAATTTATTGTGCATTCCATATTCATGAAAAACAAAACATTTTGTTGCTTCCAAAATGTAAGCTGCAACTTTTTGAGAAATTTCAAGATCTGAACTGTGAAAAAATGTAATAGGTAAGCTTCTTGAATGATATAAACATTTATTTAAACATATACATACTCATCAATGCTTTCTAAGCTGGATTTACATGTTTCCAAAGTTGCCAAAACACCATCTTCTTTTTCTTTGGCTTTTACATTTACGTAAATGTTCATAATATTACGCATGAGGGTCATAATAGGAAAAAAATCGTCATCATCATTTGGTTGGTAATCATAATCCACAGATTTATCAATATCATCCATATCCCAAGTGAATGGACATTCAAGATTTTTTAACATTTCCATAAGGAGGTCCGTTTCACTAATGGAATCAGCCATTACAATTTCTTTCTACAAATTTAAAAAAATGAAAAAAGAGCGAATGTATATTTTCTTATGAAAGTATAGAAGAATGGAAAAGTATTGCTGAGAAATCGATTTATAAAATGGCTTGATTTTTTACTCTAGCGAGGTTTGGATAATTAAAAGAAAAAATAATCATGTTCTTCCACTTAACAACCGTTTTACAATTATTAGACCAACATACAAACTAAAGCGATAAATAACTTCATACGCTTAAAAACTTACCTTTTTCTGACTAATCCTGAATATTGCAAATAACTTGAAAATGAAAAGCACAATGAATGCTTACAGCTATGCTGTATCATATAGAGTACTTACAAAGACCCAACAAGTAAATAAACGGGGTGACTTTGTATCGTCACTCGCTTGTTTAGATAAAATAGAACTACGATTTCAAATTGTTTTCAAATACCGTAAAATTTCGCCATCTAGCGCTGATAAGTAAAAGTAAACAAATGCCGATTTATATAGTTCTTGAGATGGTTTTGAATACCACTCTGAGAAATATCGCAGAAATCGTATATTCTTTCTAATTTAAAATTTGAGAAATTAAAATAATAAATGGAGTAAAAAATATGATAAAAATACGGATATTTCACACCTACCATGAATATTTTATTCAGTTTATAAAACAATTACTAGACATCAAAGTTATGATATAAGAGCTACATTAAGATAATATTCTTTGACAAGAGAGTGAAAAATAAAGAAAAAAAATAACAATAACAAATTTCTATTGTATACATTGGTTTTAAACAACTAAAGGAACTTAAATATTCACAACAGAAAATATAATTCTATGACAATTTGTACTTTTTCTAGCTATCTAAATGCTAATAATCAAATTATAATTAAAAATGACTTTTCTCCTCAAATTCCATGAAAAATGCATGCACATAGCCAGCTGTGCATTAAATAAATCAGATTTATTTTATTTTTCCATAAAATTATGGAGTTAATTTGTGTGTTAAGCTTATATTATGCAATATATAAGTACTGTTTCACGCTTAAAAATATCACTTCTTATCAAATTGAAAATTTTATGCTCTATAATTGTTTAGTTACAAGAGTAGTAATTTCTTTGTTACTACTTAAGATTACGAATTAAATAATTAATAATTTAATCCTCATAGTTTCTATTTTTTAGCATTAAAGCCTGATTTACATGTTCAATGTTAAATGTCCCTGGTGACTGACTCCATGGTTCTCCATCTACTTGCATGGCACATGGTTTTTTAAGTATGATCTGGAAAAGATGATAAAAATTTATTTAATTTAATATGTCTTATATAATCTGTAATACAAAATTAAATGAGGGGTAAATAATTTATACCTTTACTCGATTTGCTTGACCTAGGCGTATTGGCTGTGAAAGACCTACTTGCAATTGAGCACAATGTAAAGAAGAATACAAAGCACAAACTTCTAGTTTTTTATCATTAATACTTTGGTGTTCTATTTGGACATCTACAAAGAATCATTTTTAAAATGTAGTATTATTTTGAAAGTCGAAAAAGGTATTATCAAAATGACTTTTCAAACTTGCCTTCTGAATTGATATTCCATAAGTCAACTCCAGCACCCCATGATGGAATATTCAAAACAACAATACTCTCAATGCTTGGTAGATCTATTTTTTTCTCATCCAAATACACTTCAATATTTTGATCCAAATCTTTGCAATCTCTTTCAACAACTTGATGAGTTCCAAAACATAAATAAAGAAGCTGTAAAATTTCAATTATTTTTTGAGTAAGAAACTGCGCATAAAAAAATTAAAATTCTAGAAATATTTTATACCTTATTTATTATTCTATGACTGAATAAATAAAATCTACTCTGTCTGGCAAGATGAAAATTTAGTGTCACTTGTGCATCCACCCCTACACTCAAATAATTATACATAAACATTGATTTTTGTTGAGCACGAAAGGCTTTTTTGGCATTTATGACTACAGACCACCTACAATTTCACATAGTTTGTAAATGATTTATCAATTCATTAATCTTCTCACTTGATCAATTTTCAATGATTTTCAAATAAACAAACCTGTCAAGATAAACTTCTTCTGCAAGTTGTATCATTCTTAAAGTTGAACTAACATCTCTATTCACATCATATTCTTTACCCCACCCCATCACTCGTGATAAGTCATTTCCAGTTCCAAGAGGTAAAATAGCTACTGATGGAATTGGCTATAGATAATAAAAAAAAATAATTTTGAAAATTAAATTATGGATTCAAAACAAAATCTGAGGAAGGAAGATGGAGAGAAAGAAAAAAAAATTATACATTTAGAATACCTTTAATTTTAATTTGTCAATGGCATTTAAGATCCAAGCAATCGTACCATCTCCCCCAGCCACTAAAATTTTACATTGAACTCCACTCAATAGGCGGCACCATTCAAGAGCAACAATGGGATCATATTCAGATAAATCAATAACTTGGGCAGGATTCAGAATTCTTCTGAAGGACGATAAAATTTCAGTGCCTTCATTGTTCCCTGATTTTTGATTGGCTACAAATCAAATTGGAATAAATATTTAATATTTTTTAATGAAACTAATCTAAAATAGACATACCAACTACAATTATTGGATTCCAAAGAGTCCAATTTGGTGATTTTATCGATTGAATTTGTAAACGTTTACGAACACTATTTCGTCTATTGGTTAATATTATACTGGTAGGAGGTATCACTACATTCTTAAAATCACCAAAATCACATTCCTGTAATAAAAAATAAAGAGTATAATGGTATAAGGTCTTCTAACACTCATTTAAAATCTCAATAAGTTCATACTTTTTTAATCAAAGGTTTACATGTCTCATGAGCACATTTTTGGCACCAACAGCACCACCAATCTAAAAGTCCTGCCTCTACACTACACTCTTCATCACAAACATCACACATTGCGACTAAAGGCAAATTTCCTATGAATTAAGCAAAAGATATAAAGTATAATTGATTTTGCCAAATACCTTACAACATTTTTTACAAACCTCTGACCCAATGATGTTTCATGGATTCGTTTGGCGAATTTATTGAAATTTCTTTACATTTAAAGTCTTTATCTGCTTTTTTAATACATTCATGATCGGCGCATACACCACATGAATCACAATAAAATCCATTTACTACAAGTAGCAAAGATTCACAAACGCTACAAAAATATGCCTGGAAAGGATAAAATTCATCATAATATTTATTAAGAATGAAATATATTTATGTTTCTAATATATACATTCATTACCCTAGAAGTCCTCTTAATGAGTTGCCAATTGTGCTTTTTTCTATCTCTTATGTGCACATTGTATTCCCCAATTAGAAATTTAACAACATTCACAGTGACGACAAATATTATCATTGTCGACACGGTCGGTAGAAGACAGCCATATATACCTTCCGACCACATGATTACTGGAATGGAAGTTGATAAGACTGTAAATGAAAATGATGCATACACATGAATTAAAATATTTGTGTTTTCGATATGTTTTTATATATTTCGGATATCTTATTCGAAAGAAACTTATCAATACCAACGAAAAAATCAATCAATAACTTACCAAGAAAAAAAAATTCAATAATTCATCGATCAACTAACACGATTTGGGTATATAAGCAAGCTTTTGCTGCAAGATTTGCATTTTTAGTCTGTTTGTTATGCGTAGAAAACGCGCCGATATTTGATTGTTTTAGCGCGGCAAAAACGAACGCACGAAAATTTTTGAATTGTTTGGTAATCACGAAAGAGGTGGATGAATAAACATTAGCGAGCGCATTGCCGGATAAATAAATATCGCGACAAGAGCGTTGCGACTTGCGACAGACACTGTTGTAGCAGACTGCAGTAGCAAATTGATAAACACAACGCTATAGGCTACGATTGTGTGCGTATATGAGTGTGCAGAGTCTGTATCTGATAAAGGTGAAAGAGACGCGCAGCAAGCCTGTCATCCGCTTCCTATCTTTCGCGCTCAGTTTGGCAGCTCTTAATTGGCAGAATCAATTTTTATACCTTCACTTGAGAAAATCGAGCTATTTATTTTCCTCGATCGATGCAAATTTGCCATCAATAGTCGAGGGAAAGTATTCTTCATAAACGAATCTTTATTTATTTATTTAAAAATTAATCTACTTTTACTTTTTACTTAGTGATATTTTGTAACGTATGTTTGGTAATTTAATGACCCTAGATATATAGGGTCTAAATATGCTCTGGACTGGAGTCTGCTACTACAAAATCACAAATATTATTGTATGAAATCTATTGCGTAGTTTGCAGGTTAATATTTCGCAAAACAATAAATTTCAGCCCTTTTTATGTTACGAATATGTCATTGATGAGTTAAGAACTTTAAAACAACTAATTGACTTGCTCGATTATTTTGTAATTAAGGTACTTTCTGTGATACTTTTCAAGAACTACCTGAATTATTATTTATGTATTAATACTATAAGCGGTCTATTACATTGTTATACAATTTTTTGACCATTCAAATTTACAAAAAAATATCAATTGCCAATCTTTTTATTTACCATCGCACAAAATGTCAAAAGATGGTAAAGTAGCCTTGAAAGAGGCAAAGGAACTTTTGAAAAAACAAGAATATTCTCAAGCAATCAAGATGTGTAAAAAAGTTATAAAAGAAGATAAAAAAAATTACAACGCTCATGTTTTAATGGGTGCTGCCCTAAAAGAAGTTGAAGCTCTTAGAAGCCAGGCTCCAATGTCCTTAAAAAAAGCCATTGACTTGCAGCCTGATAATCCTTTAGCTTGGCAAGGTTTACTTGTATTTTATGAAGGTGAAAAAGATAATGCTGAAACATGGACTGAATTAATTCCTGTGTACAATCAAATTCTACAGTTTGAAAGGTGACACATTTAGTTATGATTCATATTTTTACATTAAAATATTTTAATAATGAATCTTTTTAGTGATACAGCAAAATTTATCAATCATTTGAAGAATTTGATTACAACTTTACTGAAACTCAAAAATGATGATTTGCTAGCTCAAAGTGTGAAAGTACTTACAAAATTAAGACAACAATATGCTTCAGATGAAGAAAAATACAAAAAGATCATTGAAGCATTAGCAGTTATCCTCACACAATACCCAAAACTTACTCATGATTATGATGCAATTTTAGAAGAAACTTTAATCTATTTGATTGAAGATGAATCTTCACTCAATCGGCATGAGTACTATAAAAAGTATTTGAAGCACTTATACAAAATGGAAAAATTTGATGAACTATTTGTTGAAGCTACAAAAATGCATAATATTTTTAATCAAGATATTTATCCTCTAGGTAATAAAATTAATTTTTTATTACAATTCATATGGTTGAATAAATAATTCATTGGTTTTTATATTTTTTTCAGAATGGATTTGTAGAGTATATTCTGAACACAGTATAACTCATGATAAACATCCTGATATTGATATAGTTGTTTTTTATGAAACTTTATTGGACCATGATAATGATTCTATTTTGGGCTATTTTGCTAAAGCAGTTAATTTATATGAAACAGAAAATTTGATAGATTCAAGAAATATTCTTAATCAATTAGTTGCTATAAAACCTAAATGGTTTCATGTTTGGTTACTACTTGGAAAAATTAACATAAAATTATACTGTTGGGAGGAAGCTGAATACGCTGCTACTAATGCATTAAGTCTTGTGCCAGAAGGAGATCCACATAAGCTAATTCCTGCTATAAATATCATACTATTGGAATCTTTGATTAAAAGTGGTAATGAACTTAAAGTAAGAAAAGCAGAAGAAATATTTGAAGAGGTAACCACCATTTTATTTTTAGCAAATTAACAATATGAACTTTTAAAATTAATTCTGTTGTGTTTTAGTTATCTGACAACTCTCTCAAATCCTCTGTTTTGCGAGCCCATTTGTATGTTAATTTAGGGAATCCAAAAGCAAACATGATGATAAATGATTTAAAAAATAATTCAGAAACAGCTGCTGCAGCCGCAGTACTTTGTGCATTGAATTTATTAGAAAATAAACAATTTGAAGAAGCTGCTGATGTGTTAGGATCAGTTTTAGAGTCATCCAATGCATGGCTTACATTAGGAAAAATTTATTGGGAAATGGCAGATTTTGGACACAGTCTGATGGCTCTTCTCAAAGGGATAAGTGCTGATCCATATAATTGGGAATGTTTAGTATATTTGGGCCGATATCATCAAGAATATTCAAAGGATTACGATAGGTCACGTAAATGTTATCAGAAAGCATTACAAATTAATCCTAATTCTGCTCAAGCAGGCATTGGTTTGAGTTCACTTCATAGGTTGTTGAAGAATACAGTAAGAACTTTTTTTATATCTACTTGAGCCACATTTGAATTGAATTGATTTTTCAATTTTTGTTATAGGATGAAAATATACAATTTCTGCAACAGTTGACAAGTAGTGGCAAGGGTCCAAAATGGGCTCTCATACAACTTGGATTACAATTTCTGGACAAAAATGAGCCCAATGAAGCTGTGTCAGCTTTTAGAAATGCTGTAAAAACTGATCCTTCAGACAGGTAAAATCAATTCATTATTTTAAATTAAAATAAAAATAGAATTACTCATAGTTTAATTTTATAAATTCAGTAATTGCTGGGAATGTCTTGCTGATGCTTATTTAGCTCGTGGAGCACATTTATCAGCTCTGAGATCTTATGAAAGAGTTTTGCACTTGAATCCTGAATCGTTTTATTCCAAGGTTCAATTGGCAAACATAGAATTGGTATCAGTCATTTATTACAAAAATATTCTACTTAATCATAAATGATAATTTAATATTATAAGATTATATGCATTTTTAGCTGATAGGTGATTTAAAGTCTGCAAAAACTAAGTTTAGAGAAATTATAAGTTTAAATAAAACAAATCCCTCAGCTCTCAAAGGATTAGCTGAAAGTTGTTTTAAACTTGGAAAAGAGCATGCATCTGCACAACTTCTTGCAAGAGCAAGAGACGATTATCAAGATGCTGTTGATAGTTTGATACAAGCTGTTGAATTAAAAAAACCTTACATGTGTATTTGGAAACTTTTGGGTGATATTTGTTACAATGTCGTTGAATTGCCAGAGAAATATTGTTATCTTAATGGAATACCATCAATGCTTCAGTACGATCCTGAAAACGCCAAAAATGTAATTCACAGAAAAGAAATATTTTTGTTATCTATAAAGTAAGACACTAATTTTGATGTAATAATTTTTTACCTTTAAACTTTGTTCAAGGAGTTATAAATGAAATTACCTTTACAGATGTTACTGTATAGCTCTTAATATATCCAAGGATTCATCACTTCTCTGGCATGATTTATCGCAATGTTATTTAGCTAAATATCATTCTAAATCAAATGAAGATAAGAAAGAAGATATAAAAAAAAGTTTAGCCGCTGCAAAAGAAGCTGTCAATGCTGATCCATTATCTTGGAATCATTGGAATTTATTGGGAGTAGTATGCATGGTAGAAGATGTTAAAAATTATGCTTTAGCTCAACATTGTTTTGCTATGGCTTTAGATCTTCAATCAAACAACCCGATTCCATGGACAAATCTGGGTTCATTGTATCTGATATTAGGTATTTCAATTTTAATTATTCATAATAATCGGAAATGATTTTTTGAATCTTTAATTACTGTTTATGGAAAGTAAGTACATAGCATTTTATGAATTGTTACGTAAATGAAACACATGTTACTTTTTTAAGGCAATGACTAAAATTCGATTTTTAATTTCTGAGTAAATCAAAAAAATGCTAATTTGGAAGATTTATGATCATAAATGTAATTTTTTCGTGTAAAAATTATTTTTAGGTGATGCTTATCGTGCAAATGAAGCTTTTTCATGGGCTCAAAGAATGGATCCAGCTTACATAAATTGTTGGATAGGTCAGGCTCTAATTGCAGAAAATATTGGTAGAACAGAAGCTATGGATTTGTTCAGACACTCCACTCAACTTGGCTATCATCCAGAGTCTGCTAAAGGGTATGCTCATTTGGTATTAAAAACAATCATGGACCCTGATGCGAAAAAGGATGTACTTTACAATTATGCTATTGAAAAAATCCACGCTGTTACAGTGGCCTCTGATAGTTTAAATTGGTATTTAGGTAATTTGTTAAATTTAAAAATTATCATTTCTTTTATGCAAAAATCATTAAAAACTATATTTGAAAATTCTAGTCCATGAAACAGATGATCCATGTGCATTAAATACCTATGGATTATTGTTAGAAAGGCAAAAAATTTATAAGCCTGCAGCTAAACAATTTTCTTTGGCATTAAAATACTTGGTTGATAAAAAACTAAAAGATAAGGTAAACATTAATTTAGCAAGAGTATTGGTTTCTACTGATCAATACATAGAGTCTGTTGAAGCTTGTGCAGCTGTAAAAGATGCCAGTTTTGCCTCTCATTGTCAGTTGGCTCTTTCATTATTCAAAGGTATAAATTATTCATATTTTACAAATAAAAATTCTATAAAAAACAATGTAATCATATCTATATATGTTCAACTTTGTAGCTGAAAGTTTCAAGGAATCTTATGAAGCTTATGAAGCTGCACTTCATCACCTTGCTGATACTGAAACTGATAAAGCTCATGTACTTTGTGCAATGGCTGCAATGGCGTTCATGTTTCAAGAAAGTAATGATGCTAAAACATTGCTCTACCAATCAATTAGCATCAAACCTCCTATCATATCTGGTCTGCTGGCATTAGCAGCGCTTGGCATGCTGGATCATGACAAAAATTTAACTGAATTGGTGCTTAAAGAATTGAAAGTTCTCGATAATGATCCTAAATATAGATATGACATAGCCAAAATAACAGCTTACTCATATCTAATTGAACAAGACATGGAAGGTGCTTGCAGAATCCTTTGTAAATATGCTCATCGATATCCAGGTAAAATATGAACATATTTTCAAATTTCTAATTAGTTATTTTCATATTATTTTATTGCTGTGTTTACTCTTTTTAGATTCTCCAGAATTATGGACTAGTTTAGCTCGAACACTATTAACAATGAATGATTTAGCCTTTACCAAATTCATTGAAAAAGCTCTATTCTTAGGAAGAAATACTTCATGTGAAGACATATCAAAAATCACGTGCATGTCAGCTTTAACTAAACTCATTACATCAAATCCAACAACAGGCTTAAGATCAGTTTTAAATATTGTACATTCCTTCCCAGCCAATGTTGATAGCTGGTCAAATCTTATCACGGCACTTTTACCAAGGTAAAAAGATAAAATATTATTTCAATAATACAAATTGCATTGAATTTTTACGATATTTATTTTTTAACAATTTAGATGGAGTAAAATTTCACAATCTAATGCTCATTGGCTGATGGTATTAGCATCAAGGATACGTCACAGTCTTGTATGTACAAGATCAATGGAACAATGGTTATTGAAAAATGAAAAAGAAGCAAATGACATTGCTTATTGTACACAATAAGTAACTGGTTGTAAAAATTAATGTACAGAAAGTTTTATAAAAGGCATTATTAAGAAATTTTGTTTTTCCTATCAAAGAAGTTAAAAATTTTGATACTTAAATAAACAGATTTCATAATCCGTATATTTCTAGCAGGGTACCTTTATTTACATTACATCCCTAAGTCCTGGTTTCACACTAAATCTATTTTGTTGAAATCTTGGTTGACCATTAAAATTATTTTGCTGCCAAGGTCTTTGTTCTGTCGATCTCATTTGTTCAATAGGAGAGCATATATGTTCATCCAAAGTCTGAAATATTAAAAGTCAAATTATGATTTAATTCCACTTACTTACACATCAAAAATTTTTTAATATTATAGAAAAGCATTGTTGAACTTACCCCTGTCTGGACATAATCATGCATTTTGATTTCTTTTAACATTTTAGCCAAATCACTGACTTCGCTCAAATTTTCTCTTTCAACATAAGCTTCAACTTCTTCGATCTGTAAATAAAGTTGGCATATTGGAATTTAATAAGAGGTATTCAACAGCACATTTAAAAAATTGATTGTTTGTGTCAGCTTTTTAAACCAAAATAAACACTTTTAAAGTCTCTTACTTTCTTTAATAGAAATTTCAATAAAATTTTTATATTTACCGTATCTTTAAAGAACATCTGTTTGCGTCTTGTAGGAATATCATTCTGTAGTGTATTACGGAAATGTATCATTATTTCATCTGTTCGTTTCAGACCTACATAGGCTAAAACTTTGATGCATCTGATATCAATATATCTCATGTTTCTAGCTATTGAAGCAACTTCCAAAGCTACACTAGGATCATTTTGTTTAAGAGCAAGAGCTGCTAAAAATGAAATTGATCTACGTGGTAAATCAAAGCCACGGGTCTGAACTTCCTCTAAAAGTTTAAGGGCATACTGATAACTTTCTTTGGAATTCTAAAAGTTAAATTTGGAGATAATTATTCAATTCTTGTGTTATAATGTCTATTAATTAATCATAACTTATACCTCTTTGTAACATGCTGCCATAACTAAAATAAATGGATTTCTAGGATGAACGATTCCATTAATATTTTTTGTTTTAATGATATCATAAACCTCTCGAACTTCAGAATATTTGCCATGATTATATAATAAATCCATTAACAGTTGGTGTGTCATTATCTGATCGAAGAAATTGTTCAACTGTGGATCTTTGAATGCTTTCAATGCTAGTTCTGGTTCATCCAAATGATAGAATGCTCTCATTGCAACAGTACCAAAAACAAAACTGCCAAATCTTAAATTATTTTGATTGTTAAATTTTTTTATCATGTTATACATGAGTTCCAAGTCTTCTGGCTTTTTTTCTACAATGTGTAACATTGTCTTCAAATCTTCAGTAAAAATCATTGAATCATCTTCCTTATTAACAAAATCTTTCATTTTTTGAAAAAATAAATGCTCCACATTCAGAAACTGTGATTTCACATAATCTCTAGCATTTAGGTAGCCATTAATACCCATCGAATTAGGTGTGTAAAGTTGTCTTGAAGCTGTAAAATGAAGAAAAAATTTTAATCTACATCTCGCCACAATTATGAAATAAAGAAAACAATAATACTTTAATAATACTCTAAATAATGATTAATTTTTTTTTAATATAAAAATAATAAAAGTAAGGTTAAATAAAATTAACCAACCCTGGACGACCAACTGATTAAAGACATTCTTTGTGAACAAGTTAACACTGCTCCTAGCAAGAGCCTTAGCACACATTGCCATAATGTTGATAATATTTATTATTTATATTAACAAAATTTGTAATATACAATGTAGTTGCTCTCGGTTTCGCAATACACAGAGGAGTCGAGACGTGCCGCGAGCCCACGAGCTTCAAGATTTTACCATAGATATCTCAATAGCGTAGATATATGCGTAAAAACGGCAGCAGCCTGCAGCATTATAATCCAAAGCACTAAAGATCGTCTGCTACAACGCAGACGAAATGTTTAGCAATGAAATGAAATACAAATTTATGATTCAATAAAAAAAAAATTGTTTGAATCTTTTGGTATCCTTATCAACTTTAAATTATATATTATTGTGTGAAATAAAAAAACAGTTATTTTTATTGTAAATGATTTTTATTTTTTGACCCCTTAATTAAACAAACCCAAATTTGTTTATGAGTATTATAAAAATCTAAATAATATACAATTAATTTTGCGTATTTTAGTTTTACATTGCTTTGATCTTGTCAATAATATTTTCATTAATACAAGAGAAAAATATTTTTGAAAAAATGTATAAGCAGAAGTAATCAATGTAAGAGTAAATCATTTTTCATGTTATACATTGAGTTCAAAAAATAATTGATGAAGGAATTTAATTTATCACAGGATTCCTGAAAGTATTTACTAAACCAATAAGCTAAAATATTACACCTACTGATTTATAAGTGAAATAAACATAATTTCATGAGATTTCAAGTAAAGTTATTTTGATGAGCATAGCAAATCTTTTTCGAAATCCAATACATAATTTACAATTCAATGATCAAAATTTTACATGAATAAGACTTTCCACTATAATCTACATCATTCGTAAAAAAGTTTTACAATAGAAAATTTCATACAACATTCAAAAAATATTGTAAGAAGCAAACATCAAAAATTCATAACACACAGCCTTAAAAACAATCAAGCATCATGCTTTTACTTATCGTCAAAAATATTTGATTTTTTTTAATATTTACATTTCAAATACATTATCTGTTATCTAATGCATGAATTGATTTGATTTGAACCATTATTATGTTAGTTTTTAATAATGCACAAAGTAAAATTTATACACCTTAATTTACAAATTTCCCAAAAATATTAATCTCCCAATTGATTTGCAAATGTGTTCTTAAATTCAATTGTGATGTAAAATGAAATGATATTCAAAAAATCTCAAATATATTCATTATATAATTACTTGTAAATATCACTTTGATAAAAAATATGAGTATCTTCAAATGATACTGCCGTTTTTCTGTGAATTATTATCTAGTCCGTATCAATGAAAATTATTATTTCTAATATAGTGACTTAGACATCAGTAGTTATTATGCCTGCATGAAAGTTTGTCTAATCTTTCACTTGAAGGCCCCAAATACTTGTTCGCCTAATTCCAACAGTGGGTCTGGCAATGGAACTAAACATATATTTATTTAGTTCTACATGTTTATATCTACTTTTGAATAGTTTTACTGCATCATTAGTTAGCATTCCAAAAAAGTCTAAATATTTCAGTTTTGGCATTGAAGCTAATCTGGAGGACATTGATGGAGAAATACTATAACAACGACTCAAGGACAAGTGTTCTAAATTTGTCAAACTCATCAGATGTTGAATTGCATTAATTGTGAGTAATGTACAATCACTTAAATCTAATTCCACCATGGATGGACACTGTTTAACTAAATTCTGGATATCTATAAAACATTACATTATTTTAAATAGTATAATCAAAAGTGGAAAATTAATTTGAAGATTTAAATACAATGTTTTTACCTTCATCTGTCATGGATCTTCTACATCCAGCTATATTCAATCTTACAACAGAACTAGGTAGAGATGTGCAAATGAAAGCAACTGATTCTGCATCTAAAGTGCACCAACCAACATTAAGTGCAGTCAAGCTGAAAATCATTTATAAAATTTGTAAAAACACAAATTACTAAAATTATGAAAAAAATTGTTTGCTTCAATTTTCGTTACACATTGTATGAAATATGAATGTCATTAGTAAATTTTTTTTGTACCTTTTTAAAGCAGTTAGAAATTTGAGACATTCAGTATTTATGCCTTCACACATTGTCAAGTTAAGTACCTCTAAATTTTCATTTTCACCAATAGCTGTACAGCATGCTTCATTTAGTTTACAATTTTCCAGAGATAACTTTTTCAATTGTCTACATTTTGCCAAGATTTCAGCTAAATCTATTATGTTAATACCAACCATTGATAAATCTAAATACTGTAGCTTACAAGTAAAACTTGACCAGTCTATGTATGGATTTGGTAAAAATGCAGGGTGTGCAATTTCTGTTTGAGCTAATCTTAAAATTTGAATGCCTCTTGGAAGAATATTACCTAATGTACCTTTGGTTATAATTTTATTTCCCAGATCAAGTCTCGTCCACAATACCTCATCTAAACCAATTCGATACCATCGTTTACATACTAACATACTTTGTACCTTGTAAAATAAAAACAAATTTTAGAACTAGATACAAACTCTCGAAATAATGAAAATGAAATATTTATATTTACCAAACTAGCTTTGGGTAAATATTTGAATATCATTAGAATCAGTTCATCAGAAAAACTTCCTAATATACTTTCTTCTAGCATAATATTTTGTTTTTTTTTATTTGCCAACTCATGATTTTTAATAGTTACTTTGTCCGTTGACTCATTTGAATTTCCTTTATAGTTTTCTGTTGGGTGTACATATTTTTCTTTTCTTGCTGAATGACCTGATTCATTATTTAATGCTGCATAATCAATGATTTCTGCAGTTTCCAATATCAACCTTGAATAAAAAATTTATTGGAAATTAATAATATTAATTACAAATAGAATAAAATATCAAATTGTTATTTTTAAAATGATTATTTACCTGTTCGAGTTTTCATTGTCAAAGTTATCACAATTCAATGATTCTTTTGGTATTTCATGCTTCAATTGTGAATTTTTCAAATGTTTTTCAGTGGTAAAATTTTTTGGGGATATAGTACACTCTTGTGTTTTCATTGCTTGAAGGCTTTCTCTGCTGGCTTCTCCATCTGCAAGCATACTGACACCCATATCTTGTAGAATTTCTGGTTCAACTAAACTTGTATCACCTGAACACGACCATTTTTCACTTTCTTGCTCACTATCTCCATTCAAATTATTATTGCAGCCATCATCCAGACGCATTTTTTTACTGAAGCAATTTTATAAGATCATTATTATGTTATTAACATATTATAGAAAATTGGAAATCTAGTTTAAAGATCACCTTGACATTTTTCAATGTATTTCTTTTATAATATATGAATAAAGTATGATTGAAAAAATATTTTAGTTCTAAAAAAATATTATAAATAAAAATTACGAGCGATAAACGACTCTACTAAACTTTACTAAAATAACGTAAAAGCAAAGATCACTTTGTAAGTGATCAAATAAAATTTTTCACTCTGCGTGTAATGAGCAGTTCAGGTGTAAATGCCGCCAAAACTGAAAACTTAAGCGTCTTTACATTCAAACATTTTTATATCGTCCGTACAGAATTTCCTGTCATAAAATTAAATCATTTTCATCGTAACTCTTTCGGCTACACATCACAATACGTGGTCAATTGATGTATATATAGTACGTATTGCTCCGAAATTGCGGCCGTTGAAAGTTCATAAAATACATGAAAAAAGGCGCTCTCACCTGTTGTACCAGCACGTCTCTGACATGTTGACTGCGATGAGAATTTTCACGTTGATTTTCGAAGAAAAGTGTAAATGACGCAGCGGCACGAATCGGCCGACTCGATGAGTTTCGAGTTTGACTTTGAATCGTTATTTTTTTTTTGGAAGTTCAACGCCTTTCTAGCGCCACATCGCGTTAATTAGCCCGCGTTTCAACATAACCTCGGCTGTAGCGCACGCACGCATGCGACTACTAACCAGTCCCCAATAGTAGCCGTCTTACGCCTAGCAGCCAGCAGCAAAATTTTAAATTTTCAAACTCTACACTAGCGTCATCTGCGGTTTTTGTTCCCGCTAATATTATTATTATTATTATTTGCACTGATCGTCGTACTCTTTATTTATCGCGACGTGGACAGATTTCAAAAAACTTCAAATATATTTATTGAAATGAATTCTGGCGTAATCCGAATGCGTTGAATGTTTGAGTCGTATTTGAGCGCCATTAATTGTCGTTAGAAAAAATAATGTGCCGGACGTGATAAAGAAAAAAAAAGATCACGGCTCCACACACACGAGCCGTCCGGCGCGCACACCTGTCTCTCCCGCTTTTTTAAAACGAAAGGTAGAATTGCACACATACGAATACGACACAATCGAAAAATGTGGGGGAGGAGCACAAAAGATCTAGCTGAAATAAGCATTTTATTTCTAAGACAGCAACAGATTCATCGGCTGCGTGTGGCTATATATGGTAGGATTATTGAACCAACTTGCCATCATGGGGCGTCGTACTCTATTTTTGGATATGTAATTGAAGTATGTTGTTTTGGGATACAATTTTTACTTTTTTCACTTTTTACAGCTATCTTATTTAATTTGATTACGTTAAAAATGTTACATCCTGTAGGAAAATTCTAAGCTTTCGATCGAGTACATACACTTGATCACTCGAAAAGTTCAAATGTTTTTAAAATACGATTTTCCAAAAAAAATCGAAAAATCTGGTTTTCGCACAGTAATCAGCCAGTTCATATATTAAGAGTTAGCTAATAAATGGCAATGTTCAACTGCAATAGCTACGTTCAAAGTATCCGATATCTAAAACTCGAAAATTCAATTTTTGCCTAGCTGTTGGACACTATTTTTTTATTAATTAACAATAAATTTTTAAAAAACTGAATAAATACTATTTTGTATTTTATTTTTTAATTCGATTGATAACGACAATTTTATTCAAAACATGTTTTATTCGTAGCGTCTGAAAACTAACAGACATAAAAAATCTTTTTAAATTACATAGTTTATTGCTTTTTAATAAGTACATGAATGACACTTATCAATTATTCGAGTCAGTACATGAATATGCTCTGGTAAGGTTAATCCTCGAACTTACATTTTTACTCAAGTAACTAAAGGTGCATCGGAAAAGAAATACATTGAAATACATTGAAAAACTAAAGGTGCATCAGGATTAAAAATTTTCGAAGTATATTTTTTTAATATATCATGTAGATGTGTCGATTAGAAAGTTAATTCCATCAAGCACTTGATGTCAACGGTAGCATGATCAATGATTTATCAATTGCAGGTGTAAACCGCAGCAAAATAAATTTGAAGTCTGCTCAAAAAAGAGAAAGTATAGCTAAAACTCTATGACCGTTGTAATGTCCTTGAAGAACTGATAGATCGTTACGTCATTTACATGAAATTTTTGTATCAACTATGCAATGTTGTCTTCAGGTTTTTTCTCCGTATATATAGCGTCTGTAAAAGTTGAATTAATTAATTATTACGGACGACAATTTGATGCTCCAGTGAAATGAATTAACGTACATAAAAATTGGCAGTAATTCAGCGTTCCTATGGACAAAATCGAGCTGACACGAGTCATAAAGTGCTTCGTTGTCAATTTCTCTTGACTTTAGTCGAGCGTTGCTTCTTGAGCTCGGTGTTGCGCTTGAACAAGGCCAAAAATCGGCCGAGTATTAATTTAATCACATACAGTAGCAAAAAGATAATGGACAGAATGAAGGTGTAAACGTCCCAGAGCGAGGCCTCCCACCATGGCATGTCCGTGAGGGGCGACCTCAGGGCATCTTTTCCATGCCTCGCTACGAACTCGATCCAATAGGCTGCCGTGTCCATGGGTTTCATCGGGGTGTCGCGCATCATTTTGCTCACTTGTCTCACGGATTTTCTGCAATATTTTATCAGTCGTTATTATTATTCTTTACTGCGCGAGTAAGGAAAAATTTCGAACATCAAAAACTCACTTGTAAATTGGATTCTCTAACATGGCCTTAACCGATTCGGTGAGACTTTTTTCGTTGATATTTTCAAGCAGCAACTTTATAGCCACGTTCTTCCTAACGTATACCTCTAAATTAAGATGCTGATCGCCGAAAAGCGGCACTCCGACCATTGGTATTTCATGGTACACAGCCTCCATAGTTCCTAATAATCCTCCATGCGTGACGAAGCCTTTGATGTTTTTATGCTCTATAACACAAAGTGGACATTTTCCAGCTTGAATCGTTGTCGATAAAAAGATGAAAGTTTTGACTTACTCAATACTTTGATCTGCGGTAACCAAGTTTGAACGATTACATTGGACGGTAGGCCAGGTTGCAGTTCTTCCGGTTTGGCTATTTTCATGAGTACTCGAACTGGTGCGATATTTTTGAACATGGCGTAAAACGCATCGATTACAGGCTTCGGGAAAGTTTCCAGTCGGACCATCGAGCCAAATGAAACGTAAATGAATCCATTCTTACTTTCGTCGAGAAATTTCTCGACTTGCTAAAAAAAAATGGATTGAAAAGTTAGATGGATGAAAAATTGTTGTACTTGACAATCGGGTGCTACAGCACATCCCTCCAGATAAATCAACATAATCGAGTTGATGACGAGTTAGCCGTACACGAAGGTCCAGCAACTATTTTTTCAAAGCTTTAGCGCAAAATCGTTAATTGCTAACCTTGGGCAATTGAGTGCTGTCGTCGTCGAGAACGTGCACACCTCCGATCGAGACGATCGACGACGTTTGAGCCTTTACTCCATTGAGCGCCACATTGTGATTGAGCAAAACCAGAGCCGTGTCCTTTTGCAAGTCGTAGACGCTCGGATAGCCGTCGCCCACGTACTCCTTCAGCAGGGCGTCCTGCTCGCGCGAGAAATAGGCCATGGCCCAGCTCACGTACAGGTGCAGATACATATTGTGCAGCTTGTCGAGGAAACTCATGGGCGCGACTGTCCTCGCGAATACGCTCGGGTCCGAGGCGTAGTTCACCGGATTGCCCAGAGGCTCGTTGTACCAGTCGAAGACGTTCGGGGTCGTGGACACGACGACCATCGGTACGTTCAGCAGTCGTCCCCAGACCATGTGGCAATTCGCGAAGGCTGGCTGCAAGCGTTCATCGTGTACAACATATTGATTAGCCCCTTGGAATAATCGTTCTAAGCAACGAGCCTCGGCCGAGCAGTCCGAGGCTCGCGAGTCTCACCTCAACCACGACCACGTCGTATGGAGGATCCTTCGGTGGATTGCGTATCAGATTCTGCAGGAGCGGCAAACCCATCAATTTGCAAACGGGATTGCCACCGAAAGCCAACATGCGGGGAATCGAGACGCCGGACTGGACCTTCGATACGTAGTCCCAGGTGATGTTGTTGGCAAGGGCCGGCAGAGTCCCGGCCAAGCTGTAGTCCGTGTAGTTGGGAATCGGGCTTTGCCGTGGAAAGTGGCTGTAGACGTCGACCTGGTGGCCCCTCTCGGCCATGCCGCGCATGATGCTGCCGCACATGTGGAAGTGGCTCTTGCCGTGCAGCGGAAACATGCCCAGGATACGCAAGCCATTGGCCCATTGAAGAATCGAGGCCAGCACCACGAGGCAGGAGAGAAAAAATTTCATCTTGACCACGCAGTCAAGACCACGCACGGTTTACGTGGTGCAAATTATTATTTTTTCACGAGGCAGAGACACGAATCGATAATAAATATTATTCGGTGCACGGGATCACGATAAAATTTGTACGCGAACTCGCTTGTTCAAACAATGGCGAGAGTTGTATCATGTTCATCGTTTTGTGTGCCGCGATTATGAGTATATGCGTCACGATCATCGTTTCCCCCATCTGCATCTATCTTCTTCAATAATTACAGCGCCCGGTCGTCTCGCTGATCTTGATTCGTATAGGCACTCGATGCGATTATGCAATGTCGCACATAGATGTGTGTACCCGTTCTTTATTCGCACAATCAGTTGTTGATAATTTTCCAGTCATTACGACACTCGATACATTATGATGGATTGATCTTATCCACGCGCGTATCGCAGCTCTCACGATTCTATTTAAAGAGTAAGAAGGTATACGAAAATTCAATAACTCATAAAATGCGTAGCAGTGCATACACGGTGCATTTATTGTTGCTTCTTTTTCGACTTGGCTGTTTTTTTCGACAGCAATTTAGCGAGACTCTTCCAGATAACTCGAATTACAATCAATATTAGCACAAGAATCGTAGCTAAAAACACGTAAATATCGAGCAGCGATGTCTGCCACCATGGCATGTCCGACAGCGGAGATCTGAGGGCGTTTTTTCCGTGTCTGGCCACGTACTCGACCCAATAGATGGCCGTCTCCAACGGCTTCATTGGCACGTCCTTGAAAGCTTTGCTGTACTTTTCGGATGATTCCCTGCAAAATGCCAGTCAATTAGTAGTTTCGACAATTTTTGTTATTTTTTTATCGCTACTCGATCGGATTCTTTTTTTTATTTACGCACTTGTAAAGAGGATTTGTCAATATTTCCCGAACGGCTCGAGTGAATGTCTCTTCCGTGAGTTCGTGCCGATTGACGTAAACAGCCAAATTTTTTTTCACGTAAGTTTTGATGTTGATGTGCTGATCACCAAAGAGAGGGATCCCTATCATGGGTACGGCATGGTACACGGCTTCTTGCGTCCCCATCGTGCCGCCGTGGGTCACGAAGGCCTTTATATTCTTGTGTTCTGGAAAAACGAGTTTTATACATATATAGGACAACGCAGACGATCGATGGCTTTTCAAAACTTTATTTTTTACTTAGAACTTGAAGCTGAGGCAGCCAGTTGTGAGTAATTACGTTGGACGGTAAACCCGTGGGTAAATCTTCCGGTTTGGCTATTTTCATCAGAACTCGAACCGGCGCGATTTTCTCAAAACTGCGGTAAAGGGCGTGCAATATGTGCTTTGGAAAAGTTTCGATTCTGACCATCGATCCAAATGAAAAATAAATGAATCCATCCTTACTCTCGTCCATGAATTTTTTCACTCGCTATTATTCAGAATAATAAAAAAAACTTTCAAATTGCCGAGCCATACGGATTCTCAATTAATAAGTTTCGTACCTCTGGAAGCGGGTCTTCGCGGTCCGTAATATGTAAACCAGCTACAGGTACGACGCCAGGAGTAAAAGCTTTGATTCCATTCAGTGCTTGATTGTAATTTATCAGCACAAGAGAAATTTCCCTCATTGCGTCGACAGCATTGGGATGTCCTTTACCAAAGGCTCCTTCTATATATTTGTCCTGCACCCTCATATGATAGTTGTACATCAGAGTTAGGTAATTACTAAACAGAAAATTGTCGACTCTTTCGAGGAACGACATCGGCGGAATCGACTGAGAAAAACTGCTCGGCTCAGCGGCAAGATTCCACGGGTTTCCCAGAGCCTCGTTCATCCAATCGAATAGAGTTGTCGTTGACACTGCTATCATGGGTACTTTGAGGTAAGGGCCCCAACCCAAGTAACAATTAAACATGAATATCTCAACTATCACCAGATCGTATTTAGGTGGGTCTTTTAAAAGTTTTTGAAAAATTGGCAAATTTAATAGATCACAGATTGGCTCGCCGACGATCTCGAGCATCTGTTTCATGGATATGCGCTTGGAAAATGATTCCATGAACTCGTACGTCATATTGTTTGCAAAAGCAGGAAGAGTCCCGGCCAAGCTGTAATCCGTGTAGTTGGGGATCGATTTTTTCAGCGGAAAATGACCGTAGACGTCGACTTGATGACCCTTGGCGGCCAATCCTTTCATCAAAGCCTCGCTCATAACGAAGTGACTTTTCCCTTGAAGCGGAAATATACCCAGGATACGTAAAGAGTTAACTAAAGGTACGTTACCGATCAGCGAACTCATCAGAAGGCATAAGCCGGCAAATTTTAAGATCGACTGCATGATGCTCCTGAAATTTCACGTCTCAAATGTTTAGTACCCTTTATACAGTTTTAATATTCCTTTAGGCATACTCACTATTTTAACCGAGAACTTGAATTGCAATCACATATCACTCGTGGTTCTGCACCTGAACTGCAGGTGAATGCCAAAAGCAACGGCTAAATTACCCTTATCACAAGGATCAGACAATCTTATCTTGTTTATAAGTTTTTTCTGCCATTAATAAAACATTGAATGAAACGATCATTACAACTTGTGATAAGCATTAACTATTTGCTTTTTTATCATGCTGACGAGACAATTGATTGCCCGGAGGTGACAAGATTTTACTCACGTTGTAGTAATTAAAATTGTGCGAAAACATCGATTTATACATTATTGATGTCAATGAATGTCACGAAATCTCGAATACGTTATCGCAATTTACGTGCAAGATCATCGTTCCTTGCATTCAAAATCCCTCTGTTTTTGCTACGCGCAGTAAATGCATTGGGCTCGCTCGAGGTGGCGCTGCTCTCAGGACTGTGAGATTCTCGATTCTCGAATCTCGCCCAGCAGACGATACTTATGCGCAGAGCACGCGATCAGTTATTGTTTGGTAACCTAGAAAATATAGTTTGTCTCATTCTTTGGCTCTGCCCTACATTCGGTATTATGTACGTATTATTTTACCATGACTTACATCATAGTTTGAAAAATTGTAAAAGAATAATTTTCAACTTTTATTTGTTTGCAGCGTTTTAAGCAATATTAAGCAATATGGGTAACACCGTGTCGTCGGCTGACAAGCCTACAGCTATTGCTCATCCCGTCAAAGGGGATATATCGGAGTGTCCTGTTGATCATAAAAATCTTCCCAAAGTGCAACAGAAGAGCGAGTGTCCAATTAATCATGATGAGATCAATCCTTTAAATATGATGCCAAAAGAAAATCAGAATCCAGCCCCGGATCAACCTTTTCCACTTTCAAAGGATAGGCAAGTTTCAACTATTCCAAAAGCATCAGAAGAGGGTGGATTCTGGGTTTATCCATCTCCTCAAATGTTTTGGAATGCTATGCTTCGTAAAGGTTGGCGTTGGAAGGATGAAGATCTCAAGCCTCAAGATATGGATGAAATTATTAAAATTCATAATGCTAACAATGAGCAAGCCTGGCAAGAAGTACTCAAATGGGAAGTATTACATTATAATGAATGTGCAAACCCAAAGTTAAAAAGTTTTGGAGGTAAAGCCAAAGATTACTCACCCAGAGCAAGAATACGCTACTGGTTAGGATATGGATTGCCTTTTGATAGACACGACTGGATTGTTGATAGATGTGGCAAGAATATCAAGTACATCATTGATTACTACGATGGTGGAGATGTCAATGATAAGTATACATTTGCATTATTGGATGTTAGGCCAGCTATGGATTCTCCAGGAAACATTTGGGATAGAATGAAGGTTGCATGGTGGAGATGGATGTATCAAGGCAAAGAACACTAAGAAGGTTCTACGTATTGTCATTTATTTTAATGTTGTACATAATACTTGAAAGTTATTTATTAAATTGACCTAGGAGTTGTTAAGTTTAAAATAATCAATTATTATTTAATATCACCCTACCTAAAAAAGTGTCACATTAATATTTCATTTGCTATTTTCAACTATTATTCAAAATAATATTAAACTAATACAGTTAAATAATAAAATTCAAATCTTAAGTTGAAATTTTCATACTGCTTGGGTAAAAAATTTGGTAGAAAAAGTATATGTCATCGACAATTTCACTGATTGGTTCATTATTATTTAATTATCACTCGCTCTATGTAGCTTATACCACTTGTCACATTTTAAGTCAAACATTCATAAAGTTTCACAACATTATCAGCGCTAAATGCAAAGTCTTTAAAAATGAAATCATTTCTTTTTCATTTTTCGTGGCTTTGATTTCTGTAAATTAAATATCAGCTTGATTAAGATTGCTACTAGCTTGTAGAAAATCACTAATAACAAAATGAAGATTGCAGCTAAAAATGCATATACGTCTAGCAAAGAAGCCTGCCACCAAGGCAAATCTACTATCGGAGGTCTAAGTGAATATTTTCCATGCTTGACTATGTATTCTACCCAATAAATCGCCGTGTTTAGCGGACTCAATGGGGCGTCTCTAAAAGCTTTGCCTACCTTATCAGCTGAATTTCTAGAAAAAGAAAAAGCAAACATAAGAAATCATGTCAGTTATCAATCGATTATATTAATAAAATTGAGCTTACTTGTACGCGGGATTATTGACGATTTCTTTGATGGCTGCGGTCAATGTTTCTTCTTTAATATTATGACGATCAAGTTTGATGGCCAAATTTTTCTTTGCGTACGACTCAATATTGAAGTGCTGATCGCCAAATAGAGGAAATCCTATTAGCGGTACGCCGTAGTAAATAGACTCTTGCGTACCCATAAGTCCACCGTGTGTAACAAAGGCCTTAATATTTTTGTGCTCTGAAAACCAACGAAAAAAGCTCCTATTAGTTAAATTCTTTTTTCCTCAAAACCTTCTCAACTCACTCAGGACTTTGACTTGCGGCAACCAAGAGTGCGTGATAACGTTCGAAGGCAAGCCGGGCGGTAGCAGTTCCGGTTTGGCTATTTTCATGACAACTCTAATTGGCGCTATGTTTTTGAAGCTGGCATATAGTTCTTTGATATCGTGTTCGGGGAACGTTTCGATTTGCACCATCGAGCCAAACGAGACGTAAATGAAACCATCCTTGCTCTCGTCCATGAATGTCTTGACATTAGCCGGTAGCACATCTTCGTTTTCGAAAACGTGGATACCGCCCACGGGCACGACCGACGGCGTGAAAGCTCGCACGCCGTTCAAGGCATGATGATAATTTACCAGGGTCAGAGATATCTCCTTCTGGAGGTCGATGACGTCGGGCATTCCGGGCCCGAAAGCTTTCTCGACCATGGCGTTTTGAGCATTGCGAGCCTCTCTGTTGAACGAATTTTCGAAGTAGTGACTCAGCACGACGTTGCTCAGACGCTCCTTGAACGACATCGGATGATAGCCGCCGGAAAATGTCGTTGGCTCCACCGCTAGGCGCGAGGGATTACCGAGCGGCCGGTACATCCACTCGAAGAGGCTGGTGGTCACCATCGAGACTATCGGAACATTTAAATGATGCCCGAGTTCTAAGTAGCAGTTCGACAAGAACATCTGCAAATAAGCGGAATTCCACGATCATCGTCGGTTTTTTTTTCGAACGATCGTCCAAAGTGATACTTAAAGCTCTTAATTGACAGAATTGAATAATTATATTGTTAGCCGCGAGCGCCGTTGTGCAGCAACGTGTGACGCGAGAAAAATTCATAAAATCAAGAGATGAAGACGCTTAATTTTTCAAGCATGATTGATCAATGTAAATTTATTGCTCAAGACCGATCAAAATATTATGCACTCCACAGAATCTCAACCCAATCTTTGGTGATTTTTCTAAAAAAAAAGAATAATTAAAATTATGTTTTACCTCTATAATGACGAGATCGTAAGGTGGATCGTTGGGTGGATTTTTAATAAGATTCTGGAAAATCGGTAAATTCAGCAACTCGCAAACAGGATTGCCGATCAAATTCATGAGCACCGGTATCGAGATGACCCCACCGAACGAGTTCATGTAGTCGTAGGTCATGTTGTTGGCAAGGGCCGGCAGCGTTCCAGCCAAGCTATAATCCTTGTAGTTGGGAATCGGTTTCTTCAGCGGAAAGTGACTGTAGACGTCGACCTGGTGGCCCTTGGCGGCCAGTCCTCTCATCAAAGCCTCGCACATGACGAAGTGGCTTTTGCCCTGGAGTGGAAATATACCCAGGATACGCAAGCCATGGCTCGTGGACAGAGTTGCAGCCAGCAAAAGAACAGCGATTATCCACGCTCGAGTCATATTGAGAGATCGATCGAGACTGCACGCCGAAATACGAGCTACGATCTATCGGAGTGTCGCGCAATCTTCGATATCGATAGCAGCGATGCTTATCAACGCGGAGAAAAAAATATCACACCATTCGACGTGCGATGTAACTGGCGCCCGACCAAGTATCGCGTGTAAAATGAATAGTCCGAGTGACTTGACAAAAAGTCGCCTCCAATTGTTCAAGTACTCGGCCAGAGATTACGATGCTGCACAAGATAAAAAAACACGCTGTCACGAAGCAGTCGGCTTTTGTTAATTGACTGTGGCTAAGGAGGCGTGAGAAGATGGATGAACGTTTTCTGACAATTTTCGCACACATTTGCATTTCTATAAATGAAGCGCTTAAATACCTCCGAGCTGTCTGATGAAGCGTCAAGGAATTCTCGACGAATGAAGAATGATGCTTCATTAAAAATGTAGGAAGTGGCATGTGTAGTTGAGGTGCAGCGAGTTTTTTTGATAGTTAAACATACGAAACATTTGAGTTTTTTTGATACTTGAACATGTGACGCATCGCGCTTGGTTCATTGTTTACTCTTTTTGTGTAATTATGCATTACTAGCAACATCTTACTACAAGTTCGATTAAAGCAGTATCCATAAGACTACATAGTATGTAATGTTTCGCACCAACATTCGAATTACTAAACAAATATTGAATTACACAGAGATCTGGAACCAGATCTTCTTCAAAAAAGTATTGGGGTCTCTTTAAAAATATTTAAAGATTTTTCTAACAAATATTTATCTTGTGAACTAATGGATTTAGAAGAAAATTGTAAGAACCAACCGTTATTTTGGAGTATTGATATTGAAAATTCGTGCTTCTGTGAAGATAAGATTTTAATATTAGTTATGCAACGAATTTTTATGAATAAATTTTAATAATTCTATTAACTAAGTGATCTTCTCATTTTTATAATTTTTATATCAGCTGAATTAATATTATGATTGCCTCTTCACAGAATTAAATTCGCGATTTAATATCGATACTCAAAAAATGCGCCTAAACTTGAGTATCGAGTAGGTGGCTCTCTAGTCTACACGTGGGTTTCATTACTACTTACTAGCTGCCGAATCCATTGCAGACAGCGACAACTTGTCAATTCAGAACAGACCCGAACTCAGTTCAACAGTGAGCTGATCCAAAGTTAGTTCGTTCTCAAGATTTTTCAATAACATTCCTTATTACCATGGCTGATGACGATTTCGAAGTCGACGAGTAAGTAATTTATTTTAATTATTGTTGATACGCTTCTAGTTTTTCTTTAATTTATCTTCCAAGATTCGTGCGATTAAAAAACCAAATATAACCTCACTTTCGAAATTTCTCGACCTTTCGATTACTTTGACTTGTTAATATAATATTCCTTTCCATTTCTTCTCAGTGTCGCAGATGAGTTTGACGATGTCGAAGACGATGATAACATTGAGTTAGAACAACCCGAAGATGAGGCTGAAAATTTTGATTTAGTGCCTCCTGGTGAAGCTACTGGTGGAGTTCAGAAGAGTAAACGCATCACTACTCATTACATGACCAAATATGAAAGGGCTCGTATACTTGGTACAAGAGCCTTACAAATATCCATGTGTGCACCTGTGATGGTAGAATTGGAAGGTGAAACTGATCCTTTACAAATTGCCATGAAAGAATTGAAGCAGAGAAAAATTCCAATTATCATCAGACGATTTCTACCAGACAACAGTTATGAAGATTGGGGAATTGATGAATTAGTTATTATTGATCATTAATCTATAAGATGAAAGAAATATCATTCATAAACCTTGGAAAGTAAAAATAAGATCATGGAACATAATTGATTCTAGACATTCTAAATTTTAATTTTCTTTGGTTTTGAATTGTGTGATTGAGTCGACAATTTTTAAATCGATAGGTCATGTTGATCAACAATTTTTTTCATATGAACCAATCTTTATTTAAAAATTAATTCATGTAAATAAATGAGTGAATGTTTTTATGATTATGAGAAAATGTGTTTCAATAAAAAAAGTTTTACAAATAAATTAAAGTGAATTATTTGATTGAAACATTCCTTAAAGAATCTACTAGAAGATTTTCATTTGATGGTGTGATTAAAGGATTTCCACTCCAACATGCAACACCATTTGCATTAATTTTGAGATCAACCTAAAATAGAATTTAAAATAAATAACTTGTCTCACTTCTAAAAACGTTTAATGACAGTATTGCCAATTTACCTGTAATTTCTCCCAAACTTTCTTTTTTGGGTTTAGAACCTCATCGGGATTTCCATTCTCATAACCCTCAACAACTACTTTATCACCAGGTTTACTATTCACTGGAGGTCTGAGTGGTTCAACAGCTTTCGTTGGCTCATCACTAAAAAATTGAACAATTCATAAATGAAAATTTTTGGTTAAAATAAGAATTATATAAAATTGATTACTATTTAATACTTACACAGAAGCACATAACACCATTCCGTGAGAAGAGACACCTCTCAAATTTGCAGGTTTTAAATTTGCCAATACAACAACCATTCTATCCTGCATCTGTTCAATAGGAACAAAATTGACCAAACCACTAACAATAGTTCTAGGCCCAGACTCTTCTCCCAAATCAATTTTTTCAATATATAAACTATCAGCATCTGGATGCCTTTGTACTTCAACAATTTTACCAACTCTGATATCTAATCTTGAAGGAACGACTTCAGCTGGCTCAGCACTTGGTTCTGAAGATTCATTTTATTATTTATGTTAATGATATTTTTTAGTTGCAATTTAAAAAAGATGGAGATATAAAAATTGAAATTATATTTACTTTGTTTTGATGGGAGAGGATAAGCCTTGGCACTCAGGGATTTCAATTTTGGATCACTTGCGAATTCCTTTCTAATTGGATCTAATAGTTTATTGATGTACACTTCTAATGCACTTTTCAAGTCACCAGGATGTACTGCGTATTCGGCAAAAGCCATTTCAAGTTCTTCATAATTGGCATAAGATGCATCTCCTCCTGTAATTCCATTTCATAGAGAATTGTTGTGAAAATATATGCATATAATTTATCATAGTTACCAAATTCAGCTGCTCGGGGCACTAAAAATGATTCTCCTTCCTTCATCAATGGAAACAATACTGATTTGACAAAAGCTAGAAGTCCATTGTCAGTTATGTTTCCTGGCTCACAGAAAGCTTTTTTTAATTTTTTCTTTATAGATGCAGCATTGTCTAGAAGATCAATCTTGGAATCTTCTTCGGATGAGGACATTTTTGCTCCAGCTAAACCAGGAACTATAAGTAAAAATAAGAATAAGTATTATATGTGCAATCCAAGTTATGTGTTGTTAGGCAAAAACCTAAACTTAAACGTATTAAGTAATAATTAAGAAACTCACTCATTGGATTCATTAAATGAATTCGCTTTTCATATCCTAGAGCAGGTAGATACTTTTCAGCAAATGTGAATATTTTTCTTTGATCAATGCCTCCAAATTGAGCATCTACTTTCAAATATTCTTCATCTAATACTTGCAAGCCAGGGTATAGTAAACCAGACAGTAAAGGATTAGCTACTTGCTTTACAACTTCTGCTCCAGCTTTTTTGACATCATGCTCAGTTGTTAAAGTGCTCAATCTGTACATGTCCAATGTATATTTTCTAAAAAAATAAAAACATTATATTAGATTTAATTAATTACCTTTATGTTGAAAAGTGTACATTTTTCTGACTATATTAAAAAAAACTTACTCTGTTAATTGGTAATCTGTTCCTTTAACAAACTTTAATTTTTCTATAGGAACATCAATAGATTTTAATAAAGCTTTAATTATAGCTTCGTAATACTGTTCTCTTAATTTCAATAAGTCCCATGGAGCTTTCATGTTATCAAGAGAGGCATGGAGATCTGCAAATAAAATAGTTACTTCCACTCCAGCTCGCAGGAAATCAGCAATCTTTGTCATAGGTGTGAAGTATCCAATGTGTGGCTTTCCTGTAGTGGCGGTTCCCCAGTATAATTTTAGGTCTCTTTCTTTGAGAATTGTTTTAAGCTTTTCATCTCCAAGAACCTCTGCCAAATTCCTGGTGATGAGTGCATGCTTTTCTTCCCATGTCAATTGTGTCATCTTGAGTTTATAATTGAAGGTCGATAAATGGTACAAATGCTGCATACATACAAGATAGTTTTTGTTTGTATAAAAAGATTTTCTTAAATTTGTAAAATTATGATAATTTCTGAGTAGGCTGAAGGCTTTCATTGATGACTATAGAATTTGACTATAGAACTGTCAAATTATTTTCAGAATTACCAATGAATTTATTGAATTTAATTTTTATTACTAGGTAGCAGATTCAATAATTTTCAAATAAGAATTAAATAAAGTTTCACGTTTTGTTATTCCAAAATATATTGATATAAATTAATAAATAATTCTAATTACGCATGCGCGCGAAGCCACGTGCAAATTTGTGAAAAAAGCAAAGAAGTAGTTGATTTTTCAAAGTTTCGAACACAACGTCAAACGGAGGAAAGAAGTTAAGAAGTAGATAAGATTTTGGGAGACTGACTGAAAATTTCAGTACTAGCACAGTTTGCACGATATGATCACACAGCACAGGTGTATGATGCAATTTAAAATGAGAATGAACTCGAGCACAAGTTAAGATTATACAGCGCAAATTTAGTCGATTGTATTTCTATTTATTCTATTAATAAGATATATGGACAATTTCCATAATATTTTTGTCATCACAAACGCAATCAATCGCTTTTCAGATGAGTAAAATAAAAACCTTTACCTTTTTTACTTTCCAGCTGTCGACGTGCAACGAGAGCAGCAGAAATAAATATATAAAGTGTATATAACAGTCCCTCTAGCGGAACTTTGTTCCATGCGGCAAAAAAACAACCGTGAGTCGCGAAATATTTCTGAGTTTTAGGAGCCGGTGTTCGGACTAAACTTTCACTGAACCAGGCTGCAAAGTGATTTAAAAAATATAAATGTATATTATTGGCCAACTGGTATTATGGTTCGAGCGTATTTCTTATGTCTTTGGGTTTGCAATCCATTAAAATTGCACAAAATGTATGAAAAAAATGCACAATTTAAATGGATCTGTTTGCAATAGCGCAGGCGCTGAGCCAAATCCCAACAAGATAATTGTCTTCTCTGTTAACCTTAGGCATGCCGAGTATAAACAACAATCGCGCACTTAGTTATCTTTTTTAATAAGTAAGCGCAGTTGAAATCAATTAATGTTTGTGCGATAGTGAAAATAAGCTTGCTGCCCAATCATATTTGTTGAATAATCATCACTCTAACCCGTACTTAATTTTTGTAAATTATCATGATGAAATACTTGAGTAACTCCTGTCATAGGTCAAAATATTTTGATACTGTTAAAAATTCACAATAACCAATGATTATATTCAACAATCTGGTTATTGTCTCATGAAAATCACCAGAAATGACGTGGCAAGTGCACATTTTACACTAATTTTTTATTAATTTTGTGTAAGGAATTTAAATGCAATAATTTAAATTTTACTTTAAATTCAGGAATCCACTAAGAAAACAGTATATAACAACAAGGCCCACTCCTGCTTACCCATGTCTAACAGCTGAAGAAGATCGAGAACTTGATATCGCTGTTCAAAGAATTATTCAGTGTGTTTTTATAATTTACATTGGAATTCAAAGTTAAAACATAAAAATAATTATTTTCTTTTTTGTAGTGTTGAAATTACAACTAGGAGAATGTATAAAGAAATGAAAAAATATATTAATGCAATCAAACAAGTGGATTCTACAGATCAAGGATTAACTTCTAATTTGGTACAAAGTGGATTGGTCCATGTAAATGATAATCTTAGAATTCTAATGGAGGAGTTTCATTCCATAACCACTCAAGTAATAAATAAATCCATGACACTTTTCAATAATAAAAAGTTGATAAATAGTTTTAATTCTTGTTAAATTGCAGATAGGAAAAACTGTGGAAGAAGCAGTTATTTTTTACCAAAAATCATTTTTAGAGCCTCTAAAGAAATTACGTGAACATTTTGCTTACATCAGAGATGCTCTGAATAAAAGAGAAGACCTTGTTAGTACTTGGAAAACAGCTCATACAAATTTTAAAAAGTATCATGACAGAAGAGAAAAAAAAGCAAGCGATCATGTAAAATTAAATAAAGAAAAGATAGCAGAAGAACAAGCTGGTAAAGAGTTGAAAGCATATCATGCCCATCTTTTAACTGAACTTCCAATATTTTTAGAAAAAAGATTGGAATACATGAAACCCACTCTTCATGCTTTCATTGCTACTCAGTTAGAATACTACGGCAATTCAACTAGATTATTTACTCAATTAATGCCTGAAAAAAATGAATCAGGATCTCCAAATTCTTCTATGTCTGAGGAAGATTATCAAAGAGAAATTGATACAAACTTCAAACGCATTAAAGAATTAACAATTGTAAAACATTGCTGAATTAGTTCAATTTAATTTTAAAAGTGATGAAATTGAATGCTGGGAAATTGTTAATACTTATAAGTTTTAATATTGTTAAGAATGTCTTTATTTTTATAAAAAAAAATGTATGTGCCTATGGTAAAAGATTATTTATTATGTAAATTATGTATTGTAAATATTGTCCAGTGCAGCTTTTTGTAAACTGCAAATTTTTATTCCATAAAAGTGATTATATATTTATTAAGGCTATTATATACAATAAAAAAATTTGAATAGTGATTGGGGTGCATTGAAAAAAATTGGACACCGAACAAGTTTGTTTATCTATTTATACTCAACATATCTCTTTATTTACAATTTTAGTATCTTAAAATGTTTTAATTAAAAAAAGTATTCAATCAACTAGATGTATTTATAAAAAAAAGTAAAATTTAGAATCTATGAAAGAAATCTTAAATTGCTATCAACTTTTCTTTCATTACTCCTACACAGACAAAATTTCATCATTCCTGATGTCCTACTAGCTGATGTAATATTTTACAGATGATCACTCATGCATAGCGCCTGCAATAATACGAACAAATTTTCGCAGATTCACTGCAATAACAATTGCAAATTTCTTAAGGTTTTAATTATGAAAAATTCATTTCTGTATCATTTACATTAAATCAATTATTCCAATAATTCTGGGATTGAGGAATATCAGCACTCGACTTTTCAAAAAAAAAACGATAGTAATCTTGCTAATATAAATGAAAAATAGCGATTACAGTTTTTGTGAATAAAAACAGAATAGACTAAGTATATTAATATTTAAATGGCTTTTAATTTAAAATAATCGAATTTCTAATAAACGCAGGCTTAAATCGATTAAATAGGAGTGAAACCAAAAATGAGTTTTCAATTTGAACAAGACTTCTTTTGTGAAAAGAAACCCCACATTCAGTGAAAAAACCACCTTCCTGTTTATAATTTTCCAAAGCTGGAGCTTTGAATCTGAACGGATATAAAATGCCAAAATTTTCTATTTCTAATAATAAAAATGGTGTAAGAATTGATTATATTGAGAAATTGAGAAATTAACATTAAAAATTATAAGTTTCATGGATAAAAACAAATGATGTAAACATGGTCAAACATCGATCATCATGAGTAACATTCTCGGTCAAATCTGAATAATGATGAGTAATAATGCATAATGTATAAACAGTATTCGGAGTGACTAATTCGATAATAACCGAAAAAGATGTAAATAGAGCGTAGTCAGGGTCGTCCGTGTGTTAAACACAGTAATCATAATCATAGCAGATAGGCTTGGCAGGATAGAGCCCCTAATACGCTTTGTTTACGTTTTTAGCTGATGCAAAATTCAACGCCCTGTAGAGAATGCGACACACAATACAATATTACTATATGTATATGCAATGAGAATTATTTAAAGGCTTATTTATTTGACGTCAATAGGGTAAAAAGCGAGTACGCAGGCGCGCAGATGTACAGTTAACTCCTTTCTGGCGCTCGTCGACCAATCGCGTACGAACACGAAGCCCCGAGCCTCCGCTAGTGTAAAAAATCGAGAAAGTCCCTGTCGTTGCATCAGCCCGTAGTTTATAAGTATTCGGTACGGCGACTCCGCAATCGTCAGTCTCGTGATTATGTCTACATCAAGCACAAGTGAATTCAGTGTTGTTGTTTTGCGGTGCCTAAGTGACGATAAACTCCGAACATATTAAGAGTTGCGTGATAACAATAACATACACCTTGATAACAGATACACGGTGAATAATAAGAAAGTTATCATGGCGCCTACGGTCACTTTGACAAAACAGCAGCAGCAGCCTTTAGTGGCTTTAAGAAAGAATAATGTCAAGCTACCAAAGCTGTGCATAAAAAATGTTCTAAAACCAGGCGTACATTTTCAACCACTTCCATCAACAATAACTTTCTTGGAGCAACTGTGTGGTACAGCAAAAGAAAGACAACAAAAAACATCTGCATTCCAACCTATAATAATTACATCTGAAAATCAGCCACAAATTAAAACTGTAACAGTTACAACAAAAGAAAAACAAATTGAACCACAGTTATTGCAACCAAAATCGATAGAACAGCAAGTGACAAAACATGTTATTCAGCAACCGCAGCAAATAACCAATCCCATTCCAGTCGAGAACGGAAATGAAATAATGTTAACGTTCGATTCTACGGACGAACTATTATTGGTAAAAGAGGAGCCTGAAATAATGGAAGCTCAAGATGTCACACTCATTCCAGATCTTTTAGAAGATTCTCCTCCTGCTGGCAAAAAAAGGCGTTTAGAAGGGCTCACGTACGAACAAAAAGCCTACAGAAAGTAAGTGAAAATATTGCATCATCTTTTGACGTACGCCATATGGCAGCGGCTCTAGAAACGTCTATGCCACGATAAACGCTTTTCTCCCACTCCCCCACTATTCTCTCTCTCTTTCTTTTGTGTAGAGGCTATTTGATATTTATAGTTTTTAAAAACGTCAATATGAGTGTAATTAGTTTTTTCCGGTGGTTTTCTTAGATGCAAATACGATACATTTTTTGAGCATTATTTAATATTTTCAATCTTACATTTTTTGAAAAAAAAACACACATTTTCAAAACAAACGGTTGAAATATTTTTATAATGATACGTTTTAATTTCCAAATCATTGAATCTTTATGATTCAGTATATTGAATTAAAATTGATATGTATCTGATTTTGCACGTAAATTTTATTTGTTTTCCTCAGTCTGACCTGACACAAACAATGCACAGACAAAACATATACCTTGACTTTATACAAACTTTAGTGTTTACTTTTTATATGCATCAATTAATAAATATTAACTTTGTTTTTTTGTTTTTTTTTTTTCAGAAAACTGAAAAACAGACTGGCAGCACAAAATTCGCGGGATCGAAAAAAAGCCAAAGTTGAAGAATTAGAGAAAAGCCTTGTAACCCTAAGGGAAGAGAATACGAAGCTCGTCGAAGAAAATAGGACACTTGAAGAAAGGAACAAATCACTGACCGAAGAGATGGAAGCGCTTCGTTCCGCAAGCCAGGCATTAAAGGAAGAAATGGAAAGGATCAAAGGCTCACAGAGCAAATGCTCGTGCGGCTCGAATCCGAGTCCGGTGACAGTTGTCGAATGTACTGATTCAACGCTGGGATCAGCAGTATCCTCGAACCCTCTGCAGCAGGGTGGACCGGTACAGACGACGAGTCGTCGGGCGACGGAAGACAGCTTGAGCGAGCTGGTAGCGAATGTAGCCTTTTTTCTCCTTCTGAAGGTCTTACTTTTGGATTGCCGGAAAAAGAATGGCTCAGCCAGTTTGAATACTTGGTTAACCCAATTCTTGACAAGCTTTCCACCGGGGATGAAGGAAAAACTTCTCAGTTATGCACAAGCGAGGAACTTCAAAAGGGCACAGGAGAGGAAACAAAGGGAGAAGCAAATGGTAAAAGCCATGAGGAACAGTGTGTTATTGGGGAGAAAATGGTGGGGCCGAAATTGTATTCTAAGGCCAACGAGGACGAAACCGTAATGTTGACAGATTCAGAAACTCTTCAAGATTTGGAAGCAGATGTCTTAAAGCTAGAAGATTATCAGCAATTGGAAAATGTATTAGCGACTTTAAAGAATGACGTTTGTAAGGAGGCTGATGATTCTATAAACTGCCGGAAAACAAGTTCTAAAAAATGTATCCCGATGGAATCTGACGTAGGACCATATTCGTCAGCTGCATCTCCGACAACATTGAGCAGTCATCCCGAAGGCATATATATGAGTCCACTGGAATCTTGTTTACCATTCAGTAAATATGATTTAGATTATGACTCGATCTTCGATCTTGACCTTGGCTATGAATCACACAGTTCACCTGAAAGCGACATTAATGTGAATTTGAATAATAATTTTTCACTAGCTATGGATTTTCCTCAACTAATATCAGATCTTTAAGTATTTAAAACTGTAAAATGTACGCTAAAGTAAAGTATTATGTGATATTTCAACTTACTGAAATCATAAATTTTTATAAAATAATTCATTTTTCACTTAGAATATCACAAGTCAATGATAAAAATTATCTTTATAAAATGTTAAATATTAAGTTTAAAATTCAGTTTATAAGCTCGGAATTGGAATTTATGTAAATATTGTAAAATTGATCAATAGTCTATTATTTTAAGTTATATCGAAGGTTTCAATCTAAATTTATTTCGTTATGATTGAAATCATATTAAATATAAGAAACAAAATTATAATTTATGTATAAATTATGTTATTATAGTGGATAGAATTTTTATAAAATATCATTTTTTAGTCTTAATTGTAAAATACGATCCTCATTTTTACTGAATGTATGCTAAGTGTGATCCAAAGTTTGTTGTATTTTCAAAGTCACAACTATATAATAGGTTTGATTTATTATCAACTTTAACTACAACATAGACTTTGTTGTGTACATATAATAAATCATGGTTTAAATTATAATGTTTTTTTATTTTACATTGTTAAAATCCTTAATTTTTTTCATTTGCAAGATTGATTTCCAAAATTTTCAATCAATATTCATTGAGCCTTGATTTAAAGAAATATTTAGAGTTCAATTAAAGAATGCGAAATATAACGCCCAAGTACATACTTCTTGAAAACTTTAGAATTATTACAATAATATCGGCTTCAAATATTTTTATATCTTTTCTACAGACAATTTTCACTGTACACTTAAAAATTAAACAAATTAGTAAAAACGATAAAATTATAAAATGGAACTAATAATTTAAATATTTATTTGCTAAAAGAACTGACGAAGAAAGTTATTTTTTGAAAAATACATAATGTTTGACCAATTATAAATAATAATCGAGCTTTGGTTAGCACCTTTTACACATTAAAAGCTTACAAACTAAAAAATAATTGAACGATTTACACAAATTGTTACTTTTGAATACACCAAAAAACATAAATGCATCGGAAAAATTGGTATATTTATAGGTAATATCAAATTCTCTGAGCTTTAAAAATGTTGAAAATTCTTCAACTGTCTATACATAATAACTAACATGATTAAAATTACAGGTTTTCTTACACATATAATAAAATATATCGTCCGGTTACGAAATCATGTTTTGTGAAAAAAAATCGATGCAATCTAATATCAAGCGATTTTAAGCCATTATGACCATTAATTGTATAACAAATTAGTTAAAAATAGAGAAAAACAGCTACTCTGACTATAATACAGGTAATTTTATCGATCGAAAAAAACTAAAGACATGGAGTGGTTGCCTTCAGCACCACTTGAAAATAATATAATTCGTTGTTTTTACTTCTTCTAATGCATCATATAAACAATCGTTCGTACATCTTCGCTACATACCTAACAATATTGATTATAATTATAATTTTCGTGTATAGTACGGTTGAAATGTATGTATAGAATCGCGTACAGACAATATAACTCGTATAAAGTCGTCGTTTAATCTAACTGAAATTTATATGAAGTGGATGGCTTGACAGAGCAATGTAAAAATAAATAATACACCGCTAATCTCTGTTAAAATGTATTATATCATTTGGCACTATACTCAAAGCTTCTTCGTGAAAAACTAGATGTGAGTGTATAAATACAATCCTTTTTGCTTCAAGTAATCAACAACGATCGAATGCACCATTAAAACAAAAGAACAGAATACATTTCATTTGCCGCGCAACGATTGAAGATTCCGCGATCGACAATGTGAATAAAAACGCGAAAACAAATCGATAACAATGTAACTATCAGGGCGCTCGTTACAAAACTTTAACTTTGTATTATCACGCTCTGGTAGTCGCAATAGAAATAAGCCACTGCTGCTGTTGCGGCGACCTGAGCGAACGTCATTCGAGCGTGTGTGGACGTGGGTAATCATCGTCATTGCACGAACTTGTCAAGCTCAGCCGAAGAGTTTGTCGAAGCAGCCGTGGCAGTAGGGCTTGTCGTTTTGTTCCTTGAACGTGCCCTTGTTCAGCTGCTTCAAGCAGAACGCGCAGACGAAGTGCTCTGGATGAAATTTGCGGAACATGGCGGTTATGCAGCGACCTGTAAGAATAAAAAATAAAACAGAAAAATGTAGTGATTCACGTGATCGTAAAAACGAGGATGAACAACAAAACGAGCTTATCGCGGAAAAGCTATAGTACAGCGGCATAAAAGCAAAGCATACCGGTTATGGGCTTGTGACAGCCGGCGCACAGAGAGCCGCGCTTTGCGTGGTAATGCGTCTCACAGTACGGCTGGCCCTCGTGGTCGAAAAATGAGCCACCTTGAAACTTTTGCCGACAATCCTGCAACAAACAATAAATAAGATCAGCCTTATATTCGTCAATGACGTGCATTCAAGAGCAGTAATTTTTATTCAAATAATCGATGACGATTTTACGGTGTGACTAAAGACCACTTCAAATCGACTCACAATCGAGTCTTTTTTTCAGAACGGAAATTCAGTGCAATCGCAGGTATATCGAAAAAGGTGCCTCTCTCATAATTATGCGCTCATAGCTGTATAAATATACAACGATAACGTGAGCTCATCTAGATTATAATAAGCGAGCAAGAGCGGTCATGAGCTTCACTCGCTCAAGTTGTTTAACTTATGATTAATGTCCAACGCGTATCCACACGAAATGGTGAACACACCGAGACGGCTTAATTTTAACTCATAGCGAGGATTGTCTCATCAAAATTAATACGTTTCGATATAGATGACGTAAGGTCTGTGTATCAACGAGGCAGAGGAAGAGCCGTATGGAGTAGCGTCATCGAGATCGAGGAAAAGCACTTCGGCAAAAAAGAGAAATGTATCACGCAATTCTCATTCGCACACGCCTACACGATCGAATAGAAACGCGGAAAAAATTGCACACGACGCCTCGCGCACGTGTGCATAAATTTAGCTTTCCAACGCGAGCGCGCACGTACACACACACGCGCGCGCGAAAGCCGAAATTTGTGCGCACGACACCTCGCGCGAGAGCCAGCGAGCGAGCGCACAACCTTGACCCCGAGAATAAAAGCCCGAGGGGGTTGAGCGTAAGCACACCCGCGGCACGCGCATAAGTTTGTCTTATTTTTTGTTTTGTTTTTTTGTATTTGTTTTGTTTTTTTTTATTTTGATTTTTTTTTGTTTTTTTTTTTTTTTTTTTTTTTTTTTTGTTAACTGTTTTTTTATTTTAAAATATACATTTATTAATCGTTAACATAAAGTGTACAGAATAGAAGCTCGTTGTAAACGAGCCATTCGATCAGTTCTCTCGCATACTTTTGTAAAAAAATCGACTTTCGATAGTTCGTCGACTGTTTAAAAAGGGTCAATGTGTGTGTTTAAGTGTGTTTATGTTTGTGTTTGTGGGGGGCGTGTAAGTTTTTTCGAAGGTAAATCGATAACGAGTAGTTGCTAGAGCTTTGAATATTATTCGTATCTGCGTCATTTTTTGGTCCTGCAAAAAACGGAGGGAACATCCACTCCCATCATTTTTTTTCATTGTTGATATCATAATCATCATCATTTAGCTTCGCACAATTTTCAATTGGCGGCTTATAGATATCATTGGTGCTCCAGCAAAGCTGACTCGTATCGCTTGGGGTAAGTATTTTTACATACGAAAAAGTGTAAATATACGTAAAATTCATTTTCTCTACGTTTTTAAAATAAACAATCTATCACACTTTTAGCATTCACTCATACATTCGCTCAAAAAATATATATCGTGTATTGTGTATCGATTGGCTGTTGCTCGATCTAAGATAGAGACGCTCTCGGACGCTTACGCCTCTTCTTCCTCACCGTCGTCTTCCTCGTCTTCGTCGACGCCTACGCATTTGGGGCACATCGGCTTACCCTCCATGGCGTAAAACGACTTGCCGGACACCGGTTTGTTGCAATCCTGAAAATATCAACCGTATACAGTTGCTAATGATATGCGAATTTTTGGCGTCACACCTGAGGTCATCAGCGGCGGATTATGCAAGCGCGTCCGTCTATAGGTATAATAGGCGCGCTCGCGCGGCTACGTAAACATTTTGCTTTTGGCCAGATTCGGCTTTGGCGATTACAAATCGGTCGGACGAAAGTGAAATGATTCGGTATGAAATTTCGTAAAGAACGTACCCTGCATACGAAGCATTCTGGATGCCATTGACTGTTGAGGGCGGATATGTAGTTCTCCATGATGGCACGATTGCAGCCCCCGCACTTGGGGGCGAACATGTCGAAGTAGTCGTCGCGGCAGTAGGGCTTGCCGTCGCGCTCATGGAAGCCCTCCTCGCCGAATTGTTTGCCGCATTGAGCGCAGAAGAAGTGCTCGGTGTGCCATGTCTTCTCCAGTGCGGTGACGCATTTCTATAAATAAATTCGTAAACACACGGATGGAAAATTATGACACGATGAACACACGGACAATTGCAGCTATCGCAGTTGTCTTCGGTCAAAAATACGTACGTCGAGGATGGGTCCGTTGCAGTACGCGCACCTGGGCGAGAACAGATTGTGATAGTCGTTCTCGCAGTAGGGTTTACCCTCGCGCTCGAAGAAATTCCGGGTTCCCAGCTCCTCGCGGCAGTGGGTGCAGGTGAAGTGCTCCGGATGCCATGTCTTACCCAGAGCCGTGATTACCTGCGACGAATGAACGACAAAAAAAAAGAAGAAGAAAATTGTTAAACAAACGAGTTCATTAGGTATTCAAGTGGTTACACAAAACGTCGAGCATCGTCGATGTGATCGGCATTGAAATCGTGTCGGCGATGCTCGACGTTGCCCGGCGAAGCGCGGCGTCTGCTGGTAATTTCTTCTGGTGTCTGGCCAAGATCGACGATGAGAAAATCACTCAACAGATGCCTTCTTTCGCGCGAGGGCCGAAAAAAATGTAGCACCTGTCCGACGATCGGCTTCTCGCAAGCGCTGCAGCATCCCTTTTGGGTCGTGTTTACACCTTGGCGACTCATGTCTGCTTGGAGATTACCAAGCATAGAATCCAACTGATTTCGTTGATAATACTGTTGCTGCTGCTGCTGTTGCTGCTGCTGCTGCTGATGTACTAGATGATTGCTCTCGTAGTGTGCCGGTATATACTGAGGATGGCCCTGCTGTCGGGTCTCTTGTACGTAAACTCGGCTGCACGTTGTCGTGGTCGTCTGTTCGTTTCCAGGCAGCGGACTGCTACCGCAACTGTTGCTCGTGTGCGACTGCTGATGTCTTATACCTCCGCTAGATTCACTACTCCGTTGCTGAAGCGAAGTCGTTGGTGGTGGTGGCTGCTGGTTCATCTGTATGAAATCGCACACAAGCAAACGCCGCCGTTTTTACTGGTTGCTTATACGTACGCGAGCTTTTCGGGTATTTTCAGATATCTCGAAAAAGCTTTCGAGTCGAGCTTTTCACGGGTGGAGGGAGGGGGGGGGTGCCGAGCGAGAGCATAGGTAGAGGGAAGGCTGACAAACCGATTGCATATATATACGCGTACGCCACAATGCGTGTGCGAGGATACCGATCGCTTGCCGTTATTATCGTCATTATTATTATTGTTGTTGTTGTTGCTTTTGCTGCTGATGCGGCTGCTACTGCCGTGTGCAGCACGCGGTCACAGGCAAAAGCTCTGGCGCTCCTTACACGGAGATTATTGCCTTTTTTCTGCAACAAAATCATCTATTTGCGGCGTGGTTGCGCGATTCAAGAAAATCTGGCTCCTAATAGTCTTGCGTACGTACGCAAATGTAAATTTGACGAGTGGAAAAAAAAACATAATGCGAGAGCGGGCATGCGACGAACGAGCGTTGACTAGACAACGAGCAACGGCGGCGGACTCGCTCTACGTAATAATCGTTAGCCTCACGCGTTTCAAGAACATAACTAATAGGATCTTTAATGTTTACGAGCAGACGCGAGCACGCGCCCGCGCAAGACCAAGCTTTTTATATAATTTTCCAACTCGACTGCTCTCGCGCTTTATTTATTTACCAGCGCGACTTTTGGCAAAACACGAGTGGCTAGATTATATTTCGCCTGTTTTGTACGCAGAGAGTCAAAGAGTTCCTAGAGTAAGAAAGACGAAGAAAAAAAAAACGACGACGACGAGTGAACAGTTTGGGCGATGCGCGCCGCGTCGTAGGGCCTCATCGTGTGTGTGTGTACAGCACTCGGAAAGCGCGAAGCGCGGTTATTTCGGTAATGCACACGGCCAAGAATGGCCAGAAGCCGTGCGTGTGTGTTGTTATGCCGCGACGATGACTGCGTCGACTCGGCTATAATAGAGCTTCGAGATATTATTACGGCGTTTTATCGAACTTTTGGCCGAGTACGACGATCGGTCCCTGCACGCGCGCCGCGAGTAGATAATCCAAGCGTCTCTCCTTTTTTCTTCAAGATCGTCGACTTTGACTTTTTATGATTCATTGGGTTGGTAGCGTCTCGCGGCGCGCGAGATCGACCCGAAAACGTCAGGAAAATTACAAACGCGATCTAAATATCGGGACTTACAAAAATAAACTTTTCGAAATGAAGTTTTTATTTCATACCCGACAAAGTTTCTATTTCCGTCGTTACATGGCCGATTATCATTTTGTAACAATATGGAATTATTTCATTTGATTTTTTTTTTCTTTTTGCAAAATCGAATAGACCGCATGATCGGTCCACGAGACTGAAAAAAGCTCAGTAATTTTCAGTGATCTTGAAAATAGATTCTTAAAAATAGACGAAGATCGGTCGTTTTAATATATTCACTAGCGAATTTGACATTTGCATTTTTCTGACAATTCAACACAAACAGCAGCACGCGCGCACCGTATGTTTACTCGGCGCAAATAGCCAAAAATATTGTGAATGCTTTTTACGAGCTTATCGCGACCCTCAAGGATTTGCAAGTATAAAAAGCCGCGGTAAAATATTACTTTATAGTGTATAATCTCGCTGCTCACCGGAGCTGCATAAAATCGATAAGCTAGTCAACGTTTAGTTGACAAATAGCATTGCGTGATTAGTAAGCCAAACAAAAATAGAAAATGAGCCATCTTCATCTGCATTGATGCTGTCATGTATTGATTTCGGAAATATATAACTCGATGAATTGCCTTCGTACCGAATTTCGTTACACATTATACACATAAGGTAGGATTGCGAAAAGCCAACCTTGAATTCCGATAAGGAAGCCATTAGGTCGTCGAGCTCTCTGGTGGCGTTGCTGGCCGTGTGGTGGCCGTTGCTGTAGCCGTGCTGCTGCTCGCTTCCTCGTCTGCTCAGCGAGCCCTGATGACTCGGCGGATAATAGCCGTCCATTGGCCCCGTGGGCTGCAGGTCCATCGACGTCTCCTGAATGGTGACCTTCATGCGCTGTCCGCCGTTCGAGTAATCCCTGCGCGTAAAAATGCCTCGCGTGAATGCGCGAAAAAAGCCGATCGAGAGCGATAGACTTATCGACGTTTCCGATCGCCACCGATACACTCGGGCCGGCTTTTACAACCGCGATAATATTAACAATAACAAAGCGGCCGTTACGTCAGCTTCGAGCGACAATGAGCCACGCTAAGCTATTATATATTTTTCAAATAGAGAACTGCAGAAGTAAATCAAAAGGCAGAAAAAAAACATAAAGATGGTATCGGCGAGTCCGGGCTTATCCGAAGGTCGCACGCACAGACGAGCTTCCGAGAGCGAGACTCACCCATTCGGCATTCCTGTGGCTAACTCTTCCAGCAAACTGTCGACCGTCGGTCCACTCGGTGACAGGCTACTCGTCGAGCGCAGCATTGGACTGCGACGAACACCATTTGTCACGCCATCTCTCACGTCTGTAAATGAAAAAGGAAAGAAAAGACATGGATTTAGTTCGCAACAGGTAGCATCTTATTCGCTTGACATTAGAGAGAAAACGAGAGAGAGAATTAAATTGAGTGTCGATGACGCTTGTCTCTTCTTCATGGAAGATATTCCGACTCGCGTTGCATTGGATCACATCCAATTTGGCGTTTGAAAACCTTCGTTTCGGCGGAAGGTCATAGTCCAAGACGCGGTCGCTCGACGTTGACGCTCATCGCCGCTACCACCGCCGCCGCCGTCGTCGTCATCGTCGAGCGCGTAATAACACAAAAGCTATGTCTAGCAATTAATAAGTGCCGAAAGGTATACACTCGTTGCAACTCGCTCGGTGCATAATTGAGAAGCTCGTTAGCTTCGTGGACTTTAATCAACGAAATTTCAGCGAGAATCATCGTTACGATTCCATTACTCGACGCTGCGCGCAACGTAGATTACCAGAGAGCTCGTTAAATTACCTCGTTCTTGGGGATACGAATTGTAGCGGGCGTTGCTCAGGTCTTGCAGAAGCGTGTCCAACTCGGTGAGGTTGTTGTTGAGCGACGGCATTTTCGAGCTGGACCCGGTCGAAGACGACGCTGCTCCGCTGGGATGCGGATAGTGCCGACCGTGGCCGGCGGCATTGTTGACGCTTATCCTCGCCTCCTCGATCGCTTCCCGATTCTGATAGGTCGGCTGCGAAGCAATGGAAAAAAAAGTAATAGACGTATTTTTCGAAAAGGTGCATTTTGGCAGACACGGCTCGGCTGCGAAGCCAACGGATCACGTCCAAAAGTGGCGTGGCGGATTATTATATTTGCCCGCGATCGATAAGTCATGTCATCGGATCATAAAATTCATACCAAATTAGATTTTACAAGTTAATCGCGCGAGCAAGCGCACGACTGCATTGCACATTTAAGCGCGCGCATTGCAAGGAAAACATCGTAATGGACCTTGCCAAAAATATCGCGCGGATGATTTCTCGCAGCTTGACGAAGGAAGGAAAAAAGCTCGCGAGGGCTCTGCTGCGGTTTATTATGCCGTATAATAATACATTATGGTCCTCGTCCAAGGCGTGCACGCGAGCGAGCGATAGAACGAACGAACGAGCGATGCGTCTCGCTTTATTAATCGTGCGTCGGAAACACGAGCGCGGAATTGGCCGCGATGCTCGACGATGACTTACACCCTTAAAAGACGGGGAAAAAACTCGAGCAGAAAATTCCTCGCGCTCTTTCTCTCTCTGTGAGAGACGCGATCACTCATAATGGAACGTCGCGTGGCTCTGGTGGTGGCGCTCTTTTTCGCAAAAGTCGCGTTTTAATTTTAGAATCGTGCGAGCACACGCAGAGCGTGTGCAATATCGAAGCGTCTTTGATACATAATCGACGTGACAGCTCGAAGCGAGAGCTTGCACACGCGCCGGGCTCGCTCTTAAATCCGCCTCGATGGTGTTTTTCTTCTCTCGATTGCGCGACCCCGATTTTCAAGAGTGAGAGTCAAATGCCGTGTCTTTTTTTTTCTCCGCGAAAAACATGTCGAGGATCGCGCGCCCAACAACAGAAAAATACCAATGAACCCTGTCAGGGGCGAGGAGATATTTTCGGTGCATCTTGGTAAAAATCAACGTACCGACTGCGAAGACATGGGCGGGGGAGTGGCGCAGTTCTCGTACGTCTTGTAGGAAGACGGCGACGCATTGTTGTGCAGGTGCTGCTGCTCTCGCTGCTGATGCTGATGCTGCTGGCGCGTGCCGTTGATCGAGCCATAGCCGGGTGTACTTCCGCTGTTGTTCAGCAGCGCCGAGTCCGTCGAAACCGTGTTCTGCAAGTCGGCCAGTAAGGCATCTGTAATCGAGTTTTAACGTTAATTATTTTAGAAGCTTAAAACCCTGTATTCGCGCAACATTGTATATTGGACAAAATTTGTGACCCTATATATCAATTCATAAAAGATCGGAGCCAAGATTTGCGGATTATAATCGAAATATTAATGCGTTAATTAATACATTAGCGAAATTTCGGACGAAAACGATGGCAGACATATTTTGGCAGTCTCATAGTCGTTACCGAAAGTGTCTAATTTTGGAGCAATATTGCGCACACAGCATCTAATGAAGAAACAAAAAAAAAATACATCAACCGAGTCATAAAGCGAGGGTAACTGGTTCATTAGTTCGATAAACGAGCGAACCAATTATAATCCAATAAAAAACCAATTCAGACTAGGCTCGCTAAATAAAAGAAGATCGATCATGAATTTCTCGTTGACGACGATGAGCATCGCCCAGAACAAAGGCGGGGCGTACTACTGCGCGCACACAAAGCCTCACATCATCGAAGCAAAAACACGCACGCACACTCGATCTCTCTTATAATCGGCCCAGCTAAGTCTCTCGATGACGCCGAAAAAGTTTTATATTTAGCAGAATAGTGCATCGCGCGTAAAATGTGCAGTAAAATGCCGCCTGATGGCTTTTATTGCGCGGCATACGCTCGCTTGCATGCTTCAATTGGCCGAGCATATAATTGGAATTGTGAACAATTATGACACTCCCTTATCAGATGGACGCGGGAGTACACATACTCACACACACGTATAATACAAGATCGTCGCGAAGCTTCGACGAATCATATACAGTGTTATATTTTTAGTTAATTTCTCGTTTCGTGCATCATACAAATAATCCGTGTGTAATACCTATTTTGTGCAAAGCGGTCAAGTTTACACGTCTTTATCTTTCGTGCCTCGTTGCCTATAAAGCATTATATTATTTCTACCTCAATTACACGAGAGGTAAATAATGCTCCATAAAAACGTTGTTCAATAAATCACTCGCTAGGCCGCGTAATTGTATGCGAAATTGTACTTGACAAAACGCGACGCATTGGACAGATCCGCGGCTCGTTTCGGCTATTCGTGTTATTATACAGTATTATACAGATCGAGCAGTCCTCGGTCAACTTATCAGTGAATTGCTCGGCTCTACTGTCTCTGTTAACCGTGTCAAATCAATCAGTTACAGACGAACATAACATATAAATCGTATTTTGTATAATTTTTGAGCGAGCCTATCACGCTTATACATTTAATGCCTCAAGAGCGAAAAATAAGAAGAGAAAAAAGAGAAGAACAGCTCGAGTGGCAGATAAAACGCAGCGTTCGATTCTTTCTCGCGCAGACGAGCGTTTGCTGCTGCTTTCTACATTTTGATAATGAAAAAATGTTTTCGACTGGAAAATCATGCTTAAATTATCGTTGTTGTTGGATCGCTACATATCCATAGAGCGTAATCCACGATTGAGTCTTTGTATAAAAACACATGTGAAATGGACAAACGTAAACACGCGTTCGGCTCAGCTTTTACCTCAACAATATCTATAAATAAAGAGCATGTACAGGCAGCAAGTGTTGTGTGTGTGTGTATATCGCACTTATATCAAGCCACATATACACACACAGAGATTATACACTGGGCAACTATTTCGAGAGCTTAGCGATCGGTAAAGAGAATCGCTGTAGGCAGCCGACGAAAATTCAGCGCGAGTGTATTCTGAGAATCGGCGCATTTTTGGCAACTCGAGCTACCAATCATCGATAACGCGCGCCGCACACTGGTACACGCACGCCTTTTTTTCGAGCAGGTCTGCCTGTCTGCGCCGATCCCGCTTCTCTCTTTACTGATAAAAAGTTCCGAGCGTTTTTTTTCGCGCGCAAACGACGATCGGTCAACGCAACTCACTGATTTTGGACTCCCATTCGCGGTGCTTCTGCAGCGTTTCCTCGCGCATCATTCGACCGTAGTAAGGTGAACTGGCTCGATCGTCTTGCTGCGCGTCAATGTCGTTTTGCGCCTCTTCCATTGTCAATGCGTTCGTCGCGTACGCCTATATGTAACTGCTTCACACTCGCGCACACCCACTACAGGAGTTTTCCACGTACTGGGAAAATTTGAAGAAATGCAAAAAGAACCGCACAACGGCCGAGATAAGAGATTTGAAATAAAAATAGCGAGGCCTGTACAGAGGCGAGCACGAGACCTAAGTAACACCGACTGCAGGCCCGCTCGCGCGGGTAATCCAAGTTCATGCATTACGCCTTGTTTCGAGCACTGACCGCTGGCGAGCAACGCGAGATACAGCAGAGAACACACGGTTGCCTAGATCACGGGGTGATCAAAACCGATATTCGGTACTTTTTTCACTCGTATCTATAAACTTTACAATGCCATAGCATTCAAATTTAAATAAGCTCTTCATCGTTCAGTCAAATATTTGGAATTATCGAGTTTTATCGTCGTAAATGGCATGCATAATTATATCTCGATATCCTTCGCTAACCGAAAGAGTAAATAAAAATGAATTAAAATAACGATTTGGAGAAGCTACTGCACGATCGACGATAAAGCAGCTTACGTCTCTATACGAGCTTTGAAAGAGAGTCTTAGAAAATGAATTCGTTACCTTGTGCGTTGAACCTTACACACGCCAGCGACTCGATAATTGATTGACCGCGACAGGCAGAAATTATAAATACAAAATGCGATTATATATAAATAAGGCTCGGTAGTATATTTACTCGAGCTGTGACAGGCAAAGTGTTCTAAAATTAGCATCAAATACAGTTCTGAAAAATTGTTTTGTTTCTTTCTTTTCTTTGCGCATACACACAAATACTTATTTACAGCGAGTCGGTGTGTTATTTTTATTTAGTCTAGAGAAAAATTTATTTTTTGCGCGAAAAGTATATAGCCCTTCACCTGGATTTTGGCCAAAGTTTCTTAATGAAATTCGAAGCGTTGCAAAATGCATCTCTCTCTTTCTCTCTCCCGCTCAAAAGCATACGATTATATTATTGTACTTTGTAGTGCCAAAAATATATTACTACACCATGCGGAATATGCATGGAGACTGCACTTAAGCGAGCAGTGAGCTAATGCAAACTTCTATGACCAATTATTATTATTACTCGTCTGTCTCTATGGGCGAAGCTGTTTACGAGATGTGCGGGTGCGAGTCTACGCGGGTCGGCCCTTTTGTAGCATTTCTCCTCTTCTTTTTCTACTTCTCAGCCGGACAAGTTAATTTGGTATCGCGTGAATTACATCTCTTCCGAGTGTCTGAACACATATACGCTCTCTTACTCTTTCCTTCTCTCTGCATCCGCCTTTTTTTACGCTTCGTTAGGATTTTCCACAAACGATTCTTTATACCCTTAATTCGGTACGACGTCATTTAATCAGAGAATCGGTACGGAGACCGTACGAGGCCGAGTTTGCGAATTTAAAATCGGAAATCGAGGAGTGGTGCGTTTAAAAGCTGCCGGATAAAGCTTAAGTCTACCATGAATTAGAAACTAGTTAAAAGCTATGTTCATCAAGTATTTGAGTTATGACGAATTATTTTGCAGACCCAGACGTAAATGTTATGACTGTCGGCTTATTTAGTAAATATATCTACGTATCGCTGACCGGCTGGCGGGTGCAGGCATTTACGCGTAAATATTTAAAATCAAGCGCGATGTTCAAATACATTAAGCGCATTTTACGACTTGAACACTCTCAAGGTGCTAAAAAAGACTAAATGAAGTTTGACGCACCGAATGAAACGATCGATGAAGTGACTTGGCAATTGCAGAAAATTTAATTGCCACTGTACGTACAGAGGGAATTAAAGTCGTGTCAAATTGCTCTTTACTTCGATCGGACTGAATTCGATCTCCGAGTTCATCGAATGGGATTTAATCAATGGCGCTTAGTAATGAAATGGAAAAAGTGAGAATAATGAACGTTCGTTGATGTTATGTAAAAGATTAATTAAAAAAAAAACAAACGTGAAAGCTTTGACGAACGATTAAGAGCAGGGGAGCGTGTAACGCGCTCTAGTTTTCCTACAAATCATATCGTTGGACACAGTTATTAAATTGCATGGAAAACTATGTCAATGTTTTTCAGCAAGCGTATTTCAAAACACTGCGATACATCCACGCAGTATAAGCGAGGCTAATTTTTGCTCGCGACGCATAGGTTGTTCAACTAAAAATTATGTCATCGACTCTCGCGTTAAAGAGAAAATAATAATCGTGAAAAAGCTTACATCCAGGCGCGAGACCATTTTTTTGTAGCGTCACCCTGTACGGCTGATACGAGTAGCCTGGCTCAACCTTTCCATACATCGTCCGGTCCATGTTGCAGGCAAAAAAAGATGCCTAGTACACTCACACTGCACGAACACAACGCACAAGAGCACGCACACCACTCACGAGCGCACTAAAGTCGCGATCTCGCCAAGGAGCCACTACCGATCAGGATCACTCGAGAAAACAGCATGTTACAGCAGCAGCGGCCGCTGCTGCATGATGCACACTTGGAGAATCGTCGTCGCGCAATGTTGTGTTATGTAGATCGGCGTTTATAGCCAGCAGAAGAGGATGCCGCTGAACTCGGGAGAGCTCGCCTCTCTCGCAGCTTAGCTATGTGCCGCCGTGTATATACCCCGCACACGTGTATACGCGGCGCCCGAGAGCGATCCCACCCTAAAAATAGATCTCTTCGCCACGCGACGACGACCGATGAGCTTTTCCCTTTCTCGAGCGCTTGACTTCTTTGTATTGTACATCTCGCGCTGCGAATCCGACCATCTCGCTCGTCGTTTTTTATTGGGTTTTAGTGCGCCAAGCTCGTACTTGCAGTCTAAGAGCTTTTTTTTAAATGCACTTGCCGCTATGCGCGGTTACGATAATTTCAGTCGTGTATCTCTTTGAGATAGAGCAACGACTCTGCATACGTTAGTACAAATTATGATTTATACTAGTCAAGATCATAAGAATCAAATTTTAACCAACAGGAAAATCATGTTTTTTATTTAACAATATTTGAATAATATGATGCATTAACAAAAAAATGAATGCTGCATCACGTAAAACTCTCTGTCTCGTTCATGAAATTTATAATTTCATGAAACAAGGCAAAAATATGCCTGAGACAGGCACTGAAAATTGATAGCTTTTATTTGAATAGGTACTTTTAACTGACGAATCAAAGATTCATGTTTACAAAGCTTTCCAGACATCTTTACCCCTTGCCTTATAATTGTAATTGAAAAATTACTATTAATATTTAAACATAAATTAATAAAGATTTTTATATTCAATTTCAATGAATGATTGAATTATCTCGTAAATCTTATATCTCACTGTCTACGCATATTTAAAAAATAATTTTTTCCAATAGATAAACATTAACTACACATTTCTTTCTGTTGATCTTGGTCCAAAAAATATACTGACTTCAAGCCATATTTAATGGCTTGATTTTAATAAATTAAAATATTTTAATAACGAATTCTTTTAAAAGAAAATTATTATTATATTATAGATTTATCAGAGAGCATAATACATAGAAGTTTGATAGTTATTGGCGTACGATAATAGACATATTGTGCCTATGTTGCTTTTGTATTTAAAAATTTATAAGCAGTACAAAGTATATGATGTGAGACTAGTAGAACGCTCATGACAACAACTAGAATGATAAAACTAATAGATTATGATTTGGAAGTGTCAAGAAAACGTAAATTTTCTTATTCTACGCAAAGATACAGCTACTCATTAGTGACGATCGATAATTGTATTTATTCCAAACATACTCTGTAGCGGAAATGACAGCAGCGTCACCACTCTATTTCATTCAAGATTTACTTTTTTAGATTTTCATTAAAATTTAAATTATAAATCCACGAATTTGGACATTTCAGTACGATTGATTTAATTCAAAGATAGATTGTAACGATAAAGAAGTTTAACTCAATAATTTAACACGAAGATGTTAATTAGATTGAATAAATTTGATTTTCTTTCAGCTTTAATTTTGATTAAAATATTGTATTACTTGCCTATAAAAAGAAAAAATGTGTTATAGAACGCACATGTAAATTATCGACCGAGACAAAATCGAATGATAATGCGATCTAATAAGGCATTCTTTTTCACTTCCTGCGTCAGCAGACTATTTTTCTTTAATTAAGCGGTCAAACTTTTATTTCCTACTGCATTAAAAAAAATATTTGAAAATTTATAAAATATAAACTAAGATTCGAGGTGTCATGTTTTTTAGAATGTTCAATTAATATCAGTGAAAAAATTGATTAATGCCATGCACGAGTACAATTTTGAATGAATACATTTTTTAGATACGTGCGTAGCACTCGTATAGTCACTGCGTGACCAAGTTATAAAATATCAACAATGTCCGAATTTAAAAGAATACCCCTACTAGGTTTGTGAGATAAATATTCTATTAATTATTTGCACCTAAAGTTTATAAATTTGACTCAATACCTTACCTAAAAATTGAAAGTTCATGACGTGCAGTTTCGTTGCTGCAATCACTTAGTTGGCGGAGAGTGAATAGGTGCAGTATGCATTATCACAGCACTGCTTAACACGGGTATAAGAGATTATACTAACGTCGAAAAACGCTTAAAGACGACTGAAACGATTCCGACTCTCTGGACGCTATCAAGATCTAAAAAACCAAACGGTTTGTCACGAGCTCGCATATTGTCTTTCTAAAACCGCAAAGGTTTTATAAAATTACGCATTAATTCCATATTGATATCGAATACTACTGCAGCTCGACCGTGGCGCAACGCGGCAAGGCAGCGCATAGGTACGGACTGCAAGAGCGAGAAAGAGAGAAGAAAAAAAAACGAGAAGCCTCGTAGCATTAAGCTGCAAACTTGCTGTAACGGAAGATACCTCGTAGTAGAAGTAGTTGAACTTGATTACGACATGGCAGTACGTTTTTCTTCTATTTGTTATGCCCACGTTTTATGCCAGTATATTTTGTTAGTGAGTTTTTCTGTGAAACATGATATGTGATTGTAAGGCGCAGTTCAGTACTCGAGTAATGTAACCCCAAGTGAATCACTGACAAAGTTTGGAGGTTTTTTTTTAACAAAAATCTCATGATTCAGATGGGAAAATGAATAACACTCGACGCAGAACGTGCTCGCTTCTCTAAGAGGGCGAAAGAGTAAAATACAAAAATATTGAATTGAGTCGTTGTGACAAATGCATTAATGCAAAGCACGGCCGTGTGTTTACTTTCCATTTGAACGAGCTAGCGCTAGTTGAATAAATAAAATAATTTACAAGGCAGTTGCGTCGCGCGAAGAAAATTGTTCACGGCTGATTCATCGTAAATTAGGAACTAATAAAAAGACGCAGCAAAGCTGACGAGACGTTGAACGAAAGAGCGTTCAGAGTTGCACTCATTCAGCGCAATTAAAAGAGTTTTATTTCAAAAAATTGTATCGCATATAATTTTCGTGGGTTATTGACCCGAATATTTCGAAAGTCATTTAGCGCGAAATGGACTGCGAGGTGCGTTACGACGAAGCGGAACTGTTTCGCTTTATCGAGAATTTTGCGCTTCCGTATAGCATAAAAATACATCAAAAAGCGCGAATTGAGTCATCGGGCATGCGGTAAGTGCTCGCAGGCAATGAATGTACGTGTTCTCCCTCGAGTATCGATATGAACACGCGGATGATAGTAAAACTTGGTCTATTTTCAAAAGAGGAGCTCTCAAAACGTGAGAAGATATGTAGAAAATCACGTCCACGAAGTATCTTGCTCGAAATTATTCACAAGCTGAGCCAAGAACAAAACGGACGCACGTGACAGACTCACGATTGTTCGATAGACGATACGCCGTGGCGATTCAAAGCGAAGTTCACAATGAAATTCGTATGAAATTTGCTACACCATGCGAATCGCAGTATGTATCGCCATAAACCGTGTTTATTGTTCGATTCACAGACTTCATTTCGGCAGTCATTGCGACAAGAATAGCTACAAAATAACTCTATGAATAGTTGCCTTAGAAGTGGCTTTAAAGTAAGAAAATGCTTCGATTTTCCTCTCTCGGTACGTAAATGCAAGAGCACTATTGAACTCAATTACGTTTCGTGCATGCAAAACATCAACTACCTATTCAAATATAGGCTGGCTCGCTGTCAAAAGATTGTTGAAATTGTTCTCGAGCGCTAAACACGTGTATGATACGCCCACGATATCGAAAAATCTATTCATTGGCGTGCATATACGTATTGTAAATATTCTTATAACCTAAAACGTTATTTTGTTTACAAATTTCACAGTAAAAAAGTATCGACGAAATCCGTGTAAAAAGAGTTAAAAGTGACACGTATGAGTAACGTCAAACGGGGCGGATAAGTAAAAAATTATGAAGCAGTTCATGAGACACATCTGTACGAAGCGATCAATATGAACTATTGACGCCCCGAAGACGTCGGAAATGTTTAAGCGAGCTGAAATTGCATTACTCAGTCTCGCAGTTTGAGGTTACTCCACCGCGTAGGTCAAGATCACTCCACAAGCATACGTACTTTAATATTTTAAAAATCATTAATGAAGTGGCTTACCGAGATCGTCCATGTCGTTGTTAATCGTAGTTATCAACACTTAAACAAAGCACTTGATCGATGCACCGATTCAACAATTATCTCGTTGCAGCCGCTATAACGACCCAGATTTTCAAATATATATATACACTGACTTTGTTTGTGTACGCTGAAATTGACGGGACGGTACGCCGTCGCGGCATGAAATAACTACACTATAGCACTGCTGCGACGAATCCGCATTTATTCAAGGTATCGCGGACATTCACATGGGCTTATATGGATAAAATAACTTGGAACGATTGACGCGAGCTAATCGTGTGCACGTCCTGCAGCAGTTGGTTTTTTGCGTCCTGCAGCAGAGGCCACGGAGCGATGTGTCGCCAAGCCGCAAGAACATCCCTGCACAATTGCCCCTCCAACGAGCTCCTTGCCTACTGCTGCGATGCTGCGGCGCGAGTACGTACGCGGATAATGATAACGAGAAAGAGATGAAGAGAGGGCTGGGAGAACAATTACATGCCTGCGTTGACGCTCTCAATTTTTATACAATTGTCTTTCGAACTCTTGAAAATTACCATTTAATTCACTAGGTATGTATCTCGTAAAATTCATGATTTAAGGTTTTTTTTAAAAAGAATCAATTTTAATTTTCAATAACTTATAATTTATGTAAATTTATTTTCACTGAAATTAGTTGTTACAAACTTCATTATTCTTTTAAACAGAGTAAAACATTATTCATAAATAATCAATGAACAGTGGACGTTCGCGGGTAACAAACGGTCGAAATTTTCATTTGAATATGATTTTATTACCAATGAAAGAACATGTTCTTTTGCTACATGCTAGACTGTTTTGTATGTCATTGAACAGTACTTTTGTTTAATGCATTTACAATAAACAAGCTATTTGTAATTGCATAAATATTTACAATATTTACAGCGAGTCACGTTTTCATGACAGTTAAAAAAAATCACTGCATTACCAAGAAGAAAACGAAAAGTCAGTTCTAACAATTTTGGATTTCTTAGCTGGTACTTCTGAGTTTGTTGAGTTACTTGGTTCGACTCTAAAATGAATATTTATTTTTAATAAATGTATGATTATATTATTAAAAGTTTATATTATTACATAAGTATGGTTTTCTGACTCACTTTGCCTGATCCTTGGTAGGATTTACATATTTTCCAACACCTGGTCTGTAAACCTTAAGGACATTATCTTTTTCTTTTTTCTTTGATTTATTTTTTTCTGCTGCTTCTTTAGCCTGTTTTTCAAGATCTTCTGCTCTATCTTTTGCCAATTGTTCATCTACTTCTTCATATGGATCGACATATATTTGTGCTATTTGAATAATAATATCTTCAATAGGTCGGTCTTTATTATCAACCTCAATTTTTTCTAATTCGTTGAGTGTTTCTAGGCCACCGACAATTTTCCCAAAGACTGTATGTTTATTGTCCAAATGTCGACAGGAACGGAATGTTATAAAGCTAAAAAGAAAAGGAATAAATGAGAAATTTAATACAATATTTAAAAAACTATTTTTTGGTAATAAAAACTTACAATTGAGATCCATTCGTATCAGTTCCTGAGTTGGCCATGGACAAAATACCGCGTCCTTGATGAATGAGATTGGGCTTAAATTCATCTTCAAATGGTTTTCCCCAAATAGAAGTTCCACCTTTGCCAGTGTTAGTTGGATCTCCACCTTGAATCTAATTACAAAAATTAAATATTCCATGTAATCATCAATTAAATAATCAATCACTTGTTTAGAAATGTTGTAATAATTACCATAAAATTTTTTATGGAGCGATGAAATTTAGTTCCATTGTAATAACCATTTTTACAATGTTTTAAAAAATTTTCACATGTTTTTGGTACTAAATCACAATGTAGTTCTAAATTTAGTGGACCCAAATTTGTCACAAGTTTCACATATCCTTTTTTTTTTACTCTTTCATATCGAACAACATCTTCATCTAAAATAGCAGCATCTGTGGTTCTAACAACGGGCATTACAGTAGATGTAAAACCTGCAGCTGCTGCTCCAGTAGAATATGGGGCCTAAAAAACATTCATTTATTATCAGAATAATATTTAACCAAATTAAGTTATACTAAAAAGTTTATAACTACAGCATTAAATTTATCTGCTTTCTCAGCAACTTTTAATTTTTCTTTTTCTGCTGGTTTGTATGTTTTTTCCAGCTCATTTAAAACATCTTTTGCTGTTGACGACACAGTTTTCAATTTAGCATTTGGATCCTTTCTTTCCCTAGTAATTTCTTCATCTTCAACTCTTAAATTGTGCTTAATATGATGAAAAGTAGAAAGGTTAAATTTCCTAGCATTACTAGGATCTTGAATAGTAATTATATCTTTTCTAGTAAATGGTTCATCGGTGATAAGATCTTTCCAATGACGGCTTTTGATATTAAGCTGTTCAATAGCCTGTGATAAAAAAATATTCACAAATAGATCATAATTGATTATTACAAAGTAAAATGTTACATTAATTTTACAGAATTAGTTGAAACAAACCTCATAAGAAAATACATTTCCAGTAGTTTTGATTGCTACAATATGAGAGTGTTTCAGGAAAGGTTTAAATAGCACCGGACAGTGGTAATCTCCATCAGCATTTTTAAAAAAATTTAATTTGGTCAATGATTTAGGATCAATAGGTTTGCCTGTGACAGGATTATGTTTATAATGCTTGACATAAGGTAGCAGGGCTTCTAAGTCAAATATGTTTCCATCGGTGTCACAGTAAGGATGTTCGAAAGGTTGCAAACTTAAGCAGCAATGGTCAAAAGGTAAACGTCTGAAAGTACTGTCTTCATGTGTATTCGTTGAAGTACCAGATGCCTTTCCACCGTAAAGTGTTGTCCACTCGGTGTACGTAAGGTACCTAACATTATAAAAATACAAATTCGATCATTTACTTCAATATTGGTCATAAATTCCACTTCAACAATGATTTAATGTAAAATATAATTGAATGACTTTTTTTTTAAATAACTTGGGAAACTTACATCTTATCTTTTTGATGTTGACGCTTCCCCATTTTGACTAGTGTCTATGAATTTATTTAAACAAAATAAACAGAGAATCTTCAAAGTGATCCTAAAACCTTTTTTTATATTGTTGACTTATTATTTACTGAGTTGAAATTTTATAGCAAGTGTCATTTACGTCAATAAACCTATGTTGGAGGTTATGACTGATTCATGTATACAAAACAAATCCAATTGTTGATGAGTATGATTCTGCCACTTGATGGCACTACTGAGCAGTAAAGGTAACTTCCCGGGAATTAAAATAAATCTGTATGAAAATGCAATTCTAGTGCTCAATATTTTTATTAGTTGATAAATTTCTCAAAAATCAATAAAGATCGGTTATGGTTAATACTCTATACTAATCTCAAAACTACTTATTTTAATAAAAAGAAGAAAGTCTTAAATTGAAGGAAAAGACTTAAAAATTTTGTATTTGGTTACTTATCGTTGAGTGATTTTTCAAGCTTGAATAATAGGGTGAATTAAATAAAACAATGGGAATACATGGTTTTATTACGAGGCAAGACAGTGGCGCAAATCGATTTATTTAAGACCGATTTATTTAAGTTACCGACTGCTTATTTAAATTAAAATTACGACGTTTACAATTTTTTTTCTTAAAATCTCAGATAGCTGAAAGAGTAATTTTCAAGTTTTTATTGTAAGAAAAAATGTAATTTTTTGTCATAATTTAACAAAATAGCCGGATACTAAAACATCACATTTTAGCAGAATATCGAGGATTTCGAAAATTACATTAATTGTAATATGGGGAGCGTTATTAGCAGCTTTAAAGTAAGGTTTATGTTTATTTTTGTTTTCAGAAACATGATACCACTGATAATTACCATGATACCATTATATAAGCATTGACCCAATAGATACCTTTAATATTAAAAATAAATTGAATAGGTTTAAATTGAGTATGTTTTTTAATTAAGAATAATAAAATACATGGTTATTAAATAAATTACAGTTACGAAAAAATGAACGGTTAAACAAGGATGATTTATCTGAGAATATCAAGGAAATACTTATGTTGTCAAATCTTTCAAAATTATGCTCGTATGATACAAAAAGTTGAAAGGGCTTATCGAAGCATACCTAGGGCGCCATTAAGTCGACTTCCGAGACAAAAAGTACCTCAAAAGATAATCCAATGTCAAAACTATTGTATTAAATTGGCTAAAAAGATTATTCATTTCATAACTTTTTTCATAAAACGATAGTTATACTTCTTAATTGGTCTATACTTAATTTATTTTAGATAATAATTATAAAACCATAATAGAGAAAGTTTACTATTAAAGCCTTTATTCAAATTTTTATAAAATCATATCCTTAATATATGATTTGAAATAATACAATACAATGTGTAAATAGGCAGTGTTACCCTTTCTAAAAAGTGTATTTGTAGAGAGTGTAGTTTCTCAAACTAAATTTTTGTAAAATAATTTTCGCACTTCTTTTAATTACTAACAATTTTATTCATTAACGATAAAGACAAATGCAAATATTTTTGAACTTTTACTTCAATATCGATAGCAGTTAAATTGTTATTGAAACGTCTGATATGCTTCATTATCAGAATTGTCTTGATGGAACAAATGACTAGCACAGACACATTCTTCACGTGTTCTACTTTATGTTCCATTTTTTCTGAGACTCGTTTTCCGATAAGGTTTTTCACATTCAACAGACGACTTATACATTATGAAAATAAATAATAATCATTAATGAGATTACATAAAAAATTCGGTAATAATTTGACATATAACTTTGAAAATTTCTTGATACATTGTAAAAGGTAATTTTGCTACGCACGCTTACAGTAACTGATAATAAAATTCATGTTGCATATAGGTCGTATGATTGTTACATTATAATATTTTGAAAATTAAATATACGTAAAATGCAAAGTTTTAAGTGAACATGTATACAATTAAATCAATGTTACAATGTTATAAAAACATCAGCGAAAAAAATACGGTCGGCATAAAATACTTTTTTCATATAAATTGAGATACACCACATAAGAGGAATAAATTATACAAAAATATATGTACAAAAACACACATATTCATACATGCGTATGGTTACATTTATGGCACCGACGTGATTCACCATATGCTCCAAGCTTTATTTATCAAACAAATCAAGCAGCACCACGAGGCTCGTGCCAAACGGTAAATCTCACCAATTTCTTAATCCGTAAGATCTAAGTACAATTGTGACTTAAATTGTTGTTCTATGTTCAATTGTTGTTACTCGTTGAAATTCGCTTTGACATTTGGCATCTAAGTCGGCAGGACGTTTAATTTCAGACTGGGTGATGGCGAACAAAATCCACAATATCCACCGCATACTCCCAGTATTCGTTGATTATTCTGCAAGGCAAAAGATTAATTTTTTGTACACACGTTCCATAGATAAAAAGGTCCAACTTACAATCTTATCTATGTGTGAAAAAGTATTCTTTTGTTTAGGCCAATGAACTTCGGGGGCAATCATTAGCCAGGTACCGCTCAAATTAATAGCGAAGCGTCCTTGAGGGCAGTTTTTTTGACTGTAGCAATCGCCAGCTTTACCGTAGTCGATATTATTCAAGCCGATTTGTCGAGCGAACTTGAAGTCGTTTCCTGTAAAATCAAACAATTAATTTCTCTTTCCAAACTCGCGATCACTAATAAGATTAAAAACTTGCCAACTATATGTAACGTGTGAACGTTGATTCGTATTTTTTGGAACATAGTTCTACCAGATATCGGTACAGATTCATTCATGCATTCGCAACTGTCGTTCCTTACTCCTTCGAAAGGACACGTGTGAGGATTCAAGAGCCTGTTGTCGAGAAAAATTGGATTAATTTTTAGCCTGCATCCTTTTTCATAAAACATTAAAACGACCAGTACCTCTTGTCGTAAATCTCAGCATAGTTTTCCCTTTCACCCTGGGGCAAAGTGAGATACTCGAGAGGCTCGAAACTGTCCATGCCCGAGCAGTAAATGGACATGTAGCGTCCACCGACCAAGAGGGTGTACTCGCCGTCGACGTTGGTCTTGAGGCGGTTCTGAACCTCGATGCAGGTGGTCGGGCCGGTGCAGGGGCGCTGATTGCACTTGCGGCGACGCTGCGGTCTCAGCTTGACCGGGCAGAGGCGACGACGCACCTTGCGATTGTAGCGGTCCAGGCAGAAGAGTCGGCGTATCTGTCGGCCCTTGATGCCGCACGGCTGCGAGCACTTTCGCCAGGTGCCCGTGACCCAGTAGAAGGGATCGGCACAGCCGCGATCTCGGCAGGGCTGCTGGGACGGGGGCTTTTCCCGCTCGGAGCAGCCGCCGTTCACCGGCGCCGGATCCAACCAACCGAAACTGTTGATCCTGTGGCAGATGACCTCGCGTCTTCGGTAGCCGTTTCCGCAACTAGCCGAGCACTGACGAAATGCAAATGACGCGTTGGGACGCGGTTCATCAAGGGGAATATTTCGTTCGAGCTAGCAGGTTTTTTACTTACCTCGCCCCAACTTCCTGCGCGCCACTTGTACGAAGCAACGGGCTTGCCTACATCCGTCGAGCTGTTAAGGACCGGTTCGCAGGCTGGTCTCGAGCACTTCCTCACGTGGCGCGGTCGAGTCTTTTCCGAGCAGTCGCTGTCGTTCATGATCTCGCCGCGCAAGTCCTGACACAGGATCTGCCTGTGCTGATAGCCATCGCCGCACTTGACGTCGCACTGACTCCAATTGCCCGTGACCCAGTTGGGGCACTGATGTTGATTACAGACGATCGTGCTGGCCGGACGAGTCTTCGAGTCGCAGTAGCCCTGATTGGGCGCGATCTTGTTCGTCTCGACGGAGATGCACTGGACTATTTGGACGGCTAGACCTCCCCCGCAGGGTTTCGAGCACTGCGCAATTTCGACCGATGTTAATCGAGCGCGATCGATAGATTCGCGTTACTATGATGAAAATTGAAATTACCTCTTCCCAACCACCGATGTTCCAGGTGTAGCCCGAGCGGAAGGTGATGCGATGGCTGTCGACGTCGTTTTCGTGCTGCGATAAGTCGTCGACGGGCAGGCTCGATGAGTAGGTTACAGGTACAAAAGTCGTCTGGAAAAATTTCCATTTCAGTTCTTCCTTATTCATAGATAATTTAAAAACGATCATATACAACACGTACTTTGGTAGGGCAAGCCTCGAGCGAGCAGCTTATGGTATTAATGGGTTTTTTTGAATTGTCGCAAAGTTCGCCCGTCGTTCCATTGGTATATTTACAAGCAACCATGCGTCTTCGAATACCCTCGCCACATTTCACCGAACACTGCAACAAGTGACGTTGACGTTTTTGAGTTTACGAGTTGATTGACTCTATCAAAAGGGGGGGAATAGACTCACCTGACTCCAATCGCCTGTCTGCCAATTGGGGCAAGGTCCCGCATCGCAGGCTTGAGATACCTCGCCCAGTCGGTCTTTGCAGCGTATCTTGGGCACGACATTGTTGTCCACGTGACACCAGTAAGGTCGTTCCCTCTTGCCGGGTCCGCAAGCAGCCGAGCACTGAATAAAAATTTTCGTTATTTCAATCACGACAAGGTCGATCGTACAAATAGTAAAGTAATTCTTACCGGATTCCAATCGCCGTAGGCCCACTTGGGGCAGGGCTTGCCACCGCAGGACTGCCGATCGATCTTGGACTCGCTGAGGCACTTGGCCTCGGGCAGGGTGCGATTGTCGGCATCGACGCACTCGGCCAGTCGGTACTGCAGGCCGTCGTCGCCGCAGCTGACGGAGCAGGCGCTCCAGGGCCCGTAGCGCCAGTGGGCCTGCTCGCAGAGGCCCGTGCAGGCGCGCCTCTCGACCGGCCGCTCGATGTAGTTGCAGACGTAGTTGGGCACGGGCCTCGGCGAGACGCGGGGATGTCGCTCGCGATCCGCCGGCACCTGGACGCAGCGGTGCTTGACCGTCTGGCTGCCCGGGCCGCACAGACTCGAGCACTCCGAGTGCGAGACCTCGAGCCACTGAATCTCGCAGTGGGTGTTGCAGGCCTGGCTCTCCTCCTGGGGCTTGGCGTCGCTCGGGCAGTAGCTGTCGGACACGATCTCCCGGCTCTCGACGCTCTGGCAGACGACCCGCCTGTGCATCGTGCCCTGGCAGATGCGGTCGCAGAAGGTCCACTCGCGCACGATCCAGGCGTAGCGCTCGGGCAGGTACTTGGGCACGGTGTACTCGTAGGAGATCTGGGGCGGGTAGACGTTGCCGACCGAGAGCACCTCGAGGATCAGGTCCAGCTGGACGGGCCGCGAGCTGTTGAGCCGCTCGACCACCTGCTCCGGGCCGCTGTACTCGATCGTGATGCCCGGCTGAACGATCACCTTCCGATGCATCACCATGAAGTTGCCGTTGAGTATGTAGCGGCCGTCTTTGAGTTTCAGTGCTGTGCACGGGGATTACGTTATAAATCGGCTAATTGTACGAGGGTACATATAATATGTTACGCGAGACTCACCCAGATAGTTGCTGTCGTTGTGCGATCCCTGCCAGCCGTACTGCCTGATGTCGATGTGGGAGCTGCCCGCGGGTATCTTGGTGACCATCGTGTAGCCGTACTCGGTGACGTTGTAGCTGCCGGAGATGCGACGGCAGCTGGAGTTGTCGCCGCCGCAGACGCCGCAGGTGTCGAGCCGAGCCGCCGAGTTGAGCACGTGGTCGCAACCGGCCGGCTCGCAGCGCCCGTTGATGCACATGTGGAAGGTGTCGGGGCCGCAGGCCGTGCCGTCGGTCACTTTGTCGCGCAGCATGTAGTACTGATTACCCGCCACTTGGCAGTACAGCTTGCAGCGGTCCTCCGGTTGAACTGCGAATCACGTATACGAATTATTCCGCGTCCGAGACGATTTAGTCTCATTATAATTGCGATTGACCTACTTCTCGTGTACTTGGCGTGCCACTTGACGTTTTTCGCCAAGTTGCGAATGTTGCGATTGTCGTTGTCGAAAGCGGCGCATTGTTCCTCTCTGCGGGCATTTTCAAACAAAATGTTTTTATAAATTAAATACAACGCGCTGCTGAGCGTGCATATAAGCACTGTGTGTGTGCGCCAATGTAAACAAAGCCGCTTGGAAATAACAGCGAGTCAAGGTCGAGCGCGTTATTGCCGCAATTTTCAGCCGCAAAACACAAAGACGCAATTTTCCATAGAGCGGCGTCTTAGTTTTGGCGAAACCTTTGAGCGTTCTCAATGGACTCACCGGAAATCGATGGTTCCAGGAGGACACTCCTTGGTGGCGCAGCTGCGGTAGTGGACCCTCTCGCCCACGCAGTAATTGCCGCCGTTCTTGGAGGGTGGATTGTCGCACTCGCGGGTCTTCATCATGACGCCGCCGCCGCAGGGCCTGGAGCACTCGCCGTAGGGTCCCCACTCGCCCCACTGGCCGTCGACGGGCTCGAGGTTCTCCCGCGAGACGCACTCGCCTCGGTGGCACCACTTGCCGGGCTCGCAGCGGGTCCCGTCGGCCCACGGCATGTGCTGAGTGTGGCACTCGGGCTGGTGCTCTCTACGATCGGTATCCCAGTACGGCACGGTGCACCACAATCGCTTGCAGACTGCCTGACCGGTAACGAACGCGCTTGTATGTGCGTCTTTTTTTTTTCGTCTAAAGGGCTATAAGTAATTGGCTACGCGTGACTTACCATCGCTGACCATGTGCGGACATATCCTGCTGCCGCTTCCGTAGACGAGCTCGCACTGCCGGTCGCCGCTGTAATCTTCGCCCGGAAGTCGGTTGCCGTAGGAGCTCGACATGATCTTGCTGTCGCGAGGCTCGTCCAGCAGACAATTGCCCTGCCCGGCGCTGCGTAGTAAGTAACAACGAAAAAAATTTAGACTCGAAACATGGCGCGCATGAATATACATGCTCGACCGATCGACCAGATCGAGCGTGACCAAACGAGCTCCTCGAGCTAAGTTAAACTTTAGTTCTTTAGACATCGAATGTGCATCGAAAAGTTGGCAAAGTGATCGTCGAGAGTCCGCATTTGTTGTGCATCGAATTAATTAACCACGTATTAATGAAAAAAAGCTCATTGGATATACTCACTCGAGAAATTCGGTGACGTAGTGTCTGGAGCACTTGGACCATTCCCAAGGCACGGTGTTGTCGTCGAGCATGCGCGACATGATGTTGTGCACACCCGATCGGTCGCGGAATCTCGAGCATTTCGGATCGTCGTCGTGCGGCATATTTAGCCTGTAACATTTTCCTGCATATAAATATACGCATTGCTTCGGTCGTTGCGCGCGTTTTTCTCTTTATCAATAATATACGGCTCGCTCGGCGTTAATTTGGTAATTCATCGCTCGTGAAGACGATAGTGTTTACTCGTACAATATCGCTCTCTCGCGAGCTTGTACGCGCATCTATTATGCCAAGAGACGAGAGACTGCTGTACAGTTAGCCGCGATGTTAAATCACCTCTCGTCGTATTTAATCGCCTCCGTGTCGGCCGTCGCGCGTCCAAAAATACGCGAATTCCTAAGCGCGCAAATCGTTTTCGTCAACAATAACAATCGGGGACGAGACAGAGCCCCGCGACTCGTAACGAGATTTCTCTATTTTTCTGCCTTAAAACCCTGAACTTTATTCTCGCGGCATACTATACTCGCGACGTGAGGCTGGAAAGCCACTCGCAAAGTCAAGGACTCGTGCGCGCGCGAGAGAGAGAGATATTGATGCTCGCGGTCGACTCGTAAGGAATGCTCGGCGCTCGTGGCCGTTGACTCACACGTGGCCAATCTCGTGGGCGATGGTGAAGGCAGTGGCCAATCCATTATCCTGGACGATGGCGCAGGACGAGCCGGCCGAGCACATGCGTCCGAGCTCGGCGAGGCCCAGCGTGTCGCAGCGCTTCTGGCCGGGATTGTGGCACAAGTTTTCCCTGTTGGTAGAAAAACACACGTTTTCAGTGATCGTGGCAAAAAAGCCTATAGAGTAGAAAAAAAAACCAACTGCTCGACTTTTTTTTTCTCTGGCGTCGCGTAGCGCAGAGAGAACATTATAGCTCGTGCACTAAAATGCTTGCACAGGCTAAATATTATATTGCCCGGCGCGAGCATGTCGTGCATTCCAAAGCTTTTTCTGATATACGTGCGGATCGAGACAAAAGAGGAAAAAAATCGTCTCGTAGATTAAGAACGGATAGATCATATATGTTTTACCTAGTGAGAAGCAAGGCAGCGTCATGATGCTCCGGCGACGGCTCGTCAGGATTGTTGAGCTTCTGCCAGTCGCAGAAGGTCCTGAGCATCTCGGTGGCACCGATGCCGTAACTGCCTCGCTGCCGCTTGCCGAATATCTCCTTGATCTGCTTGATCTTGATGACGGCGATGCTGATCGGATTGCCGATCGACGGGTCCTTGTAGATGCGCGATACCTGCGACACAATGCATATAGAAGTTCGCGCAAGGGCATTTTCTTTTCGGGCTCTCCTGCGTTTTACTACCAGTTACATGTTTGCATGCACGAGTTTTGTGTGGCATGTGCGAGAGAGGCAAGAAAAAAGGTACGAGAACCAAAATGTACATAATGCCGTGTGTGCACACACTCGACTTCATAACTCACGTTTAAGAAGTTTTGCAATAAATCATCACTTGGCCCGCGAGTAAATGGTTCAACGAGCGCAGTCGAGTACGCATATGCAACGAGCCCGGGCCCTTCCGATGCTCGATGTGTTTTATTTTTTCGCTTCTCTCTCTCTCTCTCTCTCTCTCTCTCTCTCTCTCTCTCGAGAAAGTATGCGCTGGCGTTGCGACAATCTCCGAATCGCTACGTGTGCGCACGCAAACCCGTCGAAGAGAAAAAGGAGCAAGAAAAAAAAGGAAGAAGAAAAAGAAGCTGTAATACTCACGGTGTTCATGAGGACTAAGATGTAACTGGTGAGGCTGGAGCCGTGGTAATCTATCATCTTCTGGTCGGCCACGACCATGATCTCGATAAAGTACTCGCGAGTCAGCGCCCTGCGCGAGCGCGCCAGCCCGTAAATATCCTCCTCGCTCCTTCCTCTGGCCAGCTCTTCTTCTGTTGCTCTGGACCTGCGCACGGGGAGGCGAGAAAGTTTTCCCTTGCTTTATACTTTATGCATTTATTTATTTTGTGCGAATAATATGCGTCCGTGCGCGGTGCACGCGATTCGTACGCGAGGAGGGATTTTCAGCGCTGTGGCTGCTGTTATTGTTGCTGTTTGACGTTATTATTATCGAGTACCGTTTCTCGAATCCGTATGTGTGTGCATTAAAATATGTGTGTGCGCGCATCGAACCGATTGCGATCGATCATGACCGCCTTGTTGGCGAGTAAATCGATGCTGTGCGCAGCGCCGAAAAGAATCGAATAAATCGCATCGCTGCAGATTCTTGTTAGCGCGCTGTATAAATATATTTGAGGCCGTTGCGAGGCGAATCGAGACGAAAAATACCAGCGATAAAAATGTTACCTCGTGTCGGAGTCTTGCAGGGAAGTTCTTCTTCGGCGTCTTCTGCTTCTTTCGCTCGTTTCCTCCATCATCGGATCCGATGCATCAATTTGTTCTTCTTCAGGCGTCATTTCATTGAGCCGAGGTTCGTTGCTATTTTCATTTTCTGCAATCAGAGACCGGCACATTTTTGTCAATATTTTGTTGCAAGTTTATTTTCGGTATAGGTCGAGTATTTCACACCCGATAAAGAGGAAGAAAAAAATTTCGCTCTCGCGCTTATTCGTGAAATTCCGCTCTTGTCTCTCTCTCTCTTTCTCTTCTTCTGCGAGTCTCTGGTCGGGGCAGCGCGGCCGATTTTCAAAGAATAAGTGCACATACAAAGTCTCGGCAGAGCTATAACCACCTGTTACACAATACACATATACGTACACGCATATAAGTACAGGTGTATGTACCGAACGGAATAAAAGGAAGATACGACTAAAATAAACGGAGTCAAGCGTGACGTAATAACAGTACTCGAGGAAGAGCGAGACGCAGTGTAATATAGCAGAGATATCGATGAGCTGCAATTATTATTCTCCAAGCGCGAGCTTTGGAAATTGTGAATTATTAGCCGAGAGAGTGAATTCGGTCGCAGCGGCCGAGCGATGCGCTGAAAAATTGTCAGATTTCGCGCTCGATTCTGCTATGGTTACATGCGACGAGGCTCATTGTGCCCGAGCGCATGGATAAACATCCATCAGTTTCTCCAACCTCGAGCAAAGTAGCGGCGATTATTCTCCGGCGGGCTTTTGTGTCGCTCGCGCGAAAAATAAAAGCTCGGCTAAAATGTTGCACAATAGGTCGGTGGCGCGGCTCGCTATCGAATAACTAATGTACATCTATACCTATATAGCTAGGGGATTATGCGTTACAGGCTGCGACGCTTAAATATGCGCGGCGCACACGTAACGAAAAGCCATGAAAATACAATATCTGGCCGCGTGCATTATATATTTATAGCTTTTCGTGGAGCAGAGCGTACAGATTTGAGAAAAGCCACGCTTTGCGCAGGTAGGAGGAAAGGCGCGCGGGCGAGCGTCAACAAAACGGATTTAGTTAGCGCAAACACGAGATCGAGGCCCATTTCCTGGTAGTGGCCAATTAAATTAAACTTAAACAGCTGCAGCAGCAGCACAATAAACTTATTTTCGAAGCTGGACTATATTCGTTCGAGTTTTCGCTGCGCGAGGAACGTTTTTGGCCGAAAAGTCGACAGAGAGAGAGAACTGCACGCAATGCATGAGAGCCGAGGCGCATGCACGTATACAGCCAACGCGTCGACGGTATGTATAGAATTTTCAGCTAGTGTCAGCTGATGAGGATACCGAAATCCGATCCGCGCACGCGTGTGTGTGTCTGTGTCGTTATCATTGCGCTGCGCGACTCGATTGGAAGTACACTTCCCGGAACGGCGCACAAGCCTCTAAAATACGTCGTCGCCAATAGCTCGAGCGCACGAGTATGTATGAACTACTCGAAAGTCAAATTCTCAGGTACGTAATTCAGGGTTATCGGCCAGCGAATCGCGGCTTTATAAATACAGCCGCTTTTATGCATTATACGATGGATCTCTTGAAACAGTATATTATATACAAATATAGCTGCGGGCGTCTATGTACGCACGACGATAGAAATTAGCGTATATACGAGAATACCGTTGGCCGAAGCTGCACGCCGCGAGTCAATGAACGTGCGCGGATCGAAGCATCGTATCTTTTCCCTCGCGCCGGCGAATAATGCCCACGCTCTCCTACTACGGCTTGGCTTATTTTCAATAAATACAAGCGAATAAGAGTGTGTAACGATAAGCAATATCGGGTGCATAGTACGCGCGATAGCGATATTTATTATAAACGAGCGTCGCGACGACGACTCTACCAGCTCGTCGTCGTTTTCTCTAATTGCTTCTGATTTATACAATGAACGCGTCGAGTCGTTTTCTTTTGCGCACACACGTACATACGTACGTATAGTAAATATATATCTCGTGATTCGCTCGTGCGCACGCCACAAAAGCTTAATAAGAAAATCTCATTTTTCACGCTTGCGATCGCGTGAGCTTATGTACGCCATTGTCTCGCCACGCTCATTTCGAGTCTCTCTCTCGCTTGTGCGAGCAATCGTGCACATCAAATGATTTATGCGAGCTGCTCACCTATTATGATGGCAGAGGCACGCGCGCCTGCAGCACCTAACATGACAGATCAATTATTACATAATTACGGTAGAGGCGCGTTTACGTAGGTTTTAACGGGCATTTAATTAATCGCGCGGATTTGCGCCCACTAATGAACGTTTCGTGCGCGCCCAATTCGCTCTTTCTCGAGTTACGCATTATACACCGCGATGCAAGCAGCCTACATACACACGGATTCGAATAAATTCATTGAAAGAAATTCACGTTATAACGAAGGAAACATTTGAAGATGGCGTCGTGAATCGATGAATGTAGGACTGGTTTCGATTTTTGTTTTTCTCTGAGTAACGCGTGCCGAGTCGTCGTCGATGATAAATCATCGTATACCTGCGCGTGCATACCGATTTTACCAATAACTCATCATCCGATCGGAAAAGGAGAGACAGAGAGAGGACTGACCTTGATTATTTTTTTCTCCCCTAGCGTAAAATTCAATAATATTTCAATTATACCAGATGCCATTCATTCGTTTTAATTATATATAGACAGCTGCGGTGCGCGCTTGCGCAATTTATCATAAATGAAGTTTGCGAGCTATTCATTATTCAATTTTGCGCGGCTGCTAGCTACTATACGTCGAGCGGTGCCCACAATATCTGCTGCGCTGTACGTATTTTTTCAGCGGCGCGCACACATTAATCGAGTGTTTGTTTCGAGACTCGATATAACGCGCGCGGCAATGGCTTATATGAAAAACTACCGTTGGTCGGTGCGCGTGACATTTGCAAAGTACACACACACACAACGAGAGGCGCGCGGGAGAAACGTCAAAGGCGACTGCTGCGCATCGATTCCAACCGCACGCGGCAGCTATTAATGCGAAATGTTTGCTGAAAATGCGGAACATCTTGTAGCGACAAATCCGTTTTTCCGCTCCGCTCCCGGCAGGCATAAATCAGCTCGTCGCAGTGATTCAGCCGTCCTCTTTGTGGCAATTATCATGCTAATAATCTCGACATTTATTAAGTAAAGCCATTTCCTCGTTCTTACGCCGCAATGGCAAGGTTTTCTCACATTGATACATACATAATCGTGTGCACTTACCGATGAGACCGCACTCGCGAGCAGCCGTCGTCATCGTCGTTGCCGTCACAGTGGCATTGCTGGACTCCAGTACGTCGAAATCGGGCAGATCGTTGTCGCTCCTGGGAAACGTCGTCGCTGGATTTTTCGGCAATTTGTAGACGACGTGACGCAGAGGGGCCGCCGAGTGCCGATCGCTCGAGTTCCAGCGCTCCATTGGCTTGATAAGGTAGTTGTCGCTCGACGTTCTCATGTGGCCAGTCTGTATGGATTGCGGGAAAAGTCGGTAGGGGATCATTATTCATCGGAAAGTACGAACAAAAGCGACGACGGATTCTCATGAACGATGAGCTGCCAAAGCTCGAAGCGAATTTTAGTAGTATGCAAATTTAGCTCCGTTTAACTAATCGAGAGAGCTGCATCGGCAGCTATATCGGTCATTTGACAAAATTCCGAAGGTAGTTTTGAAGAAGCCGTTGGCATGAAAAGATCATTAATATTAGCCTGCGTCAACGCATCAACGCTACATCCACACGATCCAAAAGAAGGAAATTTCCGAGCTTTGTACGATTCATCGATCACGGCCCACACTACGATAGTCAGGCACGCGCGCGCGTAAAAGCTCGATCCCACGATTCGAGGCCGGCTTCGGAGCTCTCGAAGCGCCTTGATTTACGATTAGCTCGAAGACGCGCGCGGGGCTTTTGCTCCCGATTATATATACAAATACTTGAATTGCGCGAACGAGCTTACCATTCCGTGACAGAGGCTGACGGCCACGATGGATTTGGGATCGCCCTTCACCGAGCCCGTGTAAAAGCAGCCGAGCTCATGGTCGGCGTACTCGCGCATCGTCGCGTTCTCCCCGTCGATGTGCGTCACCTGGACGTTGGCCGGCGCGAAGCTGCTGTCCTCCTTGAGGCTCAGGTGGAAGCGGCGTCCGAAGGCCTGGAACTCGTACTGGGGATGCGGGTCCCAGACTTTGCTCTGGCTGTGCCGGAAGTGGCCGCTGTGGTGGCGCTCCTCCGCCGAGTCCTCGTCCACTGCGAAATTCATTCTCAATTAATCGCCGTTTAATTCCAACGCGCGTATCACATATCGCGCCAGCGAGTTTTCCCAATTGCCCCCGGCGTCTACACGAAACATTAAGATAAGCTCGAAGGATTCGATATGGCTCGAGATCGGCCGTTGCGTAAGCAGCCCGCACGAGTTACTCGAGTCTTTCGAGCACAAGGCGTAATCGAGTTTATTTATCAGTTTATTTGACTGTTTGTAATTAGTATCGAAACAACTTCATTCTAATACTTTGTATAGCGAATTGCGATTGCGAAAATTCACTACTCGACGATTAGATTTTCTCGAAATCCCTATTAACCTGCTGTATGCACGCACGATTTGCTGCTAAGCTTGCATAATTAAATCGGACGCGCGCGAGTATTTTAATAACTTGTCTTCGCGGATGCGTTTTTTTCTCTCTCTTTCATCGAAAATCACGGCGCACGCAGCCGAGTGAGTTGGCACTTGACTCGGATTGCGAAAATGGCAATTACACGAGCGCTGAAACGTACACACAGTATATAAATATGTTTCCTCACGATGGAAGCTCTCCTCTCCTTTCGAATGTTTACATTATAATTGTTTCAGCAATGCATTAGTGCAGATTAATCGCGTTGGATAACGATTTCTCGTGTGATTGGAAAGTACATCGATACGTCGAGCATCGGAGCCTCGAGCATAAGCGCGATGACTGCAGCTTCTCGTAGTTCGATTGAGCAATAGATGCAGAAAAAATAAATGCACCTACTAATGTGCGTTTTATAAAGCGACGGATTGTGCCTACGACTGTGCACGTCGTCGTCGTCGTCGTCGTCGTCGTTGCGCGAAAAACGAGTTTGGCCTTTGTTTTGCGCGATCGGCAGCGTCGTATATCGCCCATTTGCGGGATAAATCATCGAGATCCATAAGAGATAACGATTTCGTATCACATTGTCAAATAAGTGCAATAATTCAAGCACGAGTTAAGCCAGAGATAAGCATCTTAAAACAAAGATCGCCACTCTCGGGAGTTTTATATATTTCACAATTGTTTGTATTGTCAGGTCGTAGTCGCGATTTATGCGTGGATAATTATGGGCTCGTTTAGAAATGCCAGGTATTTTTGCGAGAAAAAAACGCCACGCGGATTAAGATTATGAACGACAATGGCCATTAAGATCAATTAAAACCAATCAAGCTGCCTCGCGCGCGATGAAGGATGGAAAATGAGAGAAAATCTATCGCGCGCACTGCCAGATGCAGAGAACTAAGTTGCAATGATTTCACCTCGCACGCTTCGAGTTATCTCGATGATTTATCCGCTCGGCTACGCGGCCGATATTATAAATTATCGATGCTACTCACTGGGATCCTCGTAGAAATTTTGATTGGCCTTGGCGAGGACGATGTATTCGGACTCGCCGGAGCCGTTGCTCGGCAGGATGTCGTTTTTCCAGTGGGCCCAGCGATGCTCGCCATCACCGCCGACGTCATCTTCCCACTCGCTGGCTACTGAAAATTTACCTGCAACTGCAAAAGCATATACGAATGAATGCCGAGGATATTTTATGAGATTTGATTAACATATTTTCATTTCGCGCCAGAAATGGTATTCTATACAGCTTGCGACTCGAGGATGATGATTCCATTCTCAAGAGCTCGAGGTCGATCGCGGCGACTTTTCATTTATTTCTGTATGCTTTATATAGTCGAGAGTGTGTGCGCGTTATTGAAAGACAATTTTCACGAGCAATGAATCGAAAGTGCACATGTGCATTAAGCATTCGAAAACGACTGGTTTTATTTGCAGCTGCTATTATATGGAAAACGAGTTTCTTATTTTGTTGTCGTTGTTGTTTAGTTCTCGCGATGTAGATGTATAGAGAGCCGTTGGTATCCGAGCGTAATCGATCCGGGGCTTTTATCTATACCCCTTTATCCTTTATCCATCGAACAGCCCTCGACGATTTTATGTAAATGGCCGCTGCAGCAGTGATCGGTAGCTGGGTGACACGAGCGAGTGTTAATTAAAATTTTCGAGCGCGAATTATCTGGCCGCTAATCGCTGGAATTCCTATACATGCCTGTGACAGAGCGCGTAGAGCAATATTTATTACAGATCTCAGCTGCAGATGTATTATTGATCGGCTGGCATGTAAGCTGGCTGCCTCTTGCATCGAGCCGGCGGAGATATCGAGCGATCGTAAACATTAATAGTCGCATACATCGAGTTGACACGGCGCGCGCCAGGCTGCAACTCAAGTCGGCTCAGCTGGCCTACGTACGCTACATGCACAGTATGTACAATATCTATCGCGCATACGACCATAAACAATCATTAGCACGTTTGAGTTCCAGTTCAATCGCGCCTGTCCGTATCTATTACCTCCCAATGACGAAAAATACTTGCTCGCTCAAATCTGCCAGCGAGACTGGTTGATTTCGAAAATTCCTCAAAAGTTAGGCCATTTCGTTTCAGATTTAGGCTTATTTCACGTTAAACAGAATTAGAGGTGATTAATTTTTGTAATGATTAAATGATTGTCCGTTTGGAGTTTGATGTTTGGGTGAAAATGAATTTCAAAGACCGATAGTGACATCCTATAGTATTACTTTACGCCGCAAAGTCTGAAATAATAGCCAAGACTCGGTGTCATTGAACGTAACGTCGTAATTTTAAATTCTAATCCGAGGCGGAGGCTGGTAAACGTCGACTGGTGTCGATGCATGCGCCTACAGCGACGTCCCTTTTGTGCCAGCACAGGCACAAAATACAGTACGTGTCCTGCTGGAACTGATTTTTCGCTCGTCGAATTTCCGGGTACGGAGCTGCGAGTTGCGAAAAGTTATACAGCCAGGCTCTGCGTATACTTAACGTACGAGTGTCATCCGCGTGTACGTCGACCGGCTCCATTATCAATTCTGTCAACTTATCGAGTTACAGATTATATTATATATGCGTATGATAATTTTGATGTCGTTACAATATCGCGCGCGATTCGAAACGCGGCTTGCGTATTTATAATACATATATAATAGTAGCTCCGAGTGATATTGCTCATCAGCTGTCACGTTCCAGGAACCAAACGTGCCTTTTCTCAATTCTCGAGTCTGCGAAACCCTGGCCTCTTTTCTTCTCGCTCGATGCTGCACGCGTGTAACGTAATGTAAACTCGCGCGGCAGTTTGCGCAGCTCTCGCCGCTCGGCTCTCCGAAGCTTTTTCCGAAGCTCGCTCTCGCTGCTTCTGTACAAGACGTTCGTATACTTTGGCCTACTTATACAAATGATAATTGTACATTCGGCTCACGTGACTCTCTCTAATTGACTTTCGGTATTATATGTCTTTTTTTATATTTATATAATATTTAGCCGGTTTTCGCTGGAAAGCCAGCTATACATGTTCTCGAGGCGCTTTTAAAACAAAAGATTTGAAATTCATCGGGCGTCCGTGTCCGTTGCAGTCGTCGTGAAAAATGTCAGTCGTGCGCGCGTAAATATGCATTAGATAGCGATCGAGAGATAGACGAGCGCGTAAAAGCTCTACTCGGCTCGTCGTCGTATACGGAGAAAGCAGCTATGCAGCTGGACGGATGCAGTCCTCGAGCGGCGATAAGCGAGACATGGCACGTTACACAGACAATAGCTCTCCTGTAAGTATCGAGTACGTAACTTGCCGGGGCGAGGCGTTTAAATTACTCCCGGGGTACCTCGTGTGTATTACGCGTAGGTGTCGCACACAGCTCGTGTATGCGTATATATGCGGCGCGTAGAAAATCACACACGTTCGCAATGTAACGCAGCCGCGCGAGCTTATCGACACCTTCTTTGCTGTTTTTTTTCTTGCACGCATAGGCAGTCTCGGCGCGCCGAGTAATCGATAAAGCTGCTTCTAGGAATGCAGTCGGCGCAGAGACTTTGGGCTCGCGAGCGATCGCAATGAGCTGCTCGATTCATTGTGCGCGGTTCGCTCGCGGGAGGAATATGTATCGCTTCTATAAATACCGCGTCGATTGTTCGTAAAATCGAGGCTGACCGCGACTGCAGTGCGTCGTATTATGTGTAACTGCGCGCGCGGGCGCGTATTATTGGCCGATATATCCATAAGCGCGCAAGCTGCCTGCAACTTCGATCCGAGAGTTTATACGATCGACTGCGCAGCTCGAGCTTTGCCACGGCGGCTTTTAACGAAGCTATATACGCGTATTATATATGCGGTTGATACACGCGCGGCTGCATAGGCGGCGCATCACGGATGCCGATCGGATCGCGAGCTACCCTAGAGCTGGAAGAAAAAAAGGAAGCTGCAGCGACGACGCTTTCTCGGGTAAACGAACACCTCCTCGGCTCGCGCTTGCCATTAGATATACCGTCGCAGTGCGGCTAGCAGCTCGTATATATACGGAATATCACGTGCTCGTGTGTATAGCTGGCTTTTATCTATTGCCCCGAGGGGACCTTGACAATGCCCCCGCGCGCGCGCGCAAAAACGCTCGGCTCGCTCGAGGTTTACGCACTCGCAGTGGCGGCGGCTGCATTATGCAGTTCCACAAGTCGATATCGAGGCTGCTGCCACTGCGGCTATACATGGTATTTGCGCAGCTGCGCAACATCTCGCACGGACACTTCGATAAGATGGTTTTTTCCAAAGTAAATAATGCAATGAAAAGTGGCTCGCTCGAGTGCGCCTCGATTTTTTTCCCCTCACCAACTCGAGCAGTCACAGTTATAGTTTTACCATTTATATACAGTGTATATGTTTTTTTGTTCGAGTTATACGATGCACGAAGGTGAGCGTAAAGAAAACAACGACCGCCACACGCGAAAGCTCGACGATGACGACAATTGCTCGTAGCACATAAATTTGAATGTGTTTGACTTACGCGTGCTCGAGTGTACACAAGCGGCGTACGATTGAAAAATACTCGTGCATCGAGTCATTACCAGCGACAACACGAAAACCGCATCGCCGCGCGTGGATCGTGCCAATTGTGCCACTAGCCGAAATCCGTACGTCAAATATGCGGGCACTCGCGGAGCTTTTGATGAATCGCTTAAATTTCGACTTTCACTCTGTGTAATCTGGCTCAATTAATCGGCAGTGCCCGAGTAATAATATAAAAGGCCGCGTCTGCATTATATACATAAATGCACGACCTGTGCAGTGCACACAATCTCTCGCGCTTCTCTTTCGGATACAGATTTCCTTTTTTTCTTGCTCGGTTCGTCGTTTTCGTCGTCGTGGTCGTTGGTAAATTCTCGGCGTGTGTGTATTAAACACGATGCACGTCGAGAGGATCGCGTGCGCCGCTGGTAGGTATAACGTATACGGGCCGTGCACACCGCATATCGGCTATACCGTTAATTGATTCGCCATACTCTTCGCGCGCCGAGTACATAAAGCAGCCAACAGCTCTCGAACCGATGCTGTATTATAAACGGGCGCGTATTATGCCTTACAGAGACTAGGAAGTCGGGACACAGCAGCGATCGTGCGACATAATTGATTCGTCACGCCTCCGTTTAATTGATCCGACAAAAGAGAGAGAGAGAGAGAGAGAGAGACGATCTCGAGCGAGCTCGGAGGCGCACGTGCAATTATTGGCGCGATTATATTATAAGCGCCGCGCGCGTACCGTATTTATGAAGAGTGAAAATGCATCATCGGCCACGACGAGCCCGTGAAGCCGAATGTGTGTCGTGACTTTTTTCTCTCTCTCTCTCTTTGTCCGTCTCTCTCATTCGCAGAGCTATTATCCGGCAACTCGCCGCCCGTGTGTATCGATGATTTTAAATTATCTCCTTTAACTACCAGCTTTATTGCGATTCAGACGTCGGGCGCGCCAACTTTGAAACGATACATCCGTGTAAGAGAGACGTTTGTGCGTTATTACTTTGTTATTTGCACGTTGGCATATATTATGAGCCAACACTTTTAACGCTCAACTTTCTAAAATGTATCGCGTAGTTATAAAGGTACTCGTCTCGAGCGACGCGAGCTTTTACGACTCGTTATTAAACGCGAATTCTCTTCTCTCTTCGGCCACAATCAAAGCCACCTCGCGCGCGCCTCTTTACACTATACGAAATTTGTTCGATTATCTCTAGCTGCACTTGCACAACGTCGGGATCCGACTGCGCGCGAAATCTTAATTTGCGCTTGAAAATTTATCGTCCATTGTGAGAGGGTGCATTTTTCGATCGAGTCGAGCTTTGACAGCTCTGCACACATACGCGATGAGCAGCTGAGTGGGTGTTTGCGCAACTGAGCAAATGGCCGCTCTCGAGTACCGCAAGTAAAATGCAATATTGACGGCATTTTATTTGTATACGATAGAGAAAAATTGTCGATTAGACGAGTTTTAATGATGTTGTCCGTACTCGCTATGCTCACTAAATTTTACAAGCCATTAAGGCAGCTGCAACGGTGAAATCGCTCTTTCTCACACGTACGTGCATATAACTGCCATTTGACGGCTGTTTCGCAAGCCGCGATGATTTACCACGTGTGTTTCGCGGCGCTGACAAACATTTCTCCGTGAAAATCATACAAAAGCTCGAGCGAGCCGAACAAGTTGGATCAGAAAACGGAACTGCAGCTCTTAATTATATCAATAATAGCGTATACTTACTTTCGCTTGGCGGCCTGAGAGGCACGACGCGCAGGTCCGAGCCGTTATCGTGGATAGACGATGTGGCATTGGGTAGCGAGGACGGGCGACTTCCACCGGTAGCCCCGGTCCAGACGACGATCAGCAACGCGGCCAGTAGTACAAAAGCCAGACCGGCCGCCACCTCGGCGAGACGGTGCTGCGAGCAGCTGCCCATGGCTGCGCCCCTTCACGTCGCTCTCCTGCAAGTGCCAACGTCCCACAATCGGTATATACAACATACAGGTTTAATACATTTACAAATGACTGGATGAGAAGCGGCTGGTAGGTATATATGTACAAGGTGCGGGAGAGAAACTGTATATATGCGCATACGGATTCGTGCCTCGAGCTCGTGCGAGCATACATTATATACGCGCGAAACGAGAGCAGGAGCCGAGTTGCAGCGCGACACATGCGTGCAGTGCACACACCCGCCCGCTCGCTGCCGTACGGGAATAGGCGCGGACAACAAGAAGAGTAGCCCAACTCGGTTATTCTTAGGCAGCTCGAGAGAGAGTCGAATCGAGCTTTTATATATGCGCGCAGTGACACACCGGCGAGGCACTATAACGCGATTATTATATAGACTTTCGGATGGCTCGAGCTTGCCGGCTATGCATGAGGATCCGTAAAATCAACTTTTTCATTGCCCCCTTGCGAATAAACGATTTCTCGATTGTACCTGAGCTAACGTCGAGAAAGTTCAGTTGCAGCTCGGCGATTTTAATTGAAACGACGAAAATGAATTCTTCCGCGTGATCGAGCCCCGACGATATATAAATTTCTCGACTCCGCCTCTCCATGGCTTCTCTCCCGGTCTCTCGTCGAGGTAATCGCGCTATTTTAGCCGAGTGCGCTGTGCACTGCACGCTCGAGAGTAGATTATACGCGGACGATCTCTACTGCTCTCTCGATCTCTCGTAATGCGAATCTCCTTGACCTTAGCGAATAGACTACTCGAGATTATCCGTGAGATGTTGCCTCGTGGCTTTTTTCTTCCGACCACGAGCCGTTATCGATCGGCCAATTTTCCGGCCGTACTTCGCGCAGGGCAAATACCCACGTGATTAATTAACAAAATGATGTAGACAACGAACTTGCTACACGGAGGGAATTCACGAAAGCGTGATATATGCGACCGGATCGAGAATCAACGACGCGTATACGGATCGGAGCTCGGTACACGTACGTGCATGCAGCCGGTGAAATTCGACGCTCATCTTCTTTGCTCCCGAGCCCGCAAAAGAAAAGAAAAACGCGTCTCGCGATACCAAACATTTTTTTGAGAATTCAATTATATTCACCGCAGCTCGAGTACACAATGCAGCGTGCACATACACACACATACCTCCGAGGCGAAGATCCTGTAGAGGCGCGACGCCGAATCATCGCCGCTCTGCTAGACCCCTCGACGAGCCTGAAGCCGTATTATTGTACTTGCTCAGCCGGTGCTGTTGCTGATGCTCTTGCCACTGCTGCTACTTATATACTTACTACTGCTGCTGCTGCTGCTGCTGCTGCAGACTCTGCGATCCGTATCTCGAGCACGAAATTCTTACGTATTCTTCTTGGGTCGCGCCTTTTTTGTCTGCGCGTTTGCTGTGCTACGCGTCGATCAGCTCCAGTGGCGACGATTCGCCCTTGCGTTATCTTCTTCGAGTTGTGCTGCAACAGAGAAGAAAGAGAAGCGAGATGAGTTTCGTCGAGACGACAACAAAAAGAACGACGACTTGACGAGATCATTACTCGGCGTGTTTCGCGGTAGACGCATTATATGGTGCGTCAACTCGAGAAGCGAGACCCATTTCGGGGGTGGGCCGCGCCGATCGCGAGACCAGCTCTCGTCTCACAATGGCATACAAAGTGACGAGGAATGCCGAGTGCGTAGCTCTCTCTCGACGAGCTGAGTCACTTTTTTGCGACAGGACGTGTTCCTCTTTTTCTTTTTTCTTTTTTTTCTCCGTTGCCTCGCCGTCAACAAATTGGCCAACAGCCGTTTGCTATTTATACGTGGCTTGAGGTCCGGCACGAAATTCGCGGAATCGCGTTGCGATCGCTTTTAATTTGCATTTTACACGCGAAACCACATATCGCACTCACACTCGCTCGGGCACGGGACGCAGACTCGTATATGCTTTTGTGCATCGAATAGGTGCTGCTACGCACGAAGCAGAAACTTGACGAGAACCGACGGTGATTTTGAAAAATCATGCGACGATTATCATTTGCATAACAAGCCCGTGCTTTTATAAATGATCGTGCCGAAATCCGAGGCTTTTATCCGCGCGCGGCCCACTCGGCTCCATTATGCGTGCGTGTCTCGCGATGGGAAAAGCCGACGAGGTGCGCTGCGAGATTGCGAGGCGCCCTATACCGATCGACGAGCGACTGCTCTCCTAATGCATCGCGGCTCGATTCGGAGCACGGCTCTCAGCAAGAGAGCTCCGCGCAGATAAGCCGCATAATATATTTTTCACCGTGCAGAAACCAAATTCTGTGTATCTGCTTGTATAAATCAAAAAGCTATTCGTTAAAGAAGGGAAAAAGTAATAGGAAAAATTTATCGCGTGTGTGCCTCGACGAGAGAAAGAGCTCGCGAGTCGGGCGCTAGCTATATGGCCTTATCTTAATTGAATCAAAATAGAGACGAGAACGCGTTGGCTAAGCATAAATCCCGGCCACTTGCCCATAAATCGCGAATAGATGTACGCGCGCAATCAAGATGTTGATAAAAAAAAAACGTACACGAAGAAAAAAGAGCCAAGCGAAGGCGCGAAATACGTACACATATATTTTATCTAGCCGTTACACATTTCATAATAAGTCAGCAACAGCAGTGGAGCGCTCGAAGCATTCGCACTTGTAACGTACATGCGTGCACATCTCTCTCTTTCTCTGTCTCTCTCTCTCTCGTCGCGCTGCACGCGCAGCTGGGCAATTAAGTCATAAGTTATCTTATTTTTTTTTCGCGCGCGCATACGCGTGTGTATCTCGACGCGAGCTGTCAACAACGACGCCGTGTGTGCATCAGCAGCAGCAGCATATATAACGGTTGGGATAAAAAGAAAGTGGCTGCACTTTGCATATGGTCCATTCGTCTTATAGAGCTCTCGGGGCGCGCGCAAAAAACAGTAACGGATTACTCGCTGCGACCCGTTAAAAAAAGATGCGGGGAAAAAATTAACAGGGGCACATGAGGCTGGCGCACGCGTCGATGCAAGGAAAAATCTCTCCGTATATATACTTTTGTACGAAGTTCACAACCAATAACACCTTATTCGTCGATATAGTCGGCAACCACGCAAAATCCCATGTGTGCGCGAGAGTAAGTATATAGATTCTTATCGGATTTCTTTCGCTGGCAGATTTATCTGTCGAGGCATGAAATAGCCGCTCGCATAAGCCGATGTTTTAGCAGGATATAGGCAGTAGCCTTTTTTTGCATCTGTTGTCGGAGAGTCCGAGATGCTCGGGAGCTTCTAATGCGCGAAATGCCGCGCTGCAGGTATATATACGGCCTACGTACATATATAGCTCTTCCACGCCGTTAATATACAATGCCTGCGAGAGAGCTACCTAAAATTTATTGCCCAAGCTACAAGTATTCCATATTGAATTACCGCTGTATAATATTTTGACTTTTTTGCTGGCGCGCGTAGATATCGAATGCGTCGGCCGATTGGCGAAATCGGCTTAACACAAAAATGCGCAGGATTATTGCCAGTGTATATTTAATCGAACGTAATAATCCTATTCTGTCTCCATGCGGACCGATAAAAAAAATAGAAAAACAAGCTATATATGCGCGCGTCTCGGCGACAGCGCCTATACATACTGCATGCTACATAGGCGGCAGAAAAAAAAAGCCGGAGAAAAAAAAAGAAGGAGCGCGGCAACAAGTGAGCGCGCATATATATTGGCTGCACTTAATACCCATCTATCATTCGAATTATTGAGATCAGAGCCTACTTAGGAGACTTTGGAATATATGGACGCGGCGTTATTATTATATTAAGTGCGTATACGCGCGGCTATCGGTGCAACTCAGTCTCGCGTGATACACTGCGTGTTCGAGGAGGCATGAATTACGCGACTATTAAGCCAAGGTCCCGTATAATCAGCTCGTTCGGCATCGTAATGCCTGCCGCGCTAACTAATGTAACCGAACAATTATTATAAGTAGCTGTGTATACATGCCGTACATATACACGTATATATAAGCGAGTTGCATGCTCCGATCGATACGTCTACATTATATATAGTTTATGTTTGACGGCGGCGAGCGGCTTGTCTTAATTCTCCCATGGCGACTCGTATTTCACGTCTACCGGCATCCGAATTGTTTCGGGGCTTATATTCGAGGATGGCCTGCAAAAATGCGCTGCACATAAAGGCGATGATCTATTAATAATATTATATACGCGCGAGGACTATCGAATATCGGCCGGAGCGCATCGCGAGCACAAAGCTAACCCTGTATGTATACGAAAGCGTAGCAAAGTAGCGACAAACGCTTCATAATTCATCGCTCTCTATTCTCTCTCTCTCTCTTTCTCCACGTCCGACCTTTGCCGCGAGGCATAATATGCGTGCGCTGCAGCACACCGAGGCACTGCGCGCTATACCTATATATAACACGCGCGCATCTATTCGCACAGTCTCAAGTACGTGTATATATTTAAAACGTGGATGTTGGAAGTTTATACAAGGCGCGAGATCGAATGGCTCTGGTGTGTCATTAAAAAAATATATAATACGTGCTCGGCTTCGCGGAATCGACGTATTTATGCACCGATTGAGACGCGCTCGTTCGCTCGATCGACCGCTGCACTCAGCGAATATTTCATACAACGAATATACATGCCCCATCCAAATACTGTCCGGATGTGAAAATCTTGAATGTTTTCGCACTGCCCAGCGATCGTATGTCTGTCCGTCGACAATTTGGGATCCGACTCGGAAAACAAACGCGAGCTATCTGCGAGATTGTTTATCGTTTCAACGAGCCCCTACTTGGCTGTATTTTCTTGCGAAATTTTACCAAAGATGACCAACCAAGTGCTACGCACGTTCGAAATCTCTCGCAGTGGCCAATTTTAGCATCGAGATGCTCTTATCGCGAGTGTAATGATTTCTGCTCCGAACTGCTCGCTTATTCGAGCGAGAAACTTGCGAGCTTGTGCACTTGCGGAACTTGCGAATCTCCGCGTAAGAGCGAGCCGACGATTATAGAACGGCATTTCCGGCCGATCGTTTGTGCGCCAGCAAAAGCAATTGAATTTCAGAATTGCAAAAGTGGATTAAGGATTTAGTTATAGCTACTCCTGTGAAAAAAGAGAGACAGAGAGAGAGAAAAAAAATAATAAAGTCGACGATTTGTCATAAATATATGCAGGAGCTTCTGTCTTTTAATCGGATTTCATCCGCGTTGTAAAACACGTCGATTATGTCACGCGCTCGACGACGACGACGCGGTCATTACCATACATAAGCAGCTCGGCCTGTACTCGGTTTTGCGTATCAATTATTATCAACGGACGCGTACATAAAGCTGCGATCCAAAAGCCCCCCCTGCATCCCATACGGCAATAATGTCTCTGTCGAGTCTCGAGCGGCGAGACAATTACTCACGCGGTATCATCCACCCACGCAGCTGCTGCACGCGTTAGGCTGCTGCACCCACGGCAGTGTACGGCTACGTGGAAAGGTGTAGCGACCCTCTATCTTCAATAAAAGCAAAAAAATAAGAGGAGAGCGAAACACAGGGCGCGTACGCGATGCACAAGGATGGGTTCTATTGCCGCTTAGCCGCTGTCGCGTCGGGCCGAGCTAAGCCAAGCTGCGAATGTTTATTTTGCCGCGCGAGCGCACAAAGCTTTTTATTATTCGCGTGTACGGCGAGATTGCCCGACTTGCTGCTGCTGCTGCTGACTGCCTCGTAAAGTCCGCATTTACATGCGTAATGATACCGATGCGCCTATACACTCGCCCATTGTCCCGATAGTTTTTGTGCGGCTGAAATTTTGGATCTCGCAGATCGTATAATGCAGCTTTTAAATAGGAGCGAAAAATAACGGCACGAATGCAAACTATTTACGATCAGGCCCGCCGAGGATAGTAATAAAATCGGTATAATCGAGCTATTTGCGGTCGCTCTATACGTGTGAAATAAAACCAAAAGCTAATGAAAGTGCATCTTTTATATGAATTCAAATGTATGAACTGCAGCACCGGGATTTACTTAGGCATCCGGCCAAAAGCAGCGATCAAAGCTCGTGCACGTTTGAAGCTCGCAATCCGCGTAAGGGACGATCAATTCGCCAGTGTTGTACTTGGTTTGTAGAGAGAGAGAGAGAGAGAGAAGCACATATTACTATGTCAACATCGTAAATCGGTATACTAGAGAAATATTTTGGTAAGCGTAGACTTCTTGAAAATTCGAGGCTTTAATCGTCCAATATACGGCTGCATTTATACTCGATTTCGATCGTAACTTGCAGTATGGTTTAAGCGATCGACTCGTTTTCATCGCGCGATGAAATCAACGAGGACAGTTTCGAGTAAAAACGACGTCTCTTTCTTTCAAAAGCTCGAAGCGGAGACACGAATATTTAGTGCGATAATCTCTTTGAGGCAAGTGCGCGCTCGTAAATGCAGCTTAAAAT